CCTGGTCTCTCTTCACTATATAGCCACTCATTAGCACCTCAATACAACTCATGCTTTCCTCACTGATCCTTTGCCCTTCCTACGCCAGCTGCCAGGATCTTACTACCTAAACCCTACGCCTATCCCGACATCTTAGCCAACTCTTTCGGAAATGCCTCTTATAAAGCTTCGGCCATCAAGACTATTAATGGGCAAGATGCCGCATCATATCTAGAAAACTGGAGCCAATACGGATCTCTGCAAGATCGGGGTAAGGCTCTATCGGATTCACATAACCGCCCCTTTGTCTAACACTATCAATATAGATGCACTATACAATAATGTCTTCTACGAGCTTGCAGCCATTGCTCTGGGTGGATCTGGTGCCAGTATGGGTACTTTTGCGGGCGGAGGTTAGTACGGTTCCAGTACACATACTAGTATATGTACTAACACTTTGAACCTCAGGCCGCGGAAGGTGGGTTTACCCAGGCCCAACTACGGAGATTACTTTCGAGAACGGCACTAGTTTGGCCTTCGACAACTTCGCTAGGGTGCTTATACCTTTCGACGGAGTCACGGATGGCCAAAGTTTGTACGATCTGTGGTTCACCCCAAAGGAGACGACCTCTGCCGCCCCAACAACCACAGCCGCAGCTATATCTACTATTCCCGCGACCACATCGATTGTAGCCACTAGCACTCCCGCCCCTGGTTATCCGCCGCCAGTTGTCCGACAAATCAACAACTTGATCGGCGGATATTACATTGACGATGAGGACTACACCGATGTTGCTGTCCTCAGCGTGCCATCTTTTGTGTCACTTGATAGTGCAGAGGTTTCCTTCCAGGCAACCAGCAAGGAGTTCATCGCGAAGGCCAAGGCAGCTGGCAAGACGAAGCTAGTAATCGATCTTAGCGCCAATGGTGGAGGCACAATCCTCCAGGGCTACGACCTATTTAAACAGCTTTTCCCAACGATAGACCCTTATGGCGCACAACGCTTCAGGGCGCTCGAGAGTACCAACCTCATTGGCCAGAAGTACTCTGAGATCTCTGAGAAGGTGCCGCGTACTTTGGACACGACTAATGAGACACTGCTCAATATTGAGTACGACATTGCCTCAACTCCATTCAATTACCTCACCGATAAGGACCTCGAGGGCAAACAATTCCCGAGCTGGCCAGCAAAGTTTGGGCCTCATGAGCATTATGGCGATAATTTCACCAGTCTGTTCCGTTGGAACCTCTCGGACGTTCTCACTCCGTTAAACAGTGGCGGAATCTACATTACTGGCTACGGAAACCTGACAAACGTCACGCAGCCTTTCGCTGCTGAAGACGTCATTATTGTCACTGACGGATATTGCGCCTCCACCTGCACCATATTCTCGGAATTGATGCGCCAACAAGCTGGTATCAAGACTATTGCTCTTGGTGGACGTGCTAAGCCTGGCATCATTCAAGCCGTGGGTGGCGTCAAAGGCACAAACGACCTACCCATGGACTACATCCAATACCTAGTCCAAGTGGCTTATGCCTACGCTACCCCTGAAGAACAAGCTTACTACAACACTACCGAACTGGGCGATTACTTTTCCAATCTAGTATTTGAGCGCGCCGCTCCGGGCACCTCATACAACGTCAACTTCCGAGACGGCCTCAGGAAGGGTGACACCTCAGAGGAGCAGATCCCGCTACAGTTCATCTACGAGGCAGCAGATTGCCGCATTCTGTACACCCCGGGCATGACTGTCGACGTGACGGATATCTGGAAAGCAGTAGCAGACAGCGCGTGGGGCGGAGACAGCAAGTGTATCGCTGGTAACCTTGGGAACTCTACAGGTGGATACAGGAGAAGGAGCACAGGGTCAACGCTGAAGAAGAGAGCCGGAAGCGTGCACGATTACCCTCTCGATCTTTATACCGATCTTCGCGGCAGCAGTGTGTCGTCGGGTGATGGGTACATGATGCCGTAAAATATCCGAAACTTTCGGTTCTTCTGCAAATGCGCATGAAAAGTTTTGTTTCCAGCTTGTATAGATGCATGAGACACGATGTAATAAAGTAGGTATAAGAAAAAAAATCCAAGCCTAACTATTTCACATCGTTCTTGAAGTCATTGAATTCTTTGAACCTTTCACAAGCGAAACTAATACCCTAATCCGGGCTCCTTGTACGCATGCTTCTGAAGTGATGAAGGACTTTTTGAGGTTGCTAAAAAACAGGAGCTTAAATATAAGAGAAAGTACGAGCGAAATAGACGCCCATCAGCACTTGCGCGGTGTCAGGCAAGTGTATGTACATATCCTCAGAGTGAAAAGTTCGGAAGTTTTAGAATAACATCATAGCTTTATAGACTGCTACTTTTTCTTCTAGGAACCTTGGCTGTGAAATTATCAGAGGCACAACGTAGTTTGTCACGAATCACGCGAGCATTAGTTCGCATGAGCGATCTAGACCAGATATAGACTCATGGAGCGAACTCACAGGGATTCGCAATGCCCACTAAACCAATATAGAGCTGGCTCAACGATAAAACGCGGGGAAGCTTGACGCCTACCTGCGGAAAACATCCTCCAAGCTGCGCGTCACCCAACTTCACTTCAACACTCCAAATTTCTTTCTCCTGATTGTGCAACCGAACTAGGGTCTTACTATCCATTTACCATCCCAGGTTCATCGCTCAGAGCATCCGTGTCTTCCGACCGATGAATCCAGCTAGCCATAATGCGGACAACAACCCACGAACCCCGCCAACCGTGTCCTCAACATCTCCATCAGATACCACTTCTCCAGGCACGATATCCTCGAAAGGTCGCTTGCTAGATGCAGAAGATCTTGCTCGCAAGCGTGCCCGGGATCGCAAGTCGCAGCGGGCGATGCGCGAACGGGCGAAATGGAGCATGCAATGTCTGACAGATCAGGTCACCGCACTGACCCAGGCTCTGCAAAACGAGACGCGGGAGAAAGAAGACCTCATGAGCCGCTTTCTCGCCGTCAGCGAAGAACTAGATCACCTCCGCGTCCAAAAGGCAGCGCTGCAGCTACGCCTGTTAGGGAACGGCGCGAGCACTTCCAAGCCAGAGTCGCCAGATGGAACGTCGCCAGCGGCATTGGCGCCGCATGAAGCAATTCCGCTGAACACGGCCCCAACTACGATGAGCGACCAGATTCTGCAGACTTTTGCTGAGGCGAGGTGGGAGGCGTATGCGTTCCCGAGTCATGCGCGGGTAGAAGCGTATCCCGAGAAGCCTGACCTCAGCGCCTTGTTCGATGGCAGACCGAACAGAATTATCGACGAAACCAGCGGGGTTGTCGGTGACATCGTACGAAGTTATAAGGAGATCGATACGCTACCCAAGCAGGTAGCGGTACACTATGTTATGTCCACCTTGATGAAAGTGAGCCGTTCCAACCTGCGTCGTGATTGAAAAGAATTACCAAAACATGGCAGCTTCATAGACCAGACTAACGCATGCAAAAGTGGCAAGTCCTGCGTAACAAAGCATCCTATGACCAGATGCCAGAATGGTTGCGACCACTTGAATGTCAAATACAAGTTGCTCATCCTTCTTGGATTGATCGCATAGCATGGTGAGTATTCGAGGCTTCGATACACTTGCCCCTACCTCATTGACATATCCTCGAAGGCCCAATGTCCGACAATACCTCATCGAGCGCCCAGGCATCGCCTTTGACGACTTCGCTGGCGCCTACTCTGCCTCATTTTTCATCCGGTGGGACTATGACCCAAACCATGTCATCATCACTACCTCCGCAGCCGAAGGTGGTGGTATCCTGATCAACCCAATTTACGAAGAGCATATCCGCCAACTAAAGAATTGGACTGTTGGCGACGCCTTCCGTCGCAAGTTTCCTGAGCTGAGTACTTTGGTCGACGTTTATTCTCAGCCGGAGCAGTAAGGCCATATAGTTGCTCTACGCTACACAAAGGTATACTGATCTATTACTAGCGTTCCTTGAAGTCTGGGTGCTTCCCTCACGTAATCACCTATTATGGCCTGCACTATTGAGCAGATGCCATACGCTCGGAGGAAGTCTAGCGGACGAGTCAGGATCTTGATCCTCCTGAGCGTGAACGAGGCGAAACAGCCCAGAAGCAGTACCGAAGCGCCACCTGTTATTCAAAGACACGAAGAATTTGATTCTCGTGTCTTTCAGTCCTTCCAACAAGGGCCGTCAGACGCACAATCGAACCGAAGGGTTAGAGAAGAGTGATTCTCGGGCCAATCTCGCTGGATTGCCAGAATCGTTCGTCGCACATCAGAATGGAGAAAAAGGTTGGGAGAACGGTGGTCCTGCGAGGAAGGTACATGATAAGAAAGAGCCCTAAATCTAAAGGTCTTTCTACTCGAATTAGGACGGTAATTGGGGGTGCAAAGAGGACCGAGCTATTTATAGTTTACACGTGATTTATGCCACGTGATCTTAGCGACGAGGGCTTTCAAAATAACTCCACAAAGCTGTGGGTTGAATGTATGTACAACCTCTAGACGCATCTTGTGCTTAGCGTCGCAAGTGGTTACGCTGTTACAATTATTTTTGATCTCTGGGAAAGGCTACTTTGATCCAATGAGCTCGTCTCATGCAGCTCCGGTCCCGTATTTCCAAGAAAAGCCACCTGTACACTACCGTGTAATCACCGGATGCGTCTAGGTCCTGTAGATGGCGCGTAACACAACAGTGCTCTGTTAGCGTAACAGCAGACGCCGTAAATACTTCGCCGACTCGAGGGGCTGAGGTTATTGAAGGCGCAGGGTTCAATAGGAGAAATGCATTGACCACTATGTCTTGGATGGGCCCTGAAGCGGCGCATGAACGTTAAGGCTACCCGTGCTAGATTATTGGGGATCGGCCCTGAATCCTCGAAGTGACAGGAGCCAAGCTCACGAAATTACCCAGGCACCGACGAACAAGAGTTTGTTTCGAAACCGCTGCGGGCTGTGGGGCATCGGGCCGGACTAGAGCTCCAGAGCCGTGGGGATGCCGCTGCTCCTGATCCTTATGCTCGTTGCCCTAGGTACGTGCTCACGGTACTGTACCATGTTCCACGATGCCCGTCGGCGCGGTCCGACTTGCGGCCACGATGTCCGGACGCGGGGAACAAGAGCGAGTCGTCCAGAGCGGTGATGTTGTGTTGCAGGGTGGCAGCTCTGGGCCGCCAATCCATACGGCAGTCAGCCTAGCCACGGCGTAGCTGATGTCTCTGGCGTCTTACATGCCACTCCTAACCCACTTCGCACGCGCGCAGGCTCGCAGAGAGTGGTAGCCAGGCGGCTGGGATGTTCAGGTTACCTCAGCGTAGCAGGGCTGAGGCCCCAGGTAGGATCCTCAATCTTAGAGCGCGCAACGACAGTGCGCGACCCACGGGTGACCCAGCTCGCGGCGCGGTGCCGTTTATAACCTCTACCGCACCTCTTCCTCATTCTGTCACCACTGCACTTCTGCCTCCGCTTGTTTTCCAGTACCTTGACCATGCGGCTCAACGCCCTCACCTCCCTTGCAGCCACCGCGGCCTGCATCTTCGCCAGCCGGGCCGAGGCCGTCGCCGTCAACCCGCTACCCAAGCCACAGTCGATCACCTGGGGCAGTTCCGGGGCGAAACAGGTCGATGGCTATCTCGTCTTCAAGGCCACTCCGGGCCAGGACCAGCTTGTTCGCGATGCCTGGAACCGCGCCTCTGATACTTTCAATACTCTCAAATGGATCCCTGCTGCTACAGAAGCACCCATCTCCTCATTCGAACCATTTCCTACTGCGGCCGCTAAGCGTGGCACTTCGCCTATTCTCACCGACGTCAATGTCAAGATTTCTGATCCCAAGGCCGAATTGACCCACGGGGTTGATGAGTCTTACACCCTAGACATCACAGAGACCTCCCAAATCATCGAAATTACCTCCAAGACTGTATGGGGTGCCCTCCATGCTTTCACCACCCTGCAGCAGATTGTCATTTCTAATGGCAGAGGTGGACTCCTAGTGGAACAGCCCGTTTCGATCAAGGACTCTCCGCTGTATCCCTACCGCGGTGTCATGGTTGATACTGGACGCAACTATATCAGTCCTTCCAAGATCAAGGAGCAGATTGATGGCCTGGCCTTGTCGAAGATGAACATCCTCCACTGGCATCTTGCTGATGCGCAGTCGTGGCCTGTCCAGATGACCACCTACCCGGACATGACGAAGGATGCGTACTCGCCTCGCGAAATCTACACTCACGGAATCATCAAAGATGTTATCGCTTACGCCAACGCTCGTGGCGTGCGCGTGATGCCCGAAATCGACATGCCTGGCCACGCCTCTTCTGGCTGGAAGCAGGTTGATCCCTCTATTCTGGCTTGCACTGACTCCTGGTGGAGCAACGATGTTTGGCCCCTGCACACCGCTGTGGAGCCGAACCCCGGTCAGCTCGACCCGCTCAACAACAAGACTTACGAGGTCATTGGGAAGGTCTACAAGGAGCTTGCTGGCATCTTCCCTGACTCTTTCTTCCATGTTGGCGGTGATGAGATCCAACGTGGCTGCTACAACTTCAGCACGCTTGTTACCGACTGGTTTGCCGAAGATGCTTCAAGGACCTACAACGATCTGGTGCAGTACTGGGTCGATCATGCCGTTCCCGTGTACAACAAACAGGCCAATAAGACTCTGGTCATGTGGGAAGATATCTACAACTCGGCCGAGGGTGCTAAGAACGTTCCCAAGGACATCATTCTCCAGAGCTGGAACAACGGGATTGGAAACATCAAAAACCTTACCCGCGACGGCTACGATGTCATTGTTTCCTCTGCAGACTTCATGTACCTCGACTGCGGCTTCGGCGGCTGGATTGGCAATGATCCTCGCTACGATGTCGAGGTGAATCCCAATGCCAACGACACCACCATCCTCAACTTCAACTACGGTGGCGGCGGAGGATCCTGGTGCGCTCCCTACAAGACATGGCAGCGCATCTACGACTACGATTTCACCGAGGGTCTCACTGCAGAAGAAGCCAAGCATGTCATTGGCGCCGCTGCACCACTCTGGTCGGAGCAAGTCGACGACACGGTCATCTCGTCCAAGATGTGGCCTCGTGCCGCCGCACTCGCCGAGCTGACCTGGTCCGGAAACAAGGATGCTGCCGGCAAGAAGCGGACGACTGAGCTCACCCAGCGCATCCTGAACTTCCGCGAATACCTCGTTGCAAACGGCATTGGCGCAGCTCCTTTGATGCCCAAGTACTGCCTACAGCACCCGCATGCTTGCGACTTCTACCAAAACCAGACCGCCATCCCCGATCTGGAGGCGGCGGCGGCTTGAGCTTCTTAGCTCACTTTGGTTTCTCCTGTAAATAAATTTGCACACTGGATGAGATACGGGCGTACTGGGCGCTGAAGCATTTGATTGAGTTAGTCTGGAGGCATGGCACTGCACATACCCACATAATTGATAGGAGCTTTTTTGATACCTCAGAACCCGTCCCCACATCTTCCCTGACACTTACCGTGACATCCAAGAGTACATTTAAGATGAGGTGAACTCAGTCGCTGTCGATTATGCGTGACCGACGCGACGTCACATGCGCTAAAACAGCCTCCGCAACGCTGTTATCAGTCTCGCTTCATGTTAGCTCCCCTACCACGCCTACCTACCCTACACAACCATCCCACCCTCCCCTCCTCTCCCCTCTACAACCTCATCCAGCCACGGATGGAACCCGTCCACTTGGCTAAGCGATAGAGAGAGCTGGTTTGTGTAACGGCAGTCATGAACCCACCCCGCATACCCCGCTCTGGAGGCCATGTGCCATGTTGCTTATATTAATGTCTTGCAGAGCCGGGATTGCACGGATCTGGGCTTGGGATGGATATTAGTAAGAGCATTGACCACTTCTTGTTGCTCTATTATGTTCTTGGGGTTTTCTGCTGTTGTACTGCTGATGTGCTCATTGAACCCATTTAAAGTAGAGGGCATACATGGATGTCTTGCCGGCAGCCATCTTCTTCTTCTTCTTCAAACTCAATGTATCTGCTGCCGAGGTTTCGTTTTCGTTTCGTCGTTCCTTCTTGACTTCGTATTCCCTACTCTTCTCATGCAGTCGAAAAGACAGCACAAGTCCTCTGTTTCTTGCATGTCTGTGCCTTGACACAGCAGTACACTCTCCATCAACGCCGTAGACTGTGCGTCAGGCCAGCTATAATGTGACAAGTGAATATGGCTGAGATTCTGGATACTTCTTTATCGATTCCACGTTAATTTAGCCAAATATGGGAGCAGTCCAGGTCGCTGTCTTCCCCATGCAGAGAGAGTATGGGACATGATATAGAGTCTCATTATCGTTCCTTCCGGTAGTTTGCATACCTCGCCGCTTTTTGATATACACTGAACGTATTCGCCATATATACAATCAATATTTTCGTAATCCGTTTGGGTCGCTTTCCCCTCCTTACGATTGAGAGAAATCTCTCAGCCTTGTAGAGGCTCTCCCATACCCCCCAACGTCACCATCTTCGTAATCATATACTCCTCAATTCCAACCCTACTCCCCTCGCGTCCGAACCCAGAGAACTTCACGCCTCCAAACGGCGACGCCGGATCCGAGATCAACCCCGTATTCACGCCCACCATCCCAACCTCCAACGCCTCAGCAACGCGATAAACCCTCTGAACATCCTTGCTGAAGAAGTACCCCGCAAGCCCAACATCCGCCTCGTTGGCAAGCCTAACCACATCCGCCTCAGTCTCGAACTTGAACAGCCCAGCTACAGGCCCAAACGTCTCCTCAGACGCGAGCTTCATGTCAGACGTCATGTCGCGGATGACCGTTGGCTGGAAGAAGTTGGGGCCGAGCTCGGGAATCTTTTGCCCGCCGACGAGCACCTTTCCGCCGTGGCTGACGGCATCCTGGACGTGCTGCTCGACCTTGCCGACTGCGCGCTCGTGGATTAGAGGGCCGTGGGTGATGCCCTCTCCGTACCCGCCGCCGACCTTGAAGCTCTTCACCTTCTCCGCCAGCTTGGTCGCGAAGGAGTCGTAGATGCCGGCTTGCACATAGATGCGGTTTGCGCAGACGCATGTTTGGCCACTGGAGCGGAACTTCGAGGCGACAGCGCCGTTGACCGCGACCTCGAGATCTGCGTCCTCGAAGACGATGAAGGGCGCGTTGCCGCCGAGCTCGAAGGAGAGCTTCTTGAGGGTGTCGGCGGACTGTTTCATGAGGAGCTTGCCGACGCCTGTGGAGCCGGTGAAGGAGACCTTGCGGACAGTTTCGGAGGCTGTGATGGCGGCGCCGACTTCGGGGGTGTTGGCGAGGGCGGTCACAAAGTTGATCACGCCTTTGGGGATACCGGCGCGGTGGCCCAGCTCAGCCAGTGCGGCGGCTGTGAGGGGCGTCTCGCCGGGGGATTTGGCGACAATGGTGCAGCCGGCAGCGAGGGCTGGGCCGATTTTGCGGGTTATCATTGCAGCGGGGAAGTTCCATCTGGAGCATGTTAGTATTATAGCTCCGGATAGCACAATGCTGGAATTTGGAGATTGATCGGGGCTTCGCATACGGTGTGATCAGCCCACATACGCCGACTGGCTCCTTGATTGTGAAAACGCGGTTTCCGGGTATGCTCGCGGGTATCGTGTCTCCATACACTCTCGGTGCTTCTTCCGAGAACCACTCGAAGAAATTGGCGGCATAAGTCACCTCTCCCTTCGCATCTGCAAACGGCTTGCCATTCTCCCATGTAATAAGCTTCGCCAGATCATCCGCATTGTCCACCATCAATTGGTACCACTTCCGCAGCATCTTCGCGCGTTCGCGTCCAGTCGTTTTGCGGAAGGAAGGGAGGGCTGCTGCAGCTGCTGCAATTGCGGCTTCGGTATCGGATTTGTCCATCTCAGGCATCGTCCCGATGACTTCGCCGCTCGAGGGATCTGGACGAATTGTGAGCTTTGGTATCATTTGACGCGTGAGGGGCTGGACGTACCTGTGACCTCGAAGGTCTTCCCTGACTTTGCGTTTATCCATTCTCCGTTCACATACGTCTGCGATTTTAGCAGCGACTTGTCGTTCAGCTGGTGATTGTGTGTTAGCCCACGTTGCTAGCTCCTTTGCGCGTTCGGGTGGTAAGAATGGGGGAGAGAGAAACGCAAGTGTCTACATACTTGTGGCACATTGTGACCCATTGCGTAGGTTCTTTTGACTAATGTAGGTAATCTGGACGACTGGAACTGCGACCTGAACAACGGTTTTCCTACGGCTGCTGTTACGGACGAGATGAAGGGCCGCATCTTAAAGTGGTGGTTCAAGAAAAGTTGGTAATCGGGCGTCCAATTCGAAAGCTGCAAACCCCAAGCAGTGCTAATTAACCATACGCAATGGAGACGCTCCGCAGTGCAACACTTGGCCTTGATTAGCTGGCGGCCGGTGGGTAGGTAGAAACTTAGGGCGAAGAGGGGTTTGAAGGTGGGGTTGGAGCTCTTGAAGAAATAAATATGACGTCCCACTTCGCGCCCTCGTCGTCCAAGCACAGTTCGCTCTGGTCCTCAAGCTTTGATCGACCCGGGTATGCAATACTCCCGCATGGGCTGATACAAAAGTAATCCGATGGTCCGAAGTGGCGTCCCGGCATGCCGCATAGAGCTTCAATTTTCGGGAGCTTGCTGTTTGAATGGTGGGAATATACCGACTCTCCTGTGACAATATATCTTCACCAATAAAGTGAGGGTCACCGACGAAATTATTATCTACAGCCTCGGTGACTCGTCGATTGAGGTAAGAGAGATTCTAGATTCTCCTTGACAGATCTGCTTTGCCTATTTCGATCAAGCTTTTCCTCGCGCTCTCGCACTCATCCAAATATTCTACACAATTCGTGAAGCAGCTCAAAAGTCAAAAGTAACCTCCCTTTGTCTTGAGCCATCCTTGTTTTACTGAGATCTAATCCCAGGTAGGTTTGAACTTTGACCACCCGAACAATATCAAAGACCAGCGAAGCACGTGACTAGCTCTCCGTCGTCGACATTGTGAAGAATTTCGATCCTGTTTTCTCAACCTATCAGATGGACACGTCATGCTCAAAGTGTGAAGCATCAAAGAGACTGATGCCTCACACAATGTACAAAGTTCATTCCTTTAGTCTATATAACCGCTTCAGGTTTCAAATCAAGGTCCATTAGATGCAACTTCACCAAAGCAGTCACACACATCCTCCGATCCCGTTTCGCAGAAGCAACCACAAACCGTCCCCAAAAACTCACAAGCTCACACAACCATGAGCTCCAACACAATATTCAAAACGCACTACGCCGCGCTCGGAGTCCGCAACGACGCCTCCAAAGAGGCGATCCGTCAAGCATATCGCCGTCTAGTACTAATCTACCACCCAGACAAGCTTCGAGCAGACCTACCCGAGATGCAGAAAGCGGCCGCCGTAGCCATGTTCCGCGCGGTCCAAGAAGCCTACGAGGTCTTGAGCAACGACGAGAAGAGAGCAAAGTACGACGCAAGGAGAAGAGGAAGAGCTTCTGGCCAGGGCGACACTTTCAGCCGGGAGTACTTCAATCGTGACCCTTTCACTCGCGACCGGCCTAGTCGACCGCGCCGTGCCCGTAAGGAGTCTAAGGGGCCAGAGTATGAGCCGAAAGAGACGAGGCAGTGGTTCCACGCAACGCCTCCGGGTGAGAAGAAGCAGGAGAAACGGAAGCCGAGTGCGAGGAAAAAGCGTACTAAGGCTCCTAAGCCTCCAAAGGAGCCCAAGGTTACTCCTCAGCCAGCCCAGAAAGATGAGCCTAAGAAGAAAGGTGCGAACCCCAGTCCGTTCCCGTACGCGAGACGCGAGGCAGAGAATGCTGCTTAGACTTATCGTATTGGACAGTGACGCCTGAGAATGCTTGGTGATCACTGAAACCAGATACCGCAGGTGACATGACGGCGAAGGTGTTGTCTTCTTTTTTTCCTTGCTCTTCTAGCTTGACACATCGTTATTTCTTGGTAGGCAACGTGATAGCATAATTTCATCTGTTCCTCGCAATGTACCATCTCTTATGACCGTGAAGTTTTATATTTTGTACAGCAGCAAGACACAAGTACAGGCACATCGTTTTTGATCTCCGCTACACTCTTGAAATCTCATGGGGTTACCCCGAAAGCGTCAGCAGAAGAACGAGAAGAAGGGACGAGATACGCACCAAGTCAGATACGAATGCCTTGACGGTGGTGAAGCACATGCCGCAGCATCTCAACGGCGACGAGGTATACCGTGATAAACAGGAGAACTGCGGACGTCCCCACTTTCCAGCGAGCATTTTCGATGGAGCCCAAGGCCAAAATCACGCCGCTGTTGGCCCATCTTAACTGAATACTGTCGAACAACCATAAAGCATCCTTCCTTTTACTGGCAATCCACCCGTTGTCATGTGAGATGATGGAGACGTTTTGCACAATAAACGAACAAGCAAGAGATTCAGCACGACATGACAATCACCTATCAAACTCCTGAAAATACTTGAGATTATTACTGAAAAAGTTCCGTTGATGAAGCTTTATACGCGGAAAGAAATGGAAGTGAAATACATAGTTGCGAAGGATCTATACTACCACCTATTTCCCAATGTCCTCAAGGTGAAGACAGCGATCATAGGTGCTCCGCACCTTCCAATCTCCAGAAGGCTATAATTTGCTTCGTCCGAACGGTTGACCGTCTTATGAGATGGCATAAGATGGGAAAGAAATGGGGAAAGGAAGAGAGCCTGCTCGGGAGGAAATATCCCAGCTTAGTCAGACAAACTCTACCTCTGGAATCCAAGCCGAGGTTGATTCATGATTCAATGCCATGTCGGCAACAATATGCGATGGCATCCATCAATTCTAGTGTAGATTCCATTTTCTGTACTTTATACATACTAAATGATCACATTCCTATACAAGCAATGACAATTTGCCGTTCTGCCTTCGCCATTCCACCCTGATCGCTGCACCTCGATCTCCTCACGCTTCACCCCGCAATCCCAAGCTTCCACAATCTCTATACTTTCACTATGAGCAAGCGCGTAGACAGAAGTTCCGGCCGTGGTGGTAGCCGTGGGAGCTCTGTAATTCTGGGTGATTCGCCCTTGGAGCGTGCGAACCGCTTCTTCGAACTCGCAAGCGTGGAAGGCTACGATGTATGCGCATTCAATTCCTTACCAACACCGCTTCAATCACAGTCCCAATTCTTAAGCACGTTCCTATTCGCCTTTCAACTACCCTTTCAACGTCTCTACCAAGCTTTCAAAAACCTCTAGCTAATTCAACCCCAGGGCCACGACGCCTCCCTCCCCCACCACCTCTCCCTCCTAGAAGCCACCTTCGCACCCACCCCCGCCCATCCCCATCTCGCCCGAACCAAGTTCCTCCTCACAGTACCTTATACCTTATGTAATATGTCAGGAAGCCTTCACGGCGGAGCGGTTGCTCTCATCTTCGACATCTGCACCTCCGTCACAATCTCCATCTGCGCGAAAGAAGGGTTCTGGGATAGCGGACACGTTTCGCGGACGCTGAACTGCACATACTTACGTCCGGCGGCCGAGGGCATGAAAGTAGTTGTCGAGAGCGAAGTTGTACATCTCGGGCGGCGGATGGGCGTGGTTACAGGCGTGATAAGGGGTGCGACGGCGGAAGAAGGAGGGGATGAGGCCGGGGGAAGTGCGGGGAAGGTATTTTATACGTGTGAGCATGGGAAAGCGTGTCTAGAGGCGAGTTCGAGGATGTAGAGTCAGGGCTTGTATTAGGAGTTCAGGAGCTATGGTGGAGATTTAAGGAGCTTTTGTGGTATTTGTGCGATAGATCTACTAACGCAATACATGGTGTGGTATATAATGTATCTAAACGAGCGTAAATGGCCAGAAAATGTTGCGACTCCAGCTTGAGATTTGTTAAAGTGCAACCCCTCAGACGCCATGGGAAAATAAAACACGGGTAAAGAAGTTCGAAGTAGAAGCGAATAACATAGCAACCCCAATCCGTCGAGGAGATACGGATAGAAACCGTCAGAATGTATCTTCAATGAAATGGAATGTACGCAGGTGGCTGCGTGGGGATGGGCCAATTTCCAGAGCTGGCCCAAGTTGGCCTGTCTGTCACTTGGGTATAGACTGAATCGGAGCCCGTTATAGGATAGCATGGAACGATACTAATCACCGTGATGTTAGAGAAGGATAAAGCTTGAGACCTTTGGGATGGCTTACGTTTGCTCAGGCCAAGGCAAGAATTCACCGTGGTCAAATTTGTGGTGAGTGGGATGAGGTCCATGATCGGAGATCGTGGACCAGCAGTATGGTTTATTCCACCCACCAGGCCCGTCTGTTGGATAAGTAACGCGGTGAGGAGCCTTCTCTTTGGGATGAGGGCCGCTTGAAAATTAGCGTCGGTGACGGACATTGCAGTGGGTTGGAACTAACCCTCTATGTGGTGTTATACATGTCAGTGGTGGAGCTGAGGCTGTCACAGAGGCACAGTTTGGTGGTTGGTGGCTGGAGAAAAGTGAGCGTTCCATGAACTTTCAGAACGAGTAAAGGAAGTACGAACGGGAACCCGCCAGTCGGCTTGTGGTGATGTTTATGCCATGCTGGAGTTTTAGGCACCAGTGTCGTCGTTGATTCTTTTTCAGGACCATGCCAGTGCTTCCATGGCGCTGCCTCCGAGAAACCGGCAAGTAGAAGGAACAAGACCGGAACTGTGCCAAGGTGCATTTCGATGTTAAGTTAATGGGAAAACGATGATGACAGCTAAAGAGACTATGTGGGAGAGATGGTTGAGTATATTGGGGCATCGAAGGGATGGTTGAGTGAGTGTCTAGTGGAAAGAATTGTGGAATTTATATCTAACGCAACCAGCCATACTCCGGGGCATGGGATCTACATTTGGATCAAGTTCTCCGGGAGCGCTTGCAAGGTACAAGGAGCCACGTTTCGGAGAGATCAGTCATTGGACTCGAAGGGCTTACATCCTTGATCTGTTTCGTAGTCTAGTAAGTCGGGGCGGATAGGGCTTGAAGCCACTCGCATTACGAGACGACACCAGAAAATGAAGTCTCAGGAAGAAGCATAATCATACCCACTTAACCAGGACAGCTCTATGTGAGAATACTCCCAGCAGTAGGGAAAAGCAATTGAATTGCTATTTGTCCAGCAGAAACAATCACTATGAAAGAGATATGATTAGAACAGTTCGTCATGCGATGAGGATGTCTGGCGCTGTCGAAGCCGAGGATCCTGATCTTGAAACGAAGAGAACCGTTAGCACGGCCTCTTTAGGCTTTTCTTGGACAAAGGTGCTTGAAAACTGTGGGAACGTCGAAGGGTGTGGTGCTCTGGTACCTCTGGGGCTGATGGCAGCGATCAGGCATCTCGGGGCGTTCCGCGCGGCTGTGTTGGTTGAAGCGCATTGGAGATCGCGGAACGCGAGGTTCAGCGCCTTTTTCCTCTTTCAAGATCAGGCTCTGACAAGAGCCTTCAGCTGGGACGATCAACTGCAGATACGGTTTCAACATAATGCGAAAGATGCCGCAGTACGAAAAGAGGATTGATTAGTATTCCCTTGATAGAAATATCAGTTTTGGAGCCCCCACAAAGCGAGACTATTTGAAAACGCCACCACTCCTACCATTCTGCGGCCTCTGAGTATTCTTAGCTTGGTGGAGAATCCCAAAAGACATTCCCGATTGTCACCACAACTAATACTCCCAACGTTTCAACTCACTTTGCCGGGTTGCGTCTGAAAGCCATCTCAAAGTTAGGGTCAGCGTTTGGGGATATATGAGAAAGATGACGGAATGATCAGCTAGAATGCGGCTGTGAGGGCCATGATAGATTGTGGAGGATGAAGATGCTGTAGCAGAATGGGGCTGCGGTAGTGACGAGTCAAGGTTCTTGGTTGTTGTGAACAGGCCTTACCCACTTGCGGTCTGAGCTTCGGTTCTATTCATGTTACGGCCCCTGGACGCCTCAACACTACTCAACGCCTATGCGTCAACTCGGATCGTCAGGGTATCCATCAAAGCTAGATGCGTCTTTATTTACATTAACTTCTACTAGACATGTATCAAGGCACACTCGGCGGCGGTGAAAGAGTGAAACATCTGGGACTAATGTCCTCCGCTCATCATGATACTGCATCTACAAGCGGAAGTTGGTGGAGGATTCCATCAAGGCAGCCTCCAGGTAGAGATCTACAAGCTCCTTCTTTACCAAAGCTTACTTGTGGATGAGTTTCGGGAATGTATGAAGAGATTACCAGCAATGCTTCCCACAATATGCTAAGCACCCACTATCCTTTTCAATCTCTCTCGATCATCTTCGTTAACATCCTTGGCATGAACGAGAAAACCACTGTCATGAAAACGTTTGCCTCAAATGGTTAATGCATCATGGTGTACTCGAACATTTGATGAGTAAGACGTCAGAAGTATGTGGTCTAGGGTTGCTATCTCAGTCCTTACCCGAGAGCAGTACTGTCTTGATCACATTCACTTCGAACTGATCAAGCTCTCGACATGCTCTCGAAATAATGACCTGGATGCACTGGAACCTGTTGGTGTTCACTTGTCTCTACTAGCAAGATTGTAGGGTGCGAGATTGGAAGGCTGGATAGCAAATTGACGTGCGAAAGATGACTTCCAGCCTGGGAACAAACGCTAATTATTTGTATGTATCTACTAGTACATGATACAGTGGTCGCTAATTACGTCTAGTTCCAGAATCGCCGCCTATGAAATAAATAGTCCTGTGCCGACCTGTATATTACTGACATTGGACCATACATAACTCAGAACCCAGCACCCCATCGAAACCTGGACTCTAATAGTACCCATCAGCATATCTTCATGGCATACCTAGGATACCTCTCTATTACCCTAACGGGCCCTGAACGATAATGACGACGATGCTCATCTTAATACCGCAGCGTTGGTGCTGACTTGCACCTTCCGCCCTGACATGGCTGTCATTTCGAGACAGCGCACACCTATGACACCTCGCTTAAATTCAATCATAGCGTTTGTACACTCCAGAAGGTGGAAGTCAACTCGAATGCTCCGCAGGGCGGGAAATTCTCCGAAATGCGTAACCTCCACGAGCGAGTCTACAGAATCAAAGAAATCCCAGCCCTTGGGCGTCTCGGGGCAACCTGTGATTGCTAACTCCTCCAACCGTTGAGGCAGCAAAAGGTACCATTCGGGGTCATCCTTGGCGGGGTCCACATCAGGAGAGAACCTGGAGCTGAAGGAAAAGCTGAAAGCCTTCAACTGTAGCATCTTGCTCAGGTCCCGCTCTTGAGCTTCCTCCCACAGATTGCAGTCCACGAGTGTCAACTTTTCGAGGTTTGGCGCATACGCAGACACAGCTTCCCAGATGTTAGGAGACCTCTCGTACTTTCCAGGAGTCCTCAATTTCAGATTGTGAAGACCGCCGCCACACGACTTTAGAAAGCTCTCGAAGTCGTGATGTTCGAGGTTGACAAACGACAGGTCCAGTGCTCGTAAGCCGCAATGCTTCGTCTCCTCCGCGTCCAGCAAGAAAGAAGGGCCGCCCGCCCAGTATCGGAATTCTGGGAAAAGAGTCGACATCGTGAGTTCACCTAGCGAAGGAATATGTATCCATGGATTGGGGCACAGGTCCACCATACGATAGTTCGGCACCTCAGCTTGTCGGAGATTCGCCAAAAGTCTCCGCTCACCTGCCATGCGCTTCGACATTGCTGCAGCCCCGGCTACTAGAGGGACATACTTTGGAAATCGAAGCGATAGGTGATGGCTTGTGATCCAGTACTTCCCCTCGCATTGCTCGGCGATCTTAATGGTCTGGAGGTTGTTGCCTAGCACTAAGACCAATGCGATAGCCGCATCCCAATCAAACTCAAGGATGGCTTTAGTCCAGCACTTCATGATCTCGTCGTTAGTATTTCGGTTTTCGTGGACCATTATTCCCGGCATCAGGTCCTTTAGATGCCGCATCATCTCTGAAGACGGACGTTCAACAGTACAGTCATAGTAGTCCTTCCACTCAGTATTTATTCCGTCATCCGAGACATCTATTTCGAGAGTTCCATGAGTTTCAAGCTCAAAGATACGGATACTTGAAGCCAGGTTAGGCTGCTTCACCATGGTCTCGAGCAAGCCCATCAGTCTGTTCCATGTCTCCTGCTCCCAGTCTATACAAGGCCGCTCGCCGCCGGGATGTGAGCATTTGCTGAAGGCTATCGAACGGTAGAGGACTTGTTCAACAGTGGAATGCAGCTTCTTCGAAGATATGGAGATTGCTGCTAAGTCCATGATAGGGAGATAATCGAAGATCATTTGCTGCAACTCCGTCGGTAATCCTTCCATTAAAGCCATTGAGAATGTTCGGATAGCGAAAACTGGTAGCAAGCTGGCTGTATGGTTGTACAAGACTTTTTTGATGGTATTATGTGGCTAGTGGTGGGTGGTGGGGAGCTTCGGGTAAGTGGTTGTAGTACACCTTGAGAGTCTAATGCTGAGAACCTATAAAGACTATGGGCGAGAGATCGATTCGGGAGAAGTGAACTTATCGCTTTTCTAATTCTGCCCGGACATCAAGCAGCCTGAGAACGATGCTCAGGTTTGGCCGTGAATTCTTAGAGCCACGTACTATACTTTCACTTCACATTTTATTTACACCAAGCTTCACTACAGGCTTCCCACTACATGGATAGCCTCTCGATCTCTGCTGCTGATCCACAAGCTTGAGAGTCACCACCACACGACCTACCTAACCCACCACCCACCAAGTTGGCTGAGCGGCGAGGGCTACGGCAGGCGCACGGCACCTCTTTCTAGCCTCACCTTCCTCTAGACTTCTCTTTTCCCTGTACATCCTCATCATCTTCATCCAACACAGCACTTACAACGTCTTCTAATCTCTTGTTACGTGACAGTGACAGTAACTTCAAGCATCGTCAAGCTCCATGCTATTACACATACCGACCCTCCTTTCGGGTGCTTATATAGCCCCTACAGTACCTCAAACCAATATGCCGGAACCAGAGGAGCTGGAAGTGTTAGAGAAACTGGAGGTGCTAGAAGGCTCTAGAGCCTCAACTATCCTGCCAATACGACAGGCCGAGCCATCACCACCCGCTCCGCTTTTGTCACTGCCAAACGAGCTTCTTCTCCAAATAGCTGAAAGTGCGCCAAGAGCCGATCTCGTCAACCTATCCATGGTATCGAAGCGGATGAATACGATCGGAAGTGAAATACTGTACCAAGATGTCCCTTTCACATCTTCTGAGGACGATAGACTAAGAATGGCGAAGCTCATCTATGTCCTCAACAGATATCCCGACCTCGCCAATCTTGTCAAATCAGTCACGTACATGGATCTTCGATCTCAGAAAGACCCTAGTATTCATCCACGCAATCGCGACCCTGATCAATGGCGAGACTTGGAGGAGGTTGGCCTTGAGATCGGACAAGCACTCCTCGATGTAGCCATGTCAGCCAAGCTACCTTTCGATTGGGTCTTCTGCACATGGACCTTCAGCTCGGCAAAGGGTCCTTATGGCTACTCTCAGACTAATTCGTGGATCAAGGCCATACGCATAGGCAGCCGCGACGCTGTTCTGGCAGCTTTGCTCTCGATGGTCCCGAATATCTCAAAACTCAAGGTCCACTTCGCGCAACACGAGTCGACGAGGTGGGCCAGTGCGCTCGCTCAAGCTGCTATTCTTGCCACGCGGACTCCATGGGTTTTCGACGAAACGGAGGGCCTTTGCGAGCCTCTCCGACAAACGTTCTCGAAACTCAAGGAGGTTGATGTTTTCGGACCTCAGTACTTGAACCACGACTTATCGGATAGTTCCTGGATGTCTCTGCCGTCAGTGAAGCATATCCGGCGGGCGGGGTTTCGCCGTGACGAGATGTATATGCCCATCGCGATATCCAATGCGGACATTGACCTCTCTGGAATACAGATCTTACGGCTATCCGACAATGGCGACGCTTCCATGTCCCGTGGGTTTGGCAAGGCGCTGTCAACCTGCAAGAAACTCTGCGCTTTACACATCTCGGAAAGCGGCACACTCAATAGGCGCTTTATCCAGGCCCTCAAGACGCAGAACCGCTCCCTCGAAACCCTCGTCATTGATGGTCGCAAAAAGAGCGGAGGTACGATTCGCCAAACCCAGCGACCAATTGGCTCCTTGGCTAGCTTCCGTTACTTGAAGTACCTCGAGATTGCCACGGCGATGCTCTGGGGACATGACTTCAGCGTCGAGGATTTGCCGGAACTGCTCCCGCGTTGCCTCGAGGAGCTAGTTGTTACAGACCTCTGGGCCAATGCAAATTGGAAGATGGCTGAGATACGCGTTCGTCAGATTTTGGAGAGCGTCCGCGCAGGGCATCTTCCCGTGCTCCGGAAGTTCACGATTCGCCACCCTCCTAACGATGAAGTCCTGCTGGTCGAAGACATTCAGGAGTTGGAGTTTGCTGGCAGTTTGAAGCAGAAAAAGCTTGCAGCAGGTTTTCATGACGTTCACGTTGATTTCCAGGTCATTCGGCCAGCGTAGAATCGTCAGGCAACGCCGCCTGCACTCGATCGGAGATACATCGCGATACAAGAAGGCGAAAAGTCGACAGAATTTCTAGTTCAAGTTTCAGTAGATGCTCTCTTGAAAGGCCCAAGGCTTCATACGTTACCTTTGCCTATCAATATCGTGCTGAATACCTTCTGAAGCATTTACACGTGTTGGATTGGTCACGTGGATTTTGGACGAATTGGGCATTTCACTCACTATAGATAAAATTGTTACTACCGTAAAAGAGCTACTCAGAGCCACTATTGCAATGTCTCGTCATAGACGTGCTTACACCTCCCCGCCACTGCATGTGGTGCCTCATGCTATTGTCAAAATTCTGAATTAGAAAAAATTCTGGCATCTGGACGAATGATAAATTTGCTAGGCCATCCTAGATAGTGGTAGAGGGGTGTACATAGATCGGAAGTTTATATCATCACCGTAGGTTCTCAATGAACTGCTGGCTCGACGTTTGAAGTGCAGTTGACTGGGAGCATGACGTGAGTCCGACAGGTTTTAACCTCACCTCCTACTTGCCAAACTCTCCGGTCTTAACAGCATTTGCTACCTCTCGAGCCTACCTTCCTCGATGTCAGGGAAGAGCAGGGGAGGCGCATAGCACCTCTTGTATGCAGCCTCGCCTTCCCCCAGACCTCTCCTTCTCCTCTACATCGTCATCGTCATCATCGGCCACAGCACGTACAACGTCTATTCGCTACCGTTACGTGAGTTTTCGTTCTTACCAATATCGGGCCCCTCTTCATCACCACTCTATCACTAGGACGCCCATCTGCGTACACCGTCCCACCGCCGTCTGAGGTCCTTCAACCCACCAACCCAAATCGTAAGTCCATCCCCATTCCCCCCGCTCCAACCTATTGAAGCCACTCAGCCATCACCATTCCGTCTCAAAGACCGCTATCATGTCTTTCGATGTCCTCCCCAACGAGCTTCACGACGAGGTTGCCGAGTACCTCACGGCTGCGGAGTGCTTGAATCTCAAGTGTACGTCGAAGTTCCAATGTGGACGGGCCGGCATGGGACTTAACGAAAAGATACATATCTACAAGAGCAGTGCCCAGGCACTCAGCAAGCTGGTTTACAAACTCTTGTTTGATCCACGCCTTGCAGCGCGCATCAAAACAGTCACACTCCTCGAAGACACGGATCAGCGCCCGGCGGAAATCGCGTTCTTATTCCGCCCGGCGAGAGATGCGTTCTTACTCCTGATCGACAACGATGTGGAGGTCACCCCCACAAGTAAGGAGACGGTGTGGCGTCAATTCTCTCACTCCTATTTCAAGTCCAGCCTTGGAGAATACGCGCATGCGTCTACACTTGACGGGTCTGTCGTCCACATGGAATGGATGCGTGGCATCCTGAGGGCTGAATGGGATTTCATGGTAGGATTCGTACTGGGAGTCGCGTACGAAGTAAAGGATATTCGATTGCGACTAACCGAGGCGGGACCCCTCACGCAGTTGTTCCTTTGCGCGGATGGTCCCAACACTCCGAAGCTCAAGCATCTCCATCCGTGTCTTGGGTCTATCAAACACTTCGAAGTGGAATTCGCCGGCTCTAATCTCCGTTACTCGGCCCCTGGTGTCCATTACGAGATCCCATGGATCCGGCAGAATGTACTGCCCATTCCAGCACAGGACTCCCTCCAAACGTTGAAGTGCACGAATGTGTCGTCGGAATACCTCCACCCATTCCGCATGGCCAAACTCAAGTTCATGGAAATGTCTAACACGAGTTGGGGTCGTCGATATCGGGATCTCGACTCAAATGCACAAAGTATCGCCCGCCTGGAGTCCGTAACGGTCTATGAGAACGATCCCATAGCATTTAACCTCCGGCAATTGGCCAATCTCTCCGACGGATTGAGCGAAGCGCGGAACCTCCGTTTTCTGGATCTCCAAGTGTCATTTATCTACGAGCGCGAATACTTGCATCGCGGGATCGTGTCGCTAGTCCGCTTCGGAAAATTACAAACTCTGCGATTGTCCATGCAAATATTCTTCTCCCGCCCGGCCTTGCCTGCGAATCTCCAAGATACCCTTCCGAGGTCCATCATCGAGGTCGAGGTTTACGTTCGGAACAATCAGCCACTTTGGAAGCATATCCGCGAGGCCATGAAGATGGCGAGGGAGTGCTATGATGCCGGCAAATATCCTCATCTGAACTCCATTACCATGATTTTCGTGGATAAGTATGAAGGGAGCGAGGCGTTTGTTCAAATGGAGAAAGACCTTCGTCTGATTCTAAAAGACTGGGGCAGTAGAATCGATTTCAAGGCTATTAGGAGAGTCACCGGCCAGACGGATGAAGTTGACATACTGGAGGAATACCGAGCCATTCTTCAGACTAATTAGGGATAACTTGGCGATACGGTACGATCGCCTTTTTCTTTCTTTCATTCGTAGCGTTTATGGGAACACACTTTTCATACTCTGCTTCAACTTTATCGTGATAGACTGTGACTCTGTGTACACTCGTTTGCCACTGTTTGGGGTACCCCCGTGGGCTTTTAAAACTCTACACCCTTGTCAACTTTTCTGCAGCAGAATCTGAGCTGCCTCTTGACTAACCGGCTTCCTTGCAACGAGCTGCACCCCGACAATGGTGTATAGCTTCTACAATGCCTCGACATAGGAATCCGCACACTCGTTTACCGCTGCATGAGTAGCTTCACAAGTATTTTCAGCATTCCGAATAAGAGAGAAGCTCGGCATTTTGGACGACTAGTAAACTCACAAGGCCACCCCAGACAGCGTCAGCAGGGCGTACGCAGATTAAAAGTGTATCTAGTTTCTATTAGTACGTTGAAATCCCCATAGACAGTGGCAGGAAGGTGTGCGGATATCTATGCGAAGGCATTGCAACCGGTCCAAAAGCCCACCTCTGGCCTCTGCATCCCCCGTCAGCATCGGCATAAACACAGCCGCCCCCTTCCCTCCCTACCCTCTCTCTCTCTCCATGACCACTTTTCAATCTCTGACTCCTACCTACCTACCTTCCCCTCACCCCCATCCACTCCAGGCCTCGCCGCGCAAGCGTGCCAAAAACACAACATCTCTACCCACCTCCGCTCCATCGGCCACCGTAGCCGTCGCCACAAATCCCTACAAACTAAGCTCGCCGAAGGGAAAGTACAAGACTTCTCACCCCAACCACCCACCTAAGAAGAAACGAAAAGCTATGTAAATAAAGGGGATAAACCCCGGAAAGAGGAGGTAATAGGGGATAGGGCATGGGGGGAATCCGGGAAGTGTGAAGAGACTCAGAAATGTGAGAAAAGAGAGGGAAACGGATTTGATGTGCAGTCCAGGGACTATACCTCCGCAAAGGGCGTCGGGCGGCAATTCAATAACAGACATACCCACTTTACCTATTCGCCTCGTGGAGAGAAAGTGCAACACTGGGCTTACCGCTGCTAGGGGTGCCCCCGTGGTCCTTTCAAAGTCCTGGTACTAATGTCTTGTTCAAATGGGGTTGGTTATCAGGCAGCCTCTCGGCTGACCAGCTACCTGTCATGAGGGGGGCCACACTCACACATCTTGCCGTCGGAAAAGCTGTTGTGGTATAGAATATACAATTGGAACTCGATCTAGCACAGCCCCTGGTCAGACAAGGCAGGGCAGGCAACAAAAACAGCAGCAAAACAAGAGTCTTTGAAGTTAATAAACCATCGTTCCATTTTCAACTGAAAGCACAACAGACTTCCCCCCCGTCATGATTTCTCTTCGCCTGGCGAGTTCTCAGAACACGGGAAGCAAAGCTAAGAGGGGGGCCTCAAAAGACAATTCGAGCAACCAGTTAATTCGTAGTTAATTCCCCGTCCCTTTATCTCTCATAACAGAAACAAGTTGTCGAAAAGGAGAAAGAAAAGGAGGGCAACAAAACACACACAGATGAGCCAAGAGAGTCTTTCTCGCCTTCGTCATCGTAAAGTTCGTGAAACCGTTCTTTTCGCGGGCTTGGATGACAAATCGCACTTGACAGACAGTGAAGGTATGGGTGAGCGTTAAACATGCAGCCGAGCTCGAGGGTCGGGGGTCGAGGGTCGAGTAATCCAGTGTCTGCCGAAGGAAGGTGGGGAATGATATTGGCGGGGTGACGCGGATATTTCGAAGCTCATCCTATGGCGACGATCGGAGGTGGCGCTTAATAACGATGTGGGTATGTCTATCGACGCCCGAACCTGCTGCACGAGGAGTTCGTAATTGTTTTATCTGCTATAGTGTGCTACTTCTTCTGCTTTTGCTTTCGAGGAGGAGTGACGGGTCGGTTACTACCAAGACCACCGTAGACGTACTTTTGTTTTTTCTCCGCGGGCTTGAGGATCTGTGGGCGAGGAAGTTAGTGTATGTTCAATTGGCTGTATTTGAATTTGAATAAAGGAGTGACTAACCTGGAAGGAGCAGAGCAGACTCTCGTCCACGCTCATCATTGCACCCGCATTGTCGAATTCGCCACAATAGTTCGGAGCGCTGAAGAGCGTCACGAGCTGCCTCTTCGAGAAGAATTCGTATCCATCTTCGACGACTTGATGGGCACGGCAGATAAGGTCCATGTCATGTTTTTGAAGGAAGCGGGAGACGACGTCGGGGCCGAAGGTGAAGGAGACACCTCTGTCGTTCTCGCTCCAGCCGGTAATGTCCTTGTCAGGATCCGACCAGAGGAGATCACAGAGCAAGCCGCAATCCGGGATCTAGGCGAGTCAGCAGATCGTGGAGATACTCCTCCAAACCTGAAGTACAGGCCAGAGGAATAGGGGAGGGAAGGGAAAACTTACATCGGTGGGTCTCATGACACGACGAATCTGCTCCATGGAATTGAGATCTGGGCTCAGACCTCCATGCATGGTGAAGATCTTTTCATCAATGATGGCAGCGATTGGGAGGCAGTTGAAGCAGTCTGTGAAGGTCTTCCATAGCTTGATGTTGTATCGGCGCTTGCACTCATCGTAGAAGCCGTAGATGCGGTTGATCGAGGCGCATTCGTGGTTACCGCGGAGGATGAAGAAATTTTCCGGGTACTTGATCTTGTACGCGAGAAGCAGGCAGATGGTCTCGAGAGACTGCTTGCCTCTATCCACGTAGTCGCCAAGGAAGAGGTAGTTTGCTTCCGGCGGGAACCCGCCATATTCGAACAGACGGAGGAGGTCATAGTACTGGCCGTGTATATCGCCACAGATCTATTGGAGGCGCATGTCAGCTTCATGTTAAGGGAATGGCGTGCTACTGCAAATCCTTCGCCACAGCGTGTGGCAGAAGTCCTACTGACCTTTATCGGGGCCTCTAGCTCCAAGAGTATGGGCTGCGAGATGAAGATTTCTCGGGCCTTGGTGCACAGATATCGGATCTCGGTCTCCAGGAGCTGCACTTGCTTTCCAGGTCTGCTTCCTCTCACCTCCAGGAGCCTGTCTATGATGGAGTCCAAGTCCACCTCGTTTTCCGCCATCGCTGGGGCTTGCTGATGGCTGTTGCGGGTAAGTATGAGGAAACGAGGGGTCCTCGCGGGGGGTCAAGAGGCGGGGTGGTGAGATTGCGCTGCGATGGAAGTGTGGTGTGTGCCGCCTGGTGGATTGGAGAAGAGGTTAGCAATCGCGTCGGGAGCTCTTTTGATGACGCAGATGGTGAGGGAGCCTGGTGATAGGGCAACATGCGGGGAAGAGTGAATGAAAAGACACGTCGTGCTCTCTCTAACTCACCTCTGGTGCTTTGGAATATGCAGAACTCTAGATAGGCTGTGGACAGCGATGCCGTCGAGTGCAGAGAATTGGCTCGAAGCCCCTCAGAAGACGCCAAACGGCGGTGCCGGAACCACGCGACTTGGCGGAAGCGTGCAGCACGGAAGACTTAGCAGCGAGCTTGTGGGAACGTGTGTGTGCGGCAGCCCTGTGGATAGCGGCGGGCAGGCTGGCGTTGGTGGTGGTGGGGAGGCGTTGTTGTGACCGGAGCGAGAGTCGAGGTTCTCACGGGGTGGGATGCGCTTTCACCGCTACAGCGGGCTACGGGAGGCTGCGGTGCGGAAAATCGCAGCGGACGGGGCAGCAGCAAGACCAGCGGAGCCGGACGGAGCTTGTTACGGGCAGCGGGCGTTGGGTGTGGGTGTTGAGGCGGGCGGCGGCTGATGTTGGGCAGAGGTCGAGTTTGCGTTTCAGAGCGAGGACGACGAGCCTCTCTCGTTTAGGAAGTGTGCGATTTCGAGTCCGGGAGGAATGTGCCGACGCCGATGCAATTTGCGGCAGCGGAGGGCGAAAATGCTACGAGGTCGAGGGCGGCAGGGCAGCAGGAGGGCAGCGAGGACAGCGGAAAAGTCGTCGGCGGTGCTGTGAAGGGATGGGAGAGATCGCAGCCGGCACAGACAGCGCCGCCAGAAGAGACCGACCCTCGCCCGCCCCCCAGTCAATGACAAACGGCCGTCGAGCTGGCGCTAAGGAGCCCTATACAAGAGCTGCACCGCCAGCTCAAACCACGGCCGGCACCTCTTCGTCTTACGCGTCCTGGGCTCGCGGCGTGGCGCCGCTATGTGCTGAACAAAGCCCCTGTGTCCATATGCGTGCACACATCCACATGTACACTGGAACTGCGGACCTCATGAATGCCACGCTGTGTCGCCTCAGCTCCAGCGCGCAAGGCCAGACCCTCGTCCGCATGATCCGCTTCGAGATCCGCTTCGAGGACCCCTTCAGGCATCAACTAGGTAGCTAAAATTAAGCCCACGCACACGCCTTATGCGGCTCTGGCTCCCGGTCGGCTGCTTTGGGCTGCATTCGCGCTGGAAAACCCGCCGCCATCGTGCTCGCCACCGAGCTCGCCACCGAGGGGCCACAGCGGTTTCATAGGGCGGCGTTGCGACCAGATCACGTGCCGGGTGACATCATATCAGAGTTTCACGGTGAAAAGCATAGTGGAACATTGGGAGAACCCCCTCCTCGATTCGGACAGACACAAGCTGGAACCAGGGCGCCCAGTCCCAGTCCGAACGCGCAGCTAAATATGCACTCCAAGAAGCCTGCCAGCTTCTTTCTCCACGGAAACCCCCCGCACATTCGCTCGTCTGGAAATCATCTTGCTGAATCGCTGCAGAACACATACGAGAACCCAACCCATATCATACAACCGTGCGAACCGCATCGACCAGGAAAGAATACAAGCAAACAGAGCAGACATGCTAATAAGAAGCCCTCCAGCACCAAGCAAATGCAAGCAATGCAACCGTTTTAGAGCAAAACTAGGCGCAGAACCGGCAGAGAATGAAACATCAACATCTGCAAACAGAAATTAGGATACAGCGAGCGGTAAGCCTCGGCGCTCGAGCTCAACAGGAACCCCAACGCCGTGCATAATGATCTACAAAAAGCATGCATGCATAAATTCATTGCCGTGAACGAGAGGAGAACAGACCGCGCAGAGACTGGCAGAGAAAGGGGAGATAAAAAGCGCTTTCGAGGTCGCCCACTAACATGACGCGGCTGGTCGTAGGTCTGAACCACCTTTTGGTAGGGTCTTCTTCGACCATTTCCAACTGAATGCAAGCGAGGATGAGGGAAAGGGTCTGCAGGAACAACTTGAGGTAAAGGGGCCGATCTTTGCGCCAGACAAGGTAGATCCTGTACCACGTTATTGGGAGTAATGGGGCCATTCTCGACAATCGTGCGGTGTCGGTGGTGTCACAAGAACCTCAGGTACTCATTGCCCATGAAGAGTACTGCGTGTTCGAAGAAGAATATGGCCTCAGCCGAGCGTTCGCCCTCCTGACACGATGCCTTGGCTGGGCGTCCGTGTCAGAGACGGCTTGAGCGGAGGTGAGAAGCCCCGCTCGGGGAAGCTGCCCACCGTTTGAGAGTCCCACGACTCATCCCCAAGGGCACTCAGCCACGTGCTTCCGAAGTCCTGCCGCAAAGCTTCGATTTTCTTTTTGTAGAGGTCGCTGCTAACGTCAAACTCCACTGCAGAGTCTTTAGGGTGGGTAGCTAGGGCGGTGTTTATGAGAGGGAGCTGCTCATGGTCGGGGTGGGTGTGTACGGTAGTCAAAGCTTCAGATGCTGTGTGAGCGGTATGTAGCTGTGGCTTGACCGGGCTGGTGTATAGATCTTCAGGTGGCGGAACTGATAAAGCTGCAGATTGTGCATGCTCGCTTTGCGATAGCTCCACTATCCGCCGCTTTGGTTTGCGTCGCCTTTGCGACCCGGCTCCACCAGTCCCATAGTCGCTTCTCGAACGGTGGTGTGATCTCGCCGATTGAGTCTGGGCTTCGATATTACCCTGTCCGGGAACATCCGCAAAGGCCGGGCGCGGCTTGGGCGGAGGAGGCGGAGGTGCACTCACGTCATCCTCTGGAGGTGGTTTCATGACTGGAACATTGGGACGTTCTGGGGCCCTATCAACCAGCTGCTTGCGTTCGCTGTAGCCTGGCCCAGTCGTGTCAATGACAATATCCTCAGCATACCCGGGCGTTTTTCGGAACAAGTTGAAGATTGTAACACGATAGTTGCTGTGTGTTTTGCAGAACGGGTTACGACCGACGTAGATCTCCTGTATTTCTGGAATGCCTGTCAGACGAGCGACTTCGGTTGGATCTGTTAGCTTGTTATCACGCAAGTCAACACGCTCCAAAGACAGCAGTCGCTCTACGCCGGCAAGCGAGATCAGACGGTTGGAACGGAGGTTCAGTGTAGTAATAGCCGGCAGCGGACTTCTTCCCAATGAGTGCAACGACTCGATCATGCAGTTTGAAAGATTTAGCGCACGGAGAGATGTCAATGAGGCCAAACTGTCAGGTATCTCTGTAAAAAGATTTGCTGAAAGATCAAAAGACTGCAAAGTATTGGCCAGTGGAGCCAGACTTGCTGTTGATATGTTGGTCAAGGCATTGTCAGCAAGACTCAGATGCCTCAAGAATCTCCACTTGGTTGACGGGAACCACGGCGTGGACAACAGATTGGATGTGCTATTGCGAGGAGTCGCTGACTGAATGCTAGAGCCCGAGCTTCCAGATGAACGTCGGATATTCCCCGTACTATTCCTGCCGTACACATTGGTCGAGCCATGCCTGGAGCTGTGAGGTCGCGTGGGTGAGGCACTCCGTTGCCGGGGGCGGGCTTTGGACTTTGATTCACTAGATCCACTCCGCGCCATGGGCACGCTTTGGGGGCTATTTAGACCAAGTCTGTCGCCTGGCGAAGCCGGTGGTGTTTGCGACCTCGCAATATCAACATTCTTGGTAGCAGTGCCAGGGGTAGTCCACGGCGTGACGGGTGACGGTGGAGCCTTGGCAGACCTTTTCCTTCGTTTGTCCATATCGTCCAGGACAACGTTAATCAGCAAATCAGTTGGGTCGTCCACTCCGGCTCTTTTGACAGTGAGGCTCCGTAGTTGCTCGGCTAGTCGGTCCCAACCATAGAACTGGCGGAAGTCTACGTCGTAGATCTCAAGGGCACTCAGGTTCTTGAATGCAAACAGAGGAACGGCACTATCAAAAGGGAATTCCTCGTATCCTGCGATGAGGCGGGCTTTGTGGTCGGGCGCCAGCCGTAAGCACGGAATCTTGGTAAAGGCAGAATAGAGGTATTTGAGGTCCTCTTGAATAGCAGCCTTCTGCTTTTCTGCCTTGGCTGCACTGTTGGAAGCAAGGCCAAGCGTAGACCATAGCGAAGACATTCCTGACATTACACTGCGTATGCTGGACACGGAGTGCATTGAGTCACGATCGGATGCCCTGCTTTTATTCCTTTGTGCCTTGCTCAAGAACGAGACATAATTTGTTGACTCGGAGTGTATGTTTTCCAACCTAATATTCATCGGTCCCACAGGTATCGACATCTCCTCGAAGCGGGAGAGGAGGTAGAAGAGGTGGTGCGGGGTCAGGGTCAGCTTTGCGGGCTTTATTGTTTGCGAGGTAAATGTAAGGTAGGGGAGGGAGAGGGCTGCCGCAAAGGTTGAGGCAGAGTTGGAGGGTGTATTCGAAGTCGGCGAGGCAGGGCCTCCGCCTACGGTGGATGCATTTTTAGGAGATTGGCGCTGCAGCTGCAGGGCGTTGGCGAGTGCTTTTTCGTGAGTTCGTACAAAGTAGGCCAGATTCTGTCTACGATCAGTTCTAAACAAGCCACGTTTTGGGGGATGCAGAAACATATCGTCGAGGCGCCAGAGATTGTTGCTCTCGAGGTGGTCCCACCTTTATGAATATCTGCCCATCCTCTGTGTCCATAGTTCAAAAATCGCTGGCCGCGAGGACATGTAGGGCGTTCGCGTGCCGGAAGGGGTATTATGCTCGAGGAGAAATGAGGGAAGAAATCGGAGACGTCGCCGTAGGAGGCAGAGGCGGAGAGGGTGCTGCTTGAAAGGATCGTGGGAAAAATGACACCAGAACACGACACTGCCACGCAACTGTCAGCCAGAAGTGTCAAAGGGGGAGTGCGGGGAAGGCACGCACAACGACACGAACGACACGGATAGCTCGTCTCGACGACGGCGCGAGAGGATGCTCGCAGGCGCCGGGTGGTGAAGGACGTACAGAGTGAGTCTGCGACAGAGCCCGAGGGGGTCCTGGGAGTGAAGCGATCGAGGCGGAGGGCCGAGATGATATGCAGCAAGACGCAGGGAGTGTCGGCCGACTGGCGCCAGTCGAAAGAAACGGAGCAAGCCAAGCGATATTCTGCCACAGAGGAGGGCCAATTGGGGGGGTTCGAGCAATGCAGGCTGCTGCAGCGCGCCTCAGTGCTATCTCAGCAAACCCACAAGGCAAAGGCAGGCCAGGCAGGGCACGCGCAGCCGGACGAAGTGGGCGGAACGGCGAGGGCAGACACACGGCACGATGAATGCAGAGATAGCGGCGGCGTCCTATTGTAGGTCCCGTCTTGGTTGCTTGCGCGGTGGAGACAGCGGGTGCGAAATTAGATGTTCGCCGCGGGAGCTGGCGGGGCACTGGAGCCCAAACAACAGCGCAGACTCGACGGCGACTGCACGAGAATCCAACGCGACTCCAGGATCAGTCGACGAGGCCCGGAGGAGGGCACGCGCAGGCAAGATTGCAGAATTCGGAAGCAGCCGAATGGGCGCGGGAGAGAGGCAAAAGGGCGCCTCGTCGTGATAGACGTCCAGGTCAGCAGGGCCAATCAGGCCGGCAGAGCACACCACCACCCCGGCGCAAAACCACTCGGCCTGCAGCTGGGCGCATGCGATTGCATTCACGACGCCTCCTCCGCGCTCCCTGCGCTCACGCAGCCATGTCCCCAAGTCCAGGCCGTCACGAGAGAGGATGCCAGACGCCCGGGTGCTCACCGCCAGCCGGCGACGGAGCCCTCAACACCACGGATCGCGCTGAGCAGGCCAGCAGCAGGCCCTCGGCGCCCTCAGCACGCCGAATGCGGGCGTGGTTCCCTGTCCGCGACGGCCCTTGGCAGCGAGCGCGCTAGGCCGGGTGGAGCCTCGATTGTCGAGCCACCAAGGGTCGCTCCCCGAAGCCGGCCTCGAGCCCATGGGCTTGTCTTGACGCCCCTCCATGGCAGAGACGCAGCGTCTGCCATCTGCCGCGCTACTGGAGCTGTTCGCGGGCTCCTGCGGTGTTAAAGACGGAGCGAAGAAGCGCATCTGCGAGCTTCCCCAGCTGCACGCCTCACGACACCTCGCCGACGGACTCATCACGTCGCACGGCAACATCGTCAGGTGGTGTCGAGCAGTGCAACATGGACTGGACCCTGAAGCGCGCTTGCCGGGGCCCCCGTGCGGTCAGGGTTTCCATTCACTCTTTGCTGCACGTCCGTGAGCGATCCCTCAGCATAAGAGATCCAAACGTCTGCCCGCATCCTCTTATTCGACCCTGCAGCGCAACGACCGTCTGGGCGCTGTCCCCACAGAGTCTCCCACTGTGCCACAGTCATGTCTGCCCCGCCATCCTCGCCCTCGTGCCCCGCATGACCTCGTCGTCGACTCATGCGGCTATCGCGGCCTCGCGCTGGACCCTTGGGCGCTATGGCTGGCATTCCGCACACCTCGTTGCGGGTCCCGCCTCGCGCTCATCCCCAGGACTTTATTTGCTACGGCTCCGGCGTGTGCTGCACAATGACATCGACTGGCGTGAGTGCTGGATCACTGGCAGAAGATCAAACACCACCAGCACCCGATCAGACCGCACTGCTCCATCAATTTCGACTACACATTAATTGGGACGCCGATGGTTGGAATTCCTTGTGACATCCGAATGCACTTCCACGCAGAGGGTGTGGCTCACTCGGCAAAAATCACCTTTTTGCGCATGCCGGGCACAGCATCTGCGCCCACCGCTCTTGAGGCCGACTTCGTATCACGATGCCGCAAGGGAAGTAGGTACAGACTCGTCCGAACATAGCGCCAGTCTCCCAGAGTGCCAATCCGCACGGCTGTCGACGACAGCAGACTCGCGATCCGGCGCCATAGGATTCGCGCCCGGTGATGCCCACATCTCTGCAACACCAAAGGCCGTGCTCACATATCAGATCCACCCCACTTTCCCTCTCTGGCCAGCGCCGATGCACGCGAAGCGCCTCTTCCTTGGGCGGTGAGTAGCCGACCGCCCGAGTGCTGCACGTCCCGGCTCGCCCTTCACCACTCACCATCCGTCCACCGTTCAACACCATCACCAACCCCGGCGCTGCTGCAATCCCGCATCATCGCCCTCCGCGACTTACTTCATTCTGCCCAAGTTCGGAAGTCCGTGTCACACTTCTCGCAGATTCCCTCCTTTGCCCACCACGGACTAGCATCTAGACCATTTCCCTGCATGACAACACCGCCTATCGTATATGCACATGCCGCCGCTGCAGCAAAAGCCCCTCGCGTTGGGTACAAGAACGTTGCCAACTCTCACGGCAGGTCTCACCGCTATTGAGGGGCAGCGACCTTGGGTGTCTCACTATTCTCCACACGGTTGGCATGAGGCTGCGGCTGGAGATCTTTCTCCTACAGCCGAGTACGCGAATGCAGGGCTCGATCTGCAATCATGTGATACTGCCGATCCTTAAACCCAACGTCATGAAATAGCCGATCCTCCTCCGTATACTGTACTTGGGGACAAGCTCCTACAGGAGCTTGATCCATTATGGCCAACTCATCAGCCAAGATCATAAATGGGTAGGTCACGATATCATAGGTTGATGATGTTTGATAGAGTAGGCATAGAGCACGAGATTAGATTCAGTATATCGTAGTTGAGTTTTGATTCTTAATCCTATAATCTGGTGTTCCGTCATTGTTTCCCGAAAACACCTTCAGACACTACTCTCGGGATATTCAATACCTTCGTCGTCTGTGGGGCTTGCTGCATGCTCAGAAATCTTCCCCATTCTTCAATTAGAAACGAACGACTCATGTAGAGCTTAAGAAGTCTACGCATGAGTTCCCCTCGATTTCATCATTCTGAAACTTTTTGAAACCGTCTAGAGTATATGCGTTTCTTCGCATATGTAAGTCACTAAGTATAGGCCGAGCCAAAGCTCGAAAGACCATGCTTCGAGCTAGCCCGCCTCGTTCAACATTTATATTTCCCAACTATCTAAAGCGTGGGCCTTACATCGTGAGCAAGATATGTAAGTAAAGGTTTCAGGTAGATCTTAAAATCTCAAAATTTAGCTTACCTAATCGAGAAACACGTTACATGACCCGATAGAAGATGGTGAATCCATTACCCTTGACTAGAAATCTCCGAGCTGGAGCGCTGAACATAACTCCGCTCATGCGGAGGTACCATCGCCTCACAAGAAGTCGCCAAATCAGCTGTAGAAGTGAGCACGTGATCGGGTCGAATATGGTGAATTGTTTTTGAGTCGACTGGGAAACTGCCCGCATGTACCACTCATGTGGTAGGTGCCATGGTGTTATAAGGATTTCCAAGACTAATTATGCGCTGCACACGCAATGTGGTACAACGCGTGTAATAGAAAGGTCATCCCTACGGTTCGATTCGTGAGTATTTGCAACAAAACTCCCTAAATCAACCCTCCTCGTACCCCCGCGACGCCCAGTTAAAGAGTTGTTTCTTCAGTTCGACTGGTGAGTACTTCCACTAAGAATCCTTAAATTAACCCTCACAGTATCCACACATCGTTAACGAAGCGTAGTACCCGGCGTCTAGTAAAGAATCATGTTTACGGTTCAACTCGTAAAGACTTGCACTAAGAGTCGCCAAATCGACCCTTCTCGTACCCCCGCAGCGTCGACGCAGCGTGGTACCCAGCATCTAATTAAAAACTCTCCTCTACGGTCCAACTCGTAAGTACTTGCACTAAAAGTCCCTAAATCAACCCTCCTAGGACCCACGCGCCGTTCAAGCAGCGTTGTACCCAGCCTCCCACAAAAAACCCGTCTACACGGTTCGACTCGTGAGAACTTGCACTAAAATCCCCCAAATCGACCCTCCTCGTAAACGCGCCCCCCCACCCCCGGGAGGCCGTCGACGCAGCGTGGCGTGGCACCCAGCATCTACCAAAAAACCTTGTGTCTGCAGCCTAATCCGCAGCTCTTGCCACCAAAACCCGCCCACTCCATGCAAGGACGCGGCCCTCTAGCAAACATAAGAAACGATCGCCCTGAAAGTATCTATCAGCAAGCTGCTTCACGCCCAGCCGCGCATTCGCCTCGCTGTGCAGCTACACCTCGTGTCCGCTATAGCACCCGTGTCTGCGAAGTAAGTATCTCTACTGTTCGATCGGGAAGAACTTGCACTTAAAGTCCCCAAAATGAGGCTCCTCGTACCCCACACGTTGTTAACGTAGCGTGGTATCCAGCGTGTAGAAGGAATGGATCTCTGTGGTTAGACGGGGGAAGAGTTTGCGACGAAAGCGACGAAAGCGACGAAAGCGACGAAAGTGACGAAAGCACGTGATAGGTCTCGGAATCACGCTGAGGGTAGCGTGCCCGTGGGTAGGCTGGGAAGTATAGACTTGCGATCAAACACGGTGTATCACGCCGCGGCCGAGGGGAATAGTGTTATGCGGCTCGACTGGGAAGTATTTGCAATAAAAGGGGCCAACATGGTCACTGTACGGAATAGGTACCCGACAAGGTGTCACAGCCTCAGAACAGCGACCTGATCTCCAGCGTTGAGAAATGACCATTCAAATCATTCACTTACTAATAGCCCCAGGGGTGTTCCAACCCCCTACGACACACATGAGAACTTAAACTCTGGTACCCACGCTCCCAATTCTCATATCCATAGTCAGCTTCCCCACAACTCACCGGAGCACTCCGTCACATCCAAGAACCGAAGAAGCAAGATGAACCCATAGTATTATTTTCCCAATCCCGCTATACTACCCAAGGAATGAAAATGAGTGCACCCCAGATTACGCTGATGCAACCCAACAATGCCACTGCCTCGATACAAGCACAATACTGTACCAAAAAGACGAAGAAGATCAACCCTCCCCTGTCAGTAGACATGGTCGTAATCGTCGCAACATCATGCGTATCCAAGACCCGTATAGCCAAGCATACCATTGTAGCCAGCTATCCCGTCCCGCGTGCCGCCAAATTTGAGCCAACAAAAGCAACACACACACACGTACTCGCCAGCATCCCCTAGAACCCGTTCACAGCCTGTCCGTTTTCAGCTCCGGTAACAGCCTCTTCTTCATCATCGTCCTCGACTCCAATCCCCGAATCAAAGACCCGCCTATTCTTGCGCCCCTTCTTGGTTACGCGCACCTTCTCCTTGACCTTGCCCACCCGTCCCTCAATGACGCGCTGCAGATCCAGCTTCGGGCCCGTCACTTTCACGCCCTCGAACTTGAAAGCATCGACAACCTTTCCCGCCTCGGCAGCGCGGTCGCAATATGCCGAAGACAGCGTATCCGCCCGCTGCACCGCCGTCTGCATCCCCTCCTGCAGCGCCTTGATCGTCGCCTCGCCGTCCTCCTGCTGCTTGCGGAACGCCTCCTTGAACTCGTCCATCTGAGCGACCAGCTTCGTGATATCCACCGCGCGCACATCCGCGACTTGGTGCATGGCTTCGAGCTCAGCCGTCTTCTCCTGCAGGGTAGTCTCGAACTCCGCGACGCGCTGCTGGTTGGTAGTGGTGAGGTCCGCGATTTCCGCGTTGCGGGACTTTACAGTCTTCTCGAGAGCTTCGATCTCGTCGGCGTGGACGTTGGTAATTCGAAGGAGTTCGGAGGCGGTTTCATGGACACGTTTCTCAAGAGAGGCCTTAATATCGTTAAGGTGGTCGATATCTGACCGCGCCGATGTGAGGTCGGTGGTGAGCGTGCCGATCTTGTCATTTTGCTGCTCGATCATGAATTGATGCTGTTCGGCACTTTCGATGGCCTCGTCTTGGAGGATGGCAATGGTGCTGTCGCGCTCCTTGATGGTGTCAGTAAGGCTATTGATGTTGGCCTGAAGGGTAGCGATTTGAAGGTCAGTAGACTCTTTCAAACTCGTATAATCTTCCTCGAGCGACGTGAGGTTCTCTTCTAGGCGAGCGATTGTTTCGTCCCGAGCGTTCACTAGTCCATCGTGCTCCGCCTTCATCAACTCCGCGGCCTCTTCCTTTTTCGCGATCTCCAACTCCATCTCGGCAATCAGAACGTTTCGGCGAGCGGATTCGCTTTCCGCGACGTTTGCGCGATCTTTCTCGGTCTGTATCACACATCTGTTATACTCTTCTCGTTCGTTCATTTCATCCTTTAGCTTGGCAACTTCAATTGCCTTGTTGTTCTGAACCTGGAATAGCTTGGACCGAAGCTCGTTGGCCTGGATGCCCTCATCCCGAAGCTTGGTCTCGAGCTCAGCGATACGAGTGGTCCGGTCATCCAAGTCCTGCTCGGCGGTCTCACGCTGGTTGCGCTCGGCGTCAGCGAGTGTGCGAAGTTGCTCAAGCTCTGAGTTGAGCTGCTTGAGCGACTCTTCGGCCTGCCCGATTGTGTCCTCGAGATTAGCGATGAAGGTAGTCTGTTCCTCGACCTTAGCTTCAGCGGCCTCACGGCCCGCCTTCTCTGCGTCAGATGAGGCTTGCACACGAGCGACCTCTGCGCGAAGGCTATCCAGGTGTGTTTCCGCATAGTCTATCTTGTCTTCCAGATTGTCGATGAAGGCGCTCTTCTGGTCTGACTCAGCCTCAGCCTCCTCGCGAGCTTTGGTCTCATCCGCGAGCTGTGAATTTAGGTCTTCCACAACGTCCGCGTGGTCCAGTTTAAGTTGCTCAACCCTTGCTTTATAGTCTTCCTCCGTGCTGCTGACAAGCGCCTCAAGTTTATAGACTTCTTCACGATATCCATCCAATGCCCTCTGAAGACGCTGGATGGAAGTGGTCTGATCCGCGACTTCATCTTCAAGACCGTTGATCTTGATTTCATGATTTGAAACTTCCTTTTCGCGCTGGTCCAGTGCAGAGTGTGCGGTCTGTAACTGATCCTCCAGCTCAGAAATCGTGTTCTCCTTCTGGGTAGCTAAATCGGCCCGTTCCTGTTGCAGAGTGATATGTCGTGATTCGAACTCCGCGAGTTTGTCGAGTAGACCATTGTTCTGCGCTCGAAGCATTCGCTCCATCCGATTGTGGTTATCGGCTAATACCGTCTTGTCGTTAAGTTCCTTCATCAAGCCGTAAATCTGGCTGGTCAGAGCGTTGAGCAAAGCGCCATTCTTAAGATCCGGGGGAGCGCTTCCCGGAAGTAGGACCTCAAGCTCAACGCGAGCCTCGCGAAAGGAAGTACGTATTGTTTGGAGGATTACATCTACGGCTGCATGGTCGTCTGCAAACCCGAGACCTTGCAGCTGCATCGTGAACATGTCCAGAGCGCTTCGAATTTCTGAAAGCTCTCGCCTCGCGTTGCCCAACGCCTCTTCGAAGTTGCGGAGATCTGCTTCATGGGCAGGATTAGGAAGCTTGACCTGTGAGGCCTGCTCCGAAATAGATTGCGAATTCGTGATTCGGGACAAAGAGAACGATGACTGTGATGAGTAGAACCCATTGACGTGGGGTTCTGGCTGCATATCTTCTTGTGAGACGTTGAGATCAACAGGGTCGACAAGTTCATCTTCGTTCTCATCGTCTGAATCGATGCCATGGCCGATGTCGAAATCCATGTCGCGGTCCTCGCTGCCAGCCCGCTCGCTACCGGAGAATATGCTCTGGGCTTTCAGATCAGTTAGCTCCTGTCTGACCTCACTAAGCTCTGCTTCTAGCTCCGTTATTTTTTCGTCGTCATGAATATTGATGCCCATCTGGCGCTGCAGTTCCAATTCCAGCATCAATTCCTTCTCGCGCTCGTCTTTCTGCTTAACTTGGCGGCGAAGTTCCCTTAGCTCCTTTTTGTCCTTCGCGTCGTCCTTTAGGTGCTCCTCGATTTCGTTAACCTCCTCACTGAGGTGGCTGCGACGGAGTCGACGCTTCATGCGGTTATCGAGAACTGCTCTCAGTGGGGTGAATTGTACCTCACGCACATCGCCAGACCCATTTGTCGTCCCAATGTCTCCACTGTCCAATGTAGCCGGTAGCGAGAATCGGGCATGGCGGCCGGATTTTGTGGGTGGGAACGCGCCAATGCGCTCGAGATGCGGTGTTAGGCCAATCGGTGGTTGGCTTGAGAGTTGCGGGGGCGTAACAGAGGGCGTCGTAGTCTCGTTCTCAGTGAATGGGGGCGGCTCTGAGAAGCGAGTCCGCTTCTGGGGCTTCGAGTTGATGATAACTCGGACGTTGTTTCGGGTTGGGGAGTCGATGGATTTCTCCGTATTGCTGACGGCATCTTGCAGCTCCTGAGCGAGCTGATCGTGGTCGTCTACAATAGCACGCTTGACTCGCTTCTTTGGACTCTGGTGAGTCTCGTCGCGGCTATTTGGAGAGGTGGAACGCCCTTCGTTGGCAGTAGTAGCCCCATGAGAGGACTCTATGGATTGCTGTGACGGTTCGGTCGAGGCCAGGGAAGAAGCGCGGCGCTTCCGCCCACTGCTTCGAGATGGAGGGTCTCCGGGCCCTTGGTGGTGGCTCCGGATTCGGGCCATGCCGTGGTGAGTAGCTGCCAAAAAAGAGTCTAGAAAAGTCTATAGCGGTGTGGGAACGAACCAAGACAGGCGAGGATAGAAGGTGGACGGAACCAAAATGTTGCCGAGGCAAAGCTGGAGGTGGTGGTAGATGACGGTGGAAGACGCGGATGATGTAGTCGAGGAGGCTGGTCAAGTGCTTTTGAGTGTCGGCGTCACACGGTCCAAGCGGTGAATTCACAGCGAATGGATGCCTGTGCCCGCACCACAAGTGAAAACAACACGGGGAGTCCCCTGCCTGCCTTGCCGCAGCTACGTCGACGCGTTTTCTGTGCCAAGGACGCGTCTTTTGGCTGCGTATCCTTATATAGGAGACTGTGTTATTGATAGTCGAGGAAGGCGGCCGTCAATATCAGAAAGTTCGAGGGCGAAGTACTTCGTACTGTAGTTGTGCACGAGGAAATACAGTTGTACACCACGTCATCGGAGTTTTGTGCACCCCACGGTCCCTGCTTCCCGCGGCGGCAGTTTTACGCGACCCAGCACAACTGCCCTCATGATGATGAAGGGGCGTACTACATAGATCAGATTCACATGCGAACCTCGTTCCATTAATGGTGCACGTCGATTGAGCTCGCCCATCTCACACAGAAGCTGCTCCCTATGTCCACATATACAAAGGTATGCCCCCGCACCCCTATAACGTTTTTGCAACAGGGATGTCGAGACAGGGACAATAGCTTTGATCACCCAAAGCCAGGTGCGACCTCTAGGGAGCATTGCCGAGGCAGCTGACCTTGCGAATACCCCCTTTTCATCAAATGGTAGACTACTGGGAGTCACGTTTCGAGAGATCAATTTATCGAGCCAGAGTAATCGAACATCCCCAAGAAATAGTGCTCCCCGATGACATATCCCAACCCGCAACGAGTGACATTGCCAAAGCCATCGCCATAGCGCCAATGACAAGATCCCCTCACAAGACAGACACGAATAGAGGACCGCGAAGAAGGAAATCTCACCCACCTAGGGTATTTTGATGAGCTGATCAACATCGACCCTCTCGTAGAATGAAACATGGCCAAACGTCTCCCAATACTGAGCCATCCTATCATGCGAAATGAGAATAAGCTGTGAAGCAATGAAGTCGTCTGGTTCACAAGTTAGCCATATATCCAAGGGCATATAACGCCTGAATCGTCAAAGGAACGTAGATTGGAGGTGAGTCTAGTTGTTTCACGTACCATCGCGGAACCCTCTCGCTGCGATGTGTCCCACACTGCGAACTATCCTAGCTCCCTTGAACATATCATCTCGAGCACTCTGTATAAAGCCATCGCGACCAATGTCAGGAGCGATGAAGGTGTATTCACCACGAGGGATGTTTGGATCTCCAGTTAATTTGATGGCTTCGATTCGGCCGTGATATAGGTGCTCGTCCTCTGCTTCCAACTTCTCGTCCTGTTTCTCTGGCACATCTTCCGGAGCAGGGTCTGGCTGTGAGGATTCTCCGCCTTCGGTCGCATCCATATCGCTCGACATTGGTGCAGTAACCCAGCTTCCCCCACTTGAAACACTAGGAGTTCTCATCGCTGACAATGTCCTCTCGGCCGCCTCAGGCAGCGGCGCAGGATCGTCTGGTTGCATGACGACAAGAAACTCGCAACCGTGGCCCGCATAGTCGCCGCACCATATGCCCTGCCATGGTTTCTCTTTAGTCGGCGTGTAAACCTCTGCTGGAAGCGTCGCGAAGGTTCTGACTTCCTCGGCCACCCGTAAACTCATACCGTGCGGCCGGCTACTAAATTCCATCCATTGCCGCAGCCTGAAAGTATTCTCGCTGATCTCCGAGAGTTTTGAAGGGCGATGTCCAAGACTCATGTACTGGTTACCACTGTCGTTTCGCGTACGTTCAGAAGCTGGGAGAATGTGCGGTGGCCACACTTGAGTCATTGGCGTGATGGCAGCGGGTGGCAGTTTTCGTGATAGGATGAGGCGGGAGAAGATGGCGGCAGATGCGTTGCTACCTCCATAAATGTCCATTGGCACTTCCTTACTGAGACGGGGTCCATCACCAATAGCCTGTGCGATGGAGGAGGCATCGATGTGCAACGTAGGGAGATCGAGGTTGAGCCGAATCAGAGGAGAGAAAGTGTGTATGATTGCCTCGGGGTACGATTCCCAGTGGGCGATTGTCGGCTTCCTCCTCTCGGCACTCAGTGCGTACGCTTCTATCGCGCCGATTCGAGGGTCATATCGAGCTACAATGAGATGTCCCGTATTCGCGGAATCCGAGAACCAGATTTTATGCTTGGAGAGGAACCAGTATGGATGGAAAGCTACATATAGTTCTCGCCAGGACGACGAAGGGGCTGGGGTTCTGAGTGTATGCCCAGGGACGTTTGCTTGGACAAAGGGAAGCCATAACTGATCAGCTCGGGAATGCTCATACAACAGTCGGCAGACCTGAGACACCCTCAGAAGCTGGGATGGAGCAAGAAACGAGAGCACATGATGGATCAGTTCTGCGGGAAGAGCGAGGAAAGGTGGAGGCTCGGGGCCGTCCATCTTTCGAGGTAGAATGCAACCGCCTACAATAGTTCTCTTTTGAAGTGTCCTTGTCAATCAATATTGAGACCGTGACGGGCTAGAGGAAAGTATAGATCGGGCTGGATACGAGTGAGGCAGGTAACGGAGGAGGTAAATGGCAAACTTTTGGTCTGCCGGCGATAGATACCAGAACGTCGAATGGTAGCAGCAAACAGCTCCTAGTGGTATGGATAGCCGTTGCTAGGAAAGGACAGGTCTATACGACTGTGGCGTCGATCTGATCGGAACGAACTGGCGGGCGCGGAGTGGATGGAGGGGAATTGCCACCTTCTCGTTGCTGCTTAGTTTCCGCCTCTGCTCGAGATCGCGGCGCACTAATCTACCACAGTGTGGTCTTGACGCACCAGACTTCTGCACCGGGAGATACTCCGATGACGACGCGTTCAGCGTGCTCGGCCTTGTTGTCTAGCTCTGCAGACAGGGCGTAGGTGATGTTGGGGATGGACGATGGATGAGGATGTTGAGAGATGGTGATTGCAAGGCTTGAGCTTGCGTATGATGTGGCTAGGCTGCTTTTGACCGCCACTAAAAGAATAGTGGAACCCGTGGAACCCATGGACCGACTCTGGCATCCACAACAGATGCTTCGTTCAGTCTTCCATCTCCGTTACCTTCCCTCATCAGCACAGCTCTGCTATTTCTATGTGTCATGTGTAGCTCAGCGATTTAGACCTTTTCTCTGATTCCAAATGCCAGTGACGCCTAGGGGAGGACTGCGCCGTCAACTTACTGTAGTACCACAAGAATCACCAACGCGTGCAAATCACGACATTTGCATCTAGAACGGCCGCCTTCTTAATGCCATGCACACAGCCACACATCAGTGCTCCCGTCTTTGCCTATGGCTGTGGCTGGGTGCGCCCTCGTATTACCGCTCCATCGGGATTCTATTCTCAACCCCTCTTGCGGCGCCCCATACCACCTCCCTTGTGTGGGTATGCTATCCACAACGACCAATACACAGTTCGATCTCCGAGATCTGATTCATCAAAGGAACTTCCCATCTATTCTACTTACCCATCTTAAACTCGGCCGAGGCTGTTCCTTGAAATACGTGCAACAACGACGATAGCATCTATCTCCCGATTCATATCTAAGCTAACGTCGAAGTTGGCAATGTCGATGAAGTCTTAAGCGCTTGAGAACTATACGTCCTCTTTAGGGGTGTTCTAAGAATATGAGCTTTCGCTAGTGTAGACGGGATCAACATCAGCTGTGAAAGATGTACCTGATCAAAGCCGTCTTGAACTGCAACAGCCGTAGTTGCCGACGTGAGGGACTACTGTGCAAGCTTCACAATGAGATTCCAGAGGATGCCGTTCTAGATTGTTTAGTTGCGTGCCTCAAGAGCAGAGTCATATATCACGTGATTTCAAGTATGTATATATCTACGTAGCTTCCTCCTTCACTTCACCCGGCACAGCTCCCCTCAACCAATGTCACATCCAATTCCTCAAGCAGCCGTCCATATCTCCCACAAGAAAAGGTGTAAGCTTGACAGTCACGTGTAAGTATAGATCACGACCACTAGACAAGCATCACACTTAAAGCAAGGTTGGCCGGTTCCGTTAGTGTCACTCTAGACGTCACCCCTTCGCTACGGATAAACGCCTAAACGACGCGCCGGATTAGCGGCACTGCTCTAACGCTAGCAGCTAGCTGCCAACGTCGAGCCGCCGCTCTCGTTCTACGAAGTACTGCACTTTTTCACCATGGATGCTCAGAGCCGCCTGATCGCCCAAACCTAACGCACCTTGTCCACACTCGTGCGGTTGTGACTCGAGACGTGGCTGTGGCATAGCTACTTGCCCTCGTCATGACACCGTCGGTGTATGCACGAGGAGTTGGCCATCGGAGGGGCATTGATGGCGGCAACGGATTGGCCACACTTGGGAGCCTCGAGTTGCTCGCTCAGGATCCGCGTCCGACTTTTATATTGGACATTGCCTCGTCACGGCAAGCATCGCAGCCATCGCCCATTGTATATCGCAATCCTGCTTTACATGGTCAGTTCGCGCTCAATGAACTCATCTCCGGAAGAGCCATCGGCCATACGGACCTCGACTACATTGGCTTCAGAGACTGGGCAGTGGACCAGCAAGAGCACAAGAACCACTGGTCAGCCCAGCCCCGACGCTCGTTCGCTGGCATCTCGTGGATCGCCTACACAGTGAGGTCGAGATTCCGCATCATCAGTGGGCAACCCGAAGACAAAGCACTCCCTGAGGATCCGGGCACCATCTTCCAAGAAGAAGATAAGCTAGGGCTACCACAAGACAGCTCCAAGTCGGAGCGGTCTGCTTCCAATGGCCTATCGAGAGAAGAGGATTATGACGATGAAGATAGCGCTTCCATCACCTCCACTGAACGCCACGCTTTTGGCTGTACCGACCTTTCAGTCCCAGAGAAACGTTTCTCGCCCTTCGTGAAGTTTTTCCGTTCCGTGGATTGGGGCTCGACCATTCTGGGGCCCATCGACGAGTGGCCTTTGCAGTTACATCAGATGTGTAACTTTCTTATGAATGATCCCACGCCAGCATACGTCCTTTGGGGCTCAGAACTAATAGTCCTCTACAACGAAGCGGCCATTTCGGTCCTCCTTGACAGACATCCAAGATGCATAGGACTGCCGCTCCAGGAGGTATATCCTGAGGTATGGGATCAGATCTCCATACTTATACGCAAGGTACAGAAGACTGGAAAGGCTGTCCGGGTAGAAGATGTTCCTATGTTACTCCAGAGACACGGACGCATGGACGAATGCTTCTTTTCCTTCCAATATCAGCCCATCGCCGATGAAAAGGGCTCTGTCCTTGGAATTTATGAGGGATTCGTGGATGTCACCAGGCAGAATCACGCTGCCCGCAGGATGTCTCTTCTACTCCAAATCAGCTCCTGCTCGTCTGTTGCAAAGGACATGTCAGACTTTTGGAAGCTATTAATCGAGGCTTTCGACACGAGCGAAGTGTTGCCATTCGCTATGCTGTACACCTTACAGGATGTGCAACACACATCTCTCGCTAGTGGCTCAGACGCCAGTTCCTCTGATATATCAGATACTGGAAGATACTGCTCGTTAGAGGGGCAACTGGGAATTCCGGAAGACCACACGACATACGTGACCGACTTAAACCTGTCTGCTGCCGACTCCGCGGGATATGGGCCTGCGATGAACCAAGCATTAGAAGGACAGACTGTGTTCCTGACTATTGAGGATGGCACTCTTCCCGCAGCGTTTGTACAAGGTATCGATCGCCGAGGAATCACTGCGCCTGTAAACACGGTCGTTGTGTGGCCAATTTGTCCTAGGGACACAGTTGGCTTCCTTATCATGGGTCTCAACCCGCACCTGGGCGTAGACGAAAATTTTAGGGGCTTCCTCGATATCATGAGCAGGCAAATTGCAACCTGTGAGTTCTACAAACTATCGATTGAAAGGACGCCTTATTCTAACCGCACATTCCCATGATCAGCCGTAGCAGCCGTGATGCTTTTTGAAGATGAGGTCCGGCATAGAGAACGTGTCGCACAGGAACTTCAATTGACAGCAACAGAGCTCATGAGAAGCGAAACCAGATTCCAACGTATGGCCGATAATTCGTTGGTGGGCATATTGTCTGCGGATCCGATGGGAAACATTATGTACGCTAACCAGGCCTTCCACGACATCACTAATCACGATCAATCGGACAAGACAATGCAATCCTGGGTCGAATTGTTTCGGGACGACTTCGTTTCATCCCTTAAAGCTGCTTGGGAGCAACTTCATGAGAACCGCGAGTCCATAGCACTAGAATACCCACTCAAGAAGCCATGGACGAAGGTCATCGGGTCAGGCCAGCTACTAAAAGGACCCACCTGGGTTCTCGTATCTGCATTCGTGGAAGAGAATGCTGACGGCTCTGTGAAAGGGTCCCTAGCGATGATAACAGATATTTCTCAGCAGAAATGGGCTGAAGAGCATCAGAAGCGAAGAGTGGAAGAGGCTATGGTTTGTTGCTTGCCTAGGATCATGGTGGAGATGCTGACATCGCCAGGAAATGAAACGCCAACAGGAAGCATTCGTAGACATGACTTCTCACGAGATTCGCAATCCACTCTCTGCCATCATACAAAGCGCCGACTCTATAAGTACCACTCTGACAACCTGGATTTCCTCTAGCGCCTCTCAGGATGGCAGAATCGTCACAATATCAAGAGAGCTTCTAGAAGATAGTCTTGACGCGGCCGACACCATAACTCTTTGTGCCCAACATCAGAAGAGGGTCGTAGACGACATACTCACGCTTTCCAAGATGGACTCTGACATGCTCCTCGTTACACCAGTGGACGTTGAGCCCCTTCAAATTATCAACAGCGCAATTAGAATGTTTGAGACAGAGTCCATGAAAGAAGGGATCGCCGTTGAGGTAGACCTCGAACCGTCATTCCACCAATTAGGCCTTCAAAACGTCCGACTCGACCCAAGCCGCCTCACACAAGTCCTTATAAACATTTTAGGCAACGCGATCAAGTTTACCCGAGTCGTCGCAGAAAAAAAGAGTCACCATTAGAGTGGGCGGCTCACTACAGATTCCGGACGATACCAAGAGCGGTATCGAATATGTTCACCCGCCTGAAACTATTATTCCAAATGCATTCATGGAAGGATCCAGTACGGGAAGCCGCATGTGTTTCATGAGAATTGCGGTGCACGACACTGGCCCAGGTTTGAATCCTGCCGAAAGAGAGCGGCTATTCAAACGTTTCGGGCAAGGTAATGCTCTCGAAAAAGTTAGATCTTAATTCGCAGAATGCTAATGACGTATAGCTTCTCCCAAAACAGAAGTCGAATACGGAGGCAGCGGTCTCGGCCTATTCATCTCCAAGAAACTCAGCGAGCTCCAGGGTGGTGGCATCGGTCTCGCATCAGAGCCCGGGTGCGGTAGTACCTTTGCTTTCTACGTACTTGTCCAACGACGGGATCCACCCGTATCAAACCTCGATACCGCGAAAGGTATCGCGCAAAACACGGCGTCCCTGCGAAAGCTCGCGCTTCCTAAACACCGGTTGATTCACATGCTCAGCAATCCTCGGCCGTCTCCGCCTGTTCTTGAAGCAGTTTCACCCAGCGAACTACCCTCACAGATGACTTTCCCAGTGGAAAAAACGCCAATCCAACGCAAGCTTGCCATCTTAGTAGTCGAAGACAATCTTGTGAACCAAAGGGTGCTGTGCAAGCAGCTTCGATATTTGGGCCATATCGTCAATGCGGCGAACCATGGTAAAGAGGCTCTTGATTTCCTGGAGAAGTCAATATACTGGACAGAGAACAAGAACAGTGGCGAGCCCCTCGATATCATTCTGATGGACACGGAAATGCCGGTGATGGATGGCTTGACGTGCGCGAGACGGATCAGAGAGGCTGAGAGTCAAGGACTCTCGAAAGGGCACGTGCCGATAATCTCAGTCACGGCGAACGCGAGGAGCGAGCAGAGTGAGATAGCAGCGTCGGCTGGGATGGTGAGCATATCGTGTTCTGGCTATACGGAGGGTATGCTGCTAACTTATACAGGATGACGCCATTTCGAAGCCGTTCCGCGTCGCAGACCTGGAGCCTAAGATGTATCAGCTTGTGCGCAAGTATGGGTCGTGATTCTACTGAGACCAGTCAAATCCACCCACGCATCTCCACGAGAGAAGTCACGCACTCCAAGTCGAAGAAGATTTATTCAGGGCCATTGGCAGTACCGAAATCTTGTATCTTCACACCTGAATGTGACTAGGAGAAATAGGCATACGTGGCGCTCATCACAGTCTTGTGCAAGATAGTGAGAGTGTTCCAGAGACGGAGAGGGGGTATTCGATGCGAGTAGAAGAGAGTAACCGAGGCGACAAATGGCGGCTTCGCGGACGGACAGCCGAAATGGGCTATGAGACTGATAGGTAGAAGACACAAGTGCTATAGTGGACTACAACACACGAAGAGTATGTCTACGAGACATGTGCGGCGTGCAGATGATCAAAGCGATGCAGCCCGCAGAGAATCCGCAAGGAAAGGAAACTTTGTGATCCTATAGAACTGAACGAGACTAGAAGCACCTATGCGACGAGGTTAATAGGAATCTAAAGCATCTACCTTCCGCAGACCATTAGCAATTGTGAGCGGTCCTAAGGAAGATGTCCGTATTTCTGACAGTGACTTGATATTCGATTTTTTTCATTTCGGACTAAGTATGACCACCCGCTCCTATCATCCTATCCTATTCCAAGAATACCGGAATCCCATAAACGACGGCCGCAGCTCCATTCAGATACCTCAACACACACGCCTCCCTCCCCCCTCTGACCGCCTCATCTAATCCCACGCCCCTCCTCCTGACCACCTCGGCCCCCTCCTCCTCTCCCGTGCTCACGTCCGCCTTCTTCCCCTTTCCACGCCCAAAGCCCGCACCCCTCGCCTTCTCAACATCCTTGACAAGCTTGCGGACCTTGCCTGCGATTCCAGATTTCTCTTTCCTCCCCGTTTCTCTAGAAGGAGATGCTGCGGAGGAAAGCTCAGGCCACAGCCCCCAAATCTCGCCTGTCCTAACGGCAAAACGGTCACAGTCCTTATCCGTAACATCCCACAGCATTCCCAGCACAGCAGGGGCGCCGGCAGACATGTAGGCGGAGAGCATGCCAGAGGGTTCATAGATGCCGTGTTCGTCGACCAATGCGCTTGAACAACCGAAGAGCAGAGCGGTAGCACAGCCGGCCTTTCCGTTCGCATTCTCGTTGTTTTGTGAGTTTGTCGAAGGAGGGGTTGGGAAAATATTGGCAGAGCCTTGGCCGTTGTAGAGCTTCTTGACGGTTCGTGAGCGAATGTACTGAGCACCGCTCCCATGGCCGAAGTAGAGTAGGAGGTCTTTCTGGCCAAGCGCGGCTTCGAACTCCTTTTCCTCTGGAGCGCGGCCAATGATGTGGTTCCAGGTCCCTTCCATGCCATCTAGATGCGGGCGAATGGTTTTCTGGGTGTGCGTTAGGTCACCGGATGGGTTGAGGATGCTGGCTCCTCCAGCACTAGAGCAGATATGATGCCCCGGGTTGGGTTCTTTATCAGAACTCGAAGCGCTTGCCCTAGCTGTGAGCAACCGTTCGCGAAGAGCAGCCAAGGATGGGAGTCTCGAGATGGACAACGCTTGGAGCGACGGGAGCGACTCCCATGGGAAAGCGTGGAGATTCTTGTCGAGTATGAGAATCGTGTGCGTCTGTTCGGTAGGTGCCTTGTGGGAAGCCGAATGGTAAGCGCGAAGAGCATCTAGCGTTTCGATTACCATGGCGTCGAAGTCGATTTCATCGTACGCATTTCGCTCGCCGTTAAACTGGAGAATATCCACCACGAAGTATACCAGATCCATTAGTGGTTCATCGAGATCGATTTCTTCGTTAGTCGCATCTCCAAGGCCAATGAACAACTCCAAAATTCTTGGGTCAAAATTGAGCTTCTTCTGCTGGCCTCGTCCCTGTCTCGAGGGCAGATGTCGGTTGAGAATGTTTTGGAAAGACTTTTGAAAGCGAGCTAACAGGCTTGGTTGGCGGAGATGTTGCGAGAAAATGCCTCGGAAACCGCCAAGCCAGATATTTTCAATGTTGACAAGCAGGTCGCGAAGGCGAGCGTCCAAGGCCTCTCGCTCGGTCCACCACTCCACCTTGGCGCCCTTCGCTTCCATGTCTCGACCACTATGAGTGCTGAAGTCGGACAGGTCGATGATCTCCGCAAGGTCTCTTTTTCCATCTTCGAAGCCGAAAACTTCCTCATCCATATCTCGAGAGTTATGTCTTGCCATGGGGAGCCGAAGAATGAAGGGAGACTGTCCAGCATGATATCGGGTAATATACAACTCATCCTGGTCTTCGTTTAACGACAGGGAAACTGCGGTCCAAGAGTCCGGAATTATGTCAATATACTCTCTCTGAAACTGGCCGGCAGATGCGTAAGCGGGATTGTCTTTTGACTTGAATTGCGGCCAGCTCAGCAGCTCCTCGCGAGTCGGATTATCTTTATCTGCCTTGATGGCTGACTGTTCGAGTAAAAGGGTGTGCTGTTTAGGTAGCTCAGACCAGTAAGCAACATAAAGTGGGTGCAGGGAGCCCTTGATGATCCCACAATGTGCCGCCGAAAGCAGTACAGTGACAGAGCTCAGCGCACGACCAACTTGATTCACGATCGAGTTTGCGCCAATCTGATAGGCCATATTGTGGATTTCTGAAAGGCAATCACGAGCCTTTTGTAGCGTCACACCGAAATACTCCTTTGCGGCGCCTTTTCCCCGCACGGACGCAGCCAACACCGACGTCCTTCGAGCTGCAGGGGATAGAAGAGACGAACGAGCACCTTCGGACAGCTTGCGATCCGCTCTACCAAGGGCCGGGAAAGATATTGTGGACTCCGGCAGGGTGTTGAACGTGAAATCAGTCGAAATATCCTTCATGCTTTGCGCAACAAGTCTTTTGAAACTAGCCAGGTGATGCTGTAGAGCACTATGCTGTCCAATCTGCATAGCCTCTGCCTTTTCGAGAAGCTCAACTGCGAGGGTAAATTTGTTTTGGATCAGCATTGCCGTTGCCTTTCGTCGAAGTATGTCCCCATGGAGCTGGGATAATGGTGTACACTCCTCACAGGTGCTTGGTTGCGGCGTTGGTGATCTGGCTACAGGTGTCTTCCGTGCAGTTCGCGCTGGAGGCTTCGCGGCTAGTCTCCGCCCTCGAGGCTGTCTTGCTGGCTTGACTGATTTCTTTTCTGGCACATCTAGGTGCATTCCTGACAGCTGATCCGCTAGGAAATCTTCCGCATTGACGATTCGGTCTAGCTGATGAATGAAAGGGTCCTGGCTAAGAACCTGGAGCAGCGACTCGCAGTTCTTGTATGCCTCGACCTCCTCATCAATCTCCCCAGTTGCTCGATAGATTGCAGCAGAAGAAAGGTGGAATGATGCCAACCCTAGGTGCTTCTGGGAGAAGGAAGGCTCTGCCAATGCCATAACGTCTTGTGCCTTATCGGCTCTTCCGCCATTCGCCCAGTACTGCACGCGTTTCGTTATATTATCCAGTAATAGGGATCCGGCTCCAACGGCTGATGCAACCTTTTCGGCTTGGTCGGCGAAAAAGACGGCCTCTTGAAACATACCCTGGTGGGCGTATACTTGCGATTGATGAGTTAGTCCGCGGTATATAGAGGGCACATGAGGCCAAAGTGCAGTGCCGCTAAGTGACTCGTGGGTCATTGACCAGGCCTGAGGTACGTCTCTCTCGGAAGTCGAAAGATTTGCGACGCCCTCGGTCAGGCCGTCCATCTCGGCATCGGTGCTTCCCGTGAAAGGCGCTCTCTTCGCGTTGGATTTGTTCTCAATTGTTCCCCAGCACCGTCTATTGAGGGTGACACAGTGTTTGGCATACCGAAGTGCGTCATCGTGCCTACCAATTTCCATAGCAAAGAGCGAATAGACGTATGATGCATCCGCAAGTAGTCTATTGAACCGAACGCGTCCAGATATGGTGTTGGACGATTTGACGAGATTTGCAAACTGTTCACCTTCCAGCACAATTCGTTCCGCAGCAGCAAGGGTATTTTCGCTATTTAATCATCAGCGCAATTCACTATAGCTCGTTATAGGCTTACTTACCACTTATCCGTGTTGCCAATCCGGAGTAGATACAATGCATAAGCGACATGCCAATGCAACCGAGCCTCTGCTGTTGCTTCTGTGTTTGATAAGATAGATTGAGCCTTCGCTAGATTCAGGCCAGCTTTTCCCGAATATCCAAGTTCGAGAAGTTGTAGTGCAAGTTTAGACAAGGCTAATACGGATTGCGTCGAGTCGCTGTCGTCCCGAAGCTCCAAGATCCTTACGATCATATTCAAAACCGGAATACGAAGATACTCCTCACCTTTTATCGCTAGATAATCGGAGATCATCTCGAGCTGAGTTATCCATTTAGTGGTGTCGTCGACCTTATCGAGCAAAGAGAACCAGGAGTCTGCGGAATCAAGGATCGTTTGCCAGGTAAGAAGTGATCCTTTCAACTTCGGAATCGATGGAGAAGGTTCACACAAGTTCAGTTGAACGCTAAGCGTTTCGTGAATGTGATCCTGAAACTTTGCCAGGTTTGAGTCTTCTCCCAGGTCTCCATTGGCCGTAACCTTGAATTGATCCAGAGGGTCCAACCTTGACAAGGGCGAAATTTCGGGTTTTTCCACAGCAAGTCGAATGAGCAGTATTACTACCCTCTGCCGCCGGACTGGAAAGTTGCGGGCCGAGTATAACTCGAGCAGCGTATTGCTCATTTCTAAGAAAGAAGGCGTGAGTGCAGGATCCCAATGTTGAGTCTTCAAGGCGTGTTTGCTGAACAGTACTAGCTGCAGTTCCAGAAGAAACCCTCTTTCTGCGTCCGTAAGGTTTACATTGTCAAAATAGGCGACTTGATCTTTTCCCCTTACCCCATGCCTGATGAACGATAAGTGCAATGACCTTAAGAGCCTTCCAATAATGCTGGCCCCATCGGAGAGCTCCAGAACTCGTTGAACTGACGTTGTTGATATTAAACCAGCTGCAGTTGTAAGCACCCCGGATTGGATGTGGTGTTCAATGGCCCGCAAGAAGTATGTCACGGCGTCCTCCGGTCGATTTCCAGTTTCGAAAACCTCGCCAATCTTCTCCAATTTCATTCCGAGCAGCCCAGCATCCTTCTCTTCCTTTGATCTTGCGTCTAAAATCTGTACCGATCGTACCATTGCATTCAGCCAGACTTTCGTCTCGTCTCCGTTTTTCTTGCGTTGTATGTGGTAGGCCCAGTAGATATTTGAAACTCGCACAAGTGGATACTGCAAATCGTGATGTAACTTCAATGCATTGATATCGTTAGTGTCGGGCCCTCCTTGGAGCTCAAGAAGAACAGAGGTATAGCTTTGGAGGATGGTGTCGAGCTCATCCCACGAAACCGTCTGTGATGAGACTGATAGTTTGGAGGCCAAGGTGACGGACTCGGTGATTCCTTTAATGACTTTCAAGGCCATATTGATCCGCTCGCCATGTCGGATTAGGGCCTTGGCGTCCGCGATATCAGGCACCTTTCCGACATACCGAGCCACAAATCGAGTGCAAGCAGATACGAGGGAAAAGAGAAGTTGAAGGGAAGTCGATGGTGAAGGCGCTGTGGATCGATTCAATAACGTGGTTGCAGATAACACTCTGGTGGCTATGCGCCGAAGTCCAACCACCTCCGTGAAAAGCGTATCCAAATCATTAGAACCGCCTGACAGGCTACCGCCTAGTGAAGCTAGTGCCTCTCCAATCGGTTCTTCGATATCGATATCCTGGCCCTGCAGAAGCTTCGACTCTAAGGACAACGCTGCACAGCGGACAAGTCGTGCAGCTGATCTTGACGCAGAACTAGATGCGGCTTTTTGAGGGGAGGGAGATTCCGCCCATTGAAGAGCTTCGTCGGTCAAAGATGCCGCCTGAGCGAGCGAGCTCAAAGTGCGGGTAATCGCGGCGAACGCAGATGAGCTATGGCTATATATCGAGGCCCCGTCCTGGATTTCCTGGAACTCCTTTCTAGCCAGATCATACTTTTCTGATGCTAGACTTGAAGATCGCCGCGCAAAAGTAGAGAGGCACTTCGCAAATGGCTCCAAAAGTTCCTTTCCAAGGTCGCCCTCATGTTTCGCAAGTCTCCACCATCTTTGACGGATTTGGAAAGCTAGTGATTGCAGCTGGAATGTTACATCGGGACTTGGCCTGAGCTGTTCATTGCACGCCAACGTATCTTCAGAGCTAGATACGCTGGGGCACAACGAGAGGATAGCCTGGGCTAGGGACTCAAGCTGCCTAGCCAACTTGCTGACGGATTCGATTGATTTCGCAAGGTGCGATATCAGGTTTGCTGGAGAGGACTGTTGAGAGAATGCGAGGTATCCAAGAGCCGCATTGATGACATTCGGTCGCTTTGATGCCGCAATTGCTCGCAATACATGTGTTTGATAGCTCACGACTATAGGTAGTGCGAGGCTACTTGTGTCGACATTGGCAAAATGCAACAATGTGGCCAGCGTCTCCTCTGGCTGGGGGGTGGGCGTCTTGGTCGCAGGTTTGCGCTTCAAACTTTTTGTACCCGTCTCCTCCTCATTACTGCCCATGTATGTCTCTAACCGTCTCTTCAGAATGCGCAGTTCTTTAATTGCCGCGCCATCCAGCCCATGTGCAAGCAACTTCCCAATCAAAGCCAACATTCCACTTTCCAACTGCAACGCTGGCATTCCTTTTCCTGCAAGTTTCGCTGCCTCAGAAGTCCTCAAATATTGGAATGCTATTCTCGCACACTCTCCAACCGCTATGATACCAGGGGCAGGCCCTGACCTTGAATATGAAGAGTATGAGGATGACCGTCGAAGGGATGATTTCTTTCGTGGTGAATTCGTCAGATCGGTGACACTTCGTTCCTGGAGGGGCTTCTGAGAGTATGAGGAGCTTCGTGATAGCGGCGCATGTGCTTGCGAAGTCGAAGAAGGGTTGCGCGCGTGAGCAGCTGTTGTTGAAGCATGGCTTTTCGCAGAATCGACCCGTCTAAGGGATTTTGACTGAGGTTTGAGGGCATCGCTAAGAGACTTCAGGGTACTGTTGACTACATCGGTAGCCAGAACGAATTTCTCCTTTGGTAATAGGGGTTGTTCTAGTTCTTCGACGACTTCAACCACTGCTACCTTGGCCTTGGCCTTCGTTCTCGGCGGTATTTTTGTTCGTGCAGTAGCGGTGACCGTGACCGATCGCGAGCTCTTGAGTCTGACATTCTCCTTCTGGTCTTCTGTGGTCGGTAGAGGATTCAAGAGCTCTTGTAAGCTGTTGGTGGTTGTAGAAGTGCAAGTTGAGATGGAAGCAACTGCAGTTCTGATGCTGTCGGCTAGGGTACGCGCCGAAACTTTCGCTGTGGACATGGCGGGTCAATGAGGGGCTAGGTAATGCGAGAGCTTCAAACCTCTCAAATATGTAGGCAATTACACATTATTAAGAAGAGACGTTGTGAAAGTGAGGTGTTGAAGAGCTGGAGGTCAACTGTTTACCAACAGTTACGCGCCTTGGCAACAACCCGCACGGGCCCACCATTCACTGCTTAACCCATAGATGACATAACCAGATTGTTCAGAACTCCCGAGCTTAATTCGAGTCTTGAAAGCTGTATCGGCACAGTGTATATTGGAGTGATGTTAGGTTAAGGGACAACAAGTTCTAGCACCTTCACCGCACGCTGCTTTCCAGGGGTTTTGATATCAAATCCAATCAAAAGCATAAATTAGCCCTACAGCTATGTTCACCCACTCATGATAGGAAAGTTTCGAAACTCATTTCTTTCAAACAGATATTGAAGACTGCAATTGCCAGCCAACGCCCAAAGTTGCGCCTGCTTCCGTCCCTGATATCATCCGAAGTCATCCCAAAATTTACGCCGGTCTTAAATTGAACTGCTCATTACCGCGGAAACGGCTGATATTCATGCTCCCTCAGAGGTAGGCCCCCGCCGAGGCTGTTGAACGCTTGTGTCCGAGGCGTCATCGGGCTCTTCATTCCGCCGGCTGTTCCGGGCGTCCGCGGCAACTGCTGCAGCTCCCACATATGCTGCCACTGCTGTTCAGCGGTCATACCCTCTTCGACAGGCGACCACTTCTCCTTCTCGGCCTTCTTCTCGGCTTCCTTCTCAGCGTGCGCGAGTTTCTGTTCCTTAGAGGGGATCATGGACCAGATGCTGACGAGGGCGTGAATAACGAACATCGTACTATGAAGAAATTAGCTCTGATGTTGGAAGAATGGGGCGATGGTAGAAGCATAAGAGCGGGGTACCAACAGCATCACAACGCTAACAGCGAAAGTCGACTTCGCTTGCATGCAGTATCCTTTGAGCGAGTGGGTTGACGCGATGTTGCAGTTTTTCGTGATATACCACGGAGCACCGTGATTCTGGCGATTGGGGTCGATTGTGTCCGGAGAGGTCTGCGCGTAAATGCTGTACGACCACAGACCTATGAGCAGGAAGTGGACAAGCATAGAAATGATAGGCCAGAAGACATGTAGGATGAACATGGTGAACTTGGTCAGGTGTATGAACATGCTCAATACGCCAACAACGAGGTTGAATTGAGTAATACTGGGACATGTTAGCGACCCGCTCAACGACGACCAGTCATAGGAGGCTTACAATGAACTCCATACGAGCGGGATGTGGACGGGTCGGTAATTGGCATAGGCGTATAGAATCGTCGTCGGGTCGCTGTTGAACCCAAGGTCCCCGCCTTCTTGCCAGAGCTTGGTGCGGTACAGATTCGGTGATGCTATACCGGTCAGAGCTAGAACGGCGACAGTAAAGGGAAACTCGAGGATCAAAAGCGCCCAGATGATCTTGTGCATGCGCCAATGTCTAGGGATGAAGAATCTCGCCATGGTGGTTGCGTCGTTGGTGAGGAACTGATATGGTGCGGGATTTCTGCGGAAGATAGACCCGTGATCGCTATCGCACGGCTATGATATCGGCGATGATATCGGCGTTCGGCCTGGAGGGGCGTACAGCTGCACAGGGCGTCGTCACAGAGCTACCGGACAGCAGAGGCGGAGGGGTCGCGATGGGAGCTGCGATGAAGCTTGATGGACAGGCGAGGAAGGGTGAGAAAGCGGCCGTTAAGAGGTCTTCGCGGATGGCGCCCGCCGCTGCAGGTCAGGCGAGCCGTCGAACGAGCCCATTCACAGGCCTGGGGGCAGCGGTTCTGCGCATTCTGTGAGAGGCAGAGAGGTGGCAGACAGCCGCTGACTGGGTCCTGGTCCGCAGGGGAAAGATGTGATGTGGCAGCCGCCCGCCAATTAGAACACTTCTACACATCGAGTTATGCGGGAGCCAGATGTGATCCATTGCACGCCATGCCGACAATGGTTAGTTAGTCAAGGGCCGAGCTTTGTGACATCTCCGCAGAGGGCGGCCCTTGCGCCCTCAATATCGAGGCCGAGCCGGATTGGTTGAAGTTGATGATCATTGGTGGAGTAGTCAGTATGATCAGTGACAAAGATCAAGAGTCTTTCGCAGAACGAAGCACCATGGAAATGCTCAACATCATATTGGATACTTCTCTTAGCCTTTGGTGTACTCAGACGAGTCAACCGACGCTTTCGTCGCTAGAAAAATTACGGTGTTTTTCTGTGTTCATGGATGTTTAAAGCATGGAGAGCAATAGAAATGTTAGTACCCGTCTCAAAGCTACCGCGTCAACGCAATGTTATATATATATATATTCTAGGTGTGCATCGTGTACAGAAAGAGGTCCGAACTTATGAGCGAGTCAACATCGATCGCAAGTCGGCAGTGATGGTGAATAGCCTATTTCGCGTGACATGAACGACCAGCATGCATTCCCGGGGCACCTACTCGTAAAACCGAACCTCTGGATACTTGTCGCTCGGCCCCTCCAGTATCTTCTTCTCCTCCCTTCTTAGCACAAACCCCAAGAAAGCCTCCACATATGTGGTCACAATCTCTAAAGCCCGGTGCCCCTCAATCTTTCCGACATTCGGTTCCAGGTCCGGCGGAAGACTCAGTCCACCTAACTCCAGTAGTAACGGCGCGTCAGAGTATGTGAAGTGTCCTGAATTGGCGATATCCAGCTCCTCCCTCCAGCCTTCAAAGCGCCCCCAAGCGTCCTGCCACGTAGTATCCGTTGACCTGTTGTGGTCTCCGCGTCCAAGGAGCAGTACAGGCCTTTGGGTGGTGCTGTTGATGGAATACAGCGCGCCATCCATATCAATGGCTCCCAGTAATCTTCTCTCGAATTGGAGAGCAGCAACAGCGGTAGCACCGCCGATGGAATGGCCGAATGCGGCAGCTTTCTCCGTATTAAAGGCGCAGCGTGCTCCGGGGAGGAGTTGCCTCACCACCGAAGCATCGCTGAGTTGGTCTAACACGAATCTCGCATCGGCTACACGTGTTGCGACTGCTTTCTCTGGATTCGACGAGTCGTTCCTGATGCTAGCTCCGAAGATGACTCGGCCGTCGGGGAACTCAACGATATTCGTATCGTAGGGGTGATCGATAGAGACAACGGCGTAGCCTGTGCTCGCGATAGATTGTGCAATTGCGTTGCCCAGGAAGCGCGGTGATCCCAAACCAGGCGAAAATATAACGAGCGGGTAGTAGCGAGGATCGTGGATTGCGTTGCGGTGGTCTGGGGTGCAAGTTTGCAATTTCATAGACTCGAAGGTTCCGTTCGGGAGGCCAAAGTCGGTGTCTTCAAATGCCGCGGTCTTTGGAGGCATGTAGTCCACGAGAGACGTCTTGGGGCAGCCTTGAGGGTCAATAGGATAGAATATAGAGACCATAATGGCTCTGTTAGATCCATCGGTCGCATAAGGGTCCTTCCGTGATGTATCAACCAGCTCCATGGTGTTCAGGTAAGTTTTGTATTGGCCCGCGGGCTTTGGTATGATAATGTCTGCTGGAACGAGAAGACTACTAAGCAGCAACAGCACTAGATTCAAACGCCAATGCCCTAAGGCAGACATGATCCGAGCCATTAGAATTGGGGGGACTCCAGGCGTTAGAAGCTTCGTCCTTGAGAGTTCCTGAGGGTTGTAAAATTTGTGGAATGAACGGGCTTCTGGCGTTAGGCTGTAAGTATTGAGCTGGTGCGGCCAAGAACAGATGTGAAAGTTGAATGAGCAGTGTTAAATAGAACCCACAGACTCTACATCAATCAGCATTTAGACGACCCTCGTCAGACCGACTCATACCCGGGTGGGTTCTATAACGTCACTGTATCACGAAGGAAGCATAATCCTCCGGTGATGCCGTTCTGGATGGCGTGAAGATATAGCCAAAGCTCATAACCTTGAAGTATCCCTTTGAGGCTTATATGGGCTGTTCTATGACGAAATCCCATTCCAAGCTGTGTGTTGCTAAATGGTCTTTTCCTCATGAGGTATTTAGACGAGGAGTACGGAGCTAAACGAGCGGGGAGGTGGAGACAATGCTCTAAATTTGTTGGTACTGAATCCTTCTCAGGGATGAGCTTATTTCCTGAGAGCTGAATTCCTAAGATCATCGGCGATTCGCTCTCTCGGTCACTGCGGTATCGGATGTACCGGAAACATCTCCATCGTACTTCCAACATGACGGCAGACAATGCATCGCGAAGGGCTACATGATGCGCCTGTAAGCTGACATACGGCATACTTTATCTGCCGACCATGCTGTGTGTCGCATCTGTTCCATTCGGGCCTGGCAAATTGCTATATATACTTTTGTTACCTAGGATATTGCGCTAAATATCACCACCACTTCTCACATAGCACGTGGTCAGGGCGCACGGAGTCCTGCTTCTTCAGAAAGTCGACAACATGGTCTGTCATGGTCGGAGGGCCACATACATAGAAGAGCGAAGATTGCCTCTCCTGTATCGTTCCAGCAGCTTCCTCAATATCGCGATCGCTGAGTCGCCGAAAGTGAGTTTGATGTGGAATATCTTTGGCAAATTTCATGTCCCCGGGATGGCCTGTGAAGAACAGGTCAAGGCGCTCCTTTTGTATGTCATCATCTACGGTAAGGGATGATTTGAAGATATCCAACAATCTTGGTAGAAAAAGTATCTCCGATGCTTTTAGGCTTTGCTTTGATATCTTGGTCGCATAAATAAAGCGGTGGTCGAGTTGTACATTGGTTTCGCGAATGTGCGACAGAATAGATACCAGTGGACTAAATCGCCGAATAATCAGCCAGGGTCACTCCAGGTCAATGTGTTTGTTCTCACTTTATCCCGACACCTCCGGCAATGAAGACTACGCGTTTGACTTGGTCTAGATCGACTCCAGGCGGCGGCCAGACAAAGCTGCCTCCAGCGCGCACCTCCAGTTCTTTGCCTAATATCTCATCTGGTGCTCGCCAAAGCCACGCCGCGGGAGGATTCGAGGGGCTGTCTTGTATCGCGAGTTCAAGGTAGGGAAAGCGGGATCCGTCGATAGGGGATTCCGGTGGATAAGACCGAGCGGTTTTTGGAGTCGAAGTAATTGTGAAGCCACCGGCCTTCTTCAAACCGGGTACATGAACATCCAGCCATTGTCCAGGGAGAAACTGCACTAGACAATGCAACGATCAGTACTTGTGAATGAGGTGTGGGAAGGCTATGTACCTTAATACCGCGCTGCTGGTCTTTGACTCTTAGTTTTAGCAATCGAATCCTTTCGTTCACAGGTTCAATGCTGTCTAGAATGACAGAATGAAGATCTGGGTCTCGGACCTCAGCTGCTGTCCGTTCCTCATGGCTCAGGTATCCTGTTGTGGACCGGGTTTGAGCCATGTTGATGCGAATTGGGCGGGGCTTGAGTGTTTGGTGCGATCTCAGGGAAACAAACGCAGTTGCTCGAGCCCGCATAAACATTTTACATGTCGAAAATAGCTATGGTGATTGGTGATGACCGCAAATATACCTCGATACGAAGTAACTAGGCCCGCATTTTCTAGCGCCAAGCTGAAGTGGAGCTTTGACCTCCGCCGTCTCAAGCTGAACTCTTTCTCGACAACTTCAACTTTCTTCCTTATATCCTATATTCAAATCGTACATACATGACTCTAGTCTGCAAACCTGTGCTACAAGAACAATAATCAATTTCATACTCTGTCAACATGACAACTGAAGAAGGTTCCTTCACCACCGATGACGGCTTCAAGCTGTACACAAAGACTTGGAAAGTGTGTACGCCCGTCGATTGCCTTATTCAGCTCTCCCTGATCATCTTATAACGCATCTATTAGACAGCAGGCCCAGCCGTAGCAAGACTCGTATTCATACATGGTTTCAGTGATCATTGTAAGTGATTGACATGTGACACTGTCAGACATAGCGACCATAATACTTATGACTATAGGCAACACGTATGGAGGTTTCTTCCCCACTTTAGCTTCACGTGGAATTGATGTCTATTCATTTGATCAGAGGTAGACTTGCCACTTCCCCAGCCTACCGCCACGGACCGCCAGGCTAACCTCTGGCATAGAGGATGGGGACGATCTGTTCACAAGCCCGCAGAAAAGGGCGACACCGGTCCGACTTCTCGTGTTCTTGCAGACATTGACGGCTTCATAAAATCAGTCCTTCCGTCGCCGGTTCCCCTCTTTCTCATGGGCCACTCGATGGGCGGTGGGGAAGTCCTCTGCTTCGCCGCCAACGGCCCCGCGGAAACCCGCGAGCATATCAGGGGCTACCTACTCGAAAGTCCTTTCGTAGACTTCGACCCAAAGAGCAAGCCATCGTCCATTACCGTAGTGCTGGGGCGATTGGTAGGTAAGCTGATGCCGAAGAGGCAGATGGTCAACGCCCTAGACTGGAAGCTAGTATCCCGAGACCAGGCGGTGGGAATGAGGATTAGGGACGACCCGCTGTGCCACGACACCGGAACGCTGGAGGGCCTTGCCGGACTGCTCGATCGTACCGGAGCACTATCGTCTGGAAAGATTAGAGTGGGAAAGGCGGCTGGTGAGGGCGGAGTGACGAGGATTTCGATAGCCCATGGAACTGCGGATGGGATTTGCAGCTTTGCGGCAACAAAACACCTTGCGAGCCAATTAGAAGCCAAGGACAAGGAATTCAAGCCATACGAAGGCTACTATCACAGGCGTAAGTTCAATCCGCGCACTTTTCTAGCACATACTGATCAGAGGTTATGCAGTGCATGATGAACCCAAGCCCGATGGTGAGAACTATATCAACGATGTCGGCAATTGGATACTGGCACGCATAGACAAGCCAGTCGAAGAAGCTGCTAAGCCGAAGCTTTAACTGGCATTGTGAATGTCAACAGTGTCTAAACTAGCATAGTAGCAATCTCGCATGTAATCATATGAAACCCGAACGAGAATGGGCGTTGGGGTTGAATTCTAGCATTGTGTGAAGTTTTCAGATGAAACCGAGTGATGAATGGGAGCTCTATTAGGTCAACTTTGGACTTGACCTGGGGAGCAAGTGTAAGGAGTCATATTCAACAAGCGCAGAGTTATCTAAAGTGAACACTTCAAGAACGGCAGGTCCTTTTCTAAGTTTAAATAGCCCTAATTTACCATGAATCAAGAGTCCATTGGGCCTACAGAATTCATTTTTACTGTCAACTCTAACTGGATTAAAAGAGAATGCTTGATTTGTTCCTCTATTTGGGGCCGTCACAGATATTAGAAACATCCACTATCAAGGTCCTAGGCAGTTTTATCCAGACCTCACTGCCCTTGCTTCTAACGAATACCTTACTGCCAATAGCATCATATCCATATACGTGGAGAAAGTCAAGATAAACTCGGGCACACGTGTAAATACAAGCATAAATACAGCTTCGTAGCAGCATCGTAGCAGTATCGTAATAGCACGGTCGTGATTGGACAGCAGGACCATGGTTGCAAAGTAGCGAGGAAACGCCGGCTTGCGGTGCTGGAGCTTGGTGGAGTGGAGTGGTAGTGGTAGTGGTGCCGCCGGTTCTTGACGAAGATCCCGTGAAAGGCCCACGGCTTTCTACATTTTATATCAGACTTCAAGATTGAGAGATTCGCCCAAGCCCGCCCTCAGACGACGCAGGCCTCCTCCCCAGCGCCCTGCTCGACGTTTCTTCATGTCACTGCGCAACAGCAATGGCGTGCACCTCTTTAGCTATTTCGGACGCGTGGTTCCTGGCCGCCAGCCATATTACGGGCCCCGTTCACTGCCTTCACCAGCACACGCCTACGCCGCGACAACCCCCCCTTCCCTCCACGCCCTGCAGTCTCGAATCCTCAGGACGTCTACAAAAGGCCAGCACCACCTCGCAACAGACCCGACCACGCTCCTCAATTGGTCCTCGACAGCCCATCGCATGCGACACATATCCCCTCCCGCGATGACCTCCACAACCCAGTCTCGCGGCCACGCCGGCCACCACCACCATGCGCATGACAACACCTATCTCGTTTCCAAGAACAAGAATGACCCCGGTGTGCGGATTACGCGCATCGGGCTCTATGTCAACCTTGGGATGGCTATAAGCAAAGGAGTCGGGGGCTATGTCTTCAACAGCCAAGGTGAATAGGCCACATACTCGCCACCTCAGGGCAGAGCTAAACACCACCAGCACTATCTGCGGACGCCATCCACAGTCTCACCGATATGGTCAGCGATGTCATGACGCTGGCTACCGTCTCGCTGTCCCTGAAGCCGCCCTCGAAGCGCTTCCCCAGTGGATACGGCAAGTTTGAGAGCTTGGGATCGATCGGTGTAAGCGGGTTGCTGCTGTTAGGAGGAGTGCTGATGGGCAAGGCCGCAATTGTTGCCCTCCTCCAGCAGTTCTTCCCCGAGATCGCGCATGAGGCTGCCCATTGGGGGCTGATAGGACATGATCATCATGGACACAGTCACAGCCATTCGGACCTAGGACCGAACATCAATGCCGCATGGCTAGCGGGTGGTTCGATTATGATCAAGGAGTGGCTGTATCGCGCGAGTAAGAATGTCTATTGCCATAATTTTGGGCCGCGCTAACAGCCCCTTCCAGCTCTCAAGGTCGCCAAAGAGCGCAAGTCCTCTGTCCTCGCATCCAACGCATACCACCATCGCGTCGACTCTCTCACTGCATTCGTTGCCCTTCTCCTGATTGCCGGTTCGAACGTCCTGAACAACGCGTCTTGGCTAGACCCAGTCGGCGGTCTAGTCATCTCACTTATGGTTATACAAGCAGGCTGGGGCAACACCAAGGCCGCTTTCTTCGAGCTGGCTGATGTCGGCATCGACGATGAAATGCGAGAGAACGTTAGGAAGTCAGCTACAAAGGCATTAGACACACTAAACACCAGCTCAGCTGCAAACAACGTCGAACTCCGTTCCGTGCAGGGCGTAAAGGCCGGCCAGAACTACCTTATGGATCTTATAGTAGCAGTGCCCGCGAGCTGGACAGTTGAGCAGACACAGGGCGTGGAACAATTGGTCCGGGAACGATTAGGCGCCAAAGTACGCGGCGTGAAGAGGGTCAGGGTGCGCTTCGTGACGAAAGCCGACACGCAAGACTTCATGGACGAGTTCATCGGGCCTGATATCAGTGCTCAGTCGAGCCCGGAGGATAGCTACGACCACGACCACGATCACGATCACGATCACGATCACGATCACGATCACAGCCATGGTCATGACCATGAGCATGAACATGAGCATACAAACGGCAATGGCAAAGTGGTCAAGAGGAAGTAGAACTGTATTATATGTACTTGTCCCGTCTCGCATCTCCAACGTCTGGGAGTTTTGGGTATGGAAGGTTGGAAACGGTGATTTGCATTGGCGATTTGCACATTCTCTGGAGCTTGTGCTTGGTTGGATGGCGTACTTTTCTAATTCCTCCAAATGGTAGGCATATCGCTCTATTCATCGTGTACAGAAATAGGGCAGTGCCGATGTGGATGTTGTATAGAGAACTACTAGACTCGCAAGAACTTCAATTCAGGAGTGTTCCAGTCGATTAGCTTTCCAGATACAAAAGTAGCTAACAATAATTGAATCGATGTGAGATCAGGGTACCACTCAGGATTAAACCGGGGACTGAGCATCCCACGCTGTTCCCGACTGGCGGATAAATTGACGTCGGCGACGCATTACCGGATAAAAACGCTACGTAACTAGTGGAACGTCACACTCACGATGTTTTTTTCTGGAGCTTCATAGCGTGATAAATTATCCGTCCAAGCTACCCATGACATCCCTCGACCTCCTCTTTCCAGCTCAGACCTGTCTCCTCCACATCTCCGATTATGGCTGAATACTACCTGGGCTTCGACCTCAGCACCCAGCAATTGAAAGGTGCCCCGCCCCGAGCTCCAAGCTACCCCACTATCGTACAAAGTACTAACCATACAGCGTCGTTCAGGCATAGCAGTGAAAGCCGACCTCAAACTCGCCTACGAGGCCAAAGTCGACTTCGACGCCGACCTCTCCAAGTATGGCATCAAAAAGGGCGTCCTCACGAACCCGGCCGAGGGCGAGATCTTCGCGCCGGTCGCCATGTGGCTCGACGCGATTGACCTCGTGCTTCAGCGGCTAAAAGAGCAGGGACTCGAGTTCTCGAAGGTCAAGGGCATATCTGGGGCGGGCATGCAGCACGGCACTGTATTCTGGAGCAAAGATGGGGAGACGTTGCTCGAGGGTCTTGATGCGGGCAAGACGTTGTTGGAGCAGTTGGAGGGCAAGAAGAGCGCGTTCAGTCATCCGTACAGCCCGAATTGGCAGGATGCGAGTACACAGGAGCAGTGTGATGCTTTTGATGGGAGATTAGGGAGCCAGGAGAGGTTGGCGGAGGTCACGGGGAGTAAGGCGCACCACGTAAGTAAATATGCTCCTGGATATAGGACTAAGCTGATAAGTTATAGCGATTCAGTGGTCCTCAGATCATGCGATTTCGCCAGAAGCACCCCGAGTCTTATGCAGCTACGGCTAGAATCTCTCTCGTGTCTTCATTCCTAGCCTCGATATTCCTTGGAAAGGTCGCACCAATCGACATTGGGGATGTGTGCGGCATGAACCTCTGGGACATCAAGAAAGGGGGCTGGCATGAGGACCTTATAGCTCTCGCAGCTGGAGACAAAGGGGTTGCAGAGCTTAAGGCCAAGCTGGGCCAAGTCCCAGAAGACGGCGGAGCGAGTTTCGGAAGCATATCCCCATACTTCGTCAGGCGTTACAATTTCTCCCCGTCGACCTCAATCGTTCCTTTTACTGGCGACAACCCCTCTACCATCCTAGCCCTCCCTCTCCGAGCCTCTGACGCCATAGTATCGCTGGGCACTTCTACCACGTTTCTTATGTCCACACCGCAATACAAGCCAGATCCGGCATATCATTTCATGAACCACCCGGCAACAGCAGGCCTCTATATGTTCATGCTCTGCTACAAGAACGGTGGCTTAGCACGTGAGCACATCCGGGACGCTCTGAACTCCCAGTCATCCGACTCGAACTCTAAGACCTGGGACAACTTCAACCAGACCGCCACCAGTACCCCTGTACTCGGCCAAACATCCTCATCCTCTCCCATGCGACTCGGCCTCTTCTTTCCCCGTCCGGAGATCGTCCCCAACGTCAAAGAAGGCACATGGCGCTACCTCTACGACGCGAAATCGGATTCCCTCACTGCCGTCCCACCACAGGAAGCCCGAACGAAGACCGAGGACTCTTCCTGGCCTATTCCCGAAGCAGACGCCCGTGCCATTCTAGAGTCTCAATTCCTCTCTCTACGGCTTCGAAGCCAGAATCTGGTTCATAAACAAGGAAAGCTCCCGCCGCAGCCTCGCCGTATCTACCTGGTCGGCGGTGGTGCTGCGAACCCTGCCATCGCGCAGCTTGCTGGTGAGGTGCTGGGAGGGGCTGAAGGTGTATTCAAGCTCGATATCGGTGGTAATGCTTGTGCACTGGGCTCGGCGTATAAGGCTGCGTGGACCGGGTTGGCAAGAAAGGGGGAGGATTTCGAGGCATTTGTTGAGGAGAGGTGGAACGAGGAGGGATTCGTCAAGAAGATTGCTGACGGGTATCGTGAGGGAGTTTGGGAGAAGTATGGAGAGGCGCTGAAGGGGTTTGAGGAGGTTGAAAATAGAGCATTGGAGGAGAAAGGAGAGGGTAGAGGTAAGCCGAAGGAGATGGGGAGTGCGATTACGAGGGACAGGGATCCTACTGTCAAACATGATTGAGGTAGAAGGCCCTTCAGGAGCTTGGATGTTGCATTAATAGACGAAAAGATTAGTGATGATGCCATAGACGTCAAGACAAGATAAGATCGAATGTTTCTTGTCAAAATAATGTGAATTGGTCGGGGTACTGCCTCCGTAGCCATGCGCTGATGGGTATCTTAAATGGCGAAATAGAGGAAAATAAAGAACAAAATTATCGGAAAGGGGCTCATGAAATCAGCGGCCATCTTCCCTTCACCTTATCAGCCAATCCAGCTCTCGCCGCAATCTCGTGGCCACGCTTCTCGCCTTCCCGCCAAATCTCCTCTTCGTCCATTGTCTTCAGATTCCCATCCTCAACTACCACCTGACCATCTACAACGACCAGTTTGACATCGCCTCCTGTCGCCGAATACACAATCGCGCTGACAGGGCTGTAGTACGGCTGTAAATGAACCTTCCTCATGTCGACTGCCACAAAATCCGCCTTCTTCCCAACCTCAATGCTTCCAATCGAGTCTTCAAGCCCAAGAGCCTTCGCACCATTGATCGTCGCCATCTCCAAAACAGTCTCGGCTGGCACCAACGTCGGATCATATGACTTGGCCTTATGAATGATCCCCGCCAACTTCATCTCTTGCATCAAATCATTCGTATTATTGCAAGGCGCCCCATCCGTCCCTAAGCCCACATTCACGCCCGCATCCAGCAGATCAGGCACACGACAGATCCCCGACGCCAACTTCGCGTTCGATGTCGGACAATGCGCCACATGCGTGTTCGTTTCCGCCAACTTCTTAATATCTGAGTCTTCCAAGTGCACCATATGCACCAGCACCGTACTCGGGCCCAGCAGTCCCACGTTCTCGCAAAACGACATGGGCGTCTGCGGTGGGCTCAGCGAGGCGAAGAACTCCCGGTCCGCTTTCACTTCCGCGCAGTGCATGGTAATCGGGATTTTCCTCTCGCGGGAGAGCGCTGTCATCTCTTTATACAGTGCCTCCGACACGCCGCCGGGGGTTCGAGCACCGAACCACACGCGAATACGGTCGTTGGCGGCTTTGTCCCACGTCTCATGCATTTTAAGAGCACCAAGAAGGGACATCTCGCGGTCTTCGACGAGGCCCGGGTGCATGGCCCATTTGGGGTCTTTGGCGTAGGTGCCGATGTCCATGACGATTTTGCCTAGGCAGCCGCGGATGCCGGACTCGGTGACGGCTTTGCAGAGGCCGTCGAAGCCGTAGCGGTTGGCGAACATGCTCTCGAGGAAGCAGGTGGTGCCGGTTTTGAGCATCTCGGCGATGCTGATGCGTGCGGCGGCGTACCCATCTTCAGGGGTGAAGTTGCCTTGGAGGACCCAGATGCGTTCGCAGAGCCAGGAGACGAGTTCGAGGTCGTCGGCGGCGCCTATACTTTCCATCAGCTCTGTCTCGATTGTGCGATCAAGGAGGGCACTATGTACCTCTTAGAAGAGTCTGAGCTGTATGCATATGCGTTGAGATCAGGCCGGGTATCACGATATGACCATCGAGATCATGCTTCTGCTCCCCTGGATACTTCTTCAACAAGTCGGCCGTCCTACCGACGTCTTTGATCAGATTGCCAGAGACGAAAATGGCACCATTCAAAAATACATCACGGTTCGAATTGACCGTGACGACGGTCGCGTTGATGTACAGCATTCTTGAAGGATGATAGCGCAGTGATGAAGAGAATGAATTGCTGTATTGTCTTGTAAGGTAAAGAGAATAACCAATTTCTAACGGAGATGTCTAGATAGCGATTCTTTGCATCTAATGACAAGGTTCGACGAGATGATATTCGAAGATCAGAACCCTACAGCCAGAATACTTCTCTTCGGCGGGATGGCGGGCACCTCCGCTTACCCACAGGAGGTCCGCGACGCGTTCGCATTTGATGAGTTTTCCCTCCCCATTCAAGCCCATGACACGCAAGAAGGCTTCAAAGCAATAAGAGCGATTTGCTCGCTGTGACGCCTCGTCGGGGTCTTTTTCAACGCTGGCATCTAGACTGCCGCAGCTACGAGCAGGTCTTGACGAAGTCTTCGCGATGTTGAGCCCAGCAAGTAGCCATCGCGTCGGGAGCGGCCGACATGTCGCATTGGCCCGTGAGTGTCCTTTGCGTACGAAGCAAAGGAAGCCGGCATCTTGATTCGTGGTTTGGAAGCAGTTCCAGGCCTTGCCCGAGTCAACACCGTTTCTTATCTTCTCCATCACCCAACCCAAAACACCCAACACCACGTGAGCACACCAGCTCCCACAATCTAGAAGCCCGGGCGGGCGCGTGGGATTGCGATACGAACGCCTCTCACCCACGCGAACAGAACGCCTCCCGCCTGCACTGGCCAGCTCGCTCCCAGCTCACCGGAGTCTCACGACAACCGAACCACAGTGGCGGCCGTCGCCGACGATGCTGCAGCAGAGCTTTGAAGCTCTGGAGCTCGCGCAGACATGTATAAGGCCCAGCATGATTCCATAGGGGATAGAGTAGAAGCATAGACATCACTGTTTATCAGTTTCACATTGACACTTGCCTCCCTTCCTCCTCGCCCCAACCCCACCACTCACAATGTCAGACGAGGGACCAAACACCATTGGCCCTGACCATAGCCCCAAGAAGAACTTTGGATACTACACCAGGATCTTGAAGAGGACCTTCTTGACGAGAGAAGGCCTCCTCGGGAACTATGACTATGCCTATCTCTTTATGCCCAATATTCCCTTTATGGGTAGGAAAACTGTCACTCCTCCATTCTTTGGCTTGAACGACCGCATGCCGGTCTTCTTGGCTCTTCTTCTGGGACTTCAACATTCACTCGCGATGCTAGCGGGCGTAATCACACCGTCACTCATCCTCGGAGGCCCTGCAGGCGTCAACCTCGCACCGGAGCAGCAGCAATATCTCGTCTCCACAGCACTGATCGTCTGTGGAATTCTATCCTCCATTCAGATAACGAGATTTCATATAATGAAGACACCAGTGAGTTTCAATCTCAACTTACAGTGAATTGAGTTGTATGAAAAAGCAAAATGATGAAAAGGGGGCTTTGGTAAGATATATAAAGCACTATCTAACCACTGACAGTACCACATCGGTACTGGTCTCATCTCCGTCGTCGGAACCTCCTTTGCCATCATTCCTGTCGCCTCAGGGGGATTTTCGCAAATGTATGCCAACGGATACTGCAAACTGGCAGCAGACGGTTCTAAATTGCCTTGCCCGGAGGCTTACGGTGCCCTTCTTGGTACTGCCGCAGTCTGCGCCTTAGTTGAAATCTTGCTATCATTCGCTCCTCCCAAGACTCTGCAAAAGATCTTCCCTCCTATTGTCACCGGTCCCACCGTCATGCTGATTGGTGTGTCACTGATCGGTACTGGGTTTGAGGGATGGGCTGGCGGAAGCGGACCTTGTTCGGTTCCTGCTACTGCCGTTGATTTCTTTGCTCTATGTCCAAATATTGGAGCACCACATGCATTGGCCTGGGGATCTGCGGAATATATTGGTATGTCATTCTTGAAACCTCGATTGAGCATTCAAGGCTAATAACTCAAAAGGCCTTGGTTTTTCCGTATTCGTAACAATTCTCATAATGGAACGCTTTGGATCCCCAATCATGAAATCCGCCTCCGTCATCATGGGCCTCCTAGTCGGCTGCATCATTGCAGCCGCATGCGGCTACTTCGATCGCTCAGGCATCGACTCCGTACGTCCTTTACTTCCTTATACTCAACCCCTCACTAACGAACCACTCTCAGGCCCCCGCCGTTTCCTTCATCTGGGTCCACACTTTCCCGCTCTCCGTCTATGGCCCGCTCGTTCTGCCTATGATAACGATCTACATTATCTGCGCCTGCGAAGCCATCGGCGACATCACCGCCACCTGCGACGTGTCCCAGCTCGAAGTCGACGGCGACGTTTTCGACTCCCGCATTCAGGGTGGCATCCTCGCCGACGGCCTCAACGGCCTCCTCGCTGCCCTCTGCACCATCACCCCCATGTCAACTTTCGCGCAAAACAACGGCGTTATTGCGCTTACCCGGTGCGCGAACCGCAAGGCGGGATACTGCTGCTGCCTCTTCCTCATCATCATGGGCGTCTTCGCAAAATTCGCCGCTAGCCTTGTCGCTATCCCCGCGCCGGTACTGGGTGGCATGACGACGTTCCTCTTCTGCGCCGTCGCGGTGTCCGGTATGGCCATCGTAGCACGTGTGCCGTTCTCGCGGCGGAATCGGTTCATCCTCACCGCCGCACTATCAGTGGGCTATGGCGCGACGCTTGTGCCAACGTGGTTCAGCAAGGTATTCACGTATCACGGTGGCAACAAGAGTCTGCGGGGCTTTTATGACGCGATTGTGTTGGTGATGGAGACGGGCTTTGCGGTCACGGCACTGCTTGCTATTTTGCTGAATCTGAGTATTGGGGAGGAGGTCGAGGAGGAGGCCATTATGGTGCAGAGTAAGACGATAGGGGAGCCGGAGGAGAGGGGAAGTGAGGATGCGGAGAAGAGTGTGAGTGGGAAGGGAAAGCGGCCGTTGGCGGGTGCTGAACCTGTTTAGGGGTTTAGGTGGAGTGGAAAAAGGGATGAAAATTGTATAGAGTATCATTACAATTGTACGAGTTTTAGCACTTCAGAAATAGCGTCAAGGGACCCCTGAACTGTGAAATTGCTAAGCGGCATGACTGACATTCAGTCTCTTTCGCAAGTCGATGTAGTGAAATGAAGTGCTGGCGCCAGTACCTTGATTCGAGAGAAAGTTTAGCAAGTGACATGTTTGACGTTTGAATTCAAATGTGCCCACCTTTACATTCACATTTTCAGATCATCCCATCCCTGGCGATGTCTCCCGCAGCTATTTACACCCCTAATCACATTCTCGAGGTCTGGTTTGCTCCCTCCAAATATTTACGTTCGCTTTTCAATTCTCCACTCCCTAGGGGTATCTTTCATCGGTGTCTATACCCCCAAACCACACTTCTACACGACTTGATATTAAACTTCTGTAGCGATTGGATTTGTATTTTAATTAGTGGCGTCACGGGGTTTACATGTTGGAATCAAGGCACGATTGGTCCTCTCCAGCTCATCACTTTGGCCACTGCTAACATCACTGGAGCACCCCAAACGGCGTCAAGTAAGTGTCAACGGCTACAAAGCCACAGCAATAAAGGGCGCTCCTCAGTCTTCCCTATATGAGCCATCCATCAAACGCTATGATAATTCTAGCTTATCATTTGTAGGGCAACTCTTAGAGATGTGTGCAGGGTCATATCTCGTGATGCTGCCTGCCTTTCGATTTCTACTCGCATCACACGAACTTTCCTCCTCACCTCAAACCTACCTGCCATCAGCGTGACTTCCTCACTGGCAGGAACGCTCCATGCTTTTTTATAAGGAAAATTCTCTCTCATTTCGCTTTCTTCTTTACATCATTACCAACACAGCTTTTGGTGTCGTCAACAGATCCATCCATCAGTCCAGCATCCATTCGCCTTGCCTCAAATCTCATCGTTTCTTCTGCAGCAACCCAAATTGCATACCTCGTTCTTATCTTTTACACAGCCAGCAAACTCGTCGAAGACCACCCCGCCGTGCCAAATCCGGATAACTTCGCCGCCATGTCTGGAGAAAAGTCACACGTCTCCTTTGCGGATGAAGCCCTCAGCTCCTTTGCAGACGAGAATCCGACCGAGCTCACATCCCCCGAGCCGAAACCCTCCGATCGAGTTTTTATCGATTGGGATGCTATGGCCAAATCAACCCAATCCTACGAGCCTCCAACCATGCAGCCGTCTCCAGCCCTTTGTCCATATTCAACCATGCCGCCGCCTCCTACGACGCAGCCGGCCCCAAACATGCCAACTAGGGGCTCCCGCACCTGGAAGCGTCTGCTCAGCTCGGCCTCGAACTCATCACAAACGCTCGTCTTTGTGGCTTCTGCCATCACCACAATTTGTTGGGCCTTCATACTTGGGATGATGGTTGCGGCGCCAACAGATAAATGGGATCAAAGGAGCAACTGGGACCGCTTCTTTCGCTGCTTCGTACTCGCCTGGACATCTCTCAGCATACTGCTCGGCACGGCCCAAATTCTTGTCCAGGGGCGTCACCTACCCGATCCAATCACCAGACAATTAGTGATTGTTCTCGCTGCAGCCGTAGTATTGGCCTGCCTTTCGCTTGTGGTGGAGATTCGCAGATGGTACCTCTAGGTGTGCAAATGGGACAGGACCGAGGGTTGACTTGAAGCCGGCGGCCTTTTCATAACGGAAGCAGGATGTCGGGTGCTGATTGCTGTTGGGTTTCTACGAGGAGAACCCGGTATTGAGCGCAAAATCAGGCAGGCTTTGGGGCACGGAAAGGGATACGGAGGATTAATAGCTTTCATCATCACAGTTTGACGATCGCTTGCCCTTGTCTGAGGTTCTTCCGAACAAAATGTGATTTCCGTGAAAGCGTGATCGAGGCTTGCATTTATAAGATTTGCTCGATTACTTACCTTATAAAGCTACCTTAGAGCAAGTACCTGTATTCTAGTACGACGCCGAAGTAGTCGTGATTCCGACCGTATAACCCTATGACAGAGTGTGAAGGGCCCAAATTGCACACCAAACGGTGATCTCGGGTCCGATCCCACAAGCCAATGGGGCGCACCGGTCATCAACTCGTATAGACACCGCAGGAAGCTGAGTTCTTCAGCCTCTTCTAGCGAGTCCGGCCATACAACCTGAGGCAAATCAGCCCTGGGAAAGATGAGGAAGGCTTGAAGCTTCGAGTTCAGGATATATGCCGTGCTGGATCATCAACGTCGGTCAAAGTCATCTAAGAAGCATTGATGCGAGATGGCCGTGCTTGTGTCGAAGGTGAGCGTACGAAGTACAGAGGTCTCACAGTTCTGGGTCTCATGTCCGAGTCATGTCCGAGCAGTTGACTCCCTTCACACTTCACACGTCCTTCCCCCTTCCACTCTCCACGGGCCTCCATCGCACGGCATCGCGCGCAAGACTCTTTGAATGGAAAGCACTACGAATTCCAGAAAAAGAAGTTTCTGAAGGCCTCAGGCCTCTGGTGGGGCTTCTCCCAAGGTTCACCGGCAATTATCTCCACTTCGTCCCCCACAATCCCCGCCGAACTTGTTGGCTAGATTGTGCCGATTGCCTTGAGATGTGGATACATGTGGATGGTATCCCGAGTATTCCTATATTAAGAGTATCGATCGCGTCTAGTCGCCGGCGTCATATCTATTAGAAGCCATGGTTCATTATCACCACAACCATAGTCCTGAGAAGCGGCTCAGTCTCGACCTTGATATTTAAAGACAATGTTATAGGCGACCCACGTCCACGGATTTCCTCCACCATCAATCCCACCAATGTCTTCATTGCGATATGCAACAAGCCTTTCGGCCTCGAGCGATTTGAAATGCCCAGCATTATGGACTCATTCCTGAAAGGGAAATAACTGAGATGAGGTGCTAGTAGAGTGTGATCTCCCGTCACTACCTCTAACACAAATTTTCTAGTATCAGTGACGCAGCAGTGTGTAGACGGAGTTTCGATGGCGATAGACAAATTGGAGGTGCCATAATCGTCCTTTATCATAAATGTTCCCCGTCAATGAAAACTTCATATTGCATTCCTTCTCTGCTATTTCCAGGTCGTAGGCCTTTCTTTCTTGAATTTCTTCTATTCTCATCGGTGGTGGGAGAATGGATGTCGAATCTGCGGCCATCAAAGCCACCGGTGTACAGCCCCAGTCATCTGATAATCTTTCTCTCAAGCCTATTCCTCGAACTCAATTGAACTCATGGGACCTCAATTTACCCGAAGACAAAGACAAACTCGGATCGGAAGACTCAGGTGGTGAAAGATCGCACCATGTAGAGTCAAATATTGAGCAGATTCAAGATGAGGAGGAAGAAAACTCGCCATACCCAGAGGTCAGGGCAGTGGTCCCTAATTATGATAAGGAACTGCCCGCAAATACCATTCGCGCATGGTTTCTAGGCATCCTCCTCTCTGTGCTTGGCGCAGCGGTTAACACTGTGTTTGGGTTGAGACAACCTCATATCAGCATTGGAGTCATGACAGCTCAGTTGGTTGCATACGTGCTAGGCAAGGCGTGGGCTCGGTTTGTTCCTTCTAGAGAGCACAACACGTTTGGTGTCAAGTGGAACCTTAATCCTGGCCCATTCAATGTCAAGGAGCACACCATCATTGGTGTTATGGCCGGGGTATCCTTTTCGACCGCTTACGCGACAGACATCATTCTTGCCCAAGTTGTTTTTTACAAGCAAGACTTCGGAATGGCGTTTCAAATTCTGCTCGTCATTACTACTCAAAGTATCGGGTACGGTATTGCGGGTCTCTTCCGGAAATTCTTAGTTTACCCAGCAGCCATGTTGTGGCCACAGGCCCTAGTCGGCGTTAGCCTCATGCATGCTATGCACGACGACAATGAAGAGTTGGACCCGACGGTGTTTGGTGGGAATATGTCGAGATTCAAGTGGTTTGGTATTATTACCATCGTGTCGTATCTGTAAGAGCCCCCAAAGATGACGTTGATGTCTCGATGAATTGTTAACAAGTCCCACTTCAGATATTATTGGATTCCCGGGTTTCTGGCCCAATTCCTTAGCATATGCACCTTCATGACCTGGATATACCCAAAAAACCCTGTCACAAATCAGTTGTTCGGAGGCACGACCGGCCTTGGACTTCTTCCTGTTACGTTCGATTGGACCACCATTACTGGCTTTACCGGCAGCCCTCTGATCCCGCCATGGCATGCAATTGCCAACACCTTGATTGGGGTAGTGAGCTTTTATATAATTGGCACTGCTGGCTTGCACTTTGGCGGTGCCTGGTATGCGAAGTTTCTACCCATCAGCGACTCTTCAACCTACGATAATACCGGAGTCCGCTACAATGTTTCGAAGGTCACAACATCTCAACTTACATTGGACGAAGCTGCGTATAAAACTTATTCGCCACTGTTCCTGTCGACAACATTTGCTCTCACTTACGGGCTGTCTTTTGCCACGATCTCATCTCTGGTGGTTTACGTATGGCTGAATCATCGCCATGAAATCACGAGACAATTCCAAAGCTCAAAGGAAGAGAAGCCCGACGTTCATATGAAGATGATACTGAAGTATCCAGAAGCGCCTGTGTGGTGGTACATCGTTCTATTCGCGCTCATGCTGGCACTGTCGCTCGTTGTGGTGCTTGCCTATCCGACCGAGTTCGCCTGGTGGGCATTCCTATTTTGCATCATCTTCGCGACTGTCATGGCATTGCCTTGCGGCATCATCCAAGCAATCACGGCCCAGAACATCTCTCTCAATGTTATCACCGAGTTCATCATGGGATATATGCAGCCCGGGAAGCCGATAGCCTTGATGATGTTCAAGACCTACGGATACATCACCGTAACCCAAGCCCTTCATTTCACAGGTGACTTGAAACTGTAGGCCACCTTCGTAATCCCGTCCAAATTCCGCCTGATTGAATAAAGCTGATTACTATTTAGTGGACACTACATGAAGATACCTCCACGGACAATGTTCACAGCCCAAGTCGTTGCCACAACCCTAGCCTGCATCGTCCAAGTCTACACCCTGAACTTTGCCTTAAACAACATCGAAGGCATCTGCACCATCGAACAGAAGCAGCGCTTCACCTGTCCCGGCGGCCGCGTTTTCTTCTCTGCCTCCGTGATCTGGGGCCTGCTCGGTCCCCAGCGGATGTTTAGCCCTGGCCAAACCTACTCCGCGCTGCTCTGGTTCTTCCCCTTCGGCGTCGCCCTATCACTCATCCTCCACTTTGCAGCAAAACGCCTGCCGAAATCCCCGCTCAAGTACGCCATGGCGCCGGTGATCCTCGGAGGCGGCACCAACATTCCGCCCGCGTCGCCGATGAACTACTTGACGTGGGGCATGGTTGGCTTCGTGTTTCAGTGGTATATCCGCACGAGGCATTTGAGGTGGTGGTCACGCCTGAACTATATTACGGCGACGGCGCTGGGGACTGGGTTGGCCTTGAGTACGCTGACGATTTTTGTTATTTTCACGCTCAATCGGATTGATGCGCCGCGTTGGTGGTAAGTGGATTTCCGGATACTTGCCTCTTCGTGGTTAGATATGGGAATTGGGCTGACCGGAAGTGTGAATTGTAGGGGCAATACCGTCATCCACACTACCATGGATGTAGCGAATACCGCTGTTCAGGCAAAGGTTGCACCTGGCGATACTTTTGGGCCCAAAGAGTGGTAGTGTGTAAGATGCATGATGATTAAAGTCAGCTTTTCAAGTTTTTGCTTCTTTCGAGTGGCCACATGTTTTATATTCTTTCAGTTCCATACTGTTTATGAGTAGCCCTATCGATCCAGACAATCCTCAGCTCTAGCATCAACCCTCCTCCTATATCAGCAACCCCCAACACCCCCCTACATCTTATGCCCTGTCTTCCCCACCGCCCGCCTAAACCCCTCCGTCCCTTCACAATCCCCCAACCACTTCTCCACCGCCGGCCAGCTCCTCCCCTTAGTCCCCAGCTGCCGCGCCAGGATAAAGCTCAGCGAAAAATGCATCATAATATCCGCCGCCGTTACCTCGTCCCCCAGCAAAAACCTCCCCTTACTCGCCTTCAATTCCGCCTCCAGCCAATCGATATCATTCTGCACGTTCCCCGCCATCTGCGCCTCCATCGCCTCCAGCGTCCTGCCATCCGCCTTCACCGCCTCGGGCAGCGTCCACCGTGCATAGAGCACCGCGATGCCGTGCAGCGCGAACGTCGCTTCGGAGGCGTGGATCCATTGCTGGACTTTTACGCGGGCGGGCTCGTTGACGCTCGACGGGATCAGCCTATTCTCTTTATCGTATTTCTCGCATAGGTATCTTGTCGCCCCGAGAATGTTAGTGTTTCTTCGTATAGTTTTGGGGGTGGGGGGCTGGGGTAGGAGGGAGTTTGCGTACTCGGTGATCGCGCCGCTTTCGTAGATTGTGAGGTCGCCGTCTTGGATCGTGGGCGCTTTGCCGAGGGGGCTCCCGGCGGCTTCTTTGAGGGATTGCGGCGCTTTGCCTTCTGGGGTGCGGTCGAAGAATTTGACGGTGTAGGGGAGCTGCAGCTCTTCGAGGAGCCAGGCGGTGCGGATGGAGCGGGAGGCTTGGAGGAACCAGAGGGTTATTGGGGGCATTTTGGGGTTTTTGGAGGGGTTTGGAGTGGTGGTTGGAGTTTAGAGGTGATGTGTGAGTGGTACATTGGTGGGAAGTGGGATTTTTGGTTGTTCTCGGGACGGATGGAAGAAATAGATATGCTGTGTTCACAAACACGTCATTAATTCACCCCCGCAAAGGCTAGTGGCTAGCTTTGTGGAACCAGAGCAGGGCCGAATTATGGGACCTGGGAGCGGCATGTGTGAAGACCACTGCAAAGGTACATGGAATTTTGAAGCTATTTGGAATTTTAGATGAGGCTGGACGGGAACAGGAAGATAGATCGTGAGTTAATTTAGACTAGCGTGTGGGGGGTTCGATGTCTTACTGGGCTTGCTGACTGCATTGCATAGGATATATGCGCCTAATCTTCGATCATTGGAGTCTTAGCTTTACGTCTCCCCGGATTCCTTCCCAAGTCCCTTGGCTGCTCTTCATACAGCTCCCGGACTTGTTCGCAGCACCTCCAGATCCTAGCCCTGCTTGCTAGCCCAGAAAGGTCCAAGTCGAGTTTCCGCTCAGGCGTGATGCCCCTATCAAAAGTCAGTTACCACAAGAAGTTACACGAATGCAAAGGGAAGAGTAACATGCCCGCTGCCAACTTCAAGACCACTCCATTCCTTAGGAAAGCTCAAGTAATCCAATTTCCCATACACAACATGCCAGTCCACCTCCTCCGGGTAGTCTTTTTTCTCGTCAAGCTCCCATATCCATGGCATATCGACAAGGATACGCTTCTTCCAGACCCACTGTGACTGGCTTGCGAGTCGGGCCGCGCGTGATGAGAGGAAGAAGGGCAGCAGGGATTCTTGAGGGAGTTGCATAATGATTTCGACGAGGAGTTCCAGTGGGATTTGAGCGAAGGGGTCTTTGGTTGGGTCGCTAGCTTTCTCCTTTCGTGGAGGTGCGGCGCGAGGCATGTTGTTCAAAAACTTTGGAATTGCGGGAATGTCGATTGGGTCAATGTACCAGGGCTGTTTGGAGTTATTATCTATGATGATCCCTAGAGGTACCTTACTTTGGCACGTATAGAGACAGCCCAGGGGAAATCGACGAACACAAATATCGAGAGAACATATATTTCAGATGAGAAAATGTATAGATGCTTAGTAAAACATGGACGATGATAAGAGAGGCTAAAGGCGTATACTAGGATACTTGAGAAAAGTGTTGTGATGTCGAACTAAAACTTACCTCATACCCTCTACTCGTGCCCCAGAACTGCTCTCGCACAGCCCCCGCGAATTGATAATAGTCTAGGAACAGACTCGAGTTGTTGTACTCCCTAGGGTCTCTTTCGGTGTCGAGGCCACCTCGTTTGGTGCCCAATGCATCATACAGAGTAGCAATACCGATCTCTCCATCAGGCTCCCCGGAAACGACGCGCCGGATCATCTGGAGACATCGGTCGTGGAAAGGCAATGGAAAGTCGATCAATTCGTCACCGGTTGAGATCACGTTTGTGTATCTATTACTGTCAGAAGCGCCGCATCGTGACTTTGTGATATGAAATTGGTCAATGGGAGATCACCGGTTGCAAGCAGAAAACAAATTTCAAGATTTAACAAGAAAAACTTACACCGAAAGCTGCAACTTCCAATTCCAAGCCGAGTAATAGTTCTGAACGTCCGGCCCGTCCGCTGTCAAGACATTCGGATGATCACCGAACTCCACTTCAGCTCCGCCATAATCCTCTGCACTACCGAGGCCAGTGAGGAAGACCCTGCGAATAATGACCGCGTTAGAAAGATCCTAAATGTAGAGAGGGTACCACCAGGTAGAAGTTAAACTCACCCTCTGCCCACCTTCTCGTGCGGGTTATGCCCCAGCAGCCTCAAATGCTTCATCCAGTCCGTACTCTCATGCGAACAAATGATGGAATCCAGCCATCCTTCATCTAAATCATCTGGTACCTCATGCTTACCTCCCTTCTCGAGCAGTTTTCGAATGCGCGCCCATTCTTCGGGGGGTGGAAGGTGATGCCGTAGTGTGAAACCGCCTCCACAACAGGCGCAGTAATAATCCCAACTACCCATTTTACGAGATATTTTGATGAGTGAAGTATGAGAGCAGCACTTATATGATCGAGGGGAGCTAGGCAGACGCGACGGCGAACTTGAGATGACGATGGTGTGCAGGGAAGTCGGAAGTACGGGCAAGGATAGATAGGCACCGAGCGATCTAGTGAGATCGCGAAGGATTCCTTGGCTGGCTGGATCATTCCCTGAAGGTTAACAAACGGTACAAAGGCAAGCAAAACAAGTATAACACCCTTAAGCCTTCCTAAAAAGACGTGTATACCACTTTTCAACGAAAATTAAATATGAATTCATGTTTTTTTCATTTTCCAGAAACTACCGAAGGATAACCCATCTAATGGCAGGTAAAGGACTCATAGAGTACACAGATTTGAAACCCTCCAATCATCCCCAGGTCAGCAATGAGACGCCTTCTGATCCAGACCAAAAGATGCATCCGCCGCATCTATCGCATCATTACTAGTTCAGAAATGAAAGGGATGAAGGGCATGAGAAAAAGGGAGACATAACACATGAGGAGCTGTGGAGGGGGAATCATAGCGCCAAACCAACTTTTGTACCGATCGATGCGTCTAGTCAACCTCCTCCATTGCGCTCTCGCCGGCAGCCTCAGCAGGAGCAGCGTCGTCCGCCTTCGCCTCATCCGTAGTCTCAACCTCCTCGTCCACGTTCAGGCCGAGAGAGACGAGCTTGTGAATGCGCTCAGCATACTGGACGGGCTCGTCGATGGTGAAGCCGGAAACGAGAAGTGAGGTCTCGAACAGAAGGAGGGTGATGGACTTGACAGTGCGGTCCTCCTCGCCGTCGGCCTCAACCTTGCGCTTCAACTCCTTAATGATGGGAGACTTGGGAGAGATTTCGAAAGTCTTCTTCGACGACATGTACGAGCTCATTGAAGTATCACGGAGAGCCTGCGCCTTCATGATACGCTCCATGTTGGCAGACCAACCGAATTGGCCGGTACGGATGGCACACGGGGAGCCGATCAGCTTGTGGCTGATGATGACTTTCTCGACGCGCTCGCCGAGGACGTTCTTCAGGCTCTTGGCAAGGCCTTCGTATTCCTTCTCCTCGGCCTCACGGGCAGCCTTCTCCTCTTCGGTCTCCTCAAGCTCGAAGTCCTTGGTGATGTCGACCAGCTTCTTGCCATCGAACTCCTTGAGCTGGGTCATGGCGTACTCGTCGATCGGGTCGACAAGGAACAGGACCTCGAATCCCTTCTCCTTGAGGGAGTCCAGGAAAGGAGACTTCTGCACGGCCTTGAGCGACTCGCCAGTGATGTAGTACATGTTCTTCTGGTGCTCAGGCATGCGGGTGATGTAGTCAGCAAGCGAGGTGATCTCGTCGCCAGACTTGGTCGAGTTGAATCGGAGGAGCTTGGCCAGGGCTTGACGGTTCTGGGAGTCCTCGTGAATACCGAGCTTGATGTTCTTGCTGAAAGCAGTGTAGAACTTGTCGAACTGCTCACGGTCTTCGGCGATCTCGTTGAACAGCTCTAGGGTCTTCTTGACAACGTTCTTGCGGATGACCTTCATGATCTTGTTCTGCTGAAGAGTCTCACGAGACAGGTTCAGCGGCAGATCCTCGGAGTCAACAACGCCCTTGACGAAGCTGAGCCACTCGGGAATGAGATCCGTAGCATCATCAGTAATGAAGACACGGCGGACGTACAACTTGATGTTGTTCTTGGTCTTCTTAGTCTCGAAAAGGTCGAAGGGTGCCCGCTTGGGAACGAAAAGAATGGCGCGGAACTCGAGCTGACCCTCAACGGAGAAGTGCTTGACGGCAAGATGGTCTTCCCAGTCGTTGGAGAGGGACTTGTAGAAAGAGGCGTACTCCTCCTGGGTGATGTCCTGGGGGTTTCGGGTCCAGATTGGCTTGGTCTTGTTGAGTTCCTCCTCCTCGATCTTGGATTCCTTGACCTTCTTGGTCTTCTTCTCCTTCTTTTCTTCTTCCTCGTCATCGACCTCCTCGATCTTGGCCTTCTTGTCCTCATCCTCTTCCTTCTCCTCAGCCTCGTCGTCCTCGACCTCCTTCTCGGTCTCCTTGAGAACGTGTAGGTAGATCGGGTACGAGATAAACTCGGAGTGCTTCTTGACAACCTCCTTGATCTTGCTCTCGTTGAGGTAGTCCATCTGCTCATCCTTGAGGTGGAGGATGATCTTAGAACCGCGGCCTAGCGGCTCGCCATCGGTGTCTTGTGCGATGGTGAAGCTGCCACCGGCACTCGACTCCCAGATGTATTGCTCGTCATCGTTGTGCTTGGAGACAACAGTAACTCGGTCGGCGACGAGGTAGGCGGAGTAGAAACCGACACCAAACTGGCCAATCATGGACACGTCGGCACCGGCGGTGAGGGCCTCCATGAACTGCTTGGTGCCCGAACGGGCGATGGTGCCGAGATTGTTCACCAAATCCTGCAGGCGTTGTTAGCAATTATGTTGAGTAGTACGAGTTGTGTTCACTTACAGCCTTGGTCATGCCGATACCGGTGTCCCGGATTGTGATTGTCTTGTTCTCCTTGTCGGGGATGATGTCGATGCGGAGGTCCTTGCCACTGTCCAGCTTGCTGGGGTCAGAGAGGGCCTCATATCGGATCTTATCAAGGGCATCGGAGCAGTTGGAAATCAGTTCCCGCAGGAAGATCTCCTTGTTTGAGTAGACGGTGTTGATGATCAGGCCGAGGAGCTGAGAGATCTCGGCCTGGAACTCGAAAGTTTCAGCAGGCATGATTGTGGGAGGGGCGATGTCGAGGGTGTCTGGAAAGGCTTTGTCAGCTTCAAATTCGAGGTCCCTGAGCTGAAGGCGTTGAAGAACTGGAGTTGCACTCAGACGGCTGAGTGAACTTCGCGTACGGTGTGGGATGCAGTGTGCCTGGACAAAGACGAGGCTGCAGTAGTATGGAAGAAAAAGACTCACGATTGAGAGGCAAGCGATGCTTTGCGAGTGCGTGGAAGCTGGACGGAAGCAGCGGGCGCGCAGTAGAGGGCGTGGAGGTTGGTTTGGGTTGGAGGGCGAGTGAGGAAGAAGAAAGGAAGAAGGGTTTGGTGGTGAAGCTGAAATAGTTGCGATGTGTGCCTTGAGGAAGGTTCTAGCATCTGCTGGATGTGGCCCCGGCGGGTCGCTCTGGCCAACCAGCGCCGCCCTCGCCGTCAGCCTTGCAGACTCCAACCTCGTCGCCCAGCCCGCCCCGCCCTTTGAACGAGGCCGCCCTGCACTGCGCCTTTCTTGCATAAATAAAGCCTGAAGGCCCTCATATTTACGCCTGGTGGATTGCTGCCTACCGCACTGCCACTGCCATGTCGCGCCTCGCCGCTTCAGCGACTCTATGGCTTGCCCTCGCTATATTATACCTTGGAACGTACGATAGAATAGGTAGATACCCTCACTGCTCTAAGGAACGTGCCTCCTTCAAGGACTGGATACTTCGTATGTGAGTTATCTTGCCGTGCTAAGACACAGTGCTCTCGTTTGTCACCGCTTGGGGTGCTCCTGGGGGCTTTCAGAACTCCGATGCAAGGTAAAGTTTGATGCATCGGAGACTAGGTGAGTTGCTCGAAAATGCCTCTTGATTGGCCGGATACTTGAATGCAGTGCTGCTCTGGACGGTGCTATCTTGCAAGCAATAGTGGCACCCGAACAGTGGTGTCTGCGGATGCCTCAACTTAGAGCCTTTACTATACGTAATGCTGGTAGCCGATAATGAGCTAGAGCTAAACAAAGCATCTATCCACCGAGAAAACAAGGAGTAGTAAAATTTTCTTTTTGGGGCCTCTTTACACAGTGGCCTTCTCTTTCCCCGCCTTCTTTTCCCCGTTATAGAACAATGGTTTCAGCACCGCGTGATGGATTTGGGCGCTTCCTTGCGACTCACTGTAGGCCTCAATGTGTCTCGAGAATATTGTAAGTATCAGGGGCTGTAAGTATTTGGATATCGATGTCTGATTTCGCCGGTGAGGTTAAGCCTGTTCATAACGATAGAATTCCTCTAAAATCTTGGAGATGCCTATCAGCAGGCCCAAGAAACTGTGCACAGAATTATGACGGAACTTTATACGGAATTGCTCTTTTCCTTGCGTGATACGATTCAAGGACTAGCTGGCGACAGCCCTTGACCCCGATTACATTCTCATTGAATCTCTACCCGTGCGAATATTGTATCTCAATGAAAACGTCGCAGTCAATTCAAAGTACGTTCCTCGTCTCCGAATCATGAGCCCATTATCCAGATTGCTGCTTATAACGCAGCAGCTATGTCACGGAACAAGGAGCTGTATGCCGTGTACGTGATGTATTGGATGATAATAATAGAGAAGAGAGAGAGATATAGAGGAAGATAAGGCTATATATAAGAGGTGCTGTGCGCCTGCCGTAGCCCTTACCGCTACTCCCTGACAAGCTACTACGCCGATGTTGAAGCCCTCCTCCGCAAGAACCTCCCCGGCATAACGAAAGTCATCATCTTCGGCTACACCATCTGCCGCCAGAAAGACTCCGGAAGGCCCGGGTCCACTCCATCTCATACTCAATGGTCGGCCTGGTGCTCGGCGTGGCCGCCATTCTCGCCACATCATCTTCTTCACCAATGTCTACAGAACGGCGGAGAGGCCGAAAGCCAAGGCCCAAGTTGTTCTCTCAATAGTCATCACGCCGGGTGCTTCAATAATCCTGAACTTCATCCTCATGTACCATCAACCTATAACTTTACAAGACATGGTAGTAAACATCTCCCCTCTTTATCACTTCTTGGGCTAACTTCTACCATAGCCAGATATGAAGACGTTATCCGCGAAACCCGCGCCAACCCGTCCAGCAGGTCCACGTTGACCAAACCCCCGCCGCCGCTGAAGTCCGCGTGCGGCGCCACGCATTCACGGCATTGTATCTGCGAAGGTGGCTGTGTTCGTTCAATATCTGTCGATTCACCGCTGGGTAGTGGCATAAATAAGCCAAACCTAGAGTCGTCCTCCCCGCCGCGTCTCCTCCGCAATCCATCAAACTCCGCCCACCACAACACCGACACCAAACACCTACCACCAATACCCACCACTTGCCGCCTACTGCCAAATCCGTAATTAATCGACTCGACATGCCTAGCCGGCCAGGGAAGGGGCAAGGCATGGCGCGTCAGCCTCCTTCCGGCCACCTGCGAGACGTTCTGGATACTCTCCTGTTTGAACGACAGCTCGCCGCATCAACAACCGCCCAAGCCTCCTCCGATTCCCTACCCTGGGGCCCGTCTCCCTGGAACCCCCCAAATCCCCCCGCTTCCAGTCGCATACCGTTGACCCCGATTCCCGCATCCCTCGAAGGCCTTCCAAACGAGCTTTTGTATCAAATCCTTGCACACGTACCGAATGTACACTCTCTCACTCTGACATCGCGTAGGCTCCATGAGCGGACTGACGCATTGCTATACAAGAGGGTGGTCATACGAGTTGGTCGCGAGTGCAACATCGCACAATTGCGTCAATTAGTATGCAATCTAGCGAACTATCCCGACCTGGCTGCGACCGTGGAGAGTGCAGTGTTCTGGAGTCCAAAGAACGCAAATTCATCGCTCGAAGATAAAGACTACGACGGCCCCACGCTGCCTATATACCACCGAGTTACACATGAAGAGATAGGGACCTTGGCAAATGTCATCCGCGAGGCGCATCTTCCGCTACCTCCTGTGGCCGATCGAGACAGGGCAACTTTACCTCATTATTTGCTACGCCCTATAGAATCCTGGTCACCATACGACTCAGCAGCCTCGAAGATTGACGCGCTAATTGCTATGTTCCTTACGATGGTACCCAACCTCAGAGAGCTCTATCTGCATACTGGACGCAACAGCACAGCAACTTCCGCGATCGTAGAAGCAGCACTGAAGTCGCTGTTTGATGGCGGGCCAGCACCTCGACAGCTGTTTCGACATCTGCAGCGCGTGACGCTCTCTGGACTGCTACGTGGTGCTGCGGATCCCGATCGTGTACGATCAGTGCATAATCTCATATACAACCCTGGATATACTGGTGACGTTTTGTTGGACACACCTTGGCTCTATCTGCCGAGCGTCCGACAATTTCAGATCGAGAATGCCAAGATCGAGTTGGAGATGGTCAAATTGGACACGCCCCCCAGCCGTTTTCCACAGCCATTCGAACGCCCACAGCCATTCGAACGCCCACAGCCATTCGGACACCCACAGCCATTCGGACGCATGCAGCGTATTTACTCGGACTATGAGATGTTATTCAATCCTAGGCGGGCTGTTCAAGCGTTGTATGCCGATACTCTTCCGCGGCATCCACAGTCTTCAGAGTTCATACCAGCAGAACTAACTCCTCGACCCTACAAATCATCTGTCGTTGAACTGAAAGTGCGAGAGTCGGCCTTTCGGGGCAATGCCCTCAATCATTTCATGGGTCAATTCACTGCTTTCCAACGCATCACGGTATATGATGTACAGCTAGCTAGGAATCTCAGCGTGGTCATCGCAGCTATGGCTCGAGCAAAGAATACGCTGACCGCAGTCAAGATCTGCGGGCTGGCAAGCGCCTTCCGCATTGTGACATTTCTAGATGTGCCTCCAGCTGACTATTTCGCCAACTTTGTTCAGCTTGAAGAGCTTTCGATCGACATGGGTGGCCTTCTTAACGTCAACCATACGGTCGGTCCTTTGCTTCCAGCGCTATTACCTCGAGGCTTGAAAGCGCTGAAGCTCACATATTGCCATCCTCACGACAGTTTGTTCTGCCACTTACGCGCTTTGTACGACCGTGCTCAAGCAGGCAGCTTCCCATATCTCAAATCCGTCCACGTGGACTTTGAGTATTCGGCCAGTCCGACTATCGATCTTCAATATGATAAGCTACTGGCAAGCCCTACATATGCCCTGCTGAAGACCGGCTTCGCTGAGTGCGATGTGGACTTTGCAACTTTCGACTACCTCGGCCGATCGCTTACTGGAAACTACACTACGAAGCACTACCCTCAGGTTCTGGACCAGGATCGCGGTAGTGACTGGTGGTGGCCACTTCCCCATCCGAGCCGAGTCCGGGCTTCTACGGTTTGGCGTAGGTAATCATGGTTACCACATCATGTGGATGCTAGGACCTTTCCTTAAAGAATGGTACTTGTATAAACTGCTGGCCTCAAAGGGGATGACGACCAAAAAATGGCATTTGGCATGTTGGGGTTTCTTTCCTGTCGTTTTCTTCCATGAGTGGTATAGGATCATGGATCTCAAATGCGTTGACTACGTGTAGTTAGCCATAACAATACAATCTTCCATTGCACGGAAACAACTTTTGTCACGCCTTGAGTTCGATTCGACCTAACTACAAGCGCGCAGAATACCCACACATATGCAAAGACTTGTCATGAAAAAGATTCGAATTCTTAGCCTCTAGCAACCATGCAACATAACATGCCGCAGAACAACACAGCACTCCCATCCGCAATGCCTCCCCCTTCGCCAACTTCACTCGTAAAACACCAAGCACCTAACCTCAATACTCTGCCTCCCCGGCGCATCCCTCGGCGTCTCTGGATCTACAAACGCCGTATGCGGCGTCCTCACCGCAATCCCCTGGACCCCTTTCTCCATCCCCTCGCCCCTCGAATCAAAGCACTTGAGCAGCATAACCTCCTCCGGCGTCATATCCTTCATATAGTAAAACCGATGCCCCTCGCTCGGTGCCACCGCCATCGTCTCCCCCTTCACCTCATACCCGACCGTCGAGCTATGCGACGCTGCATCCGGCAGCACCTCCTTCCCTCGCGCATCATCATCGCCATCAAAGCTATCGCGCTTCGGGTACAGCAGGTTCACGCCGACGAAATCCTCGGGCTTCGTGCTCCGCCAGTCGACCACGGCGAGCGGGAAGTCCGAGGCAGGGTTCTCAATCGGCCGCCACACATTGATGATCTGGTAGCGGCCTCGCAGCAGCGCCTCGACCTCGTCCTTGGGCGCGTGGCGCCGCACGCGGACTTCGGCGGCGGCGGGGGTTTGGTCGACGTGGACCTGCTGGACGGGTTGGCGCGGGGAGTCCTTCTGGCGGCGGCGGATGGTGTGGTCGAAGATGATGACTTTCTTGATGCCGGGGAGGTTCGTGCGGAGGAGCGCTTCGACGTCGGCGTAGTAGCTGCTTCGCACGGCGGTGTCGTCGGTGAAAAGACGCTCTTTGGCCGGGGAATGCAGCACTTGAAAGCCGGAGTTGTTGGTTGTGAAGGCTTGCTGCTGGTCGCGGATGTTGGTCACGGGGCGGGTGTGGTCGGCGAGGGTGTAGGAGGTACCCGGGCCGTCCACTTTGTTCCAGGGTTGCCCGGTGTAGGAGGTGAGGTCGATGTGTTTGAATGTTGCGGTGGTCATGGTGGAACTGATTGATGGGATGTCGGATGGAATGTAATAGGGTGGATGTAATCGGTTTATATGTATGTGGTAGAGGTAAGGGTAATTAGTAAGTAGCACGTGATTTTTGCCACTCAAGGTGACGAATCGCTAAAGCTATAACTAGGTATACATACCATGTTGATTGCTTTCGAAGTCACGAATAGCTGAGTTATGTATCAAACCTTTTACTTCTGACGTGACGTATGGCTAAAGTTATGTGCTACATTAACTGCTTTCGAAGTTACAAATGGCTAGTTCATGCACTCAATTAGAATAGTTGTTTTCAAAGGCGACGAAAGGTTAGTTAGCTTATGTAACTTACTAAGCTTATACCTTTCAAAATGACGACTGGTCAAGTTCTATATTACCCTTTCTGCTCTTCATGCGGGACTCTCTTTAGTTAGATAAACTAAGTGTAATGAGAGACCGGCGAAGTTGAGATCACAGATCTAATGCTTTCTTCTTCAATGTAGTGCTGGGCAAGTTGATAGAGTATTGAGGTATTACTGGCGGATGCAGAGACTTAATGATACAGGTGCAATTCTTCGACGCGCTGAACTTAGGTGGTAATCGAACTATAGTGTTGTAGGCGCATTCAGCTGTTCGAGGTGCTACAGTGTAATGTGGAAGCTCAATAGGAGGCAGGGGGATTCGTGGAAGACGTGCGACCGAGGGCGATTGGTGCAATCTGCACGAGTCATGACGCGGGGGTACCTGCATCTTGCCCTTCTTTCAAGCACCATCCCTCAATCATCAATCATCAAGGCCATGGCTGGGATCGAAAAGGCCCAATTACTTCCGGGGGATCACCTACCCACGTATTCTGACGCTGTTCGGCCATGGACACATCGACGTCGGCACCGCCGCGCTATTCGCCTGCTATCTGGAGCAATCTTACTTTACTTTGTTTACAATGTGTTCATAATCGCATCGAATACTACCAGGCAGCCCCAGTTGCTTTCGATCGACCGCCTGCAGCAAGATTACACCCGATGTAGTGCTTTGAGACGCACACCGAGCGACCCAAGCGGTCCTCGGGATTACAACAAGAGATGGGTCAATGGAACGAAACCTGTTTTAATTCGCAATGCTACTGTATGGGTCGGAGAACCTGATGAGGGGACTACCGAAGACGATGCAAGAGCTGGAAAAGGATGGTCCTGGATCTCGACCGACGTCTTTTTGGATCACGGGTTGGTCAAACAAGTATATTCTGGAATTTCCGTCAAAGCTCTTCCTCATGATACCGAGATCTTCGAAGCGGAAGGAAGGCAGCTCACGTCTGGCATTGTCGATATGCATAGTCACGCCGGCCTAGGTAGCTTTGGCAACCTGGATGATGACACCAACGAGCTGTCTGCAGACATCACTCCGTACGTTCGATCAATTGATGGCTTTAACCCTCTGGCGCCGGAAGTTCAATGGATCAAATCTGGCGGAGTCACGACCTCTTTGCTTCTGCCTGGAAGCGGGAACAACATAGGAGGCCAAGCCTATGTCGTAAAGCTTGCCACGGGAAAATCGAACGGACGCACCGAGATTAGTCAGGCCGACATGCTCGCAGATCCTGACAGCAACTGGCGGTATATGAAGATGGCTTGTGGCGAGAACGCTAAGCGAGTGTATGGTAGATTTGGAAAACAGGGGCCTACCAGTCGCCTCGGTGAAGCATGGGAGTTCCGTCACGCATTCGAACAGGCCAAGGCGTACGTGGGAGCTCAGGATGATTGGTGTAGAGCTGCCGATGCCATTGGAGCAGAAAACATGGACCACTATCTGTCTCAAGATCTTAAGTGGGAAGCTCTTGGGGCTGTCCTCCGAGGGCAAGTTCGTGTGAACACACATTGCTACACAGTGCCCGACCTAGAGGACTTCGTTCGATATACCAACGAGTTCAAATTTCGCCTTTACGCCTTTCATCACGCCCACCAAACGTATCTCGTCCCTGAGGTCCTCAAGCGAACTTACGGCGGAACCCCCGCTGCCGCGTTGTTCGCAGACAACATGTACTACAAAGTTGAAGCTTACACGGCGTCCGAACAGGCCGGGAAAATTCTCTATGCTAATGGAATTACTCCTACCTATGTCAGCGACAACCCTGTATTAAACGCACAGCATGTTCTTTTTGAAGCAGCAAAGGCGTATAGGTTTGGACTACCTTATCATGCTGCTCTAGCAGGCGTGACGAGCGCGTCAGCCGAGCTTCTGGGCCTTGGAGAAAGAGTCGGCAAAGTCAAAGCAGGATTCGATGCCGATATCGTGGTATGGGACTCTGATCCACTGTCAGTTGGAGCAGCGCCAATTCAGGTTTGGATTGATGGTGCTCCTCAATTTTCGGATCCTGTGCAACTCAAGAAACCAACACCATCGCCCATTGAGCCAAAGACTACACTTTCTGTTGACCGCGAATTGGGTCATGTCTCAAATGGCAATGTCATCTTCACAGGCGTGGATATGCATAGTATCCTCATTGAGCACCAAGCCATATCTCGGCGGGAAGGACACAGTACCTCGGGAGCAATTATCATCACCAAAGGTGCAGTAGAATGCGTTGGGAGCTGCATGGAAGAAATTGAGATCGCTAAGAACAACCAGAAGTATGAAGTCATTGCTCTTCAAAGTGGTTCTGCCACTCCGGCCTTCATATCTTTTGGCAGTGGCCTCGGTCTGTCAGAGATCGATGCTGAGGGCGATACACACGATGGCAAGCCTTGGAATAGCTGGACTCGAGCTCTCGATGGGTTGCTTTTTGGTGGAAAGCAACTAGCTGCAGCATTCGAACATGGAGTCACACGAGCTATAACCGCGCCCAGTACAGGCGGCATTGATGCGAGGGGCGTCAGCGTCGGGTTTTCAACATCTGCTCAGCACGCATTGGCAAAAGGTGCGATATGGGCGGATGAGACAGCGGTTCATTACTCCCTTACGCTCAATTCAAAGACCGACAAGACGGCATCTATCTCAGCAGTTTTAGCAGAGCTTCGAAAGAAGCTCCTGGATGCTACATCCACTAAAGAGAACTCGAGCACTACGACCGAACATTCGACAGCCAAAGATGCCAACTATGAATTCACAGAAGAAGCCTCTCTCAAGAAAGTAGTGGCCGGGTCACTACCCCTTGTTATCACTGTCCACAGCGCCGACACAGTCGCATCAATCCTCCGGCTGAAAGCTGACGTTGAATCCGCAATAACCCAGTCATACTCGCACTCCGGCAATCCTCCTAAACTCCGTCTCATTCTTCATGGTTGTGCAGAATGCCATCTTATAGCCTCCTCTCTCGCCGAGTCTTCCCTCGCCGGCATTGTCCTCGCTCCACTCCTCCCATACTCTCAGTCCTGGGACCAGCGGCGTAGCTTAACCGGAGCGCCCTTGACCAACCTGACGAATCTAGAACACCTTATCGACGCTGGTTTTCCGAAGGAGAAACTTGCTATTGGTGCTGAGGAGACGTGGCAGAGCAGGGAGATGGGACTATTAGCGAGCTGGGCTTACACAAATAGCGAAGGTAGGCTGACGGAGAAGGAGGCTCTGGCGCTTGTAGGAGACAATCTTGTTGAGATTCTGGGCTTGAGTGAGAAAGGGGTAGATGGGTCGGTGAAGGGAGACTGGCTGGTTTGGGAAGGGAGTCCGTTGGCTATTGACGGAAGGTTGAGAGCCATTGTTCACAGCGGAAGCGTCAGCCTCTTCCAATGAGCTCAGCACATTAAAGGTGTTAGCTTTGATCGCGAAGAAGAATAGGGTGTTCCGATGATAGTCTTGATATAAGGGATTTCGTGCTCAAGGGCATCGTCATGTGAGCACAGCGCTCTGAAATTGCAGTGAAATACCCCTTAGCGGTGGCGAAAGAGTGTAAATACCTGCGAAAAACTGTGTATAGACAAGTAACACGTCCTGCTGCTCCCCATGCTGCCCGCCTCGCCACGTCCAAGGCACTCAGCCTCAAAGGCAGCTCTCCACTAATTCACTCACTTTATACCGCAGCCCTTTGCTGGCCTGCTGCCCGCTGCCAGCCTATGCCTTACTGCCATGCGCTGTTGCCGCAGCGCCGCTGCTTAGGGCGCCCCAGCTTAGGGCGCCCCATTAAGTCGCCTCTACGTTCGCTACCGGAGGAACCTCCGTAGACCGATATAAGATACTTCCTCCGCCTCTCTCTCAACCCTTACACCACAACCACCACTCCATCAACAACCACTCTTCTCCCAACACAATCAACACTACTCCTATCTAACTGCAAGATGCGTGTCTCCGCCATCATCACTCTGTGCAGTGCCTTCATCGCTGGTGTGTCCGCCGCACCCGTAGCTGAGAAGCGCGGAAACATCTATGGCGTAAGTACCTCAGCACCCCCTTCCTCTCTATGCAATCATGCTGACACTCGGGGAAGGCCGTGCTCTACCGGGACCTAAACTTCGGCGGCGATGCCGAGTACATGTGGGTCGACGATGACTCTTGCGTCCAGGTGAGCGATGGCATGCAGGATAAAGCGTCCTCGCTCAAGATCTACGCCGGACAGACCTGCAATCTCTATAAGTAAGCGCTTTGATGGGCGATGGGATGCAGACGAGGGAGATGCTAACGGATGTACAGCGCCTACAGTTACGGTGAAGGAGAGGGTTGGATCGTTTTCGAGGGCCCGACGGACTAGGTGGCTCTGGCTCCGAGCTTCCAGGATAAGATCTCGTCCTACAAGTGCTTCGACCAGTAGGTTGCTCGCTCGACTAAGGCACTCTGGAGGTTCGATGCGAGTGCGATGGCATGGACGGCGGTAGATATGGGTCGTTATAGCTGGTGACCTGGTGAAGTGGCGATAACTCCGGGATCATATATTTCCTTTTCTTGCGATCTTCCTCTTATGCATAGCAAGGCGTCACGGGGTTAAGGTTTCATGAGACTAACAATGGTCTACAGGATTCTATACCGAATAGGGAGAATTTCAGTCAACGGTTTTGAAAGCTCAGGAAGATTCCATGCCGTGAGGTGATGCAGAGGGTTTAATCATTGAATGCAGTGACTTGGATTATTGAGAGTAGAACACCATTGGAACCGATCTCTCCATCTTAGTAGAACAAGGTACATTACAAAATATAAGATAGCAGCCGTAGCCCTCGACTGGGCATGGAGCGACGGTAGACGTTGAAATTTGACGCTACGAAATCTTACATAATCTTGATGTACTCCTTTAACTAAGTTAACTAGCCTAAAAGAAGACATCTGGCAAGCTAACAGGATATGAATGCGTCCCGCAGGATGATAGCACTAGATCCACAGTGTTTCTGCGGCCGAGGGTCAGATTTCCAGGGGTTTACGTGATTTTCATGTGATAGAGCTTCATCTCGAACCCCACAATACACTGTACCATGCTTCTTTGGCGCCCAAAGGCTAATGTTACCCTGATAGTCGAACAACGCATCCTCATCTTCAGGTCACGATGGATGATGTCGAGTGCTGCGGTCAGATGATTGACGCGTGGGAAGCAAGATGTGGAAGGTGTTAGGGGCCAGGAGTCACATCATGTCTACTAAAGCACCTTCGTGTTCCAGCGCAGGGTTGAGGTCTCTCAGAGAGCCGTATAGTCCACACCCTGCCCGAATCTAGAGGGATAAGCTATTTGAAAGGTACATACAGGAGTGGGCTCGAGCCTCGGCGTCGGAATAACCCCTACTACCATTGGGTGCGATATAGAGAAAGGTTCCGCCTTCATGCAGTTAATATCGAGTAGTCTGGGGTAATGATCAATGCTTCTCGGAGCGCGGAGAACACGAGGGCATCGTGGAGTACCCCGCAAGTAGGCGTCGCGGCGGTGGAAAGGTTGAAGGTTCATGCTCCATTTTGAGGCGCAAGGCCGACACGCAGCTCGGCGATCTAGGCTAGAACACGTTAGCTCTAGCGCAGGTATTCAAATTAAAACCGGCGATGATGGATCCCAATCCTCAACTCCTCTCACGAACAAGCAAGTCGAGACGCCTGTCGACGCCATGTTCCTGGCGGTCGGACGATAACACGCGAGGTAGACCAAGTCGAGAAGACGCTCCCGCGTGCAGGGGCCGGAGACAACGAGCCGCCGGGACATCGCGAATCACGGAATGCATGGCGGCCAATGGGGTTGCGGGGATGCATAGCGTCTCTTCACAGGGGAAATAAGGTGAAGTGGTCGGCATGGTTCCTTTGCTAGCTATTTGCCAGCTGACCATCACTTCATCCTTCACCATACGGCGACTAGCGGCCGTCCCTTGTCTGGAGCACAGTCCTCCGACTCGAGGTCCCTCCGTCTGCGAGCCGGTCACTGTGCACTGATGGAATGTAATGCAGCAGTAGAAGCGTAATAAAAGGCGCTGATACCGCCGCAGGTAGGGGTTTGGAAGTATCTCTTACTCGAGTCTATCTTTTCTCAACATGCTTTCTTTTCTTCCCCTTTCTTTTCTGATAGCTCTGCTGGCCGGGGAGGGCAGCTATGCTGCTCCACTTGCTAGAATTACGGGGAGATGTACGTTCAGCTCCAATTCCTCTCTCTTGGCCCTGCTAATCTCTCTTTCCTTGTAGCCGTGGGCACTGATGTGTTCTCGACCTTTCAATTGATGGAACAGTACGTATCCCTTGCATTTCCCTTCTCATGGACGTGAATTGACTGAAGCAAAGGTATGCTGCCGCCTCATACTGCTCACCAAACTACGATGAGACACCGAACACTGAGGTCACTTGTCCAGCTGGCAATTGCCCGTTGGTGCAGGCAGCTTCCACGGATACATTGGTAGAGTTTGAGAAGTAAGTTGCACTCGTGTTCTCGCGTTGAGGGCTGCAAGTTTGTTAGGAAGTTTTAATGCTTTTTCCCTTACGTCCATGCTTTTTGCGTATATATAAGTATACTTACACAAACTCACAGCTCTTTGAAAACCGATGTCACTGGATTCGTAGCCGTAGACCATACCAACAGCATCACCGTCGTATCATTCCGAGGCTCCGCATCGATCAAGAATTGGATCGCCAACCTTGATATGACGCAAATCCCCACCGACATCTGCACCGGCTGCAAAGTCCACCAAGGCTTCTGGGACTCCTGGACCGAGGCGAGGGACGGAGTCTTAAATGCAATCAAGTCTGCCGCCGCCTCGAACCCATCTTATAAGATCGTCGTTGTCGGTCACAGCTTGGGTGGTGCCATTTCAGCCCTCGCGGCCGCGGAGCTGAGGAAGTCTGGATGCGATGTTGCTCTTTACACATTTGGATCTCCTCGCGTTGGAAACGGCGCGTTCAGCGACTTCGTCTCCAATCAACCTGGAGGCAATTACCGCATCACTCATTACAACGACATTGTTCCCCGGGTCCCGACTCTCATTCAAGGATACGTCCATATTACTCCAGAGTTTTATATTAGTAAGCCGAACTTCAAGACCGTTGCTGCGTCAGATATCAAGGAGTACAAAAGCAACACTATTCTTGGTGGTAACAATGCGTGGGTTGTTACCGACATCCTTGCGCATACGTGGTATTTCAATTCTATTGCACAGTGTTACATCAATCAACTTTTGCCCAAGAGGGACTTAGATGTAGAGGTGGTTGAGAGATTTTGAAGAGGGTGGAGGCAGTCTTTTGGAGTTGGAAGCTATTTGCCGATTAGGATGGTGCTTAGAATATCCGACTTTTCTATCTTTATTGTTATTCATTATTATTAAAGGCTTAAGTTCCTCCATACTGCATGGTCTAGCATTGAATTACCACTCCAGATCTAGGAGGAACATATTGGACTGTCTATGATTCGCTGGGACACTACAGAATGCTCTCGTGTTTGTGTACAACGCGATCGCACGCTCTTCCGGTGACATCGGTTGGAAAGTATTTTATTTTCCGAATTCGACATGGCGTGCTTTTATTTTGTCTTTTACGAGCAATTTCCTTTGAGCTGTAAATGAAAAAGAGAGATATTGGATGCTTTCGATTGAAGATGCATCCGTGATGGTAGCACAGCAGGTTTACTTCAAGGAAGGATGAGAATGGTGGAAGCGATAGTTGAAAGCAATAATGTCTTAGCTCTCTGGATCAAGGTTTTACGCCGCATATAAACAACATTAATAACGCGCTTGGTACACTGAAGTTTTCGAAATGTTGTTGCCTTTGCGAAATGCTCCGGATACGGTTTAGCTTCGCTTCTCTTCGTCTTGAAGTTGGCAGACTCAGCCACGCACCTTGCCTCTTCGCACCTCAGCTCACATGCACTCAAGACCTACACCGGATCTCGTGGCCGGGGACACGAACCTTCTATGGCCTCTACTGCCGAAGAACAAGGCTGATTCCGACGTCTTACTTCTGACTCAATCATCTGATCTGGACGCCGGACAACTGTCCCAGCCACTATGCATCTGAGCTCAGGGCACAGCCATGCCCACCACCAATAAACCTCACAGGAGCAACGCACATTAACGCAGGTTCAGTCATTCTGCAACATGGAGCGGTGGGTGCTTGCGACTGCGCTCATGCAGCAAGCAAATCAAACGTCTGCCTGGTGGAGTGATTGCTGCGCCATATACTACCTGTTTGCCTAGCACAACCTTTTGACTTCCTCACTCACTACTGCAAACAACTAGGTTCACTAACATGAACCACGTCAAATCAGTCAGTACACTTTGCTTTCTAAAACCATAGATATGACCAAGAACTCAGGGGTTGTCGACCAGGCTAAAGGCGTTCTCGAAACGGTCGTTGTTGTGGTCTCCTTGGTGCGTATGATCACGGACACGTTTGGATCTACAAGCGATCTTTATCGGAAGCTTAAGAAGAGGAAAGAGAAAGTCAAGGAGGATGTGGATGAGTGGGGAGAGAAGCATGGTATCCCGTTCCGACGAGACAGCAGCGAGGAGGACTCCCATCGTGGTTCGCGCCGAAGCCGAAGCCGAAGACATCGAAGAGATCGAGACCACGACTACGACAGCGATGAAGAGTCCATAGACACTTCGAGGTCGCTCATAGAACGAGAATATGAGCGTGGCTATCATCACCTTGGGCATAAGTTTGCTGTAGGAGATGGTGAGTATTCTACCTCTACAAAAGTCGTCATAATTTGCTAACTCTGTGCCTCTAGTCATCGCGCAAAACCAGCTGCAAGCCCAGGTGATCATGATGCAGCAGACCATCATCACCATTTTCCAAGAAAGCGCTCTCATGTATGGCCCGACCCACAACCCCATATCCCACCACCTCGCTCGACTCCTCGACACCGCACGAGCTGCCAGGGCAGGATCTATAGAAGCCCTCGCGCAGCAATATCAACGAATGCTCACCGAGGCACCTATTCTACCTGCAGTACCACTACCACCTACTGTGCAACCCCTTACAACCCTCGCAATCCGCGGCCGACCTCGAAGCGACTCTCGCGATTCGATGGTCACGACAAACACAGGTCCAACATCGATAACTACTCGCTCAGCACCACATGGTCTATACTGCTTGTACTCGCTAGACCTCCAGGAGCATATCGACCAGCCTTTGGCGGACAATTACCGGGAAGGAGGAGATGGACGCTGCCCGTACTGCAGCACTATAGTCAACACGAGGCCTGGCCGTGCGTGGGAATTGGTCAAGGAGGATGATGCCGATATCGAGGTTGACCGGTCGTTCCGCGTGACGAATCGGTTCGTGGTCAAGTCACATCGGGAGGGCAGCAGTTTTGCGTGTGTGCTTTGCACGCGCGAACAGCCCTCGGATACAGTTTGTGAGAGCATACCGGCGCTCATTGATCATATTTGGAAAGAGCACTCGTGCGCTGAGTATGAGAGGGAAATTGATATTGTGGAGGTGGACTGAATGGTTGAACATGGGACCCTGATGGAAAGTCGAGATAAATGAGCCATGGTTTAGCCATGCACGAGCCAACCCAATCTCATAAGGACCCTGACAGACACGCGCCGCGGTCGAGTTCGATAGCACGGAAGTTATCCGAGTGTTCCAGGGATGGTCTCCAGTGCGCGCTCCGAGCCACTGGCTATAAGTTCTACAACGTTCTCCGCACAGACTGACTTACTTACGTCAAAATCTCCATGCTCACACTCAACCTTATCATCGCTTGCACTGAGTTGGATATGGCCGAATAGGCCACTTCTTCCCACATATCAGCTTCCTCCCGCCAATGGGCTCCCGCGAAAATGGTCGCTGGTAATCAGGAGTTTGCTAGAGAAGCTGCAATCGGCTCTCTTTCACACCCTTTTCGAGACGCTGAAGCCGTGTGATCATGATACCCTTTTATGGGAGCGGCGGATACGTCCACTGACTCAGGACAGGCGTTTTAGAGTGTCCAAGGCGGAATTGATCTCTAAAACGAAGCATTTCATCCTAAAGGCAATTGGTTTAAATACAAGTCGATTAGATCACGTGCATACGAATACTTTATCAGCCCCTCCGCCTTCGAGAATCGCAACCGGGAGGCTCTCCGCTAGTTCATTTCCGAGTGGCTGGAGACGTCAAATTACCAGAGTTGAATTTGGGAGCCTATCCGTGTTCGAACCCTCGGAAGTGACTGCTGTGCTGAGGCCTCTGATTGGCTGGCGACGTGAATCAATATTCCCCCGGCAAGTCTCCTAGGCTCCAATGGCCGCAGCAATAACTCTCAATTGAACGCTGCTTCGTTCTCGCTCTGAGTGACTATAAGTGCCGACTTCCGCATCTCTGCTGCCGTGTTTTGCAGTGCGTTGCTGTCGGGAATTGTTCTTGGCAAGGAGCGCGTCCCGATCCGATCTCCAGGCGGGCCACCGCATCTCCTTTCACCAACTTCCGCCTGCGCTCCAGTCCTCGCCCACGCACCACACCGCCGCATACTACAAGGCCCGTCTCGGGAACACACCCACCGCCCTGTATTCACCATCGTTGTGAGTTGTTTGTTGACCCTTCCCTTCCTCAGCCTCGCCCCGCCCATAAACACCAAACCCCAGACGCGTTTCAGCAACTCGTCTCATCCCGGTCACAATTTCGACCAGCATTCCACGCACACCCGACCGACCTCAACATCCAGACCTCCCCCATAGCTTATTGAGAACACCACTGACATCCTCTCCTTGCGTCCGCCCTACAGCCATGTCCTCGAATCGCGCCAGCAGTAACGGAGGTGTTCGCAACCTCCGGGCTATGTTTGAGAACCAAAAAGCACCTTCCTCCCCTGAACCCCGCGGACGCTCTCCCGCTGCTTCCAGTCTCGCCAGCGACACCGACCTCGACGGCCGTCCTCGGTCCAAGATACGCGCTAGTTTCGTCTCTGTTGAGCCGAGTGGTGTCAGTGGTGGGCTTGCGTCTCCTGGACTTGGGTCCCCTGGGCTTGCATCTCCCGGATTTTTCTCTCCAGCGAAGGAGCTTGGTGCTGTGAAGGGCACGCCAGACGGAATCAATAGTCCCACGGCGCATCGACGCGAAAGCTTTAGTCTTGGCCAGGACCAAGCAGACACAGTGCTAGAGCTTAAGAAGACGGTCAGTCAGGAAAAGGAAGATCGCAAGAAGAGCTTGGAGATAGAAGAGACTATTCCGGAGCAAGCTGTCGAGAGCAGACCCTCATCGAGACCGGCGACAAAGATACAAGAACCGACATCACCCGGCGACATGGTCAACTTGGGATCAATAATGAAGGGGTCTGACTTCCCGGAGCCAGAAGGTATACAACAGAAGGGCAAGGCTGTGGATCTGATGGCAGCACTGAAGCCTGTTGAGAAGGTTGTAGAGCCCCTTGCGCCAGCCAAGGAGGCGCCAGTCAAGAAGGCACCGCGTAAGTTGGGGCCAGCCAAGGTGGCGCCAGTGAAGCAGGTTCCCAAGGCAATTCCAGAGAAGACTATACCAGCAGTTGAGGAAGCGAAGGGACCGGAGAAAGTACCTACAGAACCGAAGGACCAAGCGGCAGCTTCGAGCAGTGAGCTGTCACCACCCCCGGCAGCCACTGAGGCACCCACAGAGGCTCCCGCTGAGACTCCCGCTGAGACTCCCGCTGAGGCGCTCATTGAAGCACCCACTAAGGCTCCCACTGAAGCTCCCGCTGAAGCACCCGCTGAGGCTCCCGCTGAGGCTCCCGCTGAAGCTCCCGCTGAGGCTCCCGCTGAGGCTCCCGCTGAGGCTCCCGCTGAAGCTCCCGCTGAGGCTCCCGCTGAAGCTCCCGCTGAGGCTCCCTCTGAAGCTCCCGCTGAAGCACCCTCTGAGGCACCCGCTGAAGCGCTCATTGATGCATTCACTGAAGCACCCACTGAGGAACCCGTCGAGGCACCTGTTGAGGAACCCGCTGAAGCACCCGCTGGGGTACCCGCTGAAGCACCCGTTGAGGCACCGACTGAGGCACCAAAGCCACCAGAAGCTGTCTCTGAGGAGCCCAAACCCAAGGCAGCCGCAGCATCATCGGCTGGGGCAACACATCCAAAAACCAAGGTCAATGGCGCCTCAAGCCATGCTCCTGCTTCAGGGAAAGCTCCAGCTAAGGGCTCAGCCACCAAACCTTCTGCGATCTCCACCAAGGACACTACCAAGGCCACGGCTTCCAAGAGCAACCCACTTCCAAAGTCGCCAGCTCAGCATAAGGCTCCGAGGACGCCTATCACACCGAAGCAAGCCGCTCCCTCAGCTTCAAAGGCGAAGGCACCTGCAGCCCAACCAAAACGCACATCAACGGCCACTGCTAGCGCCCCAACAGTGAGCAAGGCCAAAGCGCCGGCCAAGGACGCAACAGCGTCAACGCCTCCGTTCAAGAAGCCACGACCAAAGTCGCCAACCCGCCCGGTTAAACTGCCAGCTCAATTGACTGCTCCTACTGCATCATTTGCAGCCAAGGTTGAGGACGGATCAGCACCCCAGACTCTCACCCGCCGGCCTTCGACCATCGCTCGGGCTCCACCAAAGCCTGCTGCCGCGGTGCGAAAGCAGACATCACGCGTATCCCTCCCGGCGCGTCCGGACTCAAGGCAGTCCCTGAAGGGACCCGATGAGGGATTCTTGGCAAGGATGATGAGGCCAACTGCCAGTTCTGCCAGCAAGACTCACGAGAAGGTCAACTCTCCACCTCGAAAGACTGCTGCTCATGTCAAGCCTAAGACAGGACATGAGGGTCTGGTAGCTAAGGGAAAGAGGAAGTTGGCAGACGGCGCAGCCAAGGCGAAGGATGCTGTCACGACCAATGGAAGCGACGGGCACCATGAGGACGAAGCCGAACACGGCGGACCAGCTGCTGTCGACGATGCGGACGCGACCGCTGCCCACGAAGAGCCTGCTCGTGAGTCTACACCACTCGAACAGACCGAAGCTGCACCGGCGGATATACTGCAGACCCCCAACTTCGAAGGCCAGACCATTCGCTAATCGTGCCATCCCCGTCTCCCCCTTTTGGGACCATTCTCGCAACCAATGTCTCCCCTCTATCACTATTTCCCCCTGTCTTCCAAGCGTTCTGAGCCCCGGAGTGTAGGACTGCCCAGCATTGCAGGAGCCGAGTCTATTGTTCTTTGTCAAACTAACCGTAACCCTCTTCCTTCGCTAGAGGTGGTGCTAAACAGGTGGTGGTTGTACCCGGTATTGCTTGTGGGCGCGGCGTGCGCAGCGCGGTTTGGTTGGCTTTTTTCACACAAAAATCGTTGCACTAAGCTCATCCTTGTATCTTACCTAGCCTGTATGGTTGGATACAGGTAACGGATTGCTTGTATTTGGTACCCTGTGGATTTGGCGACGGGATGGGTAGAATGCACCCAACTTTGAAATTAGCTTTAGTGTATTAAGCCCCCCGACATAATCTTGTGATTTGAATCCCTTTTGAAGTTGCTCTAAGTGAGAATAAAATCCGCTTTCACCCCGCCCCTGAGTATGTGTTTCTCTTCCGAGGCTGGCTCGTCACGTGCGCCCCGCAAATCTCCGGACCCCCGACTCGCAACCCTAAACCTTTTTTTCGAATGCGCGACGACCCCGTCACCGTCGTTCCCATCCAATTCCTCGCAGCCCGCGGTTTTTTTGTTTCCTTCTTTCCTTGCGACTGTGTTCATTTGACAGTCGTTTTGCGGGTTCACGATGAGGGTCAATGGGCTCGTCCGCGCGATGGGCTCGCTGCGGTGTGGCGTGAGGACGACGCAGAGCCTTGGGGGCGCGCGAGGTGCGTACAGCTGTGTGGCGACGACGACGACGAGGTGGAGAGGGGATGGTAGCGAGGGGGGGTTGGAGGCGTGGAGGAGTAGGAGTGTGGGGACCGGGCAGAGGCGGTGGCAGAGTGGGGCGGCGGCTGCGGTGTGAGTTGCTTTTCTGTCTGTGTCTTTTGTGTGGTGGATTGAAGAGGGGGTTTAAGAGATGGAGGAGGGGGAGCCGGGGATTTAGGGGAGTTATTGCACGGGGTTGGGTTGGTTTAAGAGGTTGTTTGGATGTTTGCTAATTGAGATAAATAGGCTTGATCAAGCCATTGCGGATCCTACTACCCTATCGCAATCGACGATTATAGAGAATTTGGATCCGTTGGAGTCGACGAGGTTGAGGAGGGTTAGGAATATTGGGATTGCGGTATGTGGAGCTCTTATCGTGTTGGATTGGGGTCGTTGGGCCAGAGTCTGCGTACACTCACTTGCCACTGCTTGAGGCCCCCAAGGTATTTTGATGCACGCAGGTCAGAACACATAGCTGACAGGTTTGATTTGACAGGCACACATCGACTCGGGCAAAACCACGGCAACGGAACGCGTCCTCTACTACACCGGCCGCATCAACTCGATTCACGAAGTTCGCGGAAAAGATGCCGTGGGAGCCAAGATGGATAGTATGGACCTTGAGCGTGAGAAGGGTATCACCATTCAATCGGCGGCGACGTTCTGCGACTGGATCAAGAAGGAAAACGGCAAGGAGGAGAAATACCACATAAATCTGATCGATACGCCTGGACATATCGACTTTACGATTGAGGTGGAGAGAGCTTTGCGGGTGCTGGATGGCGCTGTCATGATTCTTTGCGCCGTCTCTGGTGTGCAGAGTCAAAGTATCACCGTGGATAGGCAGATGAAGAGGTACAATGTGCCCCGGATATCTTTTATCAACAAGATGGACCGCATGGGCGCGAACCCGTGGAAGGCGGTCGAACAAATCAACCACAAGCTCAGGATACCGGCTGCGGCAGTTCAGGTGCCCATTGGCCGTGAAGATGGGTTCTTGGGTGTGGTCGACCTGATTAGGATGAAAGCTATTTACAACGAGGGACCAAAGGGAGAGCAGATCGTGGAGACAGATGTGATTCCTCCAGATCTGGTGGAGCTGGCGAACGAAAAGAGGGCGAAGCTCATCGAGACGCTGGCTGACGTGGACGATGAAATCGCGGAGATTTTCCTCGATGAGAGAGAACCGACCAACGAGCAGATTAAGGCTGCTATCCGGCGCGCGACTATTGCGCTCAAATTCAGTCCCGTGATGATGGGGTCAGCGTTGGCGGATAAGTCGGTCCAACCTATGCTGGATGGTGTCTGCGATTATCTCCCAAATCCCGCGGAGGTTGAGAATATGGCTTTGGATAGGCGGCAAAAGGAAGCGCCAGTGAAGCTGGTCTCGTACAACTCGCTGCCGTTTGTGGGATTGGCGTTCAAGCTAGAAGAAAGCAATTTCGGACAGTTGACGTATATCCGAGTATACCAAGGAACATTGAAGAAGGGCATGATGGTGTTCAACGCCAGGTCAGACAAGAAGGTCAAGATCCCGAAGATTGTCCGCATGCATTCGAATGATATGGAGGAGGTGCAGGAGATTGGTGCAGGAGAAATCTGCGCTGTGTTTGGTGTCGATTGCGCGTCTGGTGATACCTTCACTGATGGCCAACTAGGATACTCTATGGTAAGCGTTGATCTACCTAGGGACGTCATTTCAGATGCTAATATTTGTAGTCATCGATGTTCGTCCCCGAACCCGTCATCTCTCTCTCCATCAAGCCCAAGAACACCAAAGACACCCCCAACTTCTCCAAAGCCATGAACCGCTTCCAGCGCGAGGATCCCACCTTCCGCGTCCACGTCGACCCCGAAAGCCAGGAAACCATCATCTCCGGCATGGGCGAACTCCATCTCGACATCTACGTCGAGCGCATGCGCCGCGAGTACAAAGTCGAATGCGAAACCGGCCAGCCGCAAGTCGCCTACCGCGAGACCGTCACCGAGCACGTCAAGTTCGACCACACGCTCAAGAAGCAAACCGGTGGCGCGGGTGACTTTGCTCGCGTCGTCGGCTTCATGGAGCCTTCCGAATCGCTCGCCGAAAACAAATTCGAGGACCGCATCGTCGGAGGCACGATCTCAGAGAAGTTCTTGTACGCCTGCGAGAAAGGTTTCGACCTGTCCTGTCGCAACGGCCCTATGCTCGGCCACCGCGTGCTGGGCACCAGCATGATCATCAACGACGGCGCAACGCACATGACCGATTCCTCCGAAATGGCCTTCAAGATGGCCACCCAACAAGCCTTCCGGAAAGCCTTCTTGGCCGCCAAACCTCAAGTCCTCGAACCCCTTATGAAAACCACCATCACGGCCCCCAACGAGTTCCAAGGAAACATCGTCGGCTTGTTGAATAAGCGTAACGCGGTGATTAATGATACGGAGATCGGCCCCGAGGATTTCACGCTCTACGCCGACTGCAGTTTGAACAGCATGTTTGGGTTCTCGTCGCAGCTGCGGGCGGCGACGCAGGGCAAGGGCGAGTTCAGCATGGAGTTTAGCCATTACAACCCGGCGCCGCCGCAGCTGCAGCGAGAGTTGATCACGAAGTATGAGAAGGCGCAGAAGGAGAGGAATAAGTAGATGGGCGTTGGAGAAGTAAAAGCGAGGGGGTTTTTGAGCACTGTCTTTGTAGGTTTGGGAATTGGGTTGCCGATATGCTGATGGACTGGCGGAAGCCGAAGGAGCATGTGTAAAAAAAAAAAGAGAGAGGTGGGTTTAAAGCTATTCTCTGGGCTTGAGAGCGCTGTCGGGCTGCATTTAGAGGGGCCGGGGTTGGGTGTTTGTTGGGTTATTAATGGGATGGGGATGGGTGTATAAATATATTGTAGACAATCTTATGGACTCGACTCTTGATATCCTGCGCTGTTGTGTAGGGCTAGAACTAATTGGCCGTGGGAGTGCCTTCATTCTAGTCCATATAAGGCAAGTCTCAGACACTCTGAAAAGGGTCGAATTTCGAAAGCGTCAGAAAATTCAATGCATCAAAGTGTACCCGAGAGCTAGCTTGACTCCTGGAGTTGGCTATTGGGTTACAGTCAAAAGACAGGGGAACTGGACTTCAAATCGGAATGTGATTATCTACAAGGTGAGAACCAGGTGCAAGGTCTATGGTAATACGAGTCTAAGGTCTAAGATAGGCTGGGGGCCTTCGATAGGCTGATTTCCAGGCTCGCGATATTGATATCAAAGATGGAGGTCGAATTCAGCGCGTCGTCTAGACAGATGCGAAAGCTCTCTTGACGGCAAGCATGACGGGCGTGTACGTCACCACACGGTTGTGTCCTGTGAGTGTGTTAATTGTCAGGAAGACAAAAGAGATATACACCCAATAGACTCACCTCCATACCTCACAATCTCCAGCTCCACAAACCTCCCCCTGCCTCCAGCGCCCTCCTCATCCGCCCCACCCACCACCACATCCTCCACCGCACGATACACAAACGCGCCCCTACTCACCCGATCAACCCCTATCACGCTCCGCCGCTCCTCCGTCTGCGCTACCTGCCCGCCTCTCAGCATCTCCTTCTCCAAAGCCTCAAACACCTTCTCGCCGAGCTTCCAGTTGATATCCGGATCATCCCGCGCATGCAACACCGACAACCGCAGCCCCAGCTTCTCCTCCTTCGCAGCCGCCACCAGCGCCGTCAGCCGCGCAGCAGTCGGCCACGTATCCACGATCCACTTTTCTACGTATTTCCCGATTCTCGGGTACGGCCTTAGCGGTGCGAGGATAGGCAGCACGCCGCGAATTCGATACGACGTGAGTAGCTCCGGCAGCGACGGGAAGGACGCAATCAGCACGATGCCAGCAAACGACTGCGGCGGGAGCGTTTCCGCCGGCCTGGTCACGGAAAAGGGGAGCTCGAGGGTGGAGGGGGAGGAGAAGTGCAGCGCCACGCCGGCTGCTACGGATGTGCCGAGGGATTGGCCAAGGAGGACAGTGCGTGAGGCTGGCTGCGCGAGGGACGTGAGGGCGTAGTGGGTGAGGGCGATGCTGTCTGTGAGGATGCCGGGTTCTGAGGGGCGGCCGGTGGAGAAGCCGAAGCCGCGGTAGTCGCAGGCGAGGGTGTGCGTGTGGGGGAGGGAGGCGAGGGCGCTGTAAGTTGAAGTGCGCCAGCCTTGGGCGAGGTGGCCGGCGTTCTGGGAGTGAGAAGGTTAGTTGGGGTGGAAAAAGGGGTACAGGTAGTATGAAGGTGGGGCTTACACCGTGGACTAGGGGGTGAAGGTTAGCTGGCTGATGCTGAAATGAGAGGTATGTGTAGTAACTTACAGTTGATGACGATACGGCTCTCTGGGTCTTCTTTGAGGAGCTTGTAGCCAACAGTGGTGGTGAAGTTGTCTGCCGGCCCGCCTGGTGCTCTGGTGATCTCTCGTTCATGGGCAGCGTATGCATCTATTGGCAATATATGCCAGCAATAGAGAGTCTCTCCATCAGGCGTCGACAGATTGAAGGGGGTGATCTGGTTTCCTGGTGCTTTATCAGCCTATGTCCCTAGGTAAAGGGTTGTGGTGCGGCTCCTTACTAGCAAATCCAAATGATTCTGGTTGGTTGAGGTCGTGCCAGAAGCCGCTATGGATCTTATGCGCATAAAGCGCGCTGAAGTAGGCATTAGCACAGTCTCTAGTTTGATGACACTGATAATGGACATACTGGTGCTGTATCCATGGATTGAGCAGGGCGATGATGAAAACCGCGTATATGCCTCCAAGACTGGCTAATGACCAATATGCCTTCTTCAGAATAGGGTCAAGGGCGATCATGCTATTATCACATGATCGAGTCAGCTGGGTCTTCTGCAGGGCTAGGACAAGAAGGAGATTTCATGGTGAGATAACTTATTTCAGGCATGGATCACATGTAATAGAAGAAGAGATAGCAGTACACGAGAGACGAAGATGAATGCTGTAATACCACAAAAGAAGAGTCGGCCCCTTTTGCGGAAGAACGATGACAAAAGGAAAAAGGTGATATGCAGATTTAAAACCGATAAGGACGTCCGACCGAGTCTTTATTGACGTGTTTGTCGTACTGGGTGCACTTGTCAGGAGTAATAGAAGACGTTCACTTACATAATAATGCAATGGAATCAAACTTCCCAACTCATACCCTTGTAGGTGATGCTGTTGATTCGAGAACATTTCAAGACAGAAAGAAGCTCGGAGGTCGCGAGATCTTGGCGCCATCACGTGATGTCCAAATGAAGTAGGTGATAAGGCGACACCGGTGTTGCTCTATTCATTGTGTCTCTGAACGACTTTGGGAAGTGTAAGACGTAGATTAGGAATTTAAGTGAGGAGTTAAGGAACTAGAAACGTATAATGTTGACATCACGTAGAACATCTTTTGGGTCTAACGTGCATGTGGCCCCCGTAGATAGGATGCTCAAAGCATTCTACAGGACGATGGGAGATTACTGTTCTTGTTTAAACCTTGCGCTATTCATATATCCAAAATTAACAACGCAAGTCTCATCTATCGATCGCATCAACACTCATTACTTTAGGCGTGGATCCCTCATTTGCTGTCTTATTTGTCCACTACAGCAGCAGCACCTTCGGGTATCGGTAGCTCTTCCGCGTCGTCTCATCCGTCGACCGCATCCCTTTTGTGTCGACCGCCAAAATATCATACGTGTAAAACGGTGAATCATGGGAGTTTCAAAAAATGGCTCTTAAAACGTAGTCTTGCCAGACACCAAAGGACTTCACCGAAAGTAAGCTAGTCCTACCCGTGTAGTCTCATCTATCAACCGCATCAGTACCCGTTCCTTTAGGCATCGGTGACCAGTGTCTAGAGAGCAAGTCAATTGCTTTATTGCACAAGTGTCATCCCGTCGTTAGTAGAAATCACATTAAGGTCCCTGGAGGCTGGTGATAGATTGCACCGCTTTGACTATAGTGCGGGCGAAAGAGTTCTAGATCCTTAATAAGAGAGCAACTCAAGTGCTGACGGTCAAGTAAGACGCGGAGAGAAACCGGCCGTCTAGAGCGGCATGATTGCTATGAGGCGATTTGTAAGTCGACTTCTCTAGAGGGCTGAATGAGTAGCGGATGCCTTGAAACCGATAGACAAACAGGTCTTTCCTGGTCAGGTGGTGACATGGAAAATCGCAGCATCCAATGACGGCGGTCTCTATGCATATTGTCAATGCCATTGAGTCAGAGGAGGCCTGACCGGGTAATGGTAGGTTGAAGGCGAGTGCCAGCGGTAATCGCGTAGCTTGAAGTGCCATGCAGGTCGGGGATCGTCTTACACGGACGGTGGGTTCCAGTGATTGATGTTTGCATTAGAACACTCTAGATGCGAGGTTGATCCTGGAGTTGGCTCTGGGGACCATCAGCTTCCGGGAGACGAGTGGTTGGTTCCGTGGCTGGTGCTGATCCTCTTAAAGAAGCTTGGGAAGCACGCCCGGGTGATAGTTGTCGAGCTGCCGGCATACAGACAGCCAATCACCGCAAGTTGGGGCTTCTCCATCCCGAGGATGGAGAGGTGTTGAGCCTAGTAATACGGGGATGCGGGGTCTCGTGCCGGGGGTTTGCTCTGGTGAGCTGTACGCCGTTGCTCCTGAGGAAAATACTATGGTTCAGGGACGCGATGCAGTCATCCGTGCTGGAGATAGTGACAGCTGTCAGTTGGCAGTTTGCTAGATCACACACCAGGTAGGCAGGCGTGGAGAAGATGAGGGTCGCGAATACCAAGAAGTACATCATTGTGCCGTACAAAGATATTAGAAGGCTCAAGAGCTCGGAGAAGAGCAGGGTGTGTTGGTGTGCTGTCGTAACTGTAGAGGGCTCGCGAGTTAATGTGGTAGCTTGGTTGCGGCGAGGCACGGGCCACGTGTCTCCTCGGGCGTCCTTGGTATGCATGGAAGAACGGCGGCCGAAGGAGACAGCGGGGATCTCCCTGCGAATACGTTGGAGTCTGACAGAGGCGAAACGGGCACAGAACAGGTGACTGCGCGTGGGCTGGCAAAGAGCGGGCTGGACACCCTCCACAGCAAGAGCTGGAGCGTCTTCTCCGGATTGAAAATAGCTTCCAGGTCGCTGGGAGTGCCACGATGCGGCCATTGAGCGTTTCCTCGACTGCAGCCAAGCACCACGGCACCCGGCACCGCATGGCTCACAGCACCCAGGAGACGTCCCCGCACAACACGCTTCTGTTTGCTCTTGGCGAGGGCCAGACAGGCAGCTGGCGGCCGTTGCTTTCACCCCCTCGAGTTCGGGAGCTAGCGAGGGGTCGGCACCCGCGACAGGGCGTGATGAGGTACCAATCCGGCGTGATTGGAGTCTTGAGAGAATCGATAGCGCGTCCCGAAAGGTGCAGTGAGGAGAGTCGTGGCCTTCAGGGGTTTGGCGCGTTTCATTAATGCCGGCCCTGCTCAAGTCCAGATGCACCACGTGCCAAGGCCCGCCTCGGCGCATTGGGTTTGCTGGACATTTTCCCTCAGGCCCAGCTATACTCCCCTATGCAATCCATCCTACATGTACACAGCTCTTCGATATCCGGTGTGTCTAATTGCGGAGGCTCCTCCCGGTCAAACCCGTGCTGGCAAGCACCTCACCGCCAATATTCGGCGCTGCGAACCCGAGCAGCTGTCACGACGGGACCCCTGATCTCGATCGCGCCCGCATCCATTGCGCCCGACTCGGCGAGCCTCAATTTCCATCTGCACCTTTCCGTCTGTCTCACGCAGAACCCCGGCGTGCTGCACCTCCTCGAACCCGAGTCCCATATTCTCCGCTTGCGCCATGCCATCATGGACGCCCTTCACCACCACCCTTCACCACCTGAGCCGCACAACGCAATGCTAGACGACGGCACCTCGCGCGGCCGCCGACGCGACGATTCTCCTCCACGGACCCCCAGGACCTCGAGACAGGCAAAGGGCAAGGCCCCGATGCGCGCGCTAAACACTCGGCCGGCCCGGAATAACCAGACCTTCTTCGACGACTCGACGCCCGTGGACAATTTGAGAGTAGAAGATGGAGGCTTCGACCGGTCTAGGTCCAGAGACTCCCACGACCTGTCCTTCGGCGATGGCACAAGAGACTCGGTGGTGGACAACATGCTCATGTCGCTGGATTCGATGCCAATGGGCATGGGCGCGCCGTCATTCCCGAACAACGCGCTGTACTCGAAATTCGACCACGACGACTTCTTTGCGAGCAATGCTCCGTACGCTCTCCCAAAAGCGTCTCGACACCGCGGCCACACTTACACCTCGTCATATTCGTCCGAATACGATGTACACATCGACGATACCGCCAGTCGATACTCGAGCCACCATTCGCGGGGACGGAGAAGCAACAGCAGCTCCAACTTTCAGGCCGGACTGGCGAGGAAAGAGAGTCTTCGGGGCCCGTTTGGTGCCTCCAAGACTAGCAGCGAAACCCAATCTAAAAGCATATTTGATCCGCCCGCGTCGGCACATACCAGGAGTGGCGGAAAGAAAGGCAGCAAGGGCAGCGGCTCTTCCAGCATGGATTTTGGATACACCCAGGCCATGGGCACACATCGAATGGGATTTGGAAACCGATCTGCGAGTTTTGATCATAGTTATGGGGATCGGCCGCGGCCATCGCCAATAAAACAGACATCGAGCGGCATGTTAGATCGCGGACGGCCGCTGCCACCAGGGGCATACAACCACTACGACGCAGCGCCAGAGCCTACAGTACCAGTAGGACCGCGACGGGTGCCAGAGTCCCCTATTTTGTCTCCGTCGTACCCACCGCAGCCAACATATGCGCCTCCGCAGGCACCCGTGTCGCGGAAGAACAGCATCCGTTCGTCCAGCGGTAAGACATTGCGAAAGGGCAGGACCAACACGCAATCGCAGGTGCAGTCGCAGGAGTCCATGGCCAGCATGCGGGCTCAGGCAAGCGACTTCATCAACGCGAGCCATTTCCGCGACCTTCCCCCGATTCCGGCGTTTGCAGACCCACCTGCCCCTAGCCCGACTGTCGCCATCCGTAAACCCTCGACCGCATCCCCCACTGTACCGACGACACCACTGGCAAACCCCCCAAAGGAAAAGCAGGGCTTCTTCCGCCGCGTCTTTGGCTCGTCCAAAGCTAATCATGCCTCCCCCTCCAGCCAGACCCAAGATGCCTCTCCCGCCCAACACACCGACTCCTACGACTCCCCTAGCCGCCCCAAAACCACCCAAGGCACTGCCCATAATCACATTGCATCCCAGCTCAAGCCACAGCCCAAGCCCGTGTCGCAGCCTGTGCCTGCCCCTGTGCGCAAGCCGCAGCCGCAGCCGCAGCACCAACCGCCTCCGCCCGCCATTCTGAACAAGAAGCCGTCGTCCTTTTTCCGGCGGCGAAAGAAGTCGGTGTCAGAGGGCTCGCAGGCGCCCGTCATGCCCATGCAGCTGGCACCTACACGCACTGATCTCGCGCCGGCGCTGCCAAGCCCGTCAATTAGCAGTCTGCGCAAGGTGATGAACCCCTATTTGAGTGACGTCACGAGCCCACACGAGACGTACTTTGAATCGCGGGAGCACCAGCCGGGCGGGGAGGACGAGAAGGCAGAGCATCTGGGCGGCTTCTCGCCCGGATACACCCCCCACAAGGACGCCACGGTGCGTCCCGTCAAGCCGGGCTCGCGTGGCACTGAGAACAGCGCGCCATCATCTCGGGGCGAAGCCGTGAAGAGCTCGCACGCCGCTGCAACACACAGCCCCAAGCTCAAGCTCAAGATGAAGCGCGGCCGGACGAGCGTCGCCAACCCGCACGACGACTCGTTCCTGGCCGACAGCAGCGGGAACGAGGACCGCCAGCACGACGCCCGCAGCTCCAACTCCCACTTTGGCCTGCCCGACGACGCGAGGCGGCCCAGGACGAGTCCCACGTCGCCCGCGTTCCGCGCGCCGTTCCCCGTTCGCAGCAACGAGAATGAAGCACCGCAGCGGAAGGCCAACACTGGCGAGAAGCGGACAGAGCTGCTCAGCCCGCACGCCTCTGACCGACGGCCATCCTCGGCGAGCGATGCTGAAGACGACGGCTGGGTAGTCACCGGCGGCGTTCACAAGCAGTCGCCCGTCCCGATGGTGGCCAGCAAGCCGAACCGTGTCTGGCTCGAGCCTACGCCATCAGAAGAGAGGCTGGCCGAGTCCGGTCTCTCGCTCCCTCTCGAAGGGGTTCGGTCCTCGCAGAAAGCTTCGCCCACGACCGCCGAGACTACGCCTACTTCCACCAGCGATGTCTTCCAATCGGCCACCAGTCTGCCCGTCGTGCAAGTAGACGGCGATGACCTTCCGGACGACACGCTGGTGGCCGACCCCAAGGCATTGGACGCCTCTGAAGAGCCGACTGACGAAGACAGGGAGCATGCTTTGAAGATCTACAGTGGAGACGAGGAGCTCACGACCAAAGCACAGGCAGCCACGGTCCTAGGTGACGTTTCCGCCAGCGCTGCACGCATCCGCAAGGCGTACATGGACCTCTTCGACTGGTCTGGCTTCAACATCTTGCTTGCCATGCGAGACTTGTGCGGGAAGCTTGTTTTGAAGGCTGAAACACAGCAGGTGGACCGCATTCTCATGGCCTTTACCGAACGTTGGTGCGAGTGCAACCCCAGCCACGGTTTCAAGGCCACAGGTAAGGCAATCCGTCCAATCAGATACAAGCAGCTCAGCTAACCCTTCTACAGACGTTGTCCATACCATTTGCTACTCTGTTCTGCTCCTCAATACCGACTTGCATCTTGCTGATATCGAATCGAGGATGACCCGAAGCCAATTCGTCAGAAACACCCTCCCGACTATCCGTCGTGTCTGCGCGGATGCACTCGTCGAGCCCGCTGAAGAGACTCTACGCCCGCAGAGCACGCAGGCCAGGGGTTCCATTCCATGGTCAGAACCTAGCTCACCCGCAGCCGAATCTCCCACCTTTGCTCCCGAAGCTACCGAAGCTCGGACTTCGCTCGAGACTAAGCCATCTCGCAACCGCTTGTCCATCAGACCAGCAGCTCGCACTGGGTCTGATGGTCTCCTATCGGCGCCAGATTCCGCTCCAGCGGATAACTGCAACGTCCTCGTCAAGTCGCCGTTCGAAGGCTCTGCTAAAGGATGGGAATTCCAGGTCGAGATTGTGCTTAAAGAGTTCTATAACTCAATCCGCCAGCAACGATTGCCGCTTCATGGATCTTCAGCAATCCAGCGTCACGACCCGCCCTCCTCTAACAACCTGTCAGTGAGCTCCATGCTACGACGAACGCCAAGTGTGTTGAGCAAAGCCCCTTCGGACAGCACCAGCTATCGAGGCCGTTCTCAGACAGACTTTCGAAGCGTAGCTGCCCGTTGGAACACCAAGACTCGGTCAAGGCCGCGTCTATACCCCACGTCTACAATTGGTTCGAGTCGAACGAGTCTAGACGACCAGTCAGTATGGAGCCCTGCTGGCTCAAGTACGTGGAGCAAGTACTCCTTTGGCAAGACTCAGACCTCCATGTCTATGGAGTCACTGGGTTCGCATTTTGCCCGGGGCGACTACCAACAGTCTATCGGGTTCGCCAATGCCCTCAGTCAAGCTATTATTCGCGAAGAAGGCATGACTATTGCAAGCTCGGAAGAGTACGGCCGCGTGGTCCCACTTCTGGAAGACGAAACCCTTGAGCTGGTAGGCGCACCGTGGGCGAAAGAGGGGATCCTGAAGCACAAGCATCACCTTGAGGCTCTCGACAAGAAGGCCAAGGACAGGAACTGGAATGAGTCTTTCGCAGTTATTGAGAAAGGCTATATGCGTCTCTTCTCCTTCAGCATGAACTCGAAGTCGGTGCGGCAAAAGAACAAGGCTCGACCCTCCGCTGGCAGCATCGTTGGTGGTGGTAACTGGATGGATAACGCTGAAGCTCTAGACAGCTTCTTGCTTCGCCAGTCGATTGCCAGCGCTCTCCCGCCTCCTGGATACTCCAAGTCACGGCCCCATGTGTGGGCGCTGTCTTTACCCACCGGAGCAGTCCACCTCTTCCAAGTCGGCACTCCAGACATCGTCAAAGAGTTTGTCACGACAGCCAATTACTGGTCTGCGCGCCTATCTAAGGAGCCCCTCATGGGTGGAGTTAGCAACATCGAATACGGATGGGGTGACAACGTCATCAATCCCGCCCTCATCCGCCAAGATAGTGCACCCTCTGTCTCAATGCCGCGTCCCAGCATGCAAAGCTCGATCCGCAGCTCCATCGACCACTCAACCGGAACCGTCAAAGCCAGGCTCGCGGGCGATAAGGTCAACCTAAACGAGTGGACTCCACCTACGCAGAGCATGCTGCCCAGCAACCTGATGGAAGTCGACCAACTGAGAGCGTTGACCGCCTACGTGAAGAACGTCGAGGAGGAGCTTGGACGTCACCAAGAACTGCGGGCGCCCATGCTGATTGCCGTAAGTTTAGTTACGAGCTTTGAAAGGGAGATTAACGTGCTAACCATTACACCCAGTTCTCCCCACGCCACCCCAACGCCAGCAAAGCCATGGCCAACTGGGAACGCAAGTCCTCGTACCTCCTGCGCGAAATCGTCAAATTCCGCACCTACATCGACTCGCTCAACGCCGCGCAGGCCCGCAAAGAGCAAATCTACGCCGAGCGCGAGGCCGAGATCGCCAAAGCCGAAGCCGACGAGGCTGAGGTTCCAAAGACATCAATGACAGCGCTTGAAGGCGATGGTGGGGCCTCAACAACACCACCCCCACCCCCGACTGAACCCGCTGAGCCCCTCCCTGCATGAAAAACTATAAGATTTCATTTGAAAGCTGATTTGAAACCCATTTTTTCTTGCTTCTTCTAGCGCTCACGCCTCTCCGCAAAACGATACGGCGGCTGCGAACGCTGCATTCGTCCCACCGCCGGTCCAGGGGTCGAGGGCGGTCGCGTCTCATCGATCACTGGTCCGCGTGAGAGGGGAAGTCTGTTGCCTTTATTCGGGTGCAGGTTTATGAATTTTTTTTAATGAGATGGGGCTGAGTGACGGGAGTTTAACAGAGCGTTAATTGTACCGGTTTTTAACCAGCGAATTCCGTGGAGTCTTTTTTTCTCGTTTGTGTTTTTTTTGGTGGGGTTTTTTCGTGTTTTTTGTGGGCACTGGAGCGATTTGTTGAGCGGAATTAGCATGATGTGATGTCTTTGTACGATTCGAGTCCCCAGCGCGGGTTGGTGGGTAGGGAAGAAAATTTACTCGCCGGTTTTCTTTATTTTGTATTCGAGGGAGATGTGGATAGGGATAGGGATAGATTCTTCGTTTATGTGGAGGATTATTGTGATTGCATCTATGCGCCGAAGGGGGGGAGGGAGGGAGGCCGCGGGAGTATTATTAGATACCAGCTGCTGGCTATGTGTGGCGGGGATGAGATAGGAGAGGAACTTGGGAGATTAAGCTTGGAGCGGGAATGGAGTTGGGGATGGTGGGATAACCGGGGGACTCTTGGGAGGGAAATGGTATACCCGGCGTCGTTTTTGATGCCTTTTCACAACTCTGTGCTCTGACTGGTGATTTGAAATGAAGTGTGCATCTATTTTGCTGAGGGGGGCTCCGTCTGACACCGTTAGAGGTGCTGCCCCATACCGGTGAGATACTATGTAAAAGTATGCGGAGGTGCGAATCGTATGCGAGGAGTTGACATGAGCTTAGAGAATGGGGCTAAGGGCAGCACTTATGCATCGTCATGCGATAGGCCAAACCTTGAACATGTGAGCATGTAAATTAGAGCACCAAGATATATGAACTTGCGGGTCATGATTATGATGGATTCCACCCCTGACCATTTCGCTCCGAATGACAAAAGTAACGTACAAAAACCTACACCTACAGAATCAGCCTGCCAAATTCCAAACTCCTCCACTCATCGAAGTTCTGCAGTCATCGATAGTGCCATCCTGATTCGAACTGATTCCCGTAGTAGTCAACGGCCTCCGACGAGATCGGGTGTCGAACGACTGTGATATCGCCTGGCCAGTACCCCTCGATGGCAGGCTCGATGTCTCCCCGGCTGACGGCAGCTTGGAACGCAGCCTTGCGATCTTTGCGGAACTTGGACAACTCGGCAACAACATCAATCGACGGTGCAGCCAAAGTATGCTGCGATTGATGACTACTGGCAGGAGCGGGAGGCGGTGCAAGCATCAAGCCACTCATAGCAGCGAGCGGCAGATGACGACCAGGCTCCTGGTTTGGCAGGCCACACTCTTCGTCGCCGAAGAACGAGAAGTCGTGCGTAGCGGCGTCCCAGAACTTCTCGGAATCCGTGTCCTCTGTAGAGGACTTGGTAGGGTATTGCCGCCAACTTGTAGAAATCTTTTTAAGAGGCGCAAGAGGAGGGGCCATCTCAAGCACGATCCGGCGGAGCGAAAAGAGGCTGCGGGCGTACTCGCGCTCTGCTACGGCTCGACTTCGTCCTGGTGGTAGGGCGTACGTGTGCTGGGCTCGGAGCTTGGCCATTTCGGTCTCTTCGGCGCAGTCTTGAATGAACTGGACCAGTCGCTGGACTACTTCGGGGCGGCTGGTCTTCAAGGGTACATCGGTCAGGACCAGCGTGTGGAGTTTTGGGAGCATTCCAGGGTGTAAAGAGTTTTCTCGTGACTGCCGTAGCTCGAGCCGCGCCCGACGTTCTTCGATATAATATATGGAGTTTCGGCCTGATCTTATGCTGCTCGGTCGCTCGTCGAGGCTGTTCAAGGAAGGACTCCTCGATCTGCCATTAAATATGGGCGAGACTGGCGACAAGCCACCGGTTGCATCGGGAAATGTACCAATTGGAGACAGGGCGTCGTCTGTGTTCACTGGCTCAGGAGCAAAGGCACTACCTCTCCGAACGTTAAGGACCTGGTCTATAGTGACTTCAAAAGTTGGAGCGCGTTTGATCCCTGGCGAAATCTCGTCTTCGGAGCCTACCTCGTCATGCTCTGGAAGAGAACCAGGAAGCTCGGACGGATGAGCAGAATCCCCAGGAAGCTCGAGTACAGCTGACTCAAGTGCATCAAGCTCTGGTGGACGGGGCGGAACGGCTTCAAGTTCGTGAGCATTAGTCGGAGCATACACCCCGAAGTTTCCCTCCATTTCCGCTCGATGCGGAGAGTTCGGCGTGAGAGTAGACTCTTCTGTGATTACGGCGTGGTTGATTCGAAGATGTTTCAAGCCAGCTGACCCAGATTCTGCCAGGACTTGAGTCAGCTTCTCAGCTCCAGGAAGCGAAAATGCTTCATCACTATCTCCCATGGACATGGATCGCGGTCTCCGCAGGGCTCGAGATAATGTTCCAACATCGAGAAAACTTAATCTCTTAGACCGTATCAAGCCTGAAATTCCTTCTACTGTCATGTCGTTATTAGATATGTGAAGGTGTGTTATGCCGACGTCGTCGGTATCCTCAATGGCAAGGCGGCCAACGAATCCTTGAGTCAACTTGATTCGCAAGTACCGATCAAGGTCCTCAACCCCGTTGTCAATGTCTGCTTCGGGAAATGTGTTATACCGTGAATCATCCCGTTGGTTGCGCCGTGATTGACGTCCCGCCTCATCGTCTTTCAAACAGTGGTCTAGGAGCATTCGAGCGCTAGCATCTGTCAAGTTATTGTCGCGTAGGTCTAGACTAGTGACCCTCGTTCCAATCGACTGGGCAATCATCTCGAAATCGCCGTCCTTCAGGCTTAGGCCCCGGAGCTTTAGAACACGAAGACCGGACAAGAATCCGAGCTTGCTGAACACAACAATGTCCCGAGCTGCAATTGTTCTTGATAAGTCAAGAGAGATCAGAGCCGGAAAATGGATTAGTGCTTCAGCCAAGCCATTTGATGTCGAATTCGAGCAGTTGGAAGCATCCAGCAAACGCAACCCATAGACAGGAAATCCTGCAGGCTGCGACGCATAGCTAGAGCTGTACCGCAGCGTGAGCAGAGACGCATGGTCGAAAAAGGGCAATCCGTCCACGATAAGCGATTGAAGGCGAGGTAAGCGCTCGAGAATATCTCTTAGCCAGTCAGAGTGCGGTCCGCCGTATATCTCTGCATGCGCTGGAGGTAGGTGAAGCGTATGGGTCAACTCCCGAACACAGAGACGCGCCCATGAGAGCGTTCGCTTGAAGCGAGTCAAGGCGACTGTAAGAGTTGAGCTATGGTTTCAATGAGGATGTTGCGTACATACCATATACAGTGTCATTTTGTGCTCCGAAATGAGAGGCTGGATTACCCCAGAGATGTGGGGCAAATATCTCATGCCATCTTTCGCAAACAAGTGCAGCAGAACACAAATCCCGCGAACGGATATAGCGGGCTATGATCTTCCAATGGTCTTTAGTAATGGCCGTCTCGTAAGACGGAGGCGCGTCGTCCATGTTGTGTGGGTGGAATGCGGTAGTCGGACAGCACTATGATATAAGTTTGGGCACTCCTTGGATCTGCTTAGGGTCTCCCGATAGCCCTTTAAAACTTCAGATGCAACCAAACGTTCCACACAGCGGAAATAGAGCTACCGTTTGACTGATCGAACATGTGCCAGCTAGGGTACTCCTTGCAGTGGTGTCGAGCGAGCAAAAGTGGCGCCCGAGTAGCGAGATGTCGGTACTGTAGCGCAACGGCATGAAAAACAGAGAGCCCACAAAGAGGATCACCATCAAGGCTGATTTCAAGGCACATTCTTGACACGAAGTTCCAAGAGCATGAGATGAGGCGCAGTCGTACTCACCCTTGCTGGCATAGCAGATGACTGCTGCAAGGCGACTTGTTAGGCACAGACAGTGGCGATTTGGACGAAAGACCGCCAGACCGTCATCATCACGTGACTTGACCCTATTCAACCTCCTCTCTAAAATCACGTGAGCCACCTCACACAGCACCAAGCAAGAAGCAGGATGATAGTTCAATCGAGTTCATTCATGCCTATAGAGTTACAGTTGAAAAGAGAAGCAGAGGCAACCACCCAGCGCCCACGCGGGGTATCCGTCATTATGCCGTTTAAAACCCCGAAAAGAGGCCGCTATAGGGCCCAGAAAAGTAAGGAAAAAGGACCGGAAAGAGCACATAGAGGCCAGAAAGAGCCAGCAAAGAGTCCGCTATGAGACCAGTAAAAGCAGGAAAAGGGCCGGAAGAGGACACACAGAGGCCAGAAACAAACAGCAAAAAGGTCGCAAAGAGCAAAAGAAGTCTAACAAGCAGAAAGAGAGCCAAAAGGCAGAAAGCAACCAATAGGCCAGAGAGAGGCCACAGCAAGCACCCACATATCGTACACAACCACCGCCAAATACCGCCAAATCGCCCACACTCAGGCCCACGCAATGCACCAAACTTCCGATCTAGTCAACAGTAGTGCCGTATTCGACCCCACTCATGGCCTCGCCCTGGGCCTGCGGCGACACGCTCCGTCCGCTCTTGTTGATCTTCTTGGACACAACTGGGGACTCAAACAGCGACGCGAACGACCTCTCGCCCGGCAAGAGCGAGCCCGCTCGCGAGCCACGTCGCGACGAGAGCGGGGACGCAGCGCGCGACGCCACGCGGGAGCCGGCAGCAGAACGGGTGTGGCTTCCGTTCAAAGAAGTCGCCAGATTGACGACGGGGGGGCTGCGCCGAGGGGGGGAGGAGGCCGGGTTCTGGGCGGTGTTGTCGCCGATTGGGGTAGGCGACGTCATGGCTGCGAAGCCATTTGGTGGTGGAATGGACGCGGCGCGGACCGCGGATAGGCCAGTGTCGTCGTTGTTTATGACTGACGAGGACTCTTCCGGCTCGATTTGCGCAGCAGGCGTCTCCAGAACTGGTTCTTCTTCGACCGGAGGGGTAGACGCAACGTGATCTTCTTCGGCCAGAAGGGCGGACGCAATGTGTTCTTCTTCGGCCGGCGGCATGGACGCAATGGGTTCTTCTGCTCCCGCAACGGCGTCCTCCATGGCGATGTCAAGGGACTCTTCTTCCTGAAGAACCGGTTCTTCTGGTACCATAACCGGGACTTCTTCTTCAACAACCGGCCCCTCCGCTGGGGCAGCCACAGGGGTCTTTGGCTGGTTCTTTGACCCCTTTGGCCGACCGCGAGGCTTGGCGGTCTTGGCTGCTGCTTTGGGGGCAGCCTTCGAAACGGCCTTCCGCGGTTTCTTCGCTGCCGAGACAGGAGCTTCATCGGGGGCAGTCCGCTTCCTGGATGGCCTGCCAGTAGGAACCTTCACCGGGGCCGAATTGACGGGCTTTTTCGCAGTCTTTTGCGCAGGTGCTGATTTCGTGGCTACTGCACGACGTCGAGTTTTTGGCGTCAGAATCGGACGCTCTTCTTCGGTCTTCTGGGCAGCACGACCGCGCTTCCGGGGTGCCTCTGGGGCAGGTTCAGTCTCCTCAACGACCTTCGCAGGGCGGCCTCGTTTCTTGGGTGCCTTCGCAACGACTTCGAGAACCGGTTCTATTTTGGCAGGTCGACCACGCTTCTTTGGCAGTCCCTCCTGAATCGGCTTGGCGACCACAGTTGTTTTGGCGGATCGGCCACGCTTCTTGGGTAGCTCCGGCGTGGGCTCAGCCTGTGCAGCGACTTTGGTGGCGCGGCCCCGTTTCTTAGGGGCCTCTTCAACGACATCGACCTGCACTGCGATCTTCGCCGGCCGGCCGCGCTTCTTCGGAAGCTCCTCCTCAATCGGCTCGATGGCAACGGCAACTTTGGCGACACTACCACGCCACTTGGGTGGCTCCGGGGCTGGTTTGGCCTGTGCAGCGGCCTTAGTCGGGCGGCCTCGTTTCTTCGGTACATCAGGAACGGCGTCGGCGAGGTTTTGATCCAGCTGCGCATCTGGCTCAGTCTGGGCTGGAGCGTTCTTCGGGGGGCGACCGCGACGCTTTGGGGCGGGTTCAACAGTGTCTGAGGTGGCCTTGGCCTTGGTGACCTTGGCCTTCGGCGCCTTGGTAATTTTCGCGGCAATCTTCTTTACCGGGGCATCTTCAGTGTGCTGGGTAGTGGCGTTACGAGTGGAACGGCGAATGGCAGTCTTGGCCGCGGCGGGGATCTTCTTTGGACCCATGTTGTACGATGTTTTGGTGGTGTGTTGTTTTGATGACGTCACACGTGTTTGGAGGAAGTGTTTGTTGTTGACACAGTTGCGAAGATAGGACAGAGAAGAGATGACAGAGAGAAGAGAGATGGAGTGAGGTGTGTACAGAGCTCGGGGTCTTGCTTGCTGATGAAGGGACCGAGGCGCGGTAGGCGATAGGTCGGATCAGCGCACAGGACTTGGGCGCGTGACGAGATGATGAGAGCGCAGCAGAATGAGGCAAAGTACAGAGCGAGGGTAGTTCGAGTGAGGTTTGTGTACAGGGCTCGAGGTTCCGAGGTCTTGTTTACTGATTGATGAGGCGATTGAGACGCGACAGGCGACAGGCCGGCTCAGAACAGAGAGCTCGATCGCACGATCAGGTGATGAGGCCGCAGCAAGTTGAGACAAAGCACAGGATGAGGCTGAGTCGAGTGAGGGATGTGTATACAGCTTGAGGTGTGTGTATAAAGCTTGAGGTCTCGAGGTCTTGCTTTGCTGATCGATGATGTGACGAAGACGCGACAGGCGAGGAGTCGGCTCGGGATAGAGGAATCAGGCGCGCGACAAAGTGATGATGTCGCAGCGCAGAGAGAGAGAGATGTACCGAAGTTGTTGTTGGTGCGATGCAGAGGAGGCGGGGCGGTGTTGTCTATAAAAGAGGCTTGTGGCGCAAGCTTCTGTTGACAGGGGTGACTAGCGTCAACCCCGCTGCCGGGCCCGACGCGCAGGCCCAGAAATCTACGGGTTGCCATCTGCACCGTGTTCGCAGATGCCAGTCTAGAGTGGTAGCCACGCGGGGCATGGAAAAGGTGGCACGCTAATTAAGCTGCATCGTGTGTACACCTGCCTGCCACAGCTTGGGTTGCTTTAATGTATTTTCAAGAATCTAAAGAGGATAGAAGCTCTTCACCTTGGGCTATGTGGAAACTTGTTGAAGCACTTCATGCAGTGGCAGACAGATGTACACACGGCGAGTACTTGATGAGTGTGCCCCGTTTTGCGTGCCCAGCGTGGCAGCATGAATCGTCTTCATTATCTTCTATCTCGATCAGCATGTCTTATTCGTCATGGCTTGAGAAGAGGCTGATGAGAACGATGACTTGCTAGTGCTAGGCCTGACCGTACTAACATTTTTTATTGCAGCATAGACGGATCAAGACGACGTGGAAGGAGTAGATGACGCCGTTTGACATTGTTCGAAGTGTGAATTTCAGTCCACTTCAAAGTTATATAACGGTGTTCAATCACTCTTGACATTAACAAGACAGTGTACTCAAATGATGAGATTTGATGTGAGGCATTTGGGACAACGGAGAGAGGAATGTTATTCCAATTCAAGCAACCTGTTAACAATTTGGCCATGGCAACTCCCTCATGCTTGGCACAATTACGCTTCATTCACAGCAGCCGCTCCAAACAATACGCCTACACACCTCGATAGTGTACACAAGCAAACGCGCCAAAGGCAATCCCGACGAGCTTGAAACAATAGAAAAGAACTTGCACCTATGCGTGAGCCGGCCCCGTTTATAAGCGCCAGACCGTTCTTGGAGTTGCTAAAAGAGAGCACATAGAACCTAAGAGATGATTCGAGCAATCCCGAGTCCAACCAATAGTCAGCATTAGGCCGCAAAAACGAGACAGCCTCCCGACCGACCAACGCCTCCACAAGCCACAACCCGAGGCATCATAGGATCAATTCCATGTGCCCATCCGACTCCGAGATCATGTACATGAGTTTCGGTACCGCTGCCTCCCATGAAGCCAATCGCTGCGCCAGATCAGGACTGTCGGCGGGGTCGTAACGTGAACGAGCTCCTTCCGCATCAGCCGGGCTGTCGTCACCCTTCCAGTATGATGTACTGTGAGCCCTACTCGACGTTTTCCGAATGAGTGTGTTTTTGTTGTTTTTCGTTTCGCTTCCTGGCTTTTGCAGCTCGTCTCCGATCGAACCCCTTCGCGTTTTATTCGCATTGGAGTCCGATTCGTTTCGTTGTGGTCCTTCACTGGGTCGAAGCTGACAAAGGCGTTCTTTGTAAAGTTGATAGCTGCTGGGGATTCTCGGAGCTCTTGTCTTTGGCAATTTAGTCTATGAGGAGCAGCGGCGTTAGTAGCTCTGGGGGTATTGATTTGCGGGCTGCAGAGGCCATAAGTCAGTTACCGGTCTAGTATATGTGGCAATAGATATAAGGAAAGAATCAAAGTTCATATCAGTGACTCAGCGTACCGGACTGTTTAGCATGCTCTGTCTCTTATTGCGGCTCTTCTTGATGTGGCTTTTTAGCGCACTAGAGTCGAGAGGCTTCAGGAGCTCAAAACTGCAAAGCAACTCTGCTGATACAGCCATGACGGCTCCCCAGTTGTCAAATTCGCCACAGTACTGTTCGAGTTAGCAATTGAGACTATCTATTAGGGAGTAATACTTACATTTGGCGCGGAAAAGACTGTCACTAAGATGCGATCGTTGAAAAACTCGTAGCCATCCTCGACAACCATGTGCGCTCTGCACACTAGATCAAAGTCATGCCGTTGCAAGAATTCCATAATGACCTTCTTGCCAAAACAGTAACTGACGCCACGTTCGTTCGACTCCCAGTCATTCTCCATGTCTGCTGGGTCACTCCAGAGAAGATCGTTCAGCAACCCGTAATCAGGGACATCGGTTGGGCGCGCGATGTTGTTGATGTCGTCCATATGTGATAGACTGGGAGAGAGTCCACCATGGACGCAGAAAATCTTCTGTGCAACGATGGCGGCAATTGGGAGGCAATTGAAAGTGTCAACGAAGGCCTTCCAGACTTTGATATTACATCGTCGCTTGCACTCATCGTAAAATCCATAGACCCTGGTGACATTGGCGCATTCGTGGTTGCCTCGCAGCAGGAAAAAGTTCTCTGGGAATTTGAGTTTGTAGCACATCAGCAGCAGGATGGTCTCCAAGCTCTGCTTTCCACGGTCAACATAGTCGCCGAGGAAAAGATAATTAGAGTTTGGAGGAAAGCCACACATCTCAAACATGCGAATGAGATCAGTGTACTGGCCGTGGATATCGCCGACAATCTTTACAGGCGCTGCCAGTTCCAGCAGAGCCGGCTGGGTCAGAAAAACTTCCCTGGCAGCTGCACAGATGGCGAATATCTCGGCGTTCTTTAGGCACACTGTCTTGGTGACCTTGCCAGTATATGCAGCATCCAACAGCCTTTGGATCATGTCGTCGAGATCAATGGACTTCAAAGCACTGATTTCCATAGGCGACCCAGATCCGTCTGTAGCAACTGGAGCTTCTGGCGCCCTAGGTATAGGTCGGTCCCCCTTTTTCAAGATAGAGACCCCCGGTTGCTGCGTAGACAAGGGCATGGGCACTCCGCTCGGAGGCGCATCCGAGACATGGTCTACTTCACCGGTGCGCTGTGCTCGCTCTACCGAATCGTGGCCGTGTCCGACCGATGCTGATTGTATGGGAGATGGCGGGGGTTGTGGACTATCGGCGAAGGTGCTAGAACGGGCTGCTGCAGTGTCGAATGTAGGCGTTTGGGCAGATGCAGTGGAATCTCGTCGCGATCGCGATACTCCAGATTTAGCACTGACTGCCGACTTTGTGGACGCAGCATCTGACTTGTCAATACCGCCGTTTGGTGCGTCGATGGTGAGTCCAGAGATGGAATTTCGAGGACTTTCCGTCTTGCCTGTCCCAGGTATTTTGGATTTGATGGAGCTGCGCAGCGATCGGGAAGACTCCTTCGTGTCGGATCTGTCGAATGAGCGGTAGTTCTCTCTCTCCAGTGCGGGAGCGTCGCTGGAGGACTTTGCCCCATCCCCTTTGTCCTTTTTTGTGCTCGATGGTGTGTTACCCATGGTCCCAGCAGCTAGCGATCAACCAAGGGGTGCGGTGCTTGGTTTATGTCTGCGGGCTAGTGTGAGGGAATTTGGCGTTTGGAAAGCGTAGTCGAGGGTTCCAGATACGCCAAGGATTGCAGCCTCTGTGACTTCGTGTCCTGTCGGTGCTACCTTGGGCTCAGTAGACAGCTGCCAGGTTGCAGAGTCGGTATGGATAGTGACAAGGAGGGGTTTGTTATGGGGGTTTGTAGAGCCTGGAGAGGAAGGAGAGGAAGCGGGCTTCGACGGAGGCTGTACTTATCGCCTTTGCGGGGCAGTGGCCACGTCGAGACAGCGGAGAGGAAGGAGGGAGAGAGTCGGCTGGAGGGAGAGGAGCGCGCCGTCTTGGAGCCAGATTCGATGTTGTTCGTGGGGACGGCCTAGAGCGGAGCGGCGGCGTTCATGAGAGACCGTGAGGTTGACTGCGGTGATGACGGCAAGCGGGCGGCGGAGCGTCGGCACGACACTAAGCACAGCTATCTCGAGCCCTGGATGCCTGCCAGTCGGCGCTCAGCGTGCTGGGGCGAGCGGTGCAGGTGGGCGAGCAGGCCAGAGTCGCAGGCTTGACCGGTGAGAGGAGGGTCGGCGAGGGTGTCTTTGGCAACCCGAAGGCTATCAGGGCTTCGTTGGGCAGCGGACTGACCGTTCCTTCAGCAGCGCCGTGGTGGCAATGCGGCAGCAGAGGGTGCTGGGGACAGGGCGGTTTGCAGGCGTGGCCGGGCGACAGCAGAGGTGTTGTCAAAGAGGGCAGCACCGAGGGGAGAGATGTTCAGCAGCACAATCGCTCTTGGCTGGCAGCGAGTTCGCAGGAACTGTGGTCCGCCTTGGCATGGTGAGGGCCGCCACGCCTTTATCAACCGCCTGAGCCTCTTCTCCGACCTCACCGGAGCGCGGCCTCAGGCGCGCGGCTTCGGCCAGCAAGTGAGTCATCCAGCTCTGCAACTGCTTCACCGCGCTCGCTGTTGTAGAGACGCTCCCAGCCGCAGAGCCAACGTCTCACAGCATAGGCAGGCAAGCACTGCGGTCGGCCAATTCCCTTGTCTCCAGAGCCCCCACACTGCTGGCTCGCGTAAATGCACCTCCAGCATCCTTCGCCCTCCAATCGCCTTTTGGCAGGTCGCTATAGACCGGGCCAGTGGTTTGGCCAGCGACCCTTGACGTCCCCGCGTTGATCAAGATCTCCAGAGGGCTTTCAGATGCTTGTTTCGATCAGTATCCGCACCGAGCCGGCGGAGCATGCCCATGTATCCATTGGACAGAGATGCCAGACAAGCGTGGCGATGCATTGAGGCCTTACGAAGCTGCAACAGTTTACTGATAATCACAACGAGAATGCATTTCACGCCAAGGGCGTCCAAGACGGACGCCAAGCAGGTGTTCCGACGAGAAGTCATGCGAACAGAGCAGGATTGGCGGGAACTGGTATAGCCATATCTGATTTGTTCCGCTCTTCTTCCATTGCCGTCCAGCCCCCTCTCTCTCCATGGAACCCCTCCTTATAGCACCGTGCCCAGGTTGACGTGTACCGCTTTCTGTTTTCATTAGACCTGGAACTCGTTGCAGCATCGACCCTCGGACTTACTTTGTTGGTGTATGCCTCCAACCCAGCCTCGCCGAGCTCCCTGCCGATACCGCTCATCTTCACACCTCCGAAGGGAATTCGCATATCCGAGTCGTTGCTCGAGTTGATCCAGACCATTCCGGCCTCGATGTTCCGGGCCACCCGATGCGCCTTGGTGATGTTCTGCGTGAAAACAGCGCTTCCAAGACCATAGGTAGTGTCGTTGGCACGGCTGATAGCCTCTTCCTCCGTCTTGAACGAACTGACGACAACGAATGGCCCGAATACCTCCTCGCGGAAGATCTTCATGGTATCTTTGACGTCGCTGAAGATAGTTGGGGCGATGAAGAAGCCTTTGCCGCCTACGTCCTTGTGCGCTTCTCCCCCTGAGACTAGAGTAGCGCCCTCATGCTTTCCTGACTCGATGTAAGACAGCACGCGCTCATACTGCGCTTTTGTGACCTGAGGGCCTTGGAAGGTGTCATCAGCGAAGGGGTCGCCGACTTTGCTGGTGGTAGATACGTATTCCTTGAAAGCGGAGACGAACTTTTCGTAAACCCCTTCTTGGACCAGAATACGGGACGTAGCTGAGCAGACTTGGCCTTGGTTGTACATGATACCTATGTGCGCCCACTTGACCGCCTGGTCCAAATCACAGTCGTCGAAGATCAGAAGTGGTGACTTGCCGCCAGTCTCGAGCGTGATGTTCTTTAGGTTGATGGCGGCCATCTTCATGATTTCGCGTCCAGTTGTCGTAGACCCGGTGAAAGCAATCTTGTCAACACCAAGGTGCGAAGCTAAAGCTGCTCCTGCCTTGCGGCCCTCGCCATTGAGGATGTTGATCACTCCAGGGGGGAATCCGACTTCTTTGATCAGATTGGCGAGATAGAGGATAGATAGTGGTGTCTGCTCGGCCGCCTTCAACACTATCGTGTTACCAGTGCAAAGAGCCGGGCCCAGTTTCCAGGCTGCCATTAAGAGAGGATAGTTCCATCTGCACATTGTCAGAAATGCTGTGAATACATGGCGCGTGACTTACGGAATGATCTGTCCGCAGACACCAAGTGGCTCTCGAATCGTGTAGGCCAGTTTCGCCGGTGTCGTGTCAATGACTTGTCCGTGGACCTTGTCTGCAAAGCCGGCGTAGTACTTGAGCGTCGATACCACCTCCGCCAGGTCTTCATTCAAGGCGACGCTGTACGGTTTGCCTGTATACGCTTAGCCAATGGAAACCGGAGTTTTCTCGCAGAGTCCTACCATTGTCCCAGGTCTCGATGGTTGCTAAAGTCTCCTTGTGTTGCTCAATCAGGGTTGCAAACCTGTACATGAGTTCACCGCGTCCTGTGGTAGCCATATCGCGCCATGCTGGATCTTTGAAAGCCTTGCGAGCTGCCGCAACAGCGAGGTCGACATCTTCAGGGCCGGCAGCGTAGACAGATACAATCTCTTTCTCGTCTCTGTGTGCCTGTCAGCTATCTTGTCTACGATATAGCTCATTTGTGCGTATTTAGGCAACTGACGTTGGGTTGATGCTGGTGATCTTCTCGCCAGACTTGGACTTCACCCATTCATTGTTGATCCACAAGCCAGTTGGCTGGGTATACTTGACGCCATTTGGCGCGGTAAGCTCGACGGAAAGATCAGACATGGTGGCACGCGTGCTCTGCAATCGTTTTGAACACTGGAATGAAATGACGAGAGGGGTACGAGAAGCTGAAGTGTGAGAAGAAGAAAAGACCCGTGAGAAGCCCCGCAATTTTAACATGCCGTATCGCGGTCTTATGCTGGCCAGAGGGTTGATATTTGCAATTCCGACTTGCAATCAGCATCCTTGAGCTATGACGTTACCGGATACAAATGCCTATCGTGGACTCCCGCATGGCTTCTCCGCACAGATTATAGCCCATGCCGAAGTGAAGTTGATATGACATGCGCACTTGACATTGTCTGGACTGTTTCATAGGAATCTAGACCAGATGTAAAACTCGTAGCTTTCAAGCCTTCAATTTCTATTTTCCTAGTTCGATGAGAATGTGCGAAGTGATCCCTTTCGGGTAGCTACGAATCTGCGTGCTCTCAACTGCTACTGCTTGAAGTCCTTCTACTTTTCACCAGTCGCAAAGAAATCATTTCAAACCGTTCCATCTCTTCTCTAAGCTACCTCAAACGGTGCGGTCTACTCATCTCTCTGGACCCCTCATAACCGCCGCCGCCAACTTGCCCCACGCGCCAGGCACGAAAAAAGTGGCACTCTCACCAAGTACTCTGCCTGTGTGTACACCTGTCTGCCACCGCATGGAGTGCTTCACCAAATTTCCACATAGCCCAAGACGAAGAGCATCTATCTTTTTTGAATCCCTGAAAATACATTGAAGCAACCCAAGCAGTGACAGACAGGCGTACACACGAAACAGCTTGTTCCAGAATCAGTGTGCCACCTTTTCCATGCCCCCGCGTGCCCCACTATAATTTTCACGAGCCCACGTCTCGATATCAACACCACTCTTCCCCTTCCCGCGTCCCACCCAAACTACGCGCCATGGCTCCCAACGATGCGCGTCCCGACGAGCCCGCCAACCCCCCTCCCCCAGACGCGTCAATCGACCACAACGCGGCCCTAGAATACTGGAACTCGATCCCCAACACCGTCGACGGCATGCTCGGCGGCTATCCACACATCACCAAGATCGACCTGCAAGGCTCCGCGAACTTCCTCTCCAAGCTCCGCCGCCAGCACCAGTACCACACCTCGCCGCAGTCCCCCGCCCTCCCCGCCGCCGCCATCCCGCTGGTACCGCGCGTGGTCGACTGCGGGGCGGGCATCGGGCGCATCACAAAGGGCTTCTTGGTCAATGTCGGCGCGAAGGTGGACGTGGTGGAACCGGTGAAGAAGTTCACGGACGAACTGTTGGCGACCCCTATACCTGCGTCAGGAGACCTGTCCGCAAAAGTGGGCGCGGTGGGCGAGGTGTTCAACCTGGGGCTGCAGGACTGGACGCCGGCGGCGGGCGCGTACAATCTGATCTGGAACCAGTGGTGTGTGGGGCATCTCACGGATGCGCAGCTGGTGGCGTATCTGCGGCGGTGTAAGGAGAGCCTCGCGGTGGCCCCGCCTGAGAGTGGAGAGGGCAGGGAGGAGCAGGCCGCGTTTCAGGGTGCGTGGATTGTGGTGAAGGAGAATATGAGCACGCATCCGAAGGGCGAGGACGACTATGATGAGCTGGATAACAGTGTTACGAGGACGGATGCGAAGTTTAGGAGCTTGTTTAAGGAGGCTGGACTCAAGTTGGTTGCGACGGAGGTGCAGAAGGGCTTTCCAAAGGTCTTATGCCCAGTGAGGATTTATGCGCTGCAGGCGGAGTGAGACCTCGGGAGGAGGCTGGCACGAAACGCGACGCTGGATGGTGCACAAAAGGTGGTAGTGATCAATGATACCCATTAGTAGCTGATAGGAGCGCCGCTAGGTAGCAGCGAGGAATAACATAGCGTGACAGTCTGTTAATGAGTGTACACAGGTAATGCACTGCTTGTGGTGCTTCGACGTGGATTGAGTGATCTGTCCATTTTTATGCCTCCTTACAAGTCATCCTACAAGTCAGCTGGAAACTCTAATCCTCGTCAAACTATTAACTGGGTTCATTTATAGTCCTGGCAATCGGATTAGCGCGTAATTCCCGCTCTTCTGTCCATTTCCGCTTGAGCTGTTCGAGCCTGACGCATTTTCAACGCAGCCTGCATGTCTCTCTCTTCCTGGGCTCGATCCACAACCTTTGGCACCGCACCCGTGCTCATGTACGTCAGTACAGTCCCAAGTGGTAAACGTGGTGGCTCAGTGTCTTTCGCGGGCGCAGCGTCCTTCATTGGCTCATCCTCTTCGTCTTCCTCATCCTCGTCGTCCTCATCATCCTCTTCATCTTCGTCCTCTGCCGTGAAGACCTGCCGTGCGATGTCGTTTTCTGCTGGCCCGGCCCACTCCCAAAGCTCCGAAACGGAGTACTCATCTAGCCCGTCCTCCGTCTGGCCGGCAGCACTTCCGTCTCCAAACTCACCCATCTCGCAGAACTTGCTAGCGTAACCAAGGCCTTCGCTAATCCAATCTTCCACGTTGGGTTCGAGCTTCTTTCGCAGAAGCTGGTGGAGCAGATTACTTTGGGACTGTCCGGGGAAGGTGGCGAGTGGGGAAGAGTGCATCCTCTGCAGAGCTTCGTTGTTTGTTGTGGTCGAGTTGAGCAGAGAGGTGATGTTTCTGAGGAGGAGTGCAGATGACTTTTGAAGAGAGGGCCTGGGGTACTGATTAGTCGAACTCAATAGTAATTCTGATGTTTTGGCGGGAAGTTGAAAGGCATGAAAAGAAACAAATCATGGCCAAATAGCCCCTGGTGTTGAATAAGTTTGAAATTGATCAAAGAAATGAAGTGACAGGAGAGTATAACAGTAGAATTTTTCAACGGACGTCAAAGGCAGAGTAATATAGAGCAATTACCAGTTAGGAAGTGGTTCGTGGCGCATTAGATCCCCCTCAATCCCTTCCAGTGATTTGACAATCGCAACCATGCGATTACGGGCTTGATCCAGGGCTTTCAAGTCATCAGTCGTCATCGAGGATGCGGACTGCATGGTGGATAGCAGAGAGCCAGATTGTGGAAAAGCTCCTTGGTAAGTATTTCGGTGGGTTTAAGCCTAGGCCTTGAGCTGGTCTTTTATGAAGAGGTCGACGAAGGTGAACACGGGTGAACCTGGTGAGCCCACTTCTGATGACTAACATAAGCTTTAGTCTCGTTCTCAAGTTATTTTACCCACAATACATGTTTTGCAGAGCTCCAACGGACCATTAAACTCCTTTCAATTTCTAAGAGTCATGGAAAGCCCCTCAGTAGTTTGTGTCAATAACTCAAACTCATGGTTCGTTCTTTAGATCTGTTGTCCCATCGGAGCATTCCAGCCCAGCTATGCACGCGGGGCATAGATAAAGTGGCACTCTGAGTTTAAACAAGCCGCGCGGTGAGTGTGTACACCTGTATGCCACTGCTTGGGTTGCTTCAATGTATTGAAAGCTTGAGCGTGATAGAAGCTCTTCACCTTGGGCGGTTTCAAAAGTCGTTTACGCACTCCAAGCACTGGCAAGCAGGTGTAGACTTAGAGAGGACTTTTTGAGTGTGCCACTTCTTTCCGGCCTAGCGTGCCATGTTCGGTCAGCCAGGGTCCGCGGTGAATACCGAGAAAGTCCGACCTGCAGACACCATCTCTTGTCGCGGGACTTTCTACATCTCATATCAACACCATTCTTCGTCTCTCCATCCAATATTCCAACTCTCCCCGATCATGGAGTCCGCTCTGGGGTCCGTTCGGTCGCTGCTCCAGCCAATAACCCATAATCTCCCCGCCCCGATCACCTCCGCTGGCCGCAGCTTGCTCGGCCCATTCTGCTACAAGACACTGGTACTCGACATCGACCCGCTCACCTCGCCGGAATGCCTCAAGCTCGCCATTAGCAAAGGGCTCGGCATCGGAATCATCGGCGCCAGCTCGATCGTCAAGATCCCACAGCTCATCAAGCTCATCAACTCGCAATCCGCCGCCGGGGTCTCCTTCCTCTCCTACCTTCTCGAAACCAGCTCCTATCTGATCAGCTTGAGCTACAATGTGCGACACGGATTCCCATTCAGTACGTACGGCGAGACGGCTCTGATCCTGGTCCAAAACGTGGTTATTGCCTCGCTGGTGTTGAGATACTCCAGGCAGAGCGCCGGGGCTGCAGCATTCATTGCAGGTCTTGGGGCGGCGGGTGCAGCGTTGTTCCAGGAGAATGTCGTCGATGTGAAGCAGTTGGCTTGGCTACAGGCTGGTGCGGGAGTTCTGGGTGTTGCGAGCAAGGTTCCGCAGATTTATGCTGTCTGGAGCGAGGGTGGAACTGGCCAGTTGAGCGCATTTGCGGTATGTGCATCACCAAAACATTCTGCACTATCTTTCTTCTGTGGATGAATACTGATTGTTTCTCTTAGGTCTTCAACTACCTTGCCGGCTCTCTCTCCCGCATCTTCACCACTCTACAAGAAGTCCCCGATCCGCTCATCCTGTACGGCTTCATAGCCGGTTTCGCACTCAACCTCGTGCTCGCCGTACAGATGGTCTGGTACTGGAATAGCAGCGGAAGCAAGAAGACAAAGTCTTCCAAGCTTGAGCGCCCAATTGTATCTGACACGAAGAAGGCTGTGGGAAGCAGCACTAGCAAGAGTAAGGCGAAAACGCCGACTACTCGACGTAGGGGATAGATTGATCAATAAATTCCGCATTTTCTCATTCTGCGACTGGCTTACGGCCAAAATCGACTCTGACTATGATGGGTTGTAGCTTTGTGTGCCCATACAGAAGCTATTCTTGAATTCTAATCTTTTAATCAAACTACGACTCAAGCGCTCCAAAGCGAACACTCTGTGAAATTCCTATACCGTAGACTACACGATTTGGTCCTACTCAAAAACGGCGTGGCATAAGTAGCACTACCTACTTTGGACTTTTACATAGAAAGGCCTTAGGACGCCCCATAGAGCAACAATTTTTCGCAGCTTTATGACCTCTCACTGCCTAGGTGCAGAATCTCGTTCCTTGAACAGTCTTGCCCAATGAAGTGTGTGTAATGTTCAGGGCTTAGTGATTTTCAATACGACCAAGGGCTCTGCCCCGAATTGCTCTAGCGATGACGACACGAAAATGCCGCGCAGTCACAAGGCAGCTCTCGCTCCTCCGTGTCGCGTTAACTTTCCTCCATCTACCAAACATCGACATCGCATCTATCCATGGCCAAAAGGCCTAATGAACTACCATGGGTGTTACCGGCCTTTGGACTGTGCTCCAGCCCTGCGCTCGTCCCATCAAGATCGAAACGCTGAACAAAAAGCGCCTCGCTGTTGACGCCTCCATCTGGATCTACCAGTTCCTCAAAGCCGTGCGCGATAAAGAGGGAAACGCTCTGCGAAATAGTCACATCGTTGGCTTCTTCCGCCGAATATGCAAACTGCTGTTCTTTGGCATCAAGCCCGTCTTCGTTTTCGATGGCGGCGCTCCTACGCTCAAGCGACAGACCATCAATAACCGGAAGCAGAGGCGGGAGGGCAGAAGGGAAGACGCTGTGAGGACTGCGTCGAAGCTTCTGGCCCTCCAAATACAGAGGCTTGCTGAAGAGGAAGACCAGAAGAGGAATAATGCGCGCAAGCATCCACAAGAAGAAGAGGAGACTCTTCCCGATAACCTTGTCTATGTCGAGGAATTGGAGATGACGCCTGAGCAGCGCCAGAAGAACCGAAAGTTTAAGAAGAAAGACCAATACCACCTCCCCCAACTCGATGTCTCCCTTGCGGAAATGGGCGGACCGAACGATCCCAGAATTATGTCGCTGGAAGAGTTGGAACATTATGCGCGGCAATTCGATACCGGCGAGGACATCAACGTCTATGACTTCTCGAAAATCGATTTCGACAGCCCTTTTTTCGTTAGTCTGCCCGCCGCGGACCGATACAATATATTGAATGCTGCAAGGCTGAGGAGTCGGCTCAGGATGGGGTACTCGAAAGAGCAGCTGGACAACATGTTTCCCGATCGCATGGCATTTTCGAAGTTCCAGATTGAACGTGTGACGGAACGTAACGACCTTACACAACGCTTAATGAATATCAACGGCATGGCAGACGATTCAATGTTTGGTGTTAATAGTGCAAACCGGGTTGCCGGAGAGAAGGGTCGGGAATACGTGCTTGTCAAAAATGACGGCGTCGAAGGTGGGTGGGCGTTAGGGGTGGTCACAAATAAGGACGAGGGTGTGAGGAGCAAGCCCATCGATGTAGACAAAATATCAGAACCCGTCAATGTAGACGATGATGATTGGGAGTCCGAGGAAGAATTCGAGGACGTTCCCATCGAAGGTCTCAATCGTTTGCCCAGACAGAATCGCATCCGTCCCGTATCAGAGCAAATGGAAAATGTTACTCCACGCCGGCCATATTCTTCTGGTCAACAGGATCCTTCCAAACGCCGCAAGCGTAAGCCCACTGCAAAGGATTCACTGTTTGTTGCTGAAGACGTGGAAGACGAGGAATGGGAAGAAGTTGATATTGGTCAAGGTGTTGACGACTTGTTTGAAGAAGCTCCCGCTGAGAATGACGACGAGGAGCTCCAACTTGCGATCGCAATGTCCCTTGGCCAAGATGAACCACAAGACACAAATCCGGAGAAAGATGAAGACGACGACTATCTCGAGGTCTTCCAGCAGCAACGCGTGGAGGAGACTCAGCCGTTCTCCAAAGGTTCGGGGCTCGCGATTGCGCGTACTGCCAATATGCGCAGCAGCAAACTCGCCCCGAAGGGTGCAGTGAGCGATAGTGAAGATGACGGTATTGACTTCCAAGCTGCCCTCGCGGAATCGAGGAAGTCCAAACGACCGCCCGCCGCTGTGAACCAACAGGCTAAGAGGGATGCAATTGCACCTCCTTTAGTAGCACAATCAAGTCAAAGTAGTAAAGCGCCTGGCTTCGATGGCCCACTTCCTTTTGAGAAGCTCAATCTTGGTAGCTCGCTTCTGGGGAAGAAAAAGCTGAAGAAGCTGGAGGAAGCCAACGCAGGCGGATTTGAGAAAGATGTTGAACAGAAAGACAAATCTGAGCCGCTTCCACCATGGTTCTCTGGAGATCTACAAGAAGATATGGCAGCCCAGAAAGAGATAGAGAGGGAAGAGCGGCAGCGAGATCAAAAGGTTCTGGAAGAGGAGTTCCAATTTCAGCAGCCGCCGAGGTTGCGGAAACACGATATGCTTGAGGTGATTGATCTTGAAGATTCTCAACCAAAGAGCCAGCAAGTTTTTGTAGTGGAGTCTTCTGATGATGAGAAAGAGGACGACATCGAAATGGAAGATGTGGTCATCCACAATCCTCCGATCCGCATGGGCGATCTGGCTGAGAAAGCGAGGGCAGATCCACCTCCACCATTGCCTGAAGGAAAAGAAATTCCCAGCCAGCAAGCCCCCTTGCCTCCACAGCCTACGAACGGAGACCAGAAGGAGTCGGAAGATGAGGCTATAGATTGGTCCGAAAGCGAAGGAGAGGGAAATGGTAACATTGAAAGTGGCCTTCCTCCGACTTCACACACGCCTGCAAACCCTGTAGCACAAGCATCAAAATCTCTGTCACCCGAGTTTGAAGATGTGGCGATCGATGGCGTACCGGCTCCCTTCGATTCAGGAGAACCTTCATCAACCGCGATTGAAGAATCGGTTCCCGCCGTTGTTCCTGCTTCGGGTCTTGCAGACGACAACGCCCCATTAGAAATCCCCGACGACGACGACTCAAGCGTCTACTCCGACCCAGAAGACGCCGAACTCTTCGCCTCTCTAGCCCAAGAAGCCGAAGAACACGCCCGCTTTGCCTCCACCCTCAACAGCACCGCCGCTCCCATCAACTTCGACCAAGAGCTCAAACAGCTCCGCTCACAGCAAAAGAAAGACCGCCGCGACGCCGACGAAGTTACCCAGACCATGGTAGCTGAATGCCAGCACCTCCTCACTCTCTTCGGCCTCCCCTACATCACCGCCCCCATGGAAGCAGAAGCGCAATGCGCCGAGCTCGTCTCCCTCAGCCTCGTCGACGGCATCGTTACGGACGACAGCGACACCTTCCTCTTCGGCGGCACCCGCGTATACAAAAACATGTTCAACGCGGCCAAGTTCGTCGAGTGCTACCTCCTCTCCGACCTGACCAACGAATTCGCCCTCACGCGCGAGAAACTCATCGCCATCGCGCAGCTGCTGGGCTCTGACTACACGACGGGCATCCAGGGCATCGGTCCCGTCACCGCCCTCGAGATCCTCAGCGAGTTCGACACCCTCGAGAACTTCAAGGAGTGGTGGTCCGGCGTCCAAACCGGCGTTATTCCGAAGGAAGCGGATAAGGGGAACCAGTGGCGCCGCCGATTTCGCCGCACGAATACCGCGAAGCTCTTCCTGCCGCCGGGCTTCCCGGACCCGCGCGTCGCGGAGGCGTACTTCAAACCGGCGGTCGACGATGACCCGCAGGCGTTTCAGTGGGGTGTCCCGGACCTCGATGCCCTGCGCTCGTTTTTGTCGAGCCAGATTGGGTGGAGTGCGGAGCGCACGGATGAGGTGCTTGTGCCTGTGATTAGGGATATGAATCGAAGGGAGAAGGAAGGGACACAGGCGAATATCACAAGGTTTTTTGAGGGGAGTGTGGGTGCTGGGGCGTTTGCGCCGAGAGTGCGGGATGGGCCTGCTGGGAGGGGGAGTGGAAAGGGTGGGGCGGGGAAGAGGCTAGGGAGGGCGTTGGGAAAGTTGGCTGAGAGGGGAGGGAAGGGTGTGAGAGAGACAGATGATGCGGATGGGCCTTCTCAAGAGGATGTGAATGCTGGCGAGGAAGAAGGGGATACGGGTGGTCGGGCCAAGAGAAAGAAGGGCAAGGCGCCACCGCGGAATAATGATACGGCATCAAGTGGTCAAGATGATGACGACCTATACGCTGAGCCTCCCAAAAAGGCTCGCAAGAGTACAAATGGAGGAGCGAGAGGGAGAGCGAGAGGGAAGGGGAAAGGAAAAGCCTGAGCTTGTAAGTAATGGGAATCACGTAGCTGTTGTAGCCGTCAGATACTTTCGACTGCTTGCTTGGTCAAAACTTCATAAGTAGCACTATCTATAATAAAGAGCAATCATCTCTTGAAAGCGCAAATCGCCTCATATCTCGTAACTACGCAAGCTCTCCACGCCACAGACCTTGAAATAATGTAGAGTTGATAATGCATATCGAGGAAGAGAGCTGGTCTAGCGCGCTTCAGCCAGGTCGTGGCAAGCACATATTCGGGAATAGTCGGTGCCCGGAGAGTAAATGAAGAAGAATCGAGAGTATCGGCCATCGTACAAAGGTTCTCTTGCAGAGAAGCCATATAGCCTAGTTGCCCCTCTTCCTCTTCCGGTTCTCCGCAACTGGGCTATCGTCTTGTCTCCTCTTCCTCTGGTTCCTGCTGATATTGCGCGTCCTCACGTTCGGGCTCTCAGTTCGTCTCTTCCTCAACGACTTCCTCATATTACGTGTTCTGTTTTCGCTCTCAGTGCGTCTAGGTCGCAGCCTTGAGTCACGCGGCCGGCCCCTCGTATCGTCATCCGAGTCAGCTTCAAACTCGCTCGCGGCGCTACTGCTCTCTTCATGACCGGCGACCGCGTCGGCTTCGAAATCGTCTCCATCGTCATCGTCATCGTCATCCTTGTCTTCATTCTCTTCGGATCCTTCTTCGATGTCACTGGTATTTGGGATCTCGGAAACCCCTTCAAATTCTGGCCCCGTTACAGGTCTTCTGACTTCTCTGCCTAGAGCCCTCACGGCTTCACTCTCAGCTTCGTCATCAGAAACGGAGCCGTCGGACTCGCCTGCGATCTGCGGAGGAAGCCCTTCTTCTGTGTCCTTCCTACTAGAAAAGGTGGTGCTGAGCTTTTGACGCTTGTGTGAACGACCAGGAGAAGTGGTGCGACCTTGGGCTAGATTCTTCAGCCTAAGGGCTTCTCTCGCACGTGCAGTCTGCGCTCGACGCTCCTCTTGTGATTTTGGGGTTTTGGCGGTGGTCGGACGGGCCTTCGAAGAAGAACGACGAGACTTTGAGGAAGACCGATGAGGCTTAGAAGGACTCCAGCTGTTACTTCCCTCAGCAATGAGTCTGGGGGGCAGCATCTTCGACGACGACTCTTTCGTGAACTTCTTCAGAGTGCTTGTTTTCTCCTTCTTCTTCTTGACCGTGACGAGCTGCTTGGGTTTCCCGTTAGAGCCCTGGCCCTTTTCCCAAAATCCTTTGGTAACGTCCTTCGGGTAGCCGTAGTTGAAGAAAAGCTCCTCGCCGACCTTGAGATCACGCTCGGCGTACATGCCGATGCGGGTGACGCCGTTGCACAACTTGATATACGGTTTGCAATTGATGATTCTGTCATCACAAGAGTTGTTGATGAATCGGAATTTGTTTCCGGCGTGAGTTGAGTCGACTTCTTGCTCTGTGGATGTATCGTGTTAGCCTAGGTTTCTGTGTTGACCCAACAATACGTACCTTTGTTAAGCGTGAAGAGGTAGTTCGTCTTCAGATGCTGATAAATGGCACCACGTCGTTCCGCCTCTCCCTGCGTGATGATCTCGCCCTTATATTCGCCAAGATATGCACCTTTCTTCACCTTTTCACCAACATAAAGCCCAAATCCTTGGACTTCGGAAAGCCCGAGAATAGTTCGCTTCGGTAAGTTGCGTTGGATGCGCATGTTCTCGCACTTACCCTCGACAGCGTCTTCTTTGTATCGAAGGGCTGGATCAACCACTTCTCCTGCACCACAGGTCCCACAGAGATCTGCATCGCATTCTCGATTCAGCAGTACACAATCGCATTTGGACTCTTTGGGATTAGGGTTACAGACGCCGTTCTTGGAATCTTTGGCACAGCTACAGCCACGAAACCGTCTCTTGCAGGTTGAGGGACAGGCGCACGTCTTTTCGCATGTAAGTCTCTCCCGGAAGCATCGACAACGTGCCTCTTCGCAACTACCTTCATGGCTGCAAGGATAGAACGGGCGGCGTTTGTGGAGCATATATGTCTCGGTCTTAGTAAGCCAGTAGTTGACGCTGACCTTAGGAGGCTGAACAGCAACTCCATTGTCGGCTATGGGGGTAGCCTCCCTGTGCTTGCGGGGTGCGACACTGACAACCTTCTTGTAATTTATGACATCAGATTCGGAATCCGACGACGACTCTGCAGTTCTGTCTTTCTTGCGTCTGTTTGCGTTATCAAGGATAGAATTCTGAGACCGTTCTCGGGAGCTGTGCCCGTCGTTGTCTGAGTCAACTTCCGAATTCGGATCCTCTCTGATCTCTCCATGATACGGGCAATTGTGGCTACATACGTTAGTTTTATATTTCAACAGGAGTTTGTGGCTAAACTTACAGCGTGCATACTCTGCATGCACGAGCACGGTATGTAAGTTCTTTTGCTGAGTCCGTGGGAAATTTGGGGGGAGGGCCAGAGAGTACTTTCTGTGCTGCATCACTTTGTCGAGCAATATGCCATATGCTGAATTTGCAGAGCTTGAGAAAAGCAGTGCAGGCAAACGCAGCTAGCGTGAGTCGGGAGGCGGAAGGTTTAGGGAGACTCGACAGGACCATTATCCACTTCTTGTGGGCTCGGTCGAAGTCTTCCTCGCAATGAGGCGCTCGTTTCAGTAACAAAGACAAATCTGAAGTACTTCCTGTAGCTGCCGTCTTACATGCTGGTTCGATCTCCGCAATGTCGTCTTCTGGAGCTAGGAGCCAAAAGAGAATATCGGTCCAGTCAATACCGAGTTCCTCGAGAAACTCCTGGGCATACGGGCGATGAAGTCTGCATTGTTCCACTTGTAGAAGTCTTCGAGGACGATGCTCGTTTACCATGTCAAAACGCTGGTCTAACTCGTCCCAAAGGCCGGATTTACCCAGCTTTTCCTCATTTTCTTCTTCAGCAAAATATGGCCAGTAGAGGAGCTTTTTATTGTTCTCGGCAAGCACATTATCCCTGAGACTAACAAAGTCGGTATACGGTGGAACGTCGACTGCGCTGGATTGGAATGGAGTTACCGGTATGCTAAGGTAAGACCTGCGGGGTTTTTGATTGAGGTTCTCGTTGTAAAATTCTTGAGTAATGTTCACCATCTTGTCGTTGTTTCCAGAAGTCATGGCAGTAGGGATCTGTATGCCTTTCATGCTAGCAAAAGGCGACTCTTGCTGGAGAGATCCCTTCGGAATCGTGGGGTGCTCGGTGCAGAATGGGTATGATGAGCTTGCTGACTTTGATTGCACTTCGCGCTCGAAAATCGTCCGATTTCGCGCAATTTTCTAGCTTAAACGTCAAATCAAAACTAGGAAGATGAGAGACATGGACACCCACCTTAACCACCATACACTCATGATCGTCGTGGAGGTTGGCAATGTGGCTCACCAGAACCTCTTCTACCCGTGCCATCGAGGGGCGTCCATCGTCTGCACTGTTACTCATTTCTGCTTCAAGAGACGGTGCTAATGCGGAAGGTGTTAGCAGGTATGAAGAAACATTCGTAGCGGAGGTGGGTTGTTAACGCATGTGGAGAGCTGAATGGCTGGGGTTACCTCACCTTCTATTGAACCGGGATTCACCGCAGCTAGCGCGCTACGCTGAATAGCCTCAACTGCACCATTTGTTGGCTTGTTCTTTCTGGGCGAGTTCAATGAGTGTTGAGCTGATTCTTGCTCCCTTCTCTTGTCTATGTCATCACGTCGTGCATTGAGGTCGAGACTTCGCTGGGCTTCTTCAGCTGTTCGCGGAGCCAGCCGAATTGGAACAACAGTTTTAGGTGAAGACACGATTTCGGTCGAAGGCGTCTTCTCACTGGGCTTTGCAGCGACGTTTGCCTGAAGCGATGATGTGGATGCGCCCATGCTTTCCTTCCTTGATCTGACGCTCTGGGCGTGCTTCATGCCTCCAGCATCATGTGCGTTGCTTCCATTGGCTTGCGTTGTCTGGTCATCATTGGGTCGATGTTTCGGGACTGCGGGAAGATTCGAGCTCGCGATCCTTGCTTCGCGGGAACCCGTTTCCGTGGTCTGTGTGCTAGAGCTATCGCCAAGTTGGCCGCTTGCCCCAGCACGTGCGCTGATTGGTGGGGCAGAAGATGTGTCTATTGAAGGAGAGCCAGGTCTTGTGTTTGATGAGACAACAGGCTTCGTAGAATCGCGTACGGTATCCAAGCCGCTGTTTCGTGACAAAGAGTCCTTGTTGGAGTGATGGCGGCCAGACTCACTCTCTCGCACGTGAGTCGACTTCCTTGGGTGTGTCAAAGACTCTTGATTTTGGCTTATAGTACTAGGCCTGGTCGTGTTCTGCAGCGGAACTGAGTTTCTCTTCTGTGCTGATGCGCCCGGGTTGGAGCCGGAAGGGGCTACTTTTGAGGCCGTTAAAAGGCTGTTGGCGTGGGAATTGACATTCTCTGGCTCTGTAGCCTCTTCTCTCCAACGACGGTGCGACCGGCGCCGAGACGGACCTTGCTCGTTCGGATTACCGTTTCGTCGGTCGCTGGAACTGGAGCCTCTTTCTCGGTGCGTTGTGGTCGGAGCCCTGTGAGCGTGTGGAAAGGACGAGGCCAAGTGTTGTCGCGCGGTAGGTCTTCCCTCGGGCTCGTCGGTTGAGAGATCAGTGTGGATTCCAGGGTGAGTGATGATTCCAGAGCGAGTGATGATTCCAGGGTCATCCCCGGTCAGGTCAATAACGTCGGCCATGTAAGCCTCCTATTGCAGATGTCCACATAGGCGCCAAAATTTGCGACCTCAAAGACGTCGAAAGGCGCGCATGCGATCGAAGCTCTGAGGAAGGTGAAGCCTTAGCGGCGGTTTCGCGACGACGCGCCAGACTTGATCTCAGGGCAAAGAAGTTATTGTTAAAGACAGTAAGAGGCTCAGTCCGAAGAAGAGAAGTTTGAAGCTGATGCAGGCGGCCGCGGTATGGAGCATGAGTGAGGTTGAGATACGCGATCCGACAGCGCGGGCTCATGTGAGCTTAAGCGCCTCTGCTGTCCGTCTGGCCAATCACAGCAAGCTTCAGCAGTCATTCATATATATGTGCTTCAATTGGACAGATTAGTGTCACTTCGCAGACAGATTTATCCCAAGTCCAACAGTACATCACCATGGCACGGGTACATACAGAATAACAAAGCGCCCTGGCTCGAGCGCGTGGTTGCAGAACTAGACGACCACTCAAACCACAAACATTTACAAATAAAGTAATGTATGAATCCATACACTCTTCCCAGCCGCCAGCACTGCATGAAGCTCTACCATTATTCGCACCGCTGCAGGCCATCTTCCGTGTCGTGACCGCTGCGTCCAAGATAGGAAACAGGCACCGGCCGTTAGTCTCACGTGACTGTCTGTGCACGGCGCTTGTTTACATACATTTTCAACAACACCATGCACTTCCAAGGTCCTTCACCCCACTGCAGCCACCCGCCACCCACAATGGCCACCGAATTCGATAAGGAGAACATCGCGGCGGGCCTCACCGCCGCGTCGTCCTTCAAGCCGACTCCATCTTTATCACCGAAGAAACCCGCCAAAAAGACGCGCAGCAAGAGCATCGGACCGGGCGGGCTGGGAGCTCTGGAGGAGCCTCTGAAAGAGAACTCAGGAAACAGGCGCAAGGTATGCGCATGCTGCTGAATATCTATGTGTTTGCATCGCGCTGATTGACGTATAGTCTGCCTTCATACCAGCAGTCAAATCGATCCTAGCTTCCAACGACGAGGACGAGAAGAAGCGGCGGGAGGCGCGCCGCAAATCCCTAGGTATGTTCGCAGCCTTTAGGACCACTGCTGTAGCTATGCTAACATAGATGTCTTAGCACGACGACGCGTTTCTTTTGCGCCCGAAGCCACGCTACACACCTGGGACGTGATCGAATACATGCGCGATGCCACCACGTCCTCATCTGCGTCGTCCGATGCTACCAGGAGAGCCTCCTCGGTATCCCAAGCCTCTAGCGCCCAATCTCCACAATCCAATGCTACATCTCCAGGCCGGCTGTCAGATCCAGCGGAGCCACCTTCAACGCCACCTGAGCAAATCGAAGAGCCAGTTCCCGGATCGTCCCCTGCAAAGCAACGAGACCTGCATCAGAAGAAGCGCCGCCGTCGAAGCTCCGGTATCCCTCCAATGAACTTCAACAATCCAGACGACGCATTCTCTTCCAGTCCCTTCAGTGGGAGTGGTGGCTCCCCCACCGGAAGCGTGGAAATGGATGGCTCTTCTGACGAGGACATGGAAGACACGATGATGAGCTTGGATGCGGGAGACATGACAGGGCGAAGTATTGGGTCTATCAACAGCGATTCCACAGGAACGAGCGCCAGGCTTGAAGAAGCCTTCCAACGAGCAGCAGCGCAAGCCGGAACTCGTGGGATTGATTTTGACGAGAACGGAGACATTTCCATGGAACTCGCAGACGAGGAAGTCACTGCGGCGTTCAAACCCTGGGCGAAGCGAACCGCTGGTACACCAAAGCTATCAGGGACCCTCTCATCCGCAGTAGATCAAGAGAACTTTGACCCATTCTCTCCAGCAATCAGCTCAAAGCCTAAGCCTAGCTTTTCGACCAGATTCGACGAACCCACGAGCGATGGTGAAGACATGAGTATGGACATAACTCGAGCTGTCGGCAAGATCATTCTTCCGCAGCCACAGGATCCTCCTTTAGACGATGTATCCATGGACTTGACAATGGCTCTGGGAAAAATTGAGCAACCCCAAACCAATACGCGTGAAGACGCCCGCAAAAGCCTCAAGCGCCGGCGGTCTTCCATGGTAGGCGCAAACCAAGGTAGCCCAGCCACGCGACCATCCAGTCGTCGAAGTAGTCTGAGGAAGAGGGGTTCGCCTGCGGAGGACTCGTCATTCGGGGACGAAACAATGGATCTCACTATGGCAATCGGCGGCATCCAAAGCGAAGCCTCGCAAGATGATGCCGACCGCCGGAGCAGCATCGACCTCTCCTTTGGGGAAGAGACTATGGATTTCACGATGGTACTTGGGGGAATTAAAGAAGCAACGAATGCGGCCAACATCCCTGCAGACGACGAAGATCAGGACGAGAATGAGGATCTGTCCATGGAGTTCACCACCATCCTTGGCGGGATCAGGGGGCCTGTGATCCAGCAAACAACTCCCCCCAGGACCCTCATTGCGAAGGCTTCGGCGCCTCTAAAAGCACCGAGCGCTTCCCCCAAAAAGTCTCCAGCACGCTCGAAGATTTCCGACATCCAAAGCTCGAACGACTCTCCTACACCCAAGAGGGCTGGACGAAGCACTCCGCAGAAGTCTCCGCGACGAACTACGCGGAATAGCACTTCTGGTACCTCGGCTGTATCTACTCCACAAGATAAATCAGTACCGGAACTAGACCAGTCTCCTTTCGCGCGTAGGCCAAAATTGCGAGAGGAAGCCATCACGACTCCCCAGGGCAAGGACACTCACACTAACCTGGATGATCCAATGAACGCTCCGATCCTCAACCGTCGCCTATCCGCAACCCCAACTGTACACTTCAGCCCAATACCTGCTATTCGGGCCGATCCAATTGTTAAGAGTACTGCGGCTCTCTCAAACTCGATAAGGTTGCTGTCTACACCAAGAAAGCAAACACTAGCGTCACCTACCAAACGAGGAGCTACCCCAAAGACGACAACGACGCCAAGAAAGACGCCAACACCAAAGAAAGCACCTGCGTCCCGGAAAAGTCTCAGCCCGAAAAAGCGCGTTGTGTTTGGAGAGACATCTCCTGTTAAAGATGACGAAGCGGAACCCAAAGAGAATGCAGAGGACGAAAAGTATATAGACCGCATTCCCCTGCAAGAATTCCTAGATATGACAAACATTCGCTTTATGGATTTGACTACCACGAAGCGTCGACATACTGCTGTTCCTGCATCATTTCATATTAAGGGTTTGGGTGGATTTGAAGACTTCGACGAAAAAGAAGAGACTTTGGAGAATTATGTCGCTGCGGCAGCTTGCACAGTTCCGGAATACGAGATGTACCAACACGTAAGTACTTCTGTACGATTATACGTGCTCTGCTAATTTAATCTCAGGCGTGTCACGAGTTGAAGCGTTACATTTCAGGTGGCCGCGATATCGTTCGCCAAATCGAGGCTGACGTTCATGAAGAAAACCCGGCATTATTCGGTGAATACATGTCAGCTCCTCCGGATCAGCGCATTGTTATGGACAATCAGTTCAAAAACATGAAGACATATGCTCGTCTTCAAAGCAAAGAGATATGGTACGGCTGGCGGAGTACCTTGCTTCGGGACTTGAAGGCTGCGCTCCTGAAGACCGCGAGCGATTTCAACCGAGACGATGCACTTCTGAGGAAGCAGGAAAATCTACTCGATGCATCGCTACCCGAACTTGCTTCAAGGCATGCCGACTTGGAGACTGAATGCAAACAACTGCAGCAACGCCAGGATGAACTTACCAGCTGCGATCGAGAAGAACTCGAAACAGCACGTGAGAATCTCATTGCATTCGAGGATGATATCGAGCAGAAGAGACGTCTTGTAGCATCTTTGAAGCAAGATTTGCTTGAGAAGGAATCTCGTATCGAAGCTGCCAAAGCTCGAAAGATAGAATGTGCGGAAGAAATCAAAGCCGCCGATCGTGTAAGGGAAGAATGCCGCGGGTGGTCCGCGTCCGAGGTGAACGCACTGAAAGGTATGAGACTACGCTCATCAATGCACAGCCAATATAACTGACAATATGTGTAGCAAAAGTCACGGCTCTTGAGCAAGCTCATGGATGGAGCATTACGTCTGCTTCTTCTAGCCCTTCGACCATTACAATGACCCATCTTAATGATTTGGAACTCTATTTCTATCCGGAGTCCTTTGCAACTGGCAAGAACACGCCGAACGCTTCCATATCTCTGAGTTACGTCGGTGACTCTGCGACACCACACCCGAGGCCGATGACCACAAGCAAGCGCTTCTTCCTCCAGCTTCTTCGGGCACACCTGCAATGCCTCTCACAGTCCCAGACAAGCATCTCCGATCTTTTGATGCTCATCAAGAACAGTTGGGCTACCGCTCGAGCTGTCGCCGAGGGCGTCCAATGCCTCTCACGGACCTACATTACGGAGGAATCAATTCTCTCCGACGAGCGCATTGCCATTCGCTCAGCCATGCTTCTTCCAACCCTCCAAACCAAAGTGAAGGTAACCTTCGAGGTTGGCGTAGGTATCGGGAACGACGGAGTGGAAACAAGCGTCAGCACAAAGGCGGAGGTCGTCTACGGGGAGAAATACAAAGAGGACAAGATGCGAGAGTTCCTGAGTCAGTATGTTGGGGATAGCGTGAAGGCGGAGGACGAGATGAAGGTGTGGGCAGATGCCGTGCTGGATCTGACAAACAGATTGAGGTCAAGGGGACGGAAGGTGTAGCGGGTTTGATCGAGAGGTTCTGTTGGTATTGGTAATGGTTTATGACTTTGATGCGGGCATGGGAGTATTGGCGGTTTGTTGATACGATGCTCTTATTATTTATGAATACCCTTGTCACTCTGGCTCACAAGTCCTTCGAATACGCTTTTGTTCGCTTTTTAATACGATATGCTCTCTCCGATTTGATCATACTCATCATTCCAAATCTCTGTATCGCTATTTCCTCATCTCTAGGAATCCCCACAACACTCATATCGGCGACCGCTATTAGATACTCTGCATCAACTCGAACTTCTCCAAGTCAGGCCACCCGCGCAAGACACTACACTGCACGGGATACTGATCCTGAAGGCGCCAGGTTGCTAGAGTAAAACAACGTGAACTCGATCTACTTGTAAAGGTTCCAAAACCGCTTTTCCAGCACACCCAACCTCAAGTTCATCGTCGAAGGTCGCCCAGACGTAATAGACGTGGTAGAGCCCAAACTCCCGGACTCCATGCGCAGCCAGATATATTTTGCCAAGCATGACTTCATGGAACCGCAGCCCACCGCCGCAGACGTCTATATTCTGCGGTTCATTCTTCACGACTGATCTCTGACAAGTGCGCGCCGAAGATCTTGAAAAATGTCGTTACTACTTTGAAGCCAGGGGCGAGAATAGCAATCATGGAGACGTTATTGCCGCCGCTGGATGCGACACCGAAGACGCTGGAGAAATTCTCGAGGTATGTGCGATATAGGAGATGCTCCCCTCATCCTTTGATGTTTGATGGATTAACATCTTGTGATAGATTAGGGGATTTGGAGATGACGGCGTTTGCTAATGCGAAGGAGCGGAATACTGAGTAGTGGGAGACACTCCTCGCGAAGGCGGATGAGAGATTGAAGATTTACGATGTCACATCTCCTCTAGGGAGCGCTATGTCAGTGATAGTCGTCGGCCTCAAGGAGTCGTTGGCCAAATGTAGTAAAGTTTGTTGGATCAACCGACATAGAAATACAAGGGCGCTCTAAACCATATAGAAGTCAGCTTCCATTCCTAAATCACCCGACCCTGACCTCACATCATTCTAAGCGCTCTGACCCGATATCTTAGTCTCTTTAGATGACGTGGAATCGTGGAGATGAGTCTTCTTGGCATGCTGCTATCGTAGCGTAAGGTACGTAATGCAGCGCGTTCAGCGCAAGGTTGTCATAGAGAGAACGATGGCACTTGAGCTGAGATAGATGTGGCTGAAACTGCGGTCATAGCCCGAAAATAGAAGACCTACTGTTTATGGAAGTCGAGATCGATAGAATAGGAGATGTCGTAGCGAGCCAAGGGGTTGGAATTAAATACGCCATCGTGAAGGACAATTGCGAATGATATGATTTGCTCGCTACATAAAGGCGCGTCTCCCGCTGCTGCAAGGTCTGTTCTTTTGCCTTCATGACACTCACGCACGACCATAATTGACCACCTTTCGAATGCGACAACAGCCCTTTTAGATGCCGAAAAGGATGATGTTCTCCGCCAGCATCTCGGAACTAACTTCACCACCTTGATAACCCCCCACCCCCCATAGCCACCCGTCCAGCCACGAGAGAGGCCGCAATATCACCACGTACACCAATCGGCCCGTAATACGCGTCCCTCCGGCCACGACTCGTCTCCCTGACACACGCCGCAGGGCCTTCCAACTTCACGCGCACGACAATGGGAGTTTCGAGTTGAGAACCCTCAACATCTCCCTCGACCACCTCGTCGCCATAGTCTGTCCACTGAACGGAGGCTAGCCATGCCATTCATGTGATCCATCTGCCCAATGAAGCCCGGGAATAGCCAGCTCCCCGATGAGGCCAAGCCTTTCACTCCGCCCAGTGGAGAATGCACCCCGCCGCTGTAATTCAGATCACTAGATGCCTTGTTTCGGCGGGGATTTATCGCAGGCGAGGCGAGAAAGCAGAAGGGGCATCTGCCACTCAAACCAGCATGTATAGGCTACTTGTCAGGGTCAATAAAGAGCTGTGTGTGGCGGCGAGATGCACCCCTGCTGTGCTCCGTGGGCGGGTACGTCAACCAAGTGTCAAGAGGAGACGCAGCGGGCCACAGGGTCCTCAATTCTGGAGCAACAGAGCGTGACGACCGGGCTACGGGTTCCACATTACGGTGGAGCAGCGTGTGTATTATGCCTAGAACCCCTTGGCTAGAAAGGCTTGGTGCCTTTGTTTCTCCCGTTCAGATATCTTGATGTCTGTATCCTTCTAATCTATATGGTTGTTTCTGGACTTCCTTTTCCTAGAAAGCCTGATATCAAAGGGTCTTTGATATTCTTCCACTCATTCTACTTATTTCTATCTTCTCCGCACTCTCATTGTCGTCGTCCACCGGAACTGGTCACTATAGAAATATACAACTTAGCTGTATTACAATCGAAACCATGGCCTTCCAACCATACACTCCAAAGCCTATCACAGATGTCTTCACCGCAGACACCGACATTGACCGCCGGAAGTGTCAGCGTACTGTCCCCATGAAAGTCCTTGCCCTCGGCCTTGGACGGACAGGCACTGCTTGTGAGTTTAGTGCTCGCATACGACCAAGCAGAACTAACAGGTTACTCATAGCTCTAAGAACGGCCCTAAAGGAACTCGGCTTCACGGATACCTATCACATGATGTCTGCGAGCGTTGAGAACCCCCCTGACTGCTTGATGTGGCAAGATGCCTTTGCCGCAAAGTTCGATGGCCAAGGGACGTTCGGGCGGGAAGAATGGGACAAGCTGCTCGGCCATTGCCAAGTGAGTGTTACGCTTCTAATGAACTCTTTTCCTTACCAGCTCGCTGATACTGTCACAGGCGGTTTGCGATTGGCCAGCAGTTGCCTTTGCCCAGGAGCTCATCGAGGCGTATCCAGATGCGAAAGTCATTCTCACCACACGAGATGTTGATTCATGGCACGCGTAAGCCTCTTGTCCTACAGCAAACCCCACGGGCGCCACTGACCAGCAACCTAGCTCAACGGCGAAGACAGTAGACTGGCGGGCGAACGATCCAGAGCTCAAGCTCGTTGCACAATGGGACTGGGGAGCAGGCCTCTACCAGCCAATGCTCAAGCGATTCTGGGACACGTTCTTCAAAGGCGACTTCAAGAAGTACGGCAAGTCAGTGTTCAACGACTACTACGCGGAACTGCGTGCCACAGTGTCTGCAGACAACCTCCTCGAGTACCGCATGGGCCAGGGGTGGGGTCCGCTGTGCGAGTTCCTCGAGGTGCCGGTGCCACAAGGGAAGAAGTTCCCGCACACCAACGACACAGACGGCTTCGTTGACAGGTGCAAGGCCCGTAACCGCGCGCAAATGATGAACGTGGCATTCCGCGCTCTTGTGATGGGTGGCGGCGTCATCGCCGCCGTGATATCTGCCTCTGTTACCTTTCACAGACTAGGAGGGCGGTTTTCGGCATTCCGGGCTTAGGAGCGTTGTGGTCGACTTGTGCTCGTGGACTTTCTTGTGATAGGGCAGGGCGTTTCTGGATAGTGGCACATGGTGCTAGTCCAGGTGCATTTCTTATGTCTCGTCATGCATATTGCATACGTATTTCTGGAGTGTATGTGGCGTCTAGACATGATCTTTGCAGATAAATACATGTGATTCATTCTACAAACCCAAATGCGGCGATCACTCCGGCGACTTGACGTGAATCTTGCAATGATGTGAATCTTTGAGCGAACAGAGTAAACACGGTACCGCCCGTCGCATTGAGAACTGTAACAAGCAGATTTAGGGGTACAGCCTGCGGAACTCGGCATATTGACCTCCTGCTTCCAGAATTTAGAGAGTACCACATGTGCTGCCGCTTTTGGCATGTAGCAGGGGCCTTGCAGTAGATTGAAGATAGGCTGAGATGCCCGTTGCGGAAGGACGACGTACCTTGGAAGCTTGCAGATAGCAATAAGCCCCGTGACTCAGTTGAGAAGGGTGATCGCAGTGGGTGCGCCAGAAAATGATGCGGTGACAATAATCGTACGTTGAGAGAAGCGTCACGGACCGGCCGATGTGGGGCGGGAGGACGACGAAGACGCTCTTGGCATCATTTTAACCCCTGGTTCCGCTGTCTTGGCTGAGACGTGCGCTGATGGCTGCAGAGCCAATTGCTTCGTCTTCGTGCACTCCTCCACAGTTCGGCCTCCTTACGGCGACGCCGCATCATACAGGCTCATCCTGTTTCCGCCCAATCTCTGGACCGTCTATCTCGAAAGCAAGAAGATCTTGTGTGCCAAACTCCCGCGGCCTGCAATAGCGGAACTGAAACCAGGACAGTGTGTAACGACGCGCAGCCGATGACGATCCACCCTCTGAAGCGGCAGTTGGCTAGTTGGGGCACCCTCCATCTGCTAGTGCTACTTCACATAGAACGACGACGCCCTCTTATTAGCCAGCTGTCCATAACTCTTGCCACATGCAGGCAAATGTCTCCTGGAGAGCGACATCAACAGCCTTGGCGTTGCCTTGCCTATCATCCGACGGGCTTGCGGTATCAGGGATAGATGGATAAGGCAGATCCTGGAAATGGCTTCTCGAGGGCTAGGGCCGAGGGGCCTGCTTGACGTGCATGATCTTTTCTAGAAAGTTGTGCCATCTTTCCGACTAACCTCACAACCATCGTAACGCCGTGTTTCCGTGACCTGAAGAGCAATGCTCGCTTCATTCTTTTCACCGCAAGCACTTTGCTTGCTCTCTGTGCCCAGTCTTCTGCTTCTTTCTGTCTCTGCGACACCTGATAATGCCTCATCGCCAGTCTCCATCTTCCATTCGGTATACACCCCGCTACCCCTCTAGAGACAGCCTCGATGTTCTGACTCCTTGTAGAGACCTGAGATCAGTGCACCTATTGTCACACTAGAGATTCTGAGGCTGGAGTATGTCACACCTGGCTACATCTTCCTGGCGCCGTACCGCAATATTGACTCTGGGCCGTACATCTACGACAACAACGGCGTACGTTCGAACTACTAGCTATGATCTCCAACTACTAACTGTGCTACTAGCAATTGATATGGTCTGGAGCAGCAACACAAGGATCTTCCACTGCGCACAATGTCCAAGTATGCAAATACAAGGGCAGCGACCATCTTTGCTTCTTCCAAGGCCATCAACACCATGGATATGCGAGAGGACATGGCGTTATTATGGACAACCGTTACCGCGTTGTCCAAACCGTCGAGGCAGCTGGATCAGCTACGTCTACCGACATGCACGAATTCCGGCTCATCAACGATGGCAAGTCTGCTCTAGTCACCGTATACTCACCACGCCAATTCGATTTGGCCGAATTCGGGATTGGGCCTGGCGTTGGCTGGATCATGGACGGTGTATTCCAGGAAATCGACGTCGAAACTGGAGACCTAATCTTCGAATGGAGATCGCTGGACCACATTGCACCAAGCTTCAGCTATACCCTGGCTGGCTCCACGGATACGAATGGTGATGGACTGACTGCCGAAACGCCGTGGGACTATTTTCATATCAATTCCATCGACAAGAACGTAGATGGAGATTACCTGATCTCTGCACGCCATATGGCTGCCGTCTACAAGATCTCAGGCCAAAGCGGTCGTGTTCTGTGGGAGCTGAATGGCGCGAACCCGACATTCCGAAACGAGAACCTACACTTTTCGAGCCAGCATCATGCCTCGTGGGTGCACGAGAACCAAACCCACACGATTCTCTCCATGTTTGATAATGCGAGCAACGGACCGAATAGAACCAATTCCGAGTCGCGCGGGCTAATCATCGCAATCAACCACGTTGAAAAGAAGGCCTCTAGAATACGCCAATGGCTAGCTCCCGAAAAAGATGGTAACGGCATCGTAGCCGCTTCTCAGGGGAATCTACAAATCCTTTCTCCCAACAACGTGTTCATCGGATGGGGCGACCATGCATATTACTCGGAGCACCTCGATTCTGGAGAAGCTGTCATGTACGGCAAACTAGCTCAATGGGGTTCAAATGTTAATATTTATCGCTGCAACAAGTTCCAATGGAAAGCGCAACCTCTTAGCAAGCCCGCCATATGGTCATATTCTCTCAGCGGCACTGATGATAACGATCTCGTGATCTACACGTCCTGGAACGGTGCGACTGAAGTCCGGCGTTGGAAGTTCTACGTCTCAGACTCATCCAAAGGACCGTGGGAGCTAGCGGGCACTAAGGACAAGTCTGGCTTTGAAACCGAGTACCACATCCCGTACGCAAAGATGTGGTCTTTCTCCGAAGCCCTTGACCAGAACCACAAGCCCCTCGCCCGATCCTCAATCTCAAAGACTTTCGTACCTTCAACGGGAATCCGCGATCTCTGCGACAAACGACATTGCAAGCCTGTGCCTCCACTAGACAAAGGCGAAGAGTTCGAGAAACTCATTCCAAAGGTTAGCAACCGCGGCGCAAACTACACTCGAGGCTACGACACGTCGATATACTACCTCGATGTGTTGCTGCCGAACATGAAGCTTGTAGGGCTAGGCTGGCCTGCAGCCCTAGTGGTGTTTGCAGTGGCGGGATTCGTGTTGCTCTTTTTCAGACACACAGCGCGAAAGAGCGTTAGAAGGGCGCACGAATTCGTGCAGACGCAGGTAGTGAGGAGCCCAGTAATGGGAAGCTATATGAAAGTAGAAGAGGCTTGAGTAGCATTTTTAGTATATGATTGTTCACGATGCAAAGCGTGAGATGGAGTTCATGGCGCTTGGGGCGGGGACGGGGCATTTGATGGCGTTTTCGTGATACCTACGTATTTAGAGATACTCTTCGTGTCTGAAGTTACTATTACTATATGGTAGCATAAGCCTATGCAAATGTGTACATTAGATCATCTTGATGTTGAGTAAATATCTTGGCGTCTCTATTATTCTATGAAGGCGCACGGATTTTCCAGGGAGGGCAGAGTTCAGCATCCAGCTCCACCCACAAACTACCACATCTTCATCAATCCGCTACTTCCAGAGCCCCTCTTCCCATAGCCCGGAACATGTATTCGGCTCTACAGCCAATCTTCCATTCACAGACGCATTGTGCCGCTGCTCCCCTAACGGTCCATCAATACAAGCCGATCGCACTCTACCAGAAGCCCACTCAGCTTCCTCATCCTTCGTCCATTGTTTATCATTGAAACGAACGAGCAAGGTGCATGCTCATTTCGATTTGCAGCACTCTCACCATTCTGCAGACAGATAGGCCAGCGACATGCTAATTACGGTGCTGATCTATAGCGTGCCACACCCAGCTGCCAAATAGAGCGACTATCCACAGCCATTGGGCCTGCATCAAAAGCTTAGATTGCTTCTCTGGACCTGGCAGGATCCTGGGTGCTCACCGGTATCACAATCTGGGTGGCTGCAGCCCTACTAAGAGCCAGTTTCACGTTGTGCGAGGGTGATGAAGACACAAATGCACTGACGGCGTGGATGCCACTTGCGGCAGGGAACGCGTCAGACTCAAGATGCTCGACGGGGGGGGGCTGTAAGTCTACGCGCCCCCTGAAGCTTCAGATAATATGCCGACAGGCCCAGGTGACGACTCCCGCCGCTGTAGGCGCATGGGATAGCTTTGTATGGCCTGTGTGGCGTGGCAAGGCTGTCAGTGAATTGCTCCAGTCGAGGCCAGCCCCACACCAAGTACCCATCCGTCTACCCTTGCTCGATGTCAAAGAGCATCGCAGTCGTCAGCGTGCGGAGAAATATTACGTCGCTCTCTTCGTCCTGCTCTCACGTTCTCATGCCGATTTCCTCCCTTAACCTGTATACGCGTTCGCTTTTTCCCTAGTCTTCATGCATTTCTTGCTAGCCGCTTGATTCCCTGCTTCATACAGCGCCTCAGCGGTCGTCAAGCGTTTCGTTAGTCTGTTCCCGAGGGTGTGAGCCAGTGCTAGTTTCACAGCCACAGCCATTTCTTTCTAGACATGGACGGCCAACAGCACCACCACGTGGTGGAATCCATAAACACACTTCCCCCAAGTCCGCCCAGATCCAGCGTCTCCGGAGCTTTCCATGAGAAAACCAACTCAAAAGTCCACATGCGCCACCAGTCAGATGCCAGACCACTCCTAAACGTCCTCAGTCAACCCGGGAACCTTGAGGAGCAAGTTGAGAGTACATTCGTCGCTACTCCTGTGACCGAGTCTCCAATGTACAGCAAGCCGACAAATCCTATTCCAGTGGTCGAGAAAAAGCCTGCAGATGCATCATGGGCCACCATCCCGAATAAAGACCAACTCGCCATCCTGGCACTTTCTCGTCTCGTCGACTTCTGGCAGATGGCGAGCTTGCAGTCGTATATGATCCACCAACTCCGCTCATTCGATCCAATGCTCCCAGAAGCTACCATCTCACATCAAGCGGGAATTCTTCAGGGTAGCTTCACAGCTGCTCAGATCGTAACGTCGATACTTTGGGGGCGTGCGGCGGATAAGCCGGCGCTTGGAAGAAAGAATGTTCTCCTTATTGGGCTCATTGGCACTGGCATTTCGTGCATTGGAGTTGGGTTTGCCGAGACTTTCTGGCAGGCAACGTTATGGAGGATGCTAGGTGGTGCGATTAATGGCACGGTGGGCGCGGCGCGGACCATAGTTGCCGAGTGTGTAGAGAAGAAGTACCATTCGAGGGCGTTTCTATTACTGCCGGTGGCATTCAATGTAGCGAACATCCTCGGGCCCGGTATGCTTGCATATTTTGATCACCCTTCAGATGTCTGATCTGAAAACCAGAAGTGCTGACTAGATGCAGTTGTCGGAGGCCTGCTGGTGCATCCAGCTACAACATTCTCTAGTAAATTTGGTCAGAATTCCATTTATGGAGGTGCCACCGGTGTAGCATGGATGATGAAGTATCCATATGCGCTACCTAGTCTCCTTTCTGCATTCCTACTGTTTTCAGAAGCAATTCTCGTAATCATGTGCTTGCGAGAAACTCTTCCGACAGCAAGACTCCGCCAAGGAAAGAACTCCTATACCCTCGAGATGTGGAATGGGATCACTGGCATCCTAAGATCGAGTAAATTTCAAAGCTACCTTCCGCTTGAATCTTCTCCAGCTCCGTGTCATCAGGACGAGGAAGACAAACTCGAATCTCCAGTCAGCGCTCACTACGATAAGATGCACCCTCCAAAATCGGCCCAAATCCTACATTTCAAACGCATATGGACATCCAATGTCCTTCATACGCTCCTTACAATCGCTATATTCGACTTCCACATGGGCGCCTTCTCCAGTCTCTGGGTTATCTTCCTCTCCACCTCTCGCCCGAGCACCACCTCTTCCACCCTCTCAAAACGCACCCCTTTCCAGTTCGCCGGTGGCCTTGCTTTCCGTCCTCCTACTATCGGCGCCTCACTCGCTATCCTCGGCCTCGTCGGCCTCGCCATGCAGCTCCTCCTCTACCCTGCTGCCAATGCCCGCTACGGCCTCATGCGTTGCTTCCGCCTGTCTCTCTTTCTCTTCCCCGCGGCCTACGCCCTAGCGCCTTACCTGAGCCTCCTCCCCTCCTCTACCCCGCCACCGGGCCCCGCCGCGGGCTTCTGGATCTGGGCCGGCATGTGCGTTGTCCTCACATTCCAGGTCGCTGCTCGTACCTTCGCTCTGCCAGCCTCCATCATTCTCTTGAATAACTCGTCGCCACACCCGTCTGTTCTTGCGACGATTCACGGGGTCGGGCAGAGTGTTAGTACAGCAGGACGTACGATCGGACCTATAGTGGCGGGGTATTGGAATGGAATGGGGTTGAAGAAGGGAAGTGTGGGGTTGGCGTGGTGGGCGGTGGCGGGTGTGAGCGCGATAGGGTGTGTGGGGAGTTTCTGGGTTAGGAATGGCAGTGGACATGAAATATTTTTGCCCGGGGAGAGAGAAGAGATGGAGAAGATGGAGAAGAAGAACTAGGGGGTGGGTTTAGTATCTAGCTAACGTATATATATTTAGATACTGAACTATATAAAGACTGAGAATAGACGATGAACGTTAGAGCATCACCAACTCGCCTTATAAAGTTATTTATATCTTGTCCAGAATTCTGGTCTGATTCGAGAAACTTTAAGAAGCATCGTAGATCACAAGCTAATATACACTTGTGTCCAGACACTGCGGCAGCCTGATAACGGGTTGCACATTCACCGGAGCGACAGGGGTGCCTAAAACGACTAGTGTCGAGTTAATCGGGTTAGTTCGCTCCTGCCCGCGAATGGTAGACTTCACCTTGAACCATGGCACCGCGGACTACACTCCATCGAACCGTGTGATACCATTGCCTCCCCAGACCTCTTAATAAAGCCGGGGCAAGTGGAGGAGTGATCTCTTCGGAAACCTTGGAAGTCGTCTTTCTTCCTCGCGGTCTTTACAGTCAAAGCACAACCTACCCCACTACACTCCCTCGTAGCGTGTGAGTCCATCACCTCACAAGTCTCTCTTCATACCTACAGCTCAAGCGAGAGGCCTTGTTCTTCAGAGTATCTGAAAGCCGTCTTCCACTAGAGGCCTTTACCACCAAAACGCCGCTCCATGTCGTCACCTTCTGCCACAGAGACTGCGTGTCTCCAACCAGCTCGCAAACGCAGAAAGCTTGATAACCTTCAGTCAACGTCACAGCTAGACATCGACCATCTCTCAATGGATATGCAAGACCTCTCTACGCAACCTATGGAGCTGGATTCCCCGGAGGCCATCGCGAAACAATCGACGGCCGTTGGAGTGAGCACAAACACCCTGGAATCATCTGGCAACTCATCAGACTCTTCTTTCTTTCGACTTCCGATCGAGATTCGTCTCAAGATCTACTACTATGCTCTTCAGCACCCTCACGGCGACTTGGATCCCGCGTGGCTCAGTCCGTTCAAGCGGCCAATCATCGAAGTACTTCGTCCAGACATTCGTCACAAGAGAGACTCTAGTGAGGACGACATGGGAATCGTCTACTGGGGCACAGAACTGATGACTCGGCTCCTGAGAGTTAACCGTCAAATCCACTCAGAGGCTGTCGAGGTCCTCTACACCGAATTCGTCTTCGATTTCAAGAACGAGTTGCCAAAAGCCGGGCTTCAGTTCATCGAAACTATCCACCCCGACATGGCTTCTTTGGTTCGCAGCGTTTACATCAATGTCTCCATCGGATGTCGCGACTCTGCAATCGAACCTCACCCGTGGCTGTTCTACTATTCTCTCCACAAACCCCTCGGGGTCGACAATGGGTGGAAGCACATTTGTGAAGGCATAGTGAAACGACTTCCAAAACTGCGAAATGTGTACGTCAGAGCTAGCCTTTGGGAAGAAGGGTTTTTCGATAACCAGGTGCCTCAGTCACGGATTGAAGACGCCATCATGGACATCCTCAACACATTCTCTAACATCGAGCATGTCCAGCTTCGTCCGAGTAGTCATGACCATGGTGAACTGGACAAAGCTGTTCAAGTTTGCCAAAAGAAGCATGCGGACTTGAGGGCCTCTCTGTCGAGTATGTTCAAGGAGGTCTTCGACATGGAGAAGCTCTCGCGCGAAGCTTACTAGCCTCCGGTATCAACAAGGAGATCACTACGATGAGCATTAGTTGATTGTTAAGGCGGGTGGAGATGGCTGGATAGCTAAAATGGTCAAGTGTGAACTTCTTTACTTCTCTAAGTGGTAACTTTATTTTTCATTCCTTTTTTGGTACCCCACGAATGAGATTTATGAAGTATTAAGTCATAGATTTGGGAGTTCGGTGTAATACTGCTAGGGCTTCTCTCTTTCTCGCTATATACCACTGTGGGGAGTAGCCCAGCTGGCATATAGCCGATCAGTCAAAAAGGTGCTCAAATATCAACTGCATCATTATTTACATGGTGTTCAGGGGTTTGAAAGCTCATAGGGGTATCCCAAGCGGTATTAAAATGGTGTGCCTTAACTCTCAGAAATGAATTGTACCACCATTGCCTTTACATGTTTATAATCTAAAGTCTACATCCTTTACGACATAGATACATAATCCAGTAGGTAGGCATTGCCTATTCGAGAAAAAGCACTTCCGGGAATCTTTTACTTTCTCCCTTCAACAATCCATCGATCTTCCCTCCAAAAGACAATGTCAGAAACGCTGTCACATAAGATCCCAATATCTCCGTCATCCTCTCTCCTCCAATCTTCCCGATCAGTTCTGCTGCTTCCGCCGGCAAATTCTCAACGCCACCAAAAACCTCGTCTGCAATCACTGGCCAGTCGCTGAAGGAGTAATGCGCACTCCCCACCAACTCTACCTCAGCCTTCCAGCCACTCAGATGCGGCCACAGCTCTCCCCAAGTCGGATCCGTGGTGCGATTCTTCCCATCGTGGCCGAAGAGAAGCACAGGCTTATTCGTCGAAGCATTGACGGCTGGACCAAACACGCTACCATCCAAGTTCAGGGCGCCCAGGATACGAGGATCACGGAGAGCAGCAATTGCAGCGGCGCCGCCGAGAGAGTGGCTGAAAGCAACTGCCTGAATCGGTCTCCCGGGGCAGCTTTTCGTAGTACGAGAAAGGTGGTCCAGGACGAAGCTTAGATCCCTCGCTCGGGTCTCGACGGCGAGCGGTATCTGCTCGTCGGTAAGGTTCAGTCCGATGATGGTCTTTCCGGAAGGGAACTCGACGATGTCGGTGTCGTAGGGGTGGTCGACGGCGATGATGGTGTAGCCTCTGCTGGCGACGGTGGCGATGAGGGCGCTGTAGAGGTAGCGGGATGTTCCTAGGGCTCCGGAGAAGAGGACCACTTTGTTTGTGCGTTGGTTGGACAAGGGTTTGGTCGTCGGTTGGCATACTTTGATGGTCAGATCTGGGAAGGTGCCTTCCGGAACGCCGTACGCGGAGAATTTGGCGTCTTCGTATGCGGCTGTTAGGGGTGGCATATATGGGGATGAGATTGCTTTGCAGTCGTGCTCAACTAGTTCGAATATCGATACCATGAAAGTACGGTGCTGTGGCTTAGGCGCAAAGGGGTCGAGACGAGCAATGTCGTTGAGTTGAGCGGAAGTGATAGAGACGGGGAATCGACCGAGCGAGACTGTATGAGCTGTAGGAGACCAAAAGGCCAGCAGTAAAAGCGCTAGGATTGAGAGCATTTTGTCTTTGTTGGACTGGGGAAACTGAGAGAGAGGAGTAAAGATAGGTGGCCAATGACGATACTAAAGGCAGCTTACCGTCCTTTTATGGTCGTTGAGGTCAAGGCATACTGTCATGGTAGAAATTCCTTTGCTCGGTCGCAGGACTTTGCAGCTTCATTGAGCAGCATTCTCGCGTCTTGCCCAGCCATATGGTGGACACTGAGTAGACTGCGAAGCGGCTCGTGGTACACCACTTGACTACTTGGAGCGTTTTCACGTAATAGTGGAGTACACTGACATATCAACAGTCGGCGAAGCTCCGCTTTGAGGCCTCTCTACAGCGATCCGATACATTGCTAGCTATAGATCTTGGTAGACTTCCATTAGCCGCTTCGTAACATTTTCCAGGTATAAGGTGGTGACGAAGAAGCGAGTACGTGACTCGTGGAACAGCGCGCTCGATTACTTCTACTTCGAGTCTAGAGCTTGACAAAGCTCTCGGGTATTGACATCTGATAGGTGAGATTGTCAAAAGAGCAGCCGAGTTGACTGAACCTGACCAACAGCCAACCCGCAGCACAGACCTATCCTTTGAGCCAATTCTCCCTAAATCTCAGCACAGCCCGAGGGGGCCTAGAAATGCGAGGTGCGCCTATATAATACCCCTTCGAGATGGCGCCTATCAAGCCTGCCTCGAAAAGAAACGCGAACGATGTCGCTCATCGGTCCGCTCGACAAACGCCTCCTAGTCCGACGGTGTAAAGCGTGTCAGCGCAGAAAGATTAAGGTTTGTGAACATGCTGAACATCTTTACTATACCGGCCATGTTACTAACGAATTGCAGTGTTCCATGTCAACGCCTTGCACATACTGCGTCCGCACCTGTCAACCATGCGAGCCAGCATCCGGCGCCGGAGCAGGGAGAGAGCCCAGAAGTAAAGCAGTCGTATTCACTCAGCCTCAAACTAGTGCCAAAGCAACTCAAAAAGGGGAAAAGACTCTAGTCCAGCATGCTGTGCTCCCTCCCACGGCTTGTCACGTGGATATCTGGACGGATTCGTCCGATCAACACGTCGCCCACTTCTTCAACGTCTTCCTCGCGGCAAATGACTTCAGTGGAAAGGCATGGAATAGCCTACCTAGTTCTCTGTCGGAGATGATAGCTCAGTCAAGCGCGTTGAAGGACGTAGCCATCGCATTGGCCGCACTTGATCGTAGCCGCAGGCCGCATTCTGCCCCAACGGCGGAGCGGGGAGTCAGTCTGCGGCAGAAAGCGCTATCGTCGTATTCGCGCGCGCTGCAAGAGGTCAGGGTGGAGTTGATATCGCAGAATCAGCTGGCTGCGCGGGAAAGCACCGTTTGGGTGACTGTCTTTCTCGGTATTTTCGAGGTAGCTTACGTCCATGCCAAAGATCAAAGCAAGAGATACCAGGCACTAACCAACCGTCACAGCTAATGCTCGAGTCTAATGAGAAGAATTGGGAGAGGCACTTCTTGTACGGAACTTCACATCTACTGCAGATTCAAGGCCCGGAGTGCTGCAGAACAGGCAGAGGCCGGGAGCGGTTCTTAGCGCTGAGGATCTTTGAGATTTCGCGCGCGCTGATATATCAGGATGCGACATTTCTTGCGGAGCCGGAGTGGGTGAGACTGGCTCAGCAATTAAGAGAGGAAGATGTGGAGAGTTGGCACCCGAAAGAGGCGATGTATGACTTAATGCTAGAGTGCTCGGTGCTGTGTATGCAGTGAGTATACCGTAGCTCTTCTCACGGAACTGCACGTTCACGGATATCTAATACTCCTGAAGGGCCATCTACTTCACAGATCCAGATCCCTCCAAACCTGTCTATAACGGCGACGGCTTCACTCTCATCGCAGAAGGTCTACGCCTCCGCCGCTGCCTCTCTAATTGGTACCAGCACATCGAGCAACGCTTCCCTACCACTAAAGAATCCCCCGCCTATCTCCAAACCGACCTCCAGCTCCTCATCTCCCTAATCTACTACCACGCCGTCTCCATTTTCCTCTCCGGCATCTTCGACTACCGCCTCTCCAGCTTCCCCGTCCCACCCCCTTCCCTCCCGATCTTAACGCGCGCCCAAGTCGAACACCATCTCGCCTCAATCCTCTCCTTGACAGAACTCGCACTAGACAAGACCTGGCTCACAGGCGTCGCGTTCCTCTTCCCTCTCCGCGTCGCCGCGGCGCGAGCGTGGTCCGTGGAGGACCAGAACGAGGTGTTGCAGCGGCTACGCAGCGTAAGAAGCAAAGGGTTCTCGATTACGAACTTGTTTGAGGCGGAGGTGACGTGTTTGTGGGAGGAGCGGTGGGGGCCGGAGGGGTGGAATTGGGCGGATGTGTTGGAGTGAAAAGCATTCTGTCTCGTGTGTACACCTGTCTGCCACTGCTAAAGGTGCTTCAATGTATTTGAGAGTGATGGAATCTCTTCACTTTAGGCTATCTATGAATTCATTGAAGCTCTCCAAACAGCGGTAGACAGATCTACACACGAGACACCTCATAGTGCTACTTTTAAATGCCCCGCGTGAACGCTAGATGATACTTATCTGTGTCGACGTCGGCTGGACGCACGGGCCCTTTTATGCGTGCTTGAGCAGTGAAGCAAATTTCAAGTGACGCCCTCCCAATAGTCTAGCAGTGTCACCAAACTCCGCGATCTCCTTCTTAACACCCACATCTATCATCGTGCCCCACCTCGAGTCCCGAACCCCCTCCTCGCCGCCTTCCTTTTCCCAAGAAACCCCCGAAAGTGACATGCCAAGACCTGATTTCTCGACCCATTTGTCCCTATAACTCACCACTGCTACGATTTATCGCTTAGTGGACAAACGAGTCGGCTTATTCGGACCTCTTATAATGGACTCTGGAAGTATTGAGATCTTTGAAATCGAAAAGCGTGTGTGGACTCCTTTTCGAATTCAAAACGGACTCGAAGAACGGGAAAAATAAGTACCATTAACATCTTCGTTTTAGAAACTTCAAAATGTGTGATAACACGCTACTAAAGCTCTACTGTATGTGATGGATGAGTCCTCATGCCCTAAAGACGCGGTGCGGATGCCGACTACTCCAAATAGTGCCTCAAAAGCTCTGCGGGGAGAGCCTCAATCACTGACCAAAGGCGTACCACGATCGCCACTACCTCGAACCAACATATAATCTCACAGAACATGTAAGGACACTGAACGTCGTGTTTTGATTTTCTTTTGTTCTTCTAGATAGACTCCTCGCAGAGCTTTTCCGCACTGAATCAATCATCTCACACACACCCCTCCACACTCCACACCTACCATCAACGCACTTCCAGTCACCCCACAGAGAACGCAACCAGAACAAGACGCGCGTCAACTCCTAAGCGAGAGCGCGGGCGAAGAGCATATAGTCATGTCCGTCTCGTCATTACCGTCCCCGACAAATACCCATGCCATGCAAGACCTCTCACCGAAAAAGAGCCTTTGCCGTCTAGTCATAAAGCCACTCCAGAGAAGGAAAGCCAAATACCGCCAGCCAATGCATATTCAGAAAGAACAGACATTCCAGGGACAATGAAACTCTGAGAAGTGCTGAGTAGAAGAAGAGAAAGTGGATGATCAAGACACCAATTTCGGCTATTTCAAGCCAGCTTTGCCGGACTTGACGGTATGCGCAATAGGCTGCAGGATGCCCTTGTTTTCCAGGGCACCGAGAGCCATGCCCTTGGTCCAGCCCATCTTTTGCAACAGCGCGTGGCCTTTATTTTCCGCGCCGATCTCCGGAGCATTGGCACCAACGACATCTCCATCCCTGTAGGAGAAAACGGGTTTGGCGACATTTCTGACCCGGGCAACTTTTCCTTTCGGAGTCTTCGGGTGGTTGTTGAGGAAGCGGAACTTGTACATGATACTGTTGAATTCGATCTCTTTATAAGGGCGGGTGCGGGTGTTCTTCGAGAGGTTTATGAAGCGATCTTTACCGGCGCCGACCGATTTTGTCGTCAACTCCAGCTTCTTGGCAAATCTGTGGATGTGTGCACGCTCGTGGGCTTCCATCGGTGGCAACGCGCGGCTATGCAAGTTAGTAGCGAACGTAGAATAGGCATCGTCAGACGCACCTTTGATGATCTGAGATGAAGAACTCCCGAATCTCCTCCAACATCTCTGCCATTGTGAAGCCCTCGCTGTACTTTATGGCAAGGTTGGCCTTGTCCTTATTCTTCTTTCCCAGGAGACCCTGTGCTCGGAGCTCCTCACGCTCCTTCTTGTACTCGGCCTTCTTGCGGCGATCAGCCTCCCAAATAGACCTCATCTGAGCTTCCAAGTCGGAATCGGAGATCTCAACCGGGAACTGGCCACGGCGACCCTTAGATTTCTTCTTCAAACTCGGTCGTTCTGTGTCCATGACGTCAAACCCACCATACGGATCTTGCTCGAGGACGTCCGCCATAAGAGATGCCGAAGGGAAGTCTCCTCTGGCGCGGCCGCCTCTCTTTCGAGATCTGCTGGATGAGTTGACGGAGGTGAAAGCGGACTTCGTTATATTGTTCTCCTCTTGCTCCATGTCATCGTCCATAGCAGAGTCATCTTCGAACAGAAGGACTTCGTCGGAACCAAGACCAAGCTCTTCTTGTTTCGCCAACCGACGCGCGATTTGTTCGTCTGTCATGCTCTCGAGTCTCCGGGCAATCAGGTCTTTCTCGTCCTGGAAATCATCCTCGGCGTCTTCGTCATCATCGTCATCGCTGCTGTCAAAGTCGCTATCACTTGATTCCAAGGCTTGACGTTGAAGCCCTTCCTTCGCTTGAAGCTTGGTCTCGAAGTCCCAGAGGAGTTGTACATCGCGCTCTGTGGTGAGATAGTTGGCAGGGAGCCATCTAGCATCGTCCGTGAGGCGCCCTTCGTAGACGACAAGGTATGATAGACCATTCTTTCGAGTTCTCTTGGAGAGAATACGCTCAACGGGGCCCTCGACGTCTGACGATGTGCTGTTGTTCTCGAAGTCGTCAAGCATTACGGAGTCCCACTCATCCGGATCGGCCTCATTGTCCGGTTCTACAGTTGCCGTCTCTTGGACAAATGTGATGGAGGTCTTCTCTCGTACAACAGGTTGCTCAACGCCCTCCGAATCCTCTGGTTGCCAGCCCTTCCCGTCTGCTAGCGCCAAGGGGCGTTGCGCAAAAGCAGAGTACTCGGGCGTCTCGAACTCTCCAAGCTGTTGTTGTCGTTTAATATTATCCATGTAGTCATTGAGCGCAGCCTTGTCAACGGCATCTGGGTCGAAAACCCGCTTCGGTCTCTTACGACGACCTTCCAGCCAGCCAACTCCTGGCTTGCTCTTGTGCTCCCAGGGCGTTGTGCCTTTGGCCCATGACGGTGTATCCATAGCATGATTGCGCAGCAGTAGAGACGGGATCTCCTCATCGCTCTCCTTGCCTTTCGTAGATGAAAGGCGGTCTGCTGTGTTGCTGGCCGGCTTGGCCACGGTTGGAGCCGGGTTGGCATCCTTGAGCTTTGGCAAAGGCTTCTGGGACTGAGGGACCGACTTGGCCGGCTGAGGCACGCGGCGAGTGGTGCTTGGTTCCGCTGGTGAGACTGGGGTGACGCTGCTCTGAAGGTTGTTCCTGCCCTTGAACAGCACCACCTCTTCGCTGGAATCCGAAGGTGTTGGCGACGCGGCCCTCACAACCGGCGGCGGGATGCCCGTGGGCACAGCCTGGGCGCCGGTCATGTCGACGAAGAAGTCGGCGGGGGCTGGGTCGGCCATTGGCGCTGGTGTGTCGTCTGCCGGTGTGTGTAGACCGGGTGGAGAGCGTGGGGTGTCGGGGGAGGAAGACGAGTCGGACTGCAAAGTCATGCTTGCCATGGCCACATCGGGTGTTGACGACGCCGCCACAGTACCTTCCTCGTCTTCATCTTCACGCCGAGTGTCCCCAATGTCTTTGGGCTGTTCACCGTGCAGATGACCCGCGCTCACGAAGTTTACTTGCTTGGACCGCAGCTTCTGGTCTGTGTTCCAGAACTTGGGGTTGCGCGCTGTGTGCTGGGCCTCGTCGGCGAGCGTGAAGCGTGAAGGCGTGTGGGATGCTACAGACTACATTTAACGGGATGGCATCAAGGACGTGAAGAGAGAGATTTACACGGCGCGAAAGGACGGAAGCCGCTGCTCTGTCTGTTTCTTGGGCCTCGCGGCACAGAGGTGGGAGGACCACTGGCCTTCGGACGGAAGGCTGCCTTCTTCTTTCTCGACATGGTCGGACTGCACGTTGATGGCGAGATCAGGCGGCGATAGTGTAGGACGACAAAGCGTGTCGTCGACAATTCCGAGTGACTCTGGCAGACTTATCGATAAAGGCCGGCCAATGAATGCCTGCAACGCCTGGTGCTTGTTCGCGTTGCACACCTCACTGTTGCCTTCGATCAGCGGTATTCGGATTCGAGGGAGCCCGTATGTATCCTGGAGCTGCTTGTTCTGCTATCCATGGCAAATGCGAGAGGCTGCGCTGCATGCTCTTCGAGGCAGCTTTGGATAGAATTGTGGAATGCCCCTCCACTCCAGACGGCAGGCAGCATATGGCCGAATGACCACCGCCCTGCCCCATAGCTCCAGCTCCGCAACACCGCCGCTGTATTCACTCGTCGCCATCTGCCTGCCACCAAGGCACTTTCTACTGACCTCGTAGATGTATGCTTCCTTTTTTCAGTCATAGCTGACACTCTTCGATCCTCTTAATAGCCAACGCTGCATGCCACGAATACTCTCGCAGCTTACCCTTACACCCTCCCCGCCTCCGAGCTCACCCATACCACACGACGCAACATGAATAATGTAGAACGGGTGGGGAGGCACATAGTCCGTACCTTTTACGATCCGCCGCCCGTCAACGACGACGACGCTCCGATATGGTGTCTCGGCGTCCGCTACGACTCTAGGCCTACCACCAACGGTCATCCCTCCAGCCCGCCCACCCAGAAGAGTCCTCCGGTTAAGAAGAGCCCCGAGCCCACCACAAAAGCAGATGAGGAGCAGACACCGGTCGTGGAAGAGGACAGTTGGATCCACGCCAAGTGCGAGGAGCCGGCGAAGCAGGTGGAGATCCCAAAGCCCGTCGTCGACCCCGCCTCGGCGAGCGTGTATGGCGGATGGCCGCAGGATTTCCTGGACGACTTCGAGTCAAGGATATGGATGACATACCGGTCAGGCTTCAAGCCCATGCCGCGGTCGCAGGACCCAAAGGCTACGGCGGCGATGAGCTTCCGGGTGCGATTACAGAACCTGAACCAGAGCGGCTTCACATCGGACACTGGATTTGGTTGTATGATTAGGTCAGGACAGTGTATATTGGCAAATGCTCTAGCGAATATCAGGCTGGGGAGAGGTATGAATTCTATCGAAGCTTAAGAAGCACGTTCTAACTTGGTATCTATAGCATGGAGACGCCATAATCCCTCTACCGACGAGGAAGAGCGCCGCGTACTATCTTTATTCGCCGACGACCCCAAAGCGCCTTTCTCGATACACAAATTCGTTGAGCGCGGAGCGATAGCATGCGGGAAATACCCTGGAGAATGGTTTGGGCCTTCTGCAACCGCACGATGTATACAGTGAGTCTTATATGAGCTCCTTTCTGGAACACAGCTCACAAGTCTTAGGGATTTGGCAAACGAGCACAAGGAAGCCGGTCTGCGTGTCTACATCACTGGTGACGGCTCCGACGTCTATGAAGATAGCTTCCTCGAAATCGCCAAAGACGAAGATGACACATTCCACCCTACACTCATACTAATAGGGACCCGGCTCGGCATAGACAAGATCACGCCCGCATACTGGAACTCGCTCAAAGCGTCGCTGCAAATGCCCCAATCCATGGGCATCGCCGGGTAAGCCCTCTCCCTTACCTCCACCCCAGATGCTAACAAAACACCAACAGTGGTCGCCCCTCCGCCTCCCACTACTTCGTCGGCACCCAAGCTAACACTCTCTTCTACCTCGACCCACACGACACGCGCCGCTTCCTCCCACACCCCTCGCCCCCCAACTCCCTCACCCCCGAAGAAGTCGACACATGCCACACGCGCCGCCTGCGCCGCATCGACATCAAGGAGATGGACCCGTCCATGCTCGTAGCCTTCCTCATCAAAGACGCGGCCGACTGGGCCGACTGGCGCGCCACGGTGCAGGGCGCGCAGGGCAAGGCCATCATCCACATCGCTCCCCAAGCACCGCCTCGCACCGAGGAGCGCGCGGGCGCAGTCGACGAGGTGGAGAGCTTTGACGAGCATGACGACGACGAGGGCAGTGACTGGGGCGAGGCGAGTGCCGCTGCGAGCGCGAACACGGAGGGAGAGGTCATTGTCGAGAGGCCTGTCGCGGAGGCGCCTGTCATGGTCAGGACGCCCACCGTGGAGGCACCTGTAGTCGTCGATACACCTACCCAAGAGGCGCCGGTCGTAGTCGACACACCTACCCCAGAGGCACCCGTCCTTGTTGAGGCGCCTGGGAAGCCGGAGTCGTAGCGTGTGTTCTCTCTTTCTTCCTTCAAGACGGCGTTCAGGGTTGCGTTGGACGCGTGCTGCCTACATAGAGCTGGCTGGGTTCACGGGCGAAAGGTCGGGCAAGGATAGGATAGGCAATAACATCGTGGCTTAGAAGTAGTAGGAACAGGCAGGGCCGGTAGGGGCGCTGCTTGTCGTAATCACCCATCATCTACCATCTCTCACACTTGACGAGCTGTGTTTCCTGTGTGCCCGCGCGGTCCTCAGATGGTACTTCGAGGAGCTATGTTGTCTCGTGCAGACGGTGATTCGCTGGTGACGTTCATTGGAGCTGGAGCTGGAGCTGTGGGTCAGCCGCATCATGGCACTTGCGCTGAGCGTGTCGATTTCGCGTTTTGGCAAAACGTTGGAATGGAGTGGTTGGAGCTATGGAATTTGGGTTAATCGTTGGGTTAATGGCTGGCTTTTTAGATGAGTTTTCTGTCATGGTGCAGGCGCTGGAACTTTGGATTTGCCCAAATTCAAGACGTCAAGTCGCGACTTCGATGAGACGATATCAGTTTCAATAATCAGAGGTAGAGGATCGAACTCAACCCATCTAAATATCAAAGTCGACTCCCAGAACAAAGCATTTAATTCAAAGTCACTCAAAGCAAAGTGAAAATCAAATGAAGTTTAGAAAGTCTTGGATTCCTTTCTGGTTGTTGAGGTATAATGTACAACCCGGATGCGAGTCCCCTTCAGAATAGTCAGGCCATAAGACATATCTGGCCCGGGAACGCACAAAGCTGATAAAACCGTCCCGTGTTCGCATGATTAAAGAAAAAGAGACCCAGAACACCAGTCACCCCCGGAGACCCGCCTGAATATCCTTCGATCCAAGGACCGAGATAACAGAAATTTCCCAAAAGCACCTACTCCCAACCACGAACCGTCAATGCATCTATTTGGTAGATGAGCTGTACTTGGTGACGGCCTTGGTGCCCTCAGACACCGCGTGCTTGGCGAGTTCACCCGGCAGAATGAGCCGGACCCTGGATGCGGATTAGCAAATGGAATCGCGTGATGAGGCCGAGATAAGACGTACGAGGTCTGGATTTCCCGGGAGGAGATGGTGGACTTCTTGTTGTAGGCAGCAAGCTTGGAAGCTTCGGTGGCGACGCGCTCGAAGATGTCTGGATGCAGAGTCAGTTTTGATCGCACAGATGAGTCAGATCTGGATAAAACACATACCGTTGACGAAGGAGTTCAGGATGGACATAGCGCGGTTAGAGATACCAGTGTCGGGGTGGACCTGCTTGAGCACTAGAGAACAGACGCGTCAGCTTTGATGGACAATGAATGCGACCGATGAATCTGGATCGAAGAGGCCATGCGACCGAGCTGCGCAGAGCCCAGGTCGCAAAGACTCGACGAAGCAGACTGGAAACTCACCCTTGTAGATGTAGGAGGAGTAGGTCTCCTTCCTAGTCTTGGTGCGCTTCTTCTTCTCGCCCGACGGCGCGGCGGTCTTCTTGCCAGCCTCCTTCTTCTCAGCGGGAGCCTTGCCAGCCGGGGCCTTGCCGCCGGTGGTGGGAGTCTTCTGGGCCTTTGGTGGCATTTTGCGAGTTGGAGTGGTGGTCGAAAAAAGGGTAAGTTGGAGTGCAAGAGCTGGTGGTGATGGGGTGAGATGAAGCTGCGGTGGTCGAGCGGTTGGTGATGGATTGGTGGATGAAGGAAGAGGAACAGTCGTCGACGGCGGGGGACGCGGCTACTTATGGGGGGCGCGAGCTGTTGTTGTGATCCCGCCTGCCACACGGCGCACTGCTTCGCTAAGCGAGGCCGCTCCTGCCTGCGCGCCCGGGATCACGCTAGCCCGGCAGGCAGTGATCTCGCGGCCACAACAATCGCCCGCCCGCAGTTATAAGCTGCCGCCCCCCACTGAAGCCGCCGTCTTCTTCCATCAACTCACCCACGACCCATCTCCAGCACCGCATCCGCTATCCAGCTCACTCAACCAACTCCACCACCCAAGCCAAATCGCCCACTCAACTCTCAAAATGACTGGAGGCAAATCCGGAGGCAAGGCCAGCGGCAGCAAGTCCAGCGCCCAATCGTGAGTTCTCCCCTCACTTCATCTCCATCGCCTTCATCACCCGTTTGCGACTCCAACGCGTCTTTACGTCTTTTGGACGCGTCCTGCGTTTACAATCGCGTCTCATTCCATCGCGATTCATGGTCACGGTTCTAACTCCATCTCAGCCGTTCGTCCAAGGCCGGTCTTGCGTTCCCCGTCGGTCGTGTCCACCGTCTCCTCAGGAAGGGCAACTATGCCCAGCGTGTCGGTGCTGGTGAGTCATTTCGATCCCGATTTCAAATCGCGCATTCCTAACTCCGATGCCAGGTGCTCCCGTCTACCTCGCCGCTGTCCTCGAGTACCTAGCGGCTGAGATCCTCGAGTTGGCTGGCAACGCCGCCCGTGACAACAAGAAGACTCGCATCATCCCCCGTCATCTCCAGCTCGCCATCCGCAACGATGAGGAATTGAACAAGCTCCTTGGCCACGTCACCATTGCCCAGGGCGGTGTCCTCCCCAACATTCACCAGAGTACGTCCTTTCTCATCCGAATTCAATGCGCGTCCACTAACCGCATCCAGACCTCCTCCCCAAGAAGACCACCAAGGGCAAGGGTCCCAGCCAGGAACTATAGGTTCTCTTCTCTGGCGTGCTTTGGGGGTCTTTTCTTTGCTTTTTCATAATCGGGGTTTGGGTTGGTAACTATGGGGGTCACGGCTTTATCTGCACAGGGCTTGCAAAGGCTGTACATTACGTCCATGGCAATGGATGAAGTATTACGAGCTTGAATTCACTGATATCCACTTATTTCTCGTGTTTTTCTGAATGTGAATTGACTTCAAACTGACTTTGATTCTCATGCTGATTCCTTTTCTCAAGGCGCATCTTCAGTCAACCAAAAAAGCATCCGGGTCGGGTAAGGACGCCACCAGTTTGTTGTGAATGCTCAATTCAACGAACTGGCTCTACGACCGCAAACTTCGGGAACGGACGGAAAATGCGCATGGAAGTCAGCAATCGCCAGCTCCATAGTTTGATAGAGTTGGTTTATGTGGAAGCTGCTTCCACAGCCCGATCTAATCAGTGACGGATTTGGCGTGTTTGAGACGGAAATTCGGAGAAAACGACGAGCAATAAACCCATTTCGGACTTTCTAAGATCGATCTGTGCCTTGATAGCGGTTAGACGATTGATCAATCATGGAAGCATTTCAAGGCGATCCAACCAATTACTTACAAGACGCGTGGGCAAGCAATGAAATCGGCACTCATATCTTAGCAGCCTCCTGCGCAAGAGAGCACTGCGAAGAGACAGCGAGTTTATAGCTTTGAAACTAAGAGGGGTAGAAAATAGCAGTGATGAGATGGCTGTCAATATCAGATTCACCGTCCGGATACATAGGGAAAGAGTGACTAAATTGGGATTTTGATACACAGAAGAATGAAGGCGAGACCATTACTGTCGCATACAAGATAGATGTTCGAGAGTTGGCATGTCGGCTCATGTTGAAATGGTTTACGAAAGCTGTGCTTCCGTCTTGTAGTGTAGATGCGCCGCTGTTTGATATACTCTTTATCAAATTTCATCATCATGGCTTCGATCAAAACAAACGCAGTGCACCATATTTGACTCTCATAATGCATATATGATTTTACAATTCATCCTCTCAATTCCCGTGCGGCTGTATGTACATGTAGGTATCTCGAGCACCGGAATAATGACCATCGAAAGAACGGTCATGTCCTCGTAGTTCGGGTTGACCCATCATCTGTAAGCGTGTCTAAAGTACACGCCGTTGCCGACGATGCTTAGCACGCTGAGAATTACACTGAGCGTGCACCCGTCACATCACCACCATCCTCCTGTCTAGAGAGTCATGTGTGGAGGAGCTGCACGAACATTAGCAAGTAATCAAGCATTCAAAGGGGGGGGAACGTACGATCAAGAATCGGAGCCGGGAGGTTACGTTCGTATTTTGATCCTGTTGTCGTCAGTACTGCCCATATCCCATCAGACACATCAGCTCCCCAAGTCTCCTCACCTCCAGGTGCCGTCGGTGGGCGGTACGGATCCGGGTGCTTCCACTTCTCCAGTAGATTCTCTGTCTCCTGTATGAGAGCCTTGAGCGTGTCAGTCGAGGTTCCTTGTGGATCTTAGAATCGGAGTATCGCTGCGCAGACGTACTCGTAGTTGGCGTGGCTCGGTGACGTTCCTCTTGGCCTCGAACAGCTCCCGGATGTAGATGGCCTGGCCGCGCCAGAGGTACCTGTGGACGGCCCAGTCGAGAGAAAGCTTCAGCGAGCGGCGGTACAGACGCCTGGTGGTGGGTTGTTAGCTTGACGGTGTCGATAGCGGAGGGTGCCAGCGAGGAAAGCGTACAGGACTGCAGTCTTGCTCGCCATGGCAACGGAGCTTCCAATTGAGACTGCAGCAACAATCTCAAGGATGCAATACCGGCGTAATAGGGCAGAGTGGAGAGATGGCCCGTCTCGTCGTGGAGATGGAGGTTGGCTGAAAGCTTGCCGGGCCATCCAAGCCGAGATTCATCCGAGTCCTGTTGCAGATGAACCTTGAATCCTCGCAGCATTGAACCATAAATCTCTCACCACGCTCAATTCCTCGCTCCTCAATCGCCCCATTTCGCCCTCTCTCTGTTGTCGTGGTGTTATTCTTCCCTAGTCTCCTCCATCATGTCCAGCCAGCAATGTCTCCGCCGCCTGGCAGCAAGCTCTCCTATTCGTTCTCATCCGCTGCTTCGCGCCTCGACCCTCACAGTGACAGCCCGACGCTCGAGTCCTTCCGCCGCCGCCCGGAACTACTCTGCTCTCTCCAAGGTGAACTCGTCCGCGCTTCTCAGCTCGCGACCAAGGTACGTTGTTGCTGAATTGGCATATTCGTCCAGGAGCGTCATACTTACGCTGCGCAGGAAAACGACATCGACACCGCAAATCTCTCGTCTAAGCCTCACGCAGCACCGTACCTATGGTCAGTTCATTGCTTAGGATCCGGAAAAACCGGACTGACTTGCGTCACAGCCGATACCATCGTCAAGGTGCCTCAGATGGCGGAATCCATCACTGAAGGCACATTGAAGCAGTTCTCAAAACGTAAGCATTGATCGACAAGCCGCTTTCTTGCGCTCGCAGTCTTTCTACCGAACGGATGTCTAAACGCTATTACAGAGGTTGGAGACTTTGTGGAACAGGACGAGGAAATCGCCACAATCGAGACGGACAAGGTACGCTTTCCGGGCACCCGTCTCGAGATTGAAAGGAGGCTAATAGTCTGGTATAGATCGATGTATCTGTTAACGCACCCGAGGCCGGCACCATCAAGGAGTTCCTGGCGAAGGAGGAGGACACTGTCACCGTGGGACAAGAACTGGTGAGACTTGAGGCTGGCGGCGAGCCCAGCGGTGGAAAGAAGGAGGCCAAGGACGAGCCGAAAGAGGCTGCACCAGAGGAGCAGGAAACTTCCTCGCAACCCGAAGGCGGACAAGAGGAGCAGGCCCCCAAGGAGGAGAAGCCGGCGCCACCGAAGCAGGAGTCGAAATCAGAACCTCCAAAGCAGGAGTCGAAACCGCAACCACCTCCTCAAAAGAAGTCAGAGCCTAAAGAGGAGCAGCCAAAGAAGGTTGAGGGAGCTGGTAACCGGGAAGAGCGACGCGTGAGTGGCATTACAAGTCGTTACGAGAGAATTTATCAGGTCTAACATCAGATCAGGTCAAGATGAACCGCATGCGTCTCCGTATTGCCGAGCGCCTAAAGCAGTCCCAGAACACCGCCGCATCCCTCACCACCTTCAATGAGGTCGACATGTCATCCCTGATGGAGTTCCGCAAGCTCTATAAGGATGAGCTATTGAAGAAGAGCGGTGTCAAGATTGGCTTCATGGGCTTGTTCTCCCGTGCTTGTGTCTTGGCCATGAAGGACATCCCGGCCGTCAACGCGTCCATTGAGGGTCCTAATGGTGGAGACACCATCGTCTACAGGGACTACGTTGATATCAGTGTTGCTGTTGCAACGCCAAAGGGCTTGGTCACTCCTGTTGTGAGGAACGCAGAGTCGCTGGATGTTATTGGCATTGAGAAGTCCATTGCGGAACTTGGCGCAAAGGCTCGCGACAACAAGCTCACTATCGAGGATATGGCTGGTGGAACCTTCACCATCAGCAACGGTGGCGTCTTCGGCTCGTTGATGGGAACACCCATTATCAATCTCCCCCAGACTGGTCAGTAACATTCCCCTCCTCTAATGGCGGATTTTGCCTAACAGGTTATAGCCGTTCTCGGTCTCCATGCTACAAAGGACAAGCCCGTTGCCATCAACGGCAAAGTCGAGATCAGACCCGTAAGACCTCCAACAACTTTCCTACGTTAAGCCATCGCCGGATCACTAATACCTCACAGATGATGTACCTCGCCCTAACGTACGACCATCGTCTGCTCGATGGCAGGGAAGCCGTCACTTTCCTCGTTCAGGTCAAGAAGTACATTGAGGACCCGCGCCTCATGCTACTCGGTTAAACCTATCCACCCTTAAATCTTGTTTCACTAGCTTTTGGCATGCCGTTTTAGCATAAACGCCTAATTCTGGCTTCCTGCGTCCGTATCATATGTGTTTACTGTGCCTTTTTTTTGGTACACTTGCAGGCTTTGAAGCTTGGTTTGCGAGCTTAGATGAGCAGCGGGCGGATATTGTACTATTAGTTGACTACTAGTGGTGGAGGGAGACTAGGACGAGGAGATCTGGGGTTAAGGTTTGCGGTCGGGGGCAGGCCTGTGATGGTTAGCAAAAGCATATGAGTGTGTTGCATCGTGTCTTGTTTCTCTTGGGTTGTTGGTGATGTCTTGTTGGTGACTTGGAATCAGTGATTGTGAGGGGGGCACTCCTAGTCCATACTATCTCGTTCATCGATGCGATTTGAGCTTCAAGCACGTTCCTAAGGTCTATTAATCTTATAGTATGCTTATCAAGATGCACCAATAGCATTGTGTCAACTTATAGGAGCAGCATGGTAACCTACCGAGAAGATGACCTTCCAACAGAAGGGTGGTCAAAGTCTTGGCATTTCGAGAGAGCAGCGTGTTGAATTTTGTTTGAAAACCATAGCACCAAAAAGGACTCTCGACTTATGACACTTGAGGAGCTTGTATTAATAATGCTCAAGACATGCTCTAGCTATGATTCGTATTTTTCCTACTTTTTGTTCCGGCAGTGTTTTCAAAAGGAGTAGCCGATCTGTGAGATCAGTGCTGGAAATTATATAGGTTTGCCACAAAACGTCCGGATCTTCTCCCGCGCAACTCTACAACTCTTTTTAGTATGCTTTCTACCTGATCTATACTTTTTATACTTATAGCATCTGTCGTGCCGGCGTGGTTTTCAAACAACGCCAAATCATCCACGCTCCAACCCGCGCACGGTCCAGCACCCTGATCTCCCTTGAAATATGACTTTAGGATTAGATATCTCGACACCATGCCATCTAATCGTAATGGAACTTTATAATTAACCTTTTTTAGCTCCTCTCTGCCCATACGCTCGATTTTGTATTGATTGGACGTGTTCTCAATGATCATGTTCTACGGATCTTTTTACGATTCAAGAACTGACGTACAAACACTGATAAATAAGCCATAACACACTGCAAGTTATACAAACCCCAAGAACACAATCAATCAAGAGGTATGGGTCCAATGTACCACCTGAATGCGTTTTAGAATCGTAGCATGTCGGTAAGGATGCTAATAGGTCACTGTCTCCCCACTCCGCGAACCAATATGGCGCCAAGATCCGTGGAAAAAGGGACGATAGGGGATAAGTCACGGGAATTGCGCGTGGCCACTTTGAGGAACTATATGACTATTGGTGTTCTCAGGACCATCGAAATAGGTGCGTAGTCGTCGCTCATGTAGAGATGTGGTGCTTGCAAAAGCGATCTTCGAACTTGAACATGCGCGGCGGGTGGCGGAAGAGCATCAACAGGAGGGAATGTGAAGAATCATGGGACAGAGAAGGCAGAAGATGTATGCAATGGTGGCTATCATCACTTACATAATGCCCTGCTACCATTCCTCCTGCCACTCCTCCGTTCACCATCACCTCCGCTAGCGGGAGGACAGTATGCCTACGGATTGAAGATACACAGCATCACTATCACATGAGTACGAGCGCCCAAGATCTACTGAAACCATGACCAATTGCCTTGCCTTCCTTTGACACAGTCTCTCCCTCCATCAATGACATGTCTTCCATATTTTGCTGGCCAACCTAAGACCATAGGAAGACTCCACGAAGGATTTTGCTCATCACACGCTGCGCACGTCTGTTTTGAACACCCAAGGAAGGGCTCCTGCTTCCATGTTGAAAGAACATGAAGAGTCGTAGTTCTAGCTTGTATATGCTGGCGAAGCCAGAAATCACGAGACTGCTGTCGAGATCCTGTGGTGTGCGATGGCGACTCCGAAGCCGGGACTACTTTCGAACATCCGAACTAGTCCAAGCCATTGCCTTCCATAGGATGACAGGTCTCTAGGTATATAGAGGTATCACACGGCAAGCGTCTAAGCATTCAAGGACTTTTCAGGTCATCATTCACTAGCTACCTCACCCTGCTTCACCCCAACGATTCATCAAAGGTTGCCGCTATCGCGGCTTGGGGGCCTTGGGACCTCCCAGGCGGAAGAGTTGCTTGATCTTTTCATAAGTATACGTGCTTTGTGGCTGGTAGTGATAAAGTAAGAATCCAGATACGATACTACTTTTCATATGTGCAGATCTAGCACGAGGACTCATAGTCTTTCGTTAGCACCCATGAGACCCTCAGGTATGGACATCATCCTTGATATCTCTATACATAATACGCATACCAATGCAGCCGCTTACCATCCCGTAACCCATCCCAGGCGAATTTCCTTACTCCTTACGATCATATAATGCGCTTAACAATCCTACGGTCAAGGGCATCCTTTACGCCCAATCAACCTCCCCTCTCTCCAAACTCCCTCGCCCATTCGTCGAACTGCTTGAGGCCTTCCTTACTCACGCTAGGCCGAATCGTCGACAAACTCGCAACGAAGTCTTCGAACTGGATCGGGCGGATCTCGTCCATGGTCATATGGAGTAGCTTCTCGCCTAAGCTGCGGAGCGGGCCCATGGCGGCGTCTTTGGCGAGGGCGGTGATATCGGAACCGGAGAAGCCTATCGGGATGGTTAGCCTCTCAAATGACTGGAGTATCCGTCCGCTACAGAGCTCGTTTGGGAGAAAGAAAGAGAATACATACCATCTGTTAGCTCGATCAGAGCGTCCAGGTCCCGATCCGTGAGCTCATGCTTCTGATGACTTAATAGCGTACTCAATTGCGTCTTTCTAACGTGATCTTCTGGCAGGGGAATATACTGCCGCCTCACAAATCGCCTCCTCGCGGCCTCGTCGATAGCCCACGGCAGATTAGTGGCAGCGAGGACTAGCACGCGACTCGCATCGCCCCTCTCTCTATCCCGTTCGCTCTGCTCTCGTCCGGCCGCCGCTTTCGCGAGATCCGACCACTGTATCAGGAACTCCGTCTTGATTCGGCGTGTCGCTTCATGCTCTCCGCCAGAGCGCGACGAGAGTAGAGAGTCGATTTCGTCGACGAAGATGATCGAAGGGGCGAGAGCTTTGGCAAGCTGGAAAAGGGCGCGGACGAGCTTTTCCGACTCACCAAGGAATTTGCTTGTCAAGCTGCTTGCGGAAATGGCAAAGAAGGTGGATTTAGACTCAGTCGCTACAGCGCGTGCCAGCATCGTTTTTCCAGTTCCTGGTGGGCCGAAAAGAAGCATGCCTCTTGCTGGTTCGCGTAGACCCATGAATAGATCGGGCCGGAGGAAAGGATAGACAACGGTTTCCTTAAGCGCTGATTTTGCAATGTCTAGTCCGGCCACATCGTCCCAGTGAACTTCATCACCCTGTATCACGATCTCGTTGAAAATCTGCTTTGCTGCAGCTTCATCGACGCCTTTTGGTAGATTTTTCATGAGGTGGTCTACTTTCTCTTTCCACTGGTCAGACTCAACGCGGCTCTCTTTTTCATCTTCGGACTCCTGAGAAGTTGGCGTCGGAGGGAGATCTGCGCGAATGGTGTCTGCCCGCGACCTTCTTTGACGATTTGGCCTCAGGGAGAGGTCTTCAATACCGCTATTCATAGCATCGTCTCCACTCTCTGAGTCTGTATCAAGAGGAGACCGAGCAGATCGAGAATGAATTCCTTTGCGGTGCGGCGCTGCTTTCGAGGGCCCGATACTAAATTCATCCTCCAGCATCACTGGCGAACCATTAGGCCCTCGGCCAGTCCGTACTCGCGAAGCTGCTGTGTTTGCAAGTTTTCGAGACTTTCCTTCTGCTTTCGGATACTCGTTCCTATACGACAGCATATTAGCACCTTGCCGTTGCGGGGTTCTGGCCTCATTGGGTTGGTTTTGAGAAGATTTGGCATGGTACTTGTGTGGTGGAGGTGTGGGAGGTGCGTCTCGGCGTGACCGTGGTGATCTTTGGGGCTCTTGGGGCATTGATACGGGGAGGGGTGTGTGTTGGGCTCTGGTATGTGCCGAAGCTTCTGCAATGCTGGGAGGCTCGTTGTACTTGAAATAGAAGGGACTAGGACCAGGCTCGGTGTTGTTGCTGGTTGTTCTGGATGTGGAACGGTCTGTGTCATCTCGAGAAGACCGTCTTTCGAAAGATGAACGGTTTGAAGAGTCATTTGCTGCAGATATCGACTCCTTGCTAGGCTCTCGTTGAGAATAGAGTTGCCCAGCACTCAATCTCGAGTTAGACCCCCAAGCTTGGGTAGCTGCCTTTGCAGCAGCTGGGGGCTTGCTCCTCATGGAAGAAGGCATTTTCGAGGAGGATTGTGCTCTCTCTCCGTCCTTCTTGCCTGGTCTCAGGGTCCTCAGCATGCCGCCCTTCTTCTCGGGACTTGGTGTCCTTGCAGCCTTCTTCGTCATGGCGGGAGCTGGTGACAGCCTAGCAGGAGAAGGGCCCCTCAAGCCCGGTGGTATAGCCTTGGACCGAGACTGTTCCGTTCCAGAGCTTTTTCGTGGCTGAATCGACGGCCGTTGAGGTAGAGGCGGGCGTGAAAGGTCTGTGTACCCAACAACGGGGATCGTTCCTCCCCCAAGCCAGCCACTCCTCTCGCTCTCTGGAGCTCCTGGAGCTCGTAGGGTATCGCTGAACGGGTTTGCAGGGGCAGAAGGTAGGGAACTACTGGCACTAGGGTCGTCCTCAGCCCTCTTTGCTTCTTCACGGCTTCGCTTCAGGGCTTCCAGCAGGTCAACGCGCTCCTTGCATTGCAGCTCCAGGGAGTGTAACGAGTCCTGGAGGGCTTTCTCGGTCTCGGACCGTGGGCGGTAGGTGGCAGGGACGCGGTAGGCGTTGTGGTAGTAGATCTGATCGAGGGCGTCGCGCCAGGACCGCAAGGCTTCGGCTTCGTTGTTCTGCGATTCACCCACGGTTAGCTAGAACGGCAGCAGTAGTGGGCGACAGGCAAGGGGCAGAAGACATGGCGTACCTGGCTCTCGAAGTAGACGGCAGTGGAACAGGTCAAGAAGCACTCGTCGTACGTCTTCTGCATCGCGGAGGAGGGGTTGCTGCGCATCATTGGGGAAGTTGGTTGGCGCACCCAAGCTGGATGCAGGCCTGCAGTCGAGGTCTTTGGGGTCGTGGGAAGTGGACCGCGTCGCAGGTGCGCTCAGCAGCAGTCAGCAGGCGTCGTTGGTGCTGTGGCTGGGGAGGCTAGCCCGCTGGTGGTGAGGACTTCGTGCAGCGGCTCTCCTCTGGTGACGTCGCTGGGCCGTTCGCGCTGAGTCTCGTGTTGCTTGTGCGGCCTCAACACCATTGCCCAGCGGAGAAGCTGCAGCACTGGAAATTGATATTGCGGGCGCGTCCTGGCTGTTTCAAGCACGGGATGCACGCCGCAGGCCCTGGACAACAGCAGTTCCCTTGCGTGGCGACCATTGGAGGGGCGGCTGGCTGTGAGGCTCTGCCTGTTTCACCAGTTTTATCGATTACACACCTGGAGAAACAACAACGAGGCGGGCGCGACCGACTGCGACACGGCGCTTCGAGTGCGCGCTCCATAAGCTTATTTGCGGCCTACTATGATACATGCTACTTGCCCAAGATATTCCCAAAGCCCAACTCGCGGACGCCTGGTCGTGGACCGAAACGATCTAGGGACCTCTACCATATACAATGTTAAGTTGCGGCGATGTTGGAATCGCCACGCATGCAAAGGGATAACGCCGTGTTTTCTGTGTCGACGCCGAGATGATCCAGAAAACCTCCACGTTCTCACTTGAAATGTCATTGCCCGAGGACGGTGATACGTGCTTGTAGGCAAGCATGTTGCGCGACCGGACTCCTCGAACATCCAACGGATCATGTTCCATGTAACTACGGATTAGTTGCCAACGAGTCTCGCCGACAATGGTTATCGTTGTGTTTCGTTGCGCGCAATGAAGAATGCTTTGGCCATTTCGTAGGCCGACCTGCGCGCCAAGTTAGCATCCTTCTCCTCCCAAAGAAGCAATTCGCACTCACCAGCAGATTGCTGTGCTCGGCATCGTGGTGATGATCCTGGGCTTGAGCCCGCGGAAGAAGCCCCGGTAGCCCTCCCGCCTTTTGATAATGGCTGCCGCCTGCCACAGTCCAGAGACATTCCGTAGCTCGGGCTCCGTTGCATTTCCCCTCGTTTGCAAAAGTGTCTTGATGACGTCTAGCGGCGTAGTGAGGCCCGCTGCGAGCCCTCCCGCGAGACCACCTGCCGTACAATGCGTATATGGATCATACCGTCCTGTCGGATTAATAGATTTTGAAATCGACTCGTAAGCCGTGAATTGGAGCGCGGTGAATGGTACTGTCATGCACAGTGTCGTGGGATACGAGACGTAGAAGGCGGTGAAGCCCTCCTTTCGGAAGACCGACCTCGCACACTGTCCGAATGATCTGTAGACCGAACCGTGTAGCTGCATTCGCTGTTTGATGACTGCAATAATGAGCGCATGCAATGAACCGTGGATATCGTGAAGCTTACCATCGAATGGATTCATCAACGCATCGCTTGCAATCGTAGCGGCCGCGCCGCTCACAGCTGGGGGATGTTAGTCCAAGACCGCTTTTTTCCGGACTGAAGGTGCCAATTCATACCAGCTGCTAGAGGGTGGTGCTCTTCGTGGCGTCCCTCGTTGCCGCCCATCGCATGCTTGACCGCCTCGTACGATGCAAAATATACAGCATGCGCCGGCCCTGCCAAGTATCGTCAACTTTGTCCTAAGCCTGAAGTGCTGCGTCGACTACTAACCAGCCCCTAAAACCACGCTCGATAGCCCCTTCCACAGTGTCCGAAACCCCTCCACCCTCGATATTGTGACTACGGCGTTCGATATGCCAGTATATACGGCTGTTGGCGACGGATTGACGACCTGCATCCTCGTCTGAAAACGACGTTAACATCGGAGTAGAGCGGGAGCTGCTGGATATGGATACGAACCTTAAGCAAGTCGATTGGGTACATCACCGAGTGCTCCTGCGCAGTGTTAGGATATCGCGGGGAGGAATAGGCGTCTCGTTCGGGGGGGCATACGGCAATTCCAGCAAACGCGCCAGCCACCATGTTGGCGGAGAGGGAGAAGTTCGGCGGGAGAGATTCATAACTAGCCTCAGGTTAGCATTGAGCATCTGTTGCGGGTGTCTGCGGAGCTGTACTCGTGTTCTTCAACTTCCACACCTATCCGCTCATGGGTGGCCATAAAATCCACCTCGCCCCACAGAATCGTGCTGCAAGCTTAGATGGGAGGTGCGACAGCGAGTATGAGGAGATGTAGGAGGGGACGCAGCGGGTAGATCGGGGGAGCACAGTGGCGGTGGGAAGAGCACAGTGCAGCAATTGTTTTCAAGGTCTCGGATTAAGAGATCGCGGCCGGGTCGCTCCTCGGCGAAGCACAGGCCTGCGTCGTCACGGACGAGACAAAGGCAGACCCCTCGAAAAATGCGCAGAGCCCCCACTTGTTCGAATATTGCAGCGATGCCAAATCAGAAAGTTATTTGATGACTGGTATCTGGTAAATATGCAGTTTTTATTGCTTCCCTAAATATCTGAAATGTATATGCGAAACCGAAAAAGCAAGTCCGCCGCGGCGGAGATGTTCACCTGGAAGAACCATTTTCGAGAGAAAGGGTGGAATATATGTACGTAGTGAAACTAGAAAACCTTCCAAGCAGGTCAGCTTGATCTGTCGATAATGTGCTGCGATCCGAGCAGAGCAAGCCATATGGGAGGATACACTCTATGACGCCTGCAGGTCATCTGTCGAAGACTGCCAAGGTAATCCTGCGAGGATGCGATGCGAGACGCTACGGTGCTATGGTGACGAGTGATATAAAGGAGGCTTATATGTATCCTTTATAGCATGATCTCTCTCGCTGAAACCTTGATCACGTAGACAACCGATAGCAGTGGGTGACGGGTAATTTGAGAATAGTGTACACATAAGAACATTCTCAAATTCGACGGCTAGCAACATGCATCGCTTATGTTACACTACGCACCTGACACATATGATACAAACAGCTCCCTAGACCGTCGGAAGCTTAGCAGTCACACCGCCCGTACCATCTGGGAAATCCAACAATCTCTCGGATGTTGGACACACCTGACAGGTAGCATAGGAGTCGATCGAATCCGATACCAAACCCACCGTGTGGTACGCTGCCGTACTTACGGAGGTCGAGGTACCATTGTAGAGAGCCTTCTGCTGTGGGGTCTTTCGAATCACTGCCCAAAGCTCTTCGAAGTCCGCGGGCGTCCATGTTTTCCAAAAGTTGGGAAAGGCGATATTCACGCATCGACCCGCCAGCCAGTTCGCAGAGTTCTGGTGCCAAGAGGTCAAAGCAGGCAACCGTGGACCCTGCATTTGCCGCCTCTGGAATTGTAGCCTTAAGGCTGTCAGTCGACGGTGCCATGTAGAACGGTTTCAGATCGCGCGGGTAATCTGTTACAAACACCGGCCCGCCTTGTCCTACGGTTTCCGCGAGGAATTTTTCATGCTCGGCTTGCAGCCCCGACTTGTGGCTTGGCTCGAACTCGAAATGGGTCTTGCTCTCGTCCACAGCCCGCTGAAGCGTCTTGATGGCGTCTGCAAAGGTGATGCGCGGCCAAGGTCCATCGACCAAGCCCTGCCATCTTCGAGCCAGAACATCGTGTGTCACGTCGGATTTTTCGGCATCCTCGTTTGATTGAAGCTTGCGTGCTTGAAGCAACTCTTCCCCGACGCGAGATGTTTGCAGTCCACGGCCAATGTCTCGTAGCATGTCCTCGACCAGATCCATGACCTGTCCAAGATCTTCTACAAAGGCGACTTCCGCTTCAAGCATGTAGAATTCACTTAGATGACGAGGGGTGTCGCTCTTCTCCGCACGGAAAGTGGGCGATAAGGTCCATACTTTCCCTATAGATTGCGCAAGTGCTTCTAAATGGAGTTGAGATGAAACAGTGAGATATTTTGGAGATTGGAAAAAAAGCTCGTCTTGTGAAGATGAAGCGCCTTCTTTGTGGTCCTTTGATGCTGTCGGTTCCAGAGAGACGGTGAAAACCTCCCCAGCGCCTTCGCAGTCGGAAGACGTTATTATTGGAGGATGGGTCTGGACGAAGTCTTGCTCGGAGAAGAAGTGGGTCAAACGAGAAATGACATGTGACCTTAACCGCAATAGTAGCGAGTTGACGGGCAGTCGTGGCCGCAGATGAGGCAGGGTTCGTAGGAACTCAGTGCTGTGGTACTTTTTCTGTAGTGGATACGTCTGCATGTGCTGGTCAGAAGCAAGCTCTGCGCGTCAGCTGAACATGCTGGGGTATAGCTACAACATACCGTAGCATCATTATCTCCCAGGATCCTGACGTTCTCCGCGTGTATCTCGTGCGACTGCTCTTTCCCAGAAGGAGATTCTTTCCATTTCCCGGTAATGCTGACGGCACTTCCGGTAGATAACCTTAACAGCACGTAAAGTCGTCAGCTGTTACATCCAGGGCGAGTGGGCTGGATGCCTTGAGAAACTGACCCTTCAGCCTGTGCGGGACTCAAGACGGCCTGCAGCGACTGCAGCGACGAGCCATCCCCAATTGCAGCAAACGCTACCCGTTTCTGTTTCCGCACCGTGCGGATGAAGCCATTGACCGTTACGACGCCATCAGATCGGGTCAAGGGTTCTGCTCCCGCAGATGGAGACTGCGCGAGGATTGTTGCGATGTTTGGCTGGAGGGATGTCGTCGAAGAGTGCCGTGGTCGAAGCGGTCTTTTGGCGTGGGGCCTGGTCAGCTGCAACGGGGAACGGACGGCGCGCTCTGGAATCAGCAGCTGCCGGCGCATTGAGGCGTGTATGGGCGCGAGATGGTGGCCGCAAGGGAGACGGATGGGTGCAGCTCTGAGGACCTGGCAACATGATGCTGCGGGTGAGCCGCGAAAGCGACTGGAAAACACCTGACTTCGGCGAAGTCGGGCAGGATGTTCCGTGCCTAGTTCCAACGCTCTTGGCAACTCGGCCGGCAGGACTCGGGATGCAACAACCGTATCGTGTGTCCCCGACGTTAGGCCCGAAACCTAAGGCCCACTTCATTGCGATATCTCTGACGTCCCAGCAGCCTTGTCCTCCACGGCCGCACTCCGGTCACTGAGATTTCGCTCTCTGAAAAGTCGCTGTCATAACCCCGCAGCGGACCTCCAGCTTGGCTCTGCAAGAAAGCCCTATTGGCGGCTAGCCATCGCGCCCCGCCCTCCACCGCCTGCGGTGCGGTGCGGTGAAGTACATTGGACTACGGCTGCTGCGCGATGCGCTTCCCCGGGGGCACACGTACCCTTCAGGTCGGCGAGCAGGCCGCCGGAGCGAAGCTCTCAGTGGCTCTGGAGCGGCGCGCTGCGGATGGAATGGCGCTATCTTCTGTCCCACTTGGGCACCCTGCATGTGGGAGCGCTAGCAGTGCAAGATCTCGCTCCCTCGACTCCAGATCTCAGACTAACTCTTCATCTCCCCAGGGATGCGGCGATCGCTGTGATCCATGAGATGCTTGGAGCCTTGCTAAACCCCCCGTGCGGCCGCCACGGCTGCCCAAGCCCAATTCTGATGCGCGTTGCATGAGACACTACTGCCGCGGCTTTTACCTGACGCCCCCGACGTATGACTGGGGCTTGTCGACGCCGTTCTTGCGCGACCTGCCCAATCTTGATGCTGCAGCCCTCGCTGAATGTTTATTTTTTCGCCAGGCGCAACTCATGTGCCCTGGTCACGGCTATCCAGCTTTTGTACGCGCCTTGACGCTACCGATGGCGCCATGTACCCGCATCGTAGTCCTAATTGTGTACCACTCTCGCAGGATTCACCTCTCCACGTCCGCTCACAACTGCCCCTTCCGGCTCGGCTCACGTCCCATTAGGCGCGTGCCGCTGACCGGCTCGATCTGGGCTAAGAATGATCGATGTTGTCCGTGTCCCGGCTCGTCTCGATCCCAGTATATAGGGATAAAGTCACTCCGCGCACCAACCAGCGAGTGCACATCATCCTCGCAGTATCCAGTCGCTCCTCGTTTCAGGCTTACAGCTTTTCTCCCTTCAGTTGCATCGTTTACAGACATATCTGGTCCACCTTGTCGACTCTCACCATGCCCCCGATGAGACCAAAGCCTTCGGAGATTGCGACAGAAGCCAAAAAGACGTACATACCATATATTCAGAGAGATATGCCCACATGTCCTCCTCATTCAATACTCTACGGGGACTCATCGCAAATCCACGTGGCCCCGGAGAAAAGAACAGCCCAAAGGCTGCGGGTTGCTGTCTTCGACGGCGATCCTGTTGACGTCGCTCTCGATTGGTACAACTCCAACCTCAAAGACCCGGCAAGGGCCCAGTCTACAGCACGCATCCCTGTAGTCAACATGGCAAACGAGAAACGTGCAGGTGGTGACTGGGAGTCTGGCCTCATCGCGCCAGAGGAATGCTTTGCTCGAAGGAGTAATCTGGTGCAAGCCCTAGTGACGCCGTGGAACCCAAACAACGGGACGACGCACTATCCCATCCCCCAGAAGGGAGGGATATACTCGCAATATGTTGGTAAGGTTCCTGAACATGCACCTCTTGTGGCCTATCTCACCGACAGACAGTCGTGTTCCGCGACGCTTCCGAGCCATATACGATCTGGAAAGAGTTCAAAGACCTACCCGTGATTTCTGTGGCGCCCGTTCGGCGACCGAAGCTCGATGAGAGCGGGAAGCACTATTCCTTCGACCAGGAGCGCGAACTCATGAAAGAGAAGATGCGTACAGTGCTCCGGATTGCGGCCTACTGCAGCCACCGCGAGCTCTGCCTCGGGGCGTTTGGGGTCGGGTCCATCTTCCGCAATCCCGTCGAGGAGGTCGCAAGCATGTGGAGGGCGCTGCTCTTCCACGATCCCGAGTTCCAAGGCGTCTTCACCAACGTCGTCTTTGCTGTCGAAAAGAACCCGCCCGGGTACGTGCGCGGCGGCGAGCACGACTACGAGGCCTTCGTCGAGGCCTTCGATCCTAAGAAGGTGTTCCCAACCGCTAGCTTCTAGGTAGTGGTAGTGGCCCACGGACTAGTGATCGGGGTGGGAGGCCGTCGCCGCCTCCCATAGTTGCTGTGCGGTGTCGTCAGCGGCGTGGTGATGGAGCATGTGGGGTGAGTTGTCGTGGACTTTGGAGTTGGTCCCTGCGCGGCTGCTGCCCAATCACTGGCGGGGTCCAGACGATTGGATGCCGGCGGCCTACGGCGTTCCGGGGCCTGGGAAAGACTTGCGGTGACGAATGGACCGCATGGGCGTCACGGCGATGTATGTTCTTCTTTTCTTTTTATCTTGAAGCTAGGCCGTCCACCAGGAGCATTTGTTTGGGGTCAAGCGCGGCGCAGGCGGCGTGGGACAGCGGCTGTCTCGGCGAAAGACACCTGAGAGACGCTAAATTTAGGACGCTATTCTTTCTTTGAAGAGATTTTCTGACGATTGGGCTTCAATTTGCTCGTGAATGCCGTGGGTGGGTATCACCTTGCTGGCAGCCCGTAGGATGCTGGCACCTGGCAAAGCCGCAGATCGAAAGACGCCGGTGTGCGAGAAAAAAGCTCGTCACTACCGAGCTTTTGCTCGATATGCACATGCCGACAGCGTCTTCCTGCGTCCGGTGGTTCCTCTCTAATATTAAGCCACAAACTTACCGTAAATGGGAGCAACCCCGGGCGCCTTTAGGGGGGAATAGCACCTTTCTAGCCAATCAATCCTCAAGCTGGTTAAGTACTAGCCCAGAAAATAGGTATACCAGGATCGACTCAGTTTAGCGCTATGTTCACCGGACGTATTGTAGAAAGGTGTTGTAGATCCAAGCTGGACCCTGCTTAATATGCACATTCGCTTATCCGGCTGGATGGGTCGTGAAGAGACGTGGCCTGTCCCTTGGGATTCGCAGGAACCAAAGACGGAGTGGACGGAGTTACGGGGCAGGATCGGGCGTTCCCTTGGCAGTTGATTGCGGTCGATTCGTTGGTCGAATTCTTGCCCGCGCCCAGGCGGCCTCGCCGAGTCACTCTGGAGCGGCCAGCTTCTGACCTTCCCCAGACCAACCCCATATCTGCAACCGTCCATTTTGGGCGCGTGTTAATGGTGTTGGCGTGGAGGCTACTACACCCGAAGTAAGGCCTGCCCTCACCGCATGCAATCTCAAATACTGTTCGCCAATCATCAACGAACGGCATTCTATTTCCAATATCCATGGGTCACGAGTCTCTTCAGCTTACCATGCCACATACCCTCCTGCAGGCCGTCGATCGAAAATAGGCTCATGAAACAAGCCATTAAAGATGGCGCTAGCGGGCGGATCCATACATTGCCGGCGACATGGTGTACATCCCAAACTAATCAAGAGAAGAGGTGGGGTCCGGAAGCCTGAATTTTACTATACACACACATAATACATTTTCCGTACACCTTGTCGCCCAAATTCGATTCCCAATCTAGGTCCTGCGGCATCATTACTTTGGCGGTAGAGGCCCTGGCGGATAGACCTCGCCGCCTTCGGCCTCTATCCGCCTTATCGTCTGCACCTTCTGGTACTCGACTACTCGCCGCTTTTTGAAATACTCAACCTGTTTGCGTACGTCAGTGTGATATCCATGACGAAAGAAAAAATGGCAGGCAAACGATCCAATCTATGGTGGCTATCCACTCCAATCGGATAGCTTCGCGAGCGCCACCTTTGGACATGTAGATTGTAATCCAGATTGTGAAGCTGGATTGCCATGACCGCATCTAAGGGAAGCACTCACCCACGCAGTCGCACAGTTTTGCTCAAATCGTTGGTTTTGTGCTCCACACGCCACTTTCGACTTGTCCTCGTCCTTGATTGCGTCTAGGATGTTGTTTTGCTCGAGGCAATTGAAGAAGGCGTCGCGGGCGGCGTAGCATTTGTCCCGTTTTGAGCGCATTGGGGGTTCGTAGGGCTTGTCTGCTGCTTTTGCATCCGGCTCGCTGCCGCCGAATGATGGTATCCAGCCCATGGCGACGAAATCTCGTATTGGATTGTGATAGAGGTGGCGGATGGAAAAGTGGAATGGGAGTAGTTCAGTGCGGGTATGGCGGCTGGAATGAGATTCTGCTGAGATTGTTAGCATTGGTGGCGCTGTTCATCTACTTGCGACGAGCAAACTTACTTGCTGCGTTGCTGTCAGGCTTGAAGATTCGGAGCTAAAGATGGAGCTTGAGAATTGATGCACTCAAGAAACGGATCGGAGCTCCACGGGCCGACTCTTGGCTCAGCTCGGCATGCCGGACACGCTGGGCGGGAAAAAGTGGCACATTCAAAAAGTCGTCTTGTGTGTACGCCTGTCTGCCAGTGCTTTGAGGGCTTCGACAAGCTTTCAATTGCCCCAAGTGAAGAGTCTCCATCACGTTTCAACCTCGAAAACTGCATTGAAGCACCCCAAGCAGTGGCATACACGTACCCCCGCGGTTAGTTCAAACTAAGAGTACCACTTCTTGTATGCCCCGCTTGCCGGGATAATGATGTCTGGCCTTAGTCGAAATCTCCAAGCCGATGCCTATTGAACATCACCACCATCTTAACGCACGATAGATACGCATTTTCCACTACCGACCGTTACCTAGACTACCTTTACCGGTGGAACGACGTCTACATGCGCCCTCGATAACCACCAACCGCCATCATCGCGACCTAATCACACGCGATGCCACGCCGGCGGCGTCCTCCCCGTCCAGGCGCTCTCGCAGACCTCGCTCCGGGACGCCTCTTGACCCAAATAGTCGCACTGCAGGCCGCATTCTACGTCAGCGCGGCTATCCTCATCCTGTTTACCGCGCTTGTGGCCGGGAAGGAAGTCCGTCTGGACCTATTGCTAAGCTGGCGGAGCTTGAGAGGAGATACGACCGTTGGATGGACACTAGGGCTCGTATGGATGCTGAACAGTCTAATAAGGTGCGCCCTCCTGCATTCGTTCTATTGAAATTCGCTGACATAGGGTGATAGCGTCGTCTTCATCCTCCTCCTCATCGCGCGCTCGAAACTCGTCCCAGACTTCACTCTCACCCTCCACTTTATCCACCTCGTCGTCACGTCCTTCTACTCGCACGGCCTACCGAGAAACTGGTTCTGGTGGGCACTACAGGCGGCGTCGGCTGCGCTTATGAATTTCCTTGGTATTTGGGCATGTCAGTGGCGTGAGCTGCGGCCTATCAATTTCGGGGGCGGAGGGGGAGCGACTAGGCCCCGGCAGGGGAATGCGGGGACGAGTGCGAATGGGAGCGCAGCTGTGGAGGGTCCGCGGGATGAGGAAGCGGGCTTTGGGAGGGGACGGGGTAGAGGAAGAGGAAGGGATGGGGCCGGGGAGTACGAGATGGTCACTATGAAAGAGGGAGAAGAGAACGGGTAGCTGAGGATAAAGATGCTCATGTCTGGTTTCCGGGTTGATACAGCGATTGCATTGCGAGGCGTTTTCGGTGCGGCTCAAATACCGCAGGTCTAAAGTATAGAGATCGATGCATTCCTAAGTGGATTGTAATATCATGGTGTTCAAACAGGTTTTGAGCTGGGGTTTGAGCTGGAGTTTGAGCAGTCGATTTTGTCAAACATTTGAGAACAGACATTGTTGCTTGTAAGGGATCCATAGTAGACTGAAACTAACATCCCCAGATGGTATCTGTTCCCAAAACCCCTTTCCCCGGAACGCCTTCAGATCCATGTATCTCGCTCAAGCCAGTACGCTATGTACACTCCATACTCTCGACCTCCCTGCCCGCCAGAAACCATCGATTACCCGGCTGCTCGAAGGAAACGGTCCCGTCCTGGAACGTGAACGCCACTGTACAGTCGACCTCGCCTGTTCCTTGATGCGCGAGCATACCTTTCTCTTCTTCAGAAAGAACTGCGCGTATCGTGCAGGCGATTCGTTCAATGTCCCGTAATCGTTGTCTTTGGTGACGGCTAGTAAAGGAGTATGACACTGCTGACTGAATGCGTGTGGTATGAGAGCGAGGGTCCGATGGATCGGCGATACGGGCGCTTTGGACGTGCACTGGCAAAGAAGAGTTGGATCCTACAAGATATCAGAAGACTAGCAGGATTGCGGCTCATGCGGCAAGTTGTAGAAGCTACACAAGATCTAGACATTGCGGAAAGCAAAAAATTTAGGAGACGACGCGGAAAGAGCCGCTTCATAAACTAATAGGATGTTCCACGAAAAGGTAACATACCAGGAACCACACGTTGGCGTAGGGGCAATTCCACGTACTTCTCGTCGTGACTGTTAGATGCAGTAACGTGGAGCCCTACCATGCCCACGCTACTGTGGAATTGCAAGGTTGGTCTTCGTGCTTCTTTCTCTGGTGCCATTGGCGGGAGGAGGCGTCCTTGAGTGTGGAGGCGTGGTGCATCGTAGATGACTCTGCTCCAGACACAGGATACGAACGCTAGGAAGATGCTTCGGAGGAATCGCATGTTTGTGACGGTTCTGGCAACTTGGAAAGACCGAGATTCTTATGTTTGAAGGCGAGAACTGAGAGCGATAGTGAAGAGAAGTGACGAGAGGAGAATATATGGAAGGAGCATCTGCACACTATCGTCTCCTGAGATAAGAGACAGTCCATCGTTAATTCGTTCTTGAATGCAAAACCTAACTTTAAGGACTTCATCGACACGTGGGGCATCGTTGACCGTTTGATGGACAGGGCTAATAGCCTGATGACTTAATTAAGTGCGCATAGAATTTTCCGAACTGCGAGTGGAGCCCCTGATCTATGTCATATACTCTGCCGCGCGCCTCTGATTTGGCAACAATTCATCTAGATTATACCTCTCGGAACTGTACTTAAAAATCTCCCATAGTGGTCGAAAACGCATAGCGATTCTCAGAGTAATAGATACAAGGTCGTGATGAGGCTTGCAAGGCCATCTGGGAGCCCTCGAGCCATGTGCCGCTATCGCAATGGCGTTGTCAGTCTCTTCAGATTGAATATCCTGGAACATGACACTAGAACTCAATGCAGCGCTATCTTCCATATTATCAACAACTCAAAAGACCATCAAGGAGGAATGAATGAAATGGTACACATAATAGACTAGCGTATGCGCTTAGTCATCTAAAACCCAAGATCCATTGGTTCCCGATCCATCGACGTCTTTCATCCACCTGCAAAAACATCTCTACCCGAAGTTCATCTCTGCTAGGCTCCATGCACGCTTACCGACGAAGAAAGAAGCCGACCAAGCGATCTCCAGGCGGATAAAACATCGCACTCCAGTCATGGATCGAGGCTACGGCCGTTATAGCTGGCCGAATGGAAACCCGGATGAGGAACCGCTCCCACCAGCACAATATCTAGACCCATATTCGACGGAGCAGCCTTTCTCCGGTCAACCACAGACGCCGTTCAATCACAGTGCCTCACCTTTTCTCCCAGGCGGACCTTTTGGGCCGTCAGGGCAGCCTTTCCAGAGTCCGTATCAAAATGGTAATGGGTACGGCCATCAAGTACCTGGCTCAGAATACTCTCATCAAGTCCCAGCAATCAATACAGACCATAACCCGTTCATTTCATCTAATCTAGCAGCCCCTCAGACGGCTAGCTACCAGACCGAAGCAGATTTTGCAACCGGAGGCCTTGTGATCCACGATGGGTTCATCCCGACTAACTTTGAGGAATCCGACGATGAAGAAGCGTCTTATCCAGTGCTACCAGACGCAGTTCGGACGAACCTGCAGGGATACCAAACTTATGTGAACTCCTTTGAAAGTGGTATCTTGTACGACCGTTCCGATGAGGATAGCGAGTCCGAAAGCGAGGAAGATCCAGCTGTTGAAGAAGCATTCGTAAACGACATTAGAGATGCCAATGATCCAGAAGTCGATCCAGATTTCTCGGCATCAGATGCCGAAGAACTGAACAGCGGCGATGAACTGTTGGCTCCCGAATCCCCGCGCAGAGGACGAGGAAGAGGCAATGCTAGATGGAGAGGCAGTGTGAGAGGGAAAGGCAGCGCTAGAGGTAGAGGTAGGGGCCGTGGTGGAGGTAGAGGCAGAGCCCGTGGTCGATCGATCCTAGACCGTCGCCCACCAGCTCGAGAGACTCGCAGTGGAAATGTCAGACGTGGTGCTCGTAAGGCTGCGGATCCAGGGCAGCAATACAAGCGTCTTCAAATAAAGGCGAACGAGTCGTACATCAACCGGGACTTCAAAACGGCCGCTGAATATGCTATGACAGCTATACAACTCAACCCGGAGATTTTCGCTACACACAGCCTTCTTTCCGAGATCTACTTAGACATGGGAGATGAGCAACGCTCCATAGAAGCTCTGATCGTTGGTGCTCCGACTAAACGGGATAAACACCTTTGGTTCCACGTTCTCCAGCGTGTCTGGGATCTTGACGAGAAGAAGTATCCAATGTATACACGGAATACCAAAATTGGCGTTGCAATCAGCTGCCTGAGGGAGATTTTGATCATAGATCCCAGAGATTATGAAGCCCGACACGAAAAACTGAAGATCGAGCTCGAACTTGGCAACGTTGCAAAAGCTGTGAGCCTTTGTCGTCTCATGCTGGAGATTAAGCCTCATGAAACAGATATCCTGAGGGAAATGGCGCGAATATGTACCAAGGATGCTAAGGGCCAAAGATATCTTGACACGGCCTCGAAGAGCTTCGAGAACTCGATCAATCATTTCATCACTAACGAAGAATTCTCAAACAGTAGCTTTGACTGGTCCTTGCTCAATTATTATCTTGAAATTGTCGAGAAGCAAAAGGAACACAAGAAAGCAGTCGCACAAGCCAAAAGGCTATCCAGGTGGCTGCTTGGAAGAAAGGACGAGGTGTTCTGGGACGAGCTGGACGATGATCGAGAATGGGACATCGCACTTGAGCTAAGAAGAACCGACGTTGCAGGGTTTGAACTAGGAAAATACCCGCTTGGCACTTACGGGGCTGGCCTGCCTATGGAAGTACGGGTAAAAATGGGGACTAATAGGTTGCGGATGAGCGGCCTTGACAATTACGAAGAGGCTATGGTATGTCCTCAATGTGAATATGCAGTTTCTTGTACTAATTATACATAGCGTCACCTAGAACTACTTGAGCCAGACGTGAAAGGCACCGACGCGAAAGTCATGGATTACGGAGATCTGTTTCGCGAAGCAGCTGAAGCTTTAAAAGCGGAGGAGCATTTCGAACAAGCGATTCGATTCTACAAAACTTTGAAGACCAATCCGGACGAGATGACCGTTCCTTGTTACATTAACCTCATTCGATCTTACAATGCACTAGGTCGTTCTGATGAAGCAGCCGAAGATATGGAAACCCTAATCAAATTCGACTGCAAAAAGGTGGAAGAGTTGGCTCTGCTAGCAAAGTTTCTCGAGGCAAGTGGTAAAGCGTATGAAGCCATTCAAAGAGGAAGACAAGCGTACAATATGGGCGGACATTCCCTTCTCAAACGCCTACAGTTCAAGCATATTGCAGCGGTTTTGCCAGATTGGATGCCTAAAACTCCTATGGGCAGAGGCCCATACCAGAAACGGCTGTATTCAAGTGTTGTTGGTAAAGCTCCCGAAGCCAAGAAAGCCGCAACCTCAAGTAAAAAGAGCCAGGCTGAGAAAACCGTTCGCCAGGGGAAGAGACTAATGTTGAGAACGTTAGCTCCACGGCCAGTCATTGGGGTTGATGCTGTTCCTGGCGAAGATGCCATTACTAGTGAAGGCGAAGATGTTATGGATGTCGACGAAGCGCTTACGGACGAGGATGGTGGAGCGACAGAGGTGCCTGCTCAACCCTTGGAGACTCTCAAACCCAAGAAAATATCGATGCAACATCCGCGTATCGTAGGCCCTATAACGTATATGCCTTACTTGATGGCGTTCAATGGAGAGGCAGAGGACGAAGAATTGCTGACACCCCTAACATCAATAAGAAAGAGAATTCGGGATGCGGAAAGACAGCGACCTGACGAGTTCCATTACCAAAAGGGTCTTGATCGTAAGATGAGGGTTAACTTTGCATTACTACGAGAGTTGGGGGAAGATGCTACGAAAGGCGACCGCGTAGCTGCAGAAAAGTGTCTCGACGCCGGCGAGGAAATGGTGACGGAGTTTTTGGGATTCGAGATGTTTTCGTGTGACAGAAACGAGCCCTTCAGAGGATACTTCAGGAAGAAAGGGCTCGAGTGGAGAGAGGCCATTTTGTCTCGGCTAGCATGCTTTTCAAACAGAGTCGATGATGGCGAGCAGGATATCGATCCTCGGGCTGATGACTCTTGCAACGACTTCCACGGTATTACTTTCGAGGACTGGGGCGGCGTTTTGATCCAGTATTCCCTCCTCCTTGCAAAGGCTGGCGACTCTGGGGCCTGCTTCGCAACCCTCAGCGGCGCAAGCAGATCCTGTATATTCTGGCACAGAAAGGATCTGCTATACCGCATCCACACCTGCTGGCTTGCTTGCGCTATTGAGTGCGACTCTTCTCAGGAAGTCGTCAACGCCGTCCGTTGGTTCATGAAGAACTTTCCCTACTCCAGCGACATCTACCGCATATACAGCCTTGCCAACCGCCTGCTAGGCGAAGGAAGCTTTTACAGCACCGCTGTAAACCAGAAGTCAATCCTCCGTCACATCAAACTTTCCGACTATCAGCAGATGACCGACGAGCAGCGCGACTGGTTCAAGTACAACGATACCGCGCGTGCTAATTATCTAGGCAAGGCCGTGCGAGAAGGACTGTTGCAGCATGTTCGGGGCCACGACCCGGTCCTCTTCGCTCTCTTCGGCCACACCCTCGCCGATGGCGCGACGTACACGGCAGCACTCAACTACTACTTCCGCGCCTATACCATCTGCCCAGATGACCCCGTACTGAACCTCTGCATCGGGCTGTGCTACGTGCAGCATGCGATGAAGCGGCAGAGCGAGAACCGCCAGTTCCAGGTCCAGCAGGGCATGGCATTCGTGTTCCGCTACTACGAGCTTAGGACGAAGGACGATGTTGCCGTGCTTCTTCAAGAAGCCGAATTCAACATGGGACGCGTTTGGCATCTGCTAGGCTTGAATCAGCTTGCAATGCCGTGTTATCGGAAGTGTATCGAGCTAGGGCCGAAGGTGAGAGAGGAGCACGAGAGAGGCGAGCATAGTGACGTTGGAGCAGAGGATTTTAGCGTAGAGGCGGCGTTTGCGATCCAGACGATACTGGCGCTGGCGGGTGATTTCGAGGGCGCGAGGAGGGTGACGGAGGAGGCTCTTGTGATTGAGTGATTTAGGGGCTATGGGATTGAAAAGCGTTAACGGCGTCAATGGGATGGAGATCAAAAGGCGATACTTGTAGCATTTCAGGAGTTTCGAGCTGCTCTCGCATTTCCCGGAGTCGTTTCAGATAGCATGGGGGGGTTGGTAATAGCGTGTCCTTTGAACACCGAAAATTACATCTACTCAACTCTCTCGCAGCAACCCAAGTTCTCTAGACTATCGTACCCAGAAGAATAACAAGACAAGTTTCGTGAATCATCAAAACACCCTAGTAGTCGCTAGTCTCCAGAAGACCCATCCAAACAGCGAAAGAATATAATCGCTCCCTAAAGACGAGAGACAGATGAAACGAATACATCAAAAGCACCATAGTAGCCCTCACTCCATTAATCAAATTCTCATAACAGCATCCCATCCTACCAACCCCCTCGCACCCTCCTCTCCTTGACCTTCCCCCACCCTGGCTTGCCAGCAAGCGCACCTCGCAGCGCTCTCCGCACAGCCCAGCCGCGCGCACGAGCCTGGAAACCCGTGATATCCTTCCGCAATCTCTCTTTTCGTTCGTCTAGCACCTTCCTCCAACCCCTCTGTAGCACCGTCGCGGCATTCACAACCCTCTCTCTCGTCCGAACCACCTTGGCGCACTCTGCGGCCAACCGCATTAACGTGACACGGCGGCCTACAGTCCGGCGTACCAAAAAGAGGCGGAAGCAGCGCTGGATAGTAGCAGCAGCATGATGAGCGCGGGCGAGTGGCGGAAGGCGTGAGGCGAGGAAAGTGAGAGTTTGGAGCGTGAAGTCCTTCGAGGGAATGGGCGTGGCGGATTTGGAGGACGGAGCGAAGAGGGAGACGAAAGCGGTGGAACAGCCGGCTGCTCTGAGCTTTGGTGCTAGAGATGCGTTGCGATTGGACGATTTGGACATTGATGTGCTGGTGACGATAGTTGTGGGGAGGTAGGCATCCACAATCGCTTCGAGGACTCTGCTGTCTGCAAAGGATGTGGTCAAGTTTGAGACGCGGAGGCCGTGCAGGCGCGCGATGCTGTATGCCCAACTCTTTAGGAGGTACTTGTGATGGGCAAGACCTTCCAGTGATGTCGTATCCTCGTCCGAGGAGTAGAGGTCGGATTCCGGGTCCGGGTGTTGCTCATACCACGCGCGTCGGAATGTAGCGATCTCTTTCTCGACATCGCTCCAATTGACGAGAGCTCCGAGACCCCATTTGCCGACAAGAGCCCAGAGTAGACTGAGGGTCTTCTCGCGATGGCCGTCGACGATGTCTTCCGGTCTCACGTCTGAGATTGCGCGGTGTGGGATACCTCTAATACCGTCGAGGGCGCTTAGGGCAATCTGAGCATTGTATAGCTTCTGTGCTCGAGCGAGGCTTGGGAATTTGAGGTGCTGGGATAGGATCCATGTCTCTTTTAGATTTAGGTCGAAATTACTCGTCAACAACTCGCCGCTCGGCATGGTGATTGTGACTGTTTCGTCTCGTTGCTTTGCGAGAGTAGAGGGAGGATATAAAAGTAACTCTACGAGCCTCGTGAGGAGCACACCGTCTCGCAGATCGGTTGCTAGGTTTTCGACGTGGTATGTGTATTCTTGTAGAGGATATTGAGTGTGCTCGACGCGATAATTTAGATGTCCGAGGGGACGGGTAACATCGCCAACAGATGGCAACAGCATGGTCGAAAACGATTGCAGCACCGTAGCAGAGGTCTTGTGTGGTGACGAGATTTGAAATAGACAACCAGGAAGGATGTCTGTAGTCTTAGCCTTATCTAGAAGCATAATGAGCATCAAACTTCGAAGAACTGTTCTTCTCCAGGACCAGCCGTGGGTTCCAAAGTCGTCTCCGTGATGCTCGCTAGCTCTAGCAATACTGGCAATTGTGCCGACACCAGCCTTGACGCGCACGGCATCCTCATTGCGGATCAAGAACGTATCAAGGTATCCGTCGATCGCTCTTCGTTCAGCGCGTAGCTGACGCTCTCCACAATCGGAGCTTGTTGATCCTCCAGATAGTCTGGACGAGACAGGAATTTTACGGCCTATGACAGTTTCGGCTGCGCATCTCAGGGCAGTAAGATCGTATGTTTCTACCCATAAGTTGAGGAATTTGCGGCGAAGTCCTACGTCATCTTTGATCCGTAACGTCTGAGCCAGTAGGTCTTTAGGGATACTCAGCGCCCCATAGAGTAGCGACGCTTGGATGCGTTTGTGGAGTAACGGAACCGCTGGCTCGTGATATATCTTGATCAAAGCTTTCCGGAGGTCACCTGGGTCCATGTCAAGGCTGGCCCCTTTGTTTGCTGAGTCGAAGAAGGAATTCAGGAGTTGCGTGATGGCTACCTCTTGGTAGTTCAGCCATTGATCTTCATACAACTCCGGTCTGCAGAGATCCTCGGACAACACTGGATATTTCTCTGGTTGCTTTCTCCTTTCATGCGCAACGATGGGGACACTGAGTTTCGAGGGTGGACGTTCTGGCCGCTTTCTGCGTAAAGCAGACGGCGGAGAATCCTTTGGCTGAAACGGAGACGAAGATGCCGGGGGTAGTGCTTTCGAGATCCTTCGCGAGGTCGCCTTTCGGGCAGCAGTGGGAGCAGAAACCCCATCCGCGCGAACCTTGTGGGATTTGGCAGGGGATCCAGAGTGGCCGATTTCCGAATTGACTCGTTTGCGACTACCGTCCACCTTGACCCTGGAGACTGGAACAGGCTCAGCTGCTTGGGAGGAGGCAAAACGCACCCTTGCTGGCTTCGACGCTCTATGTCCAGATCCTGCTTTGGAGAAGTTGAATTGACTTTCTTTCTTAGCAGTTTTTTGGTCGTCGATCGAAAAGGATCCAGGGGGCACATTTTCCTTCCCGCCGCCCTTTCCCGCGAGATCCTCTGAAAACGATACGGTTTGTAGAGGGCGGGAGGTGTGTTGCAAGGGTCCTCGTTTGGGAGGCCTTGCTAGAGATTGTCGTGAAGTCTTCTTGTCCTGTTTCATGGCTGGGACAAGGTTTTCCGGTTCCTCCTCTGAAAGCGTCACTAACTCGAGTCCAAAGTCAGGAGACTTCACCCGGCCTTCTTTGTACTTGTGCGTCGGAGCTCCTGGATGTATCGTGATCATGGTCGTGTCATCGGATGGAACGTATATGGTCCTCCGGCGCGGGTTCTTCTTAATCTCAGATTTCCTGCGCTCTCTGATGGCCTCCTTCTGCATAAGTACTGTGTTTTCTGCCTCTTCGCCAGCCCGATCCGCGAGTATCGACGACACCCGTCGTCTTGCGGTTGGTCTCACGATCTTCGGCGGTGGTTCCTTCTTTACAGGTGGCGCAACAATTGGAATCTTTTGCGCCGGTTGCGCCAGTATAGCACTTCTTCCAGAGTTTCCTTCTTTTGGTAAAAGCGAAGTCCTGCTCCTCCTGGCCACTTCCGGTGCTTGTTGTTGCTGCTCCTCTAGTGCCACGTCCTCGAATATATCTATGGACGGGTTGAAAGTGGCCTTTCGCGCCGCATCTCGTGGTCGCCTTCTGGGCTTCGCGTTCCGAAAATTGTTTTGGAGTTCTGTTGTGTATTCTAATGCGCTCGTGGTATCATCCTGGAGGTACGATGTTGTTGACGTCGCGTATGCTGAGGGCTGGTATGCGTGCTGGTAATAGCGATCGATATTCGGGAAGGATGGATTTGGCGGCGCCGGACATGGCGTGCCATCTGTATAGCGGAGTGTATTCATCGGAATGGATGCGTGCCCATATACGGTTCCCCGGGTTTGTAGGTGTGGTTGTGGGGATCTCGAGAATCACGGTGTTGGCGGCATCACCTCCCTTGGTCGCGTCGCCAAAACGCGGTTGCCAGAGGCAACAGATCAACAACAAAACATTCATCGCCAAGGGAACTTTAGTAACATTTCACTGGGACTGAGCAAAATTGGTCACTTGTATCATCCACGAGTACGCCTTAGTACCGTGTTTGCATTACACACGTTTGGACCAATGGGATTCATGAATATGACTACTACAAGCTCAATAAACAAACCTCACCGGCATCCGTGCCCTCAATTCCCTGACCACCATGTATAGTTATTGGTTTCAGCAGCAGTATCAAAAACGAGCTTACTGCTTGAATTAAGAGGGCGATCAGGCCACACATTGCGCAGGCCAACCCAAGCTACGACCTCAGCAACATGCACACTAGCACCTTCTTCTACATAGACACCGAAGTTGGTCGAGTCCTCGCGACTAGGGTAGATACGCGTAGTGAGAGCGAAGCGGCCCTAAAAGTAACATGAGTTCCAGAATTTCATAGCAGAGACGAGACGCAAGGACTTGAAGAATACTCACATTGACATAGACTTCTAAAAGTGAACCATCTAGAAAGACGCTCATGGCGATGCTCTCTATGCCACTGGCCGCCAGAGTGTAGGGACGGAAGTATCCCACGACAGTCGAGTTCGCAAACTCTGTGACAGTAGAGGAATGAGAACGGTCGACATTGAGGGTATGATTGGAAGAGTCGTAGTAGACATTAGTATACTCTTCTCCACCAGGCGACGCAGCGACTCTCAGACCAGCAATGCCGTTGAAGTCGCTAAAGGTGGCAGCGAGCTCCATGTGACTAGTCCCCTTACCCGCGATTTTACTCGATGAACATGCGCCTATGGTGAATTCCACAGCTTTTGAGCCTTTTCGAATACCCGCGACCACATCGGCGAGTGGACGCACGCCGAGAGTATAGGCCGTGAAAGTTCCATCGCCATTTTTGACGAAGTGAGAGCTACCGGGGCCGGTCGAGCTATCATCAACGTTGACAACGCTAGCAACCTCGTGAACGAAAAGCTCGCGAGGAAGAGCCATGCAGCCCTGGAAACCTTGTTGATTGATGGAAAAGTCGCCTTCATCCTCCGGCGCCCAGCCCCACTGGACGCGGCGGTTGTTCTTGGTATCATTGAAGCTTGTCAGTGCATATAGTAGTCCCCAATCGGCTGCGCTACCAGAGACTGGATTGAACTGGGCGGACCCGTTGTCGCGTCTTGTAACAACTCCCTCGTTCCACAAAGCCCAATGTGCGCTTTCATGGAAGCTCACATTGCCGCCCTCAGAACCCATATTGACGAAGCAATGTTGAGCTCCAGTAGAGTCTTCGAGGGAGAAAAAGCTAGAGCTGTGTGAGTAGTTAGCAGAGTTTTCTTTCCTCTGATGAACGGGGTAAATCATTTACACTTCAAAATTGAACCCGTAAGAGCCTGTCTCGAGAACAGAGCCTAGGCTTATGTTGTATGCAGGTTCCCAGAGCGCACCGAGGAATTTCCATTGGGTCAGATTGCTGGCAGGGGCAGAATAGAATGGAATACGTGGGCCGACACCTTTGATTCCAGATCCAAAAACAGCGTAGTATTGTGGTTCAGATTGGCCCAGCAACGCATCCATCGCTGGCCATGGTTCAACGAAGGGGTCTCGCCATCCGGTAATGTTCCAATTTCCTGGCACCTCAGTAATGATCGGATTGCCTGGGTGTTCGTGCCACGTGACGCCTCCGTTAGAAGACATGGCAATGCTTTGGCTTTCAGTTCCACGATGATACGGGATTGACCAACTGGTAGGGAGATACGATACCGAGGTGTAGAAGGCTAGGAGGGTGCCATCTTGTTTACCGTGAAGGTTGACTGGCTGAGCGGTACCAGAGAAGATCCCGAGTCCGTTGTACGTCCCCACCGGTCCAGTGCCTAGAGCTTGAGCGTCTTGATCATGCCAGCCGCCGACATCTTCCCATGTAATGAGGTCTTTCGAAGTAGCATGGCTGCAAGAAATCAGCTTCCAGTCACCCGCTAAAGTCAGTCAGATTTCACAGAGCTCACCCCCACGAGATGTTCCCTGTAATATTGTGAGTATAGCAACACTGTAAATGCTGCTCATAAGCTCACCCCAATTTACGTGATTTGGATGCCATTGATAGAAGAGATGGTATATATCCCTTGTGGGGTCGTACATCGAACCGCAAGGATCCTGGAAAATAGGTCAGTGAAGGTCTTCCGTGCAAAGCTTGCTTGAACACTCTAAAGCGTATTGAGTACTTACATTCATCCATCCTGCGGGAGGTATAAAGTGAGCTACCGGACGCCATCGTGTGAAGAGGCTGTTATTTCCTATGACGTCTATTGTCGAAGCTTCTAGGAGTTGTGCAGACACGACACCCAACGTACCGTGCACGAGGCTCAGTAGATATGTGGCTCGCATTCTTGAGTACAACAGTCAATCAGCTAAGACTGAGTATTTTCGCGTAGTTGAGATTCAATTGAGCATCACAAAATTGCTCATGTTATGCGGGAATCCCCACAACTTAAAGCAGAAGCCATTCCAGGAAAAGGTCATAGCCATGACAAAATGCATAGCAACAGGGAATAGCTGATCGATGTGAATGGAGAGAGATGCAGAGATGACGGGACGGACAAGGATGGTTTCTCGGTGGTGCATGTCATTCCCCCGCATCTCCATATTTTGCGATCTTCCCGAGCCCGAGGAGCGGCACGATGAGTATGACTGCCTTGATCTGAGCAGGCCCAGACCGAGGTGCCTTTGGCGATGGCAGCCCATGACGCCAATGTACATTGAGAAGAACGTGTGCGAAATCGCGCGGAAGGTTTCTCGGGACAGTCTATTGACTATACTAACCGAAATCTGGGGAAATGCTAGCCAATTAGCACCTAAATAGACTGGAACGCTCCACAACGTTGACTCCGAGGAGGAACCTCCGACATTCAAGGCACAACGGCCGGAAAAAGGCTTCCTAAGATTAGAACCGTTTTATGGCAAGTTACAGTGCTAAAACATTTTCACTAAGGCTGCGTACGCCTAAACACTACGGTTCAATGTTCTCCAATGCATATTCCAGAACTGGACGAAGTATATATGAATTATTTTGAACAGCCTGTAACTCACCAGGCCACCTCAGGTGGTGATGAACCGGCGTACACAAACTGCGTATGTTGCGCGGAGTGCTAGGTTTTCTTCGACAATTTGAAGCCTCACAGGTAGTGGCATCAATCCGAGTCTCCCTCGAATTCAGATACGTCTGGGTCTATCAGTCCGTTAGATTGTGCTGTGGCGTCCAAAGAGAAAGCGATAAGCATACCTCTCCAAGGAGTATACTCCAGCCTGCCGCCGACCTTCACCATTAAGCTTTCTCGAACCAGACTGAGTTCATCTTCGGATAGTAATGCGCCCGGATCAGCCATTCCGATTAGCAGTACTAGGCCTTGGTTGCCCGGGCCTAGTTTCGATACGAACTCTAGTAGGCCATCCAACGTAAACTTGCTCATGACCATGAAGGTCATACTCCTCAGGTTGCGGAGGCTAGCAGCCTTATCCAGCACAGCATCTGTCACTTCCAAGCCGCTGATGTAGAAGTCTTCAAGCTTATCCAGTCTGTCGATGATTTGGTTGAAATGCTCATCTTTGAGCCAATCTGACACGCCACGTAGCTCTAGTTCCCTCAGTTCCGTCAAAGACTTGAGCGAGTCAACGAGGACATCGACGTCATCCCTGAACATCTCATCGCTGTCGCCGCTTAGCGTCAAAGCTCGCAAGGATTCGCGCTGGTGTATGAGCGCCTGGTGAAACATCTTGTTGCTGTTCACAACGTAGGTGTCAATATCCAGCTTCCGAAGGTGAATCTTTTCTTCTAGTAGAAGTGGGAATACGATGGCAGCTGCATCCACAAAGTTGGTGAGGCTGAAGTTTTTCAGATCCTCGCATTTTCGGAGCCACTCAATAACTTCGAGGAAGACGTCGTTTTGAGTCGCTTTGATATCTGTATGGCCGTCGTTATCTTCTAACCTGAGGGTTTCAATCGCCGTGCAGCCCCTCAAGAGTGAAAGGTGAGGAAGTGTGTCAGTACGGAGGCATAGTCTGAGCTCCTTCAAGGACTCGCCATGGGTATTCAAAGCCAGGAAGGCTTCTGCACCAATTCCAGTGTCGCTGATGGTCTCTAGATATTTGAGAGATTGGGGACGAAGGCCACTGATGAAGTTGGAGAGTTTGTGATCACGGTCCTCAGATTGCCTAGCTAAATATTAGTATACGGTACAGTGACAAAATATGAGCCCGTGCACACTCGTTTGACACTGCTAGGGGTGCCCCGGTGCTGTTCCAGAATCTAGGCACAATGTTAAGTTTCATGCAGCACGAATCTAAGCTGCCTTTCCACTGAACAGCTTCCTAGCAGCGGGACTACTCCTGACAGCGGTATCCAGCTTCTAATAGTACTAGACCATAAGTCTGGGCACACAGGTATCACTTCTTAAGTATCGCCATTAGAAGCTAGACACCGCTGTGGGGAGTAGCTCAGCTAGTATGTAGCCAGCTAGTCAAAAGGCTACCCAATGTCCAATGCATTGTCATTTACATCGTATTCGGAGTTTTGGAAGCCCTTAGGGATACCCCAAGTAGTGGTAATCGGATGTTGCCAATGAAGGAATACGATGGCTTACCAATGGTAGATGCTGAGCGCATCGAAGTGTGGGCAGTTTGCCCGGATAGAAGCATGCAGTATCTCATCCTCCAGCGCCTTGCCATCCCATAACTCTAACGAATGGAGTCGAGGAAGTCGAGGAACCCATCGGACGAGTGCATGCGAGAGGACTATGAGATCGATTAGAGCGCAATTATGCTGAATTAGGAGGAGCCTATAGCTTACGTTGACCACTTATTTGCTCGAGCATCGGCGTGTGTTCGGTAACGGCTGCGATAGTATTAGCAAAATATTGTGATGACTTCCATCTAAATGTGAAAAAAATGATTACCTTCTCCAACCGCGTCTATGATGGAATTGACATTGAGGACGGTTCGCTTGCTCTTGCGATAAGGTACCTCCATGGTATGATGGAATTTGGCTAGGTCTGCTCTGAAGAAGCTCCTAGAGATAAATCAGTACGAGCTCACACTGCTGACAATGACCGCCGGACTTACTTCAAGATTTTGCCTTTAAATTTGTCATTTTCTAGGAGGTACGCTAGATCACGCAGATCGAGCGTTGTGATGTATCTGCAGTAAGGGAAGAGAGTCGCGTCCAGCGCGGATGCAATAATGGATCTCCATAGGATAGACCATCTCTGAACAACCAGCTCATGAGTAGCCATAGATATAGCTTCGTCATCCCCTCCGCCTCGGACTGGAGACTTGTGGTGGGAGCGGTAGAGCCATGTCAAAGCTGGGATTGCTAAGGCGCGGCTTGCTGTGGCGCAATTGAACAGAGTGTCGAGACTGCGTTGCAATGCTAGTTCCTCGCATAGCATATGCAAGATGTCGTCTGGAAGTTGGGGAACCATGGTTTTTAGATGAATGTAAAGGATGGGTGGATGAAAAGAGGGTTTCTGATAGCCGTTGTTTGCGGGTGACGTCGTCGGGGCAGTTCTTCGCGAACCTAAACGCGTCGGGTCTCTTCACGCGAAGAAGGATCTAGCGATCTTCACAACACCATCGCCTCAAGCATCACGAGAGTCCGAGAGGCGAGATGATGATAGGCCGCAGTGGCCGACGGTTGTGGAAGGTCACCTAAACTCCGCAGAACTTTTCACCGCCCATCATGGAGACGCTCGACTTCACTCTGAAGCCGGAAGCGGCTGCAAAAATTCATGAGATTCTCATGTGCCTTGCTAAGTTCAGCGATACCGTTGCCATTGAAGCTCGAAGGGAGAGGGTAAGTGACTATCTACTCCGGCTGGAAACAAGATTCTGATCAAAGTCACAAGTTGTCTTTCACGGCCTTAAACTCGTCCAAGTCCGCGTATGCGTCGTGTTCCCTGGAAGGGAAGACGTTTTTCTCAACTTACGAATGTCGTCCCAAAGATTCTGCACCAGATGGGCGCTTCACATGCAGCATGTATAGCAAGGCAAGGTCTCCATTAAAAAGGACTGTGGTTCTTCTCTAACCACGCTTGTCTAGGCCCTGCTGTCTGTATTCAAGCCGCGCCTAGATGACGCTCGAGGAAAAGATACTGCCATCGATCGTTGTGAAGTCAGCGTGCAAGATCGGCCAGATAAGACTGAGTGTCGCTTTGTGGTGAAGATGGTGTGCAACCAAGGCGTCACCAAAACCTATAAATTGACATACGAGTCCGTCGAAATCTTGCACGCGCTTTTTGACAAAAACGCAGCCAAGAATCACTGGAGCATTTCGTCTGGCCTACTAAGAGAGTATATCGAGTACTTTGGTCGCAGGACGGAACAGCTCGACATCTATGCTGAAGAGGATCGAGTGGTCTTTACGAGCTTTACCGAAAAAATCGCCAATGGGAAAGGTATACTTCATAATACATATATCGAGTTACGCTAACATCTTGTAGAGATATTGAAACAGCCTTTGCAGACTGCCGTAGCTGTCAATGTCTCCGACTTTGAAAATTTCACTGCACAGGAGAGAATGCACACCATTATCAGCGTAAAGGACTTCCGAGCCATCGTCCTTCACGCAGACACTCTCAAAACTAGCTTGAATGCCCATTACTCTCATCCCACGCGACCTCTACAGTTCAACTATACGTCGGATGGCATGTACTGCGAGTTCACACTCATGACTGCTGGAGATTATGTGGATACACCACCACCACCACCATCTGCAGCTCCTGTGGGACCATCAAGGACGACATCGAGGGGCCCATCAACTACCACAGAGCGATCAGAGAGTCGGAGCTTCAGACAGGACATGCCTCCACCACCTGCGCCCACAACACGCACATCAGCCACATCAGCACGCCGTCTTGGCAATTCCAGAGCTGCTAGAAAGGCACCGTCACCAGTACCCAGTGAGGACTCCGAAAGCCTCTTTGTCGGAGTAGACGAGGATACGCAATGGGATCCGGCAGACTCTAGGAATGATGAAGAAACCCTCGGATGGGACGCCAGTGCTGAAAACGTATGCTCAAGTTCTCTTACACTTGCTATCAGATCTAATATATGCGTAGGACGCAGGAATGTACCCAACTTTCCGAGATAGTGGAAGTTTGGCGCGCGTTCCGGCGGAAGAGAGTGCAGACGGAGTTGCGCCGACACAGAGGATCTCACAGGTAGGCTGAAGTACTTACTAGCTGATGTTCAAGTGCTAACTGTCCCTAGATCAAGGGGCTGTGGTAATGCAGTGCTTTAAGGATGCTCGCCAGAGGCAAGATATCACCCACACAAGCATTAGAGAGGCATTGCTTTGAGCGACCCGAGAGCTGCAGTCATGAACTGATTCCCGACGATACTACACCGAAACGACACGTCAAGGACGTTCACACGCATAAATCCTACGACGGGTATGCTGTGGAGGAGAGATAGGCCATAGTGGCATGATTGCAAGCACCGGGAAAGGGAGATCATGAGAGACTTGAACAAGGGTGTCGCAATCCCCCAGGGCGGCTCTGAGAATTCTGATGTTCGTTTAAGTCGCACAGGAGGGTCTGAATTATGTGCAATGACACTCAAATACACCTGTGGTTCATAGAGCGGCCTTTGACACCCTCATTGCGAAATTTAACCATGGCTATGTGAAGGATGCAGAAGCACGGATGCCCCCGAGATGCGAGCTCAGCGCAGGAATGAAACTATTCTCCCGTGCCTGAACATCCTAACTAGGTACCACAATCCCAAAGGCCATGGTAGTGATCCTTCAAAAGAAAATATTCCTGGTTCCCCCACGCCTTCTGTACGTAAATCGACCAGATTTGCAATACGCCAAGACTGCGCTTTTCAGCAACGCGGATAAGGCTGCGCGCAATCGCGGCACGACGGACTGCACGGCTGCCAGGCGAACCTACCAGCGGTGTTCACGACCCTACTCTGCACGGCGTCTGTGGGATGGCCCTGCCTCTTCGGACTGCGCGCTGACTTCCCCGTTGCGTGCTCTGCTGACAGTGGTTCCGCTCCAGCAGTCCATGGCACAGATGGCGTCCATGGCGCTCCATGGCGCTCGCTATGACGCACTGTCCAAAGTCCGCAAACAGGTGCGATCGCGTGTAGCACAACAGACTCCCCATTATTCGTCCCGTGTCTGCAAGGCGCAAGCAATGGGTGCGATCGCGTCACCTATCTCTAAGCTGAACGAGGCAGCTCCAACTCCATTGTCCTCCGTACAAAAGCCTTGTCGCTCTCGTACGTGATGCAGCGTCCGTCTACCCGACATCTCCACACACCAACACCCAGATAGTCAGACGCCAGCCAGCATGGCGGATCTCAAGACCGACAGCGACGTCAAGCCGGGAGAGTACAGCCATGCGAATGAGTACAGCCACGCGAATGCCGAGCTTGAAGCCGCGCCGACCGCAGTGCTCGAGGAGGGCAGCCTGGACCCCGTCTATGAAGCAAAAGCACGCGTCTTGAACAAGGCGATTCAGGACATTGGAATGGGCCGCTACCAATGGCAATTGTTCATAGTCATTGGTTTTGGCTGGGCCCAGGACAACCTCTGGCCCATTGTGAGTAGATAGAGAGGACAGAATCCCGGAGTTCCTCTTCTCACTTTCTGCAGGTTACGTCGCTTATCTTCACTCCGGTCAAAAACGAGTTCCACCCGACCCGGGCTCCGTTTTTGACCCTCTCCCAGAACATTGGACTTCTGGTCGGCGCCGTCTTCTGGGGTTTCGGATGCGACATCTTTGGTCGACGATGGGCTTTCAACCTCACCATTGGTATCACGGCCCTCTTTGGCATGATTGCCGCCGGATCTCCCAACTTTGCGGCAATTGGAGTCTTTGCAGCGCTTTGGTCGGTTGGGGTGGGAGGAAATCTGCCCGTTGATTCTGCCATTTTCCTTGAATTCCTTCCCGGGAGCCATCAATATCTCCTGACGATTCTCTCCATCGACTGGGCCTTTGCGCAAGTGGTCGCTACACTCATTGCCTGGCCGCTCCTGGGAAATCTGACCTGTCAGGAAACCCAGGCTGTTTGCACCAAGTCTGAGAATATGGGTTGGAGGTATTTCATGATCTGTATGGGTGGTATCGCTCTCATCATGTTCCTCCTCCGTTTCGTCGCCTTCACCGTCTTCGAATCCCCAAAGTTCCTCATGGGCAAAGGAAAGGACGCAGAAGCCGTACGAGTCGTGCACGAGGTCGCTCGAAGGAACGGCAAAACGTCGTCGCTTACGTTGGAAGACCTGGAAGTCTTCAACCCAGAAGGCGGACCTCGAGGCACTGAGGCAGCCGCTGCGATCAAACGGAACCTTGAGAAGTTCAACTTCACCCACGTCAAAGCTCTCTTTGCAACTAAGAAGCTCGCCCTGTCAACATCACTTATCACCACCGTCTGGGCGTTCATTGGCCTCGGTTTCCCCCTCTACAATGCATTCCTGCCATACATCCAGGCCACTCGCGGCGCAGAACTCGGTGACGGGTCAACTTATATTACGTACAGGAACTCGCTCATCATCGCCGTACTTGGTGTTCCCGGCTGTATCCTCGGTGGCTGGCTAGTTGAGCTGCCAAATTTCGGAAGGAAAGGCGCTTTGGCGCTCTCCACGGTTTTGACCGGCGTCTTCTTGTTCGCTTCGACAACAGCCCTGAGTTCGAATGCTCTGCTCGGATGGAACTGTGCCTACAGCTTCGTCAGCAACATCATGTACGCGGTTCTCTACGCATACACTCCGGAGATCTTCCCTACCAAAGACCGAGGAACTGGCAATGCCATCACGGCATCCGCGAATCGCATTTTCGGCATCATGGCGCCCATCATAGCAATGTTTGCAAACCTGGAGACATCTGCGCCTGTCTATGTTAGCGGCGCTCTTTTCATTGCCGCAGGGTTGATCGTTCTGGCGATGCCGTTCGAGTCGAGAGGAAAGGCGAGCTTGTGAGGAGGTTTGGCGAGGAACTTATACCCCTGGATGATGGCGTACCATCTGGCTGCGATTTGATGCTTCTCTGATTTGGAACTATGGCTATGGTCTTTTTCTGCAGGGAAAGGAAGAACGGCTTCGGCATGTCTATCAACGTGCTTAGATACTACCTAGACCAATCGAACTCGATTTCTGTTCTAACCTATCTTTTCAATGTTGAGCATGGGACAAGACAAGCTTCTAACCCCTGCATCCCTTCGTCGTCCATGAGCCCTAGGCTTCTTACCTTCCCCATTAGACCGATCCCATCTAAAACGCTAAAACCCTACAAACAGCCCTCGTACCACATCACCAAGCACTCCGGCCATCCACAACGCTTCCATCAAAACCGCCTACTCGGATCCCCCCCAAGTCCCGAATTCACCGCCCTGAAACTATGCCTCCCCGGTCTACCCCCCCGCATCCCGTCACCACTTTCAAGTCCAAAGCCAACGGCAAGCAAAACCAGGCGCCCGGATCTAGGACCACAGAAGCTCTTCGACGTACTTACCCTCTACCCGAGAATTCTCGCTTGTTGTGGGAAGGTCCTGCGACATCGGTTGCGGAAGGCTGGTAAAGAGATGATATGCGCTACGCCACGTGCTGCCGTCGTGGTGGTGGTTGATGGAGGGTAAGTGTTATTTGGAGTAATGGGAGTAATGGGAGTAAGAGGGTAGGTAGGTAAAAAAAATGTAGGAAGGGGTAACAGGAAGTTAAGGACTCAAAACTAAGCCGCATAGTGGCGTTAACTTCCAACATCTTCACCTTATCGAAGCACCTCCCTGGTGGGTACCCTTTACATGCGCACCCGCAACCAGTTTAGACATGATGTGAAATGGTCTCTTTCATTCATTAACTAAGTTTCTGTAGCCTTGGATACAAGGTCTTCGTAGCCCCTCCCAACCCAACCCTAGCCACAAATCAATCTCTCACGTACTAGACACCTATCTCACCAACTGTCCTACATCTACACCTCTCTCTACTCAATTTCTTAGTGTCTCATCCACACAAATGGAAGCAAATGCCGCAGGCACTCAATGCCGACGAGGTATACGGTGACGAAGAGCAAAACTGCGGACGCTGCCACCGTTCCAGCGAGCATTTTCGACGCAGCCGTATGGCACACCGCCGCCTTGTTCGGCCCCATTTCAACTGAAAAGAAAGCTATGATCAGAGAACTCCCGCCTGCTTGAAACATCCACAAACATCTCACTTCGCATACGTCTCCGTCAGCTGCACGCCCCTAAACTCCCCCGTCGTCCCTGCTGCATGCACCGGCGGCTGTGGTGGCGCTACACCGCCCTCTCCTATATCCCCACTCGCATCAGAAGCCAGCGGTTTCCTCGCGGTTGGAGCCAGTGGCGGCGGAGTCGGCACCGGCGACGTAGCTTGCGCGTGGTAACTCGTGTCCTGGCCGTGGCCAAACGCAGGGTCGTAAGCGACAGGCGGCCCGCCGTGCGGGTTCGAGAGCGTGTAGGTGGGCTGCAGCTCGTAGGAGTCGTCTTCCTCGGACGAGGAGTAGCCGTAGGGGTCATGGGAAACGTCGCGGGGCGCGAAGGGATTTGAGGCGGGGAGGGTACCGGTGTAGGTAGAGGAGGCAGTGACGTTGGTGTTGTGTCGTTCTGGTGGACCGGTGCTATAGGCGGACGAGGGGGCCCCGCGATATGCGGTGCCATCGCGGCTGCGCTGAGAGGCGGAGATTTGGGCGCGGAAGACGTTGGTATTGGGTTCAGTCTCTCCAGAGCCGACGACAGCGGTGGGTGAAGAGAAGCCGGAGGCGTGGCCGCGCTCGGCGTCCAAGGCACGGGGTTGGAGGGGCTGGACGTCTTCTTCTACTTGGGCCATTGGGACGGGCGCGACAGGCGCTTTGCCCCAGGCGCGAATGGGGTAGGCGCGGCCTTTCTTCCAGGGCTCTGTTACGGGTGGGAAGTACTGGCGGTAAGCTCCCCATGCTACAAGAATGCCGAGAGCACTACCAGAAAGAACGTCGAAAGGGTGATGGCGGGCGTCCATGATACGGGATCCGGCGATTAGGGCGGCGCCGAGGGTAGGAATGAGAATGATGAAGGTTTTCCATACTTCGCCCTTGGAGTCCAGGACATGCATTTTGCCTACCAGGTAGATGGAGAGGTAGAAAAGGCCAGCAAAGGCAGCTGCGCGAATTAGTGCCACGTCTGAGACGCAATTGAGATTGAGAACCTACTACTGCTGTGACCGGAGGGGAAGCTTCGGAAGCCATCTTTGAGAACGGCATTGTCCTTGTTAGTGCAGATGCTGTGATCTGACAACTTGAGCCCGGGAGGATCGGTTTGCGTATTGGGCTTACATCTGTCCCTGGTCAGCGCGTGTCTTCAAGAAATCACGGGGGCTCATACCTCGCGATTAGATCTGGTCTCGGTTTGCCGATTGCATTCTTTAGAGCGCCTGTCTTGTGTTAGCATTGTGATATTATATGCCGGACTTGGGTGTCTCTACCAACAATGACGAACGAGGCGCCTACAGCCAAAGCCAACCCTAGTATTCCACAATTCAGCTCCCAGAGTCTGTCTTTCATCCTGTATTTGCCTGTCAATTTCCTCCTCCTGCCCGCCGGCGTTGTTGTCGACACCTGGTGTGAAAAGAGCCCATCAATTACGAGGGTATAAACGGCGATAACGACCGCTGGGCCAAAACAAGCAATAACCACGAGCCACGCCACCGGGACGCGCTCATGTTCGGCATATGGGTAATGTAGTGTGTAATTTTGTAGGGAGAAGTGTTGATGGAAGGGTTCAACAGCGTCGAGAGCAAAGAAGCCGGCAATGAGGACTCTATAGCTAAGTGTCAGTCCGGTTCGGGCAGGAGGTCGTGTGTTGCGCAGATTGAGGCCAACATACATTATTATGACATAGTCGAGGATATATCTACGCCCGTCAGCTCACGATTTCAACGTCAGGAGCACGCCAGTACTCACGATAGCATCACCTTCTTGGGGATCTTCTTTTTGGAGAAAGGTAGCCTCTCAGGGAGCTGCTGAGGCGCCTTCCATGTGCCCGTATCCATATTTTAACAGCACAGAGATCCCACCGTGGTAGGATGATATGAAATTGGCCCCAACGTGGGCAGGTGGGCAGTCGACAAGAAAGATACGCTGCTGACGAGCGCGTAGCAGTGGTGAGCTCTCGACGGGAGTGCCTGGGGTGAAGGCTTCAGCAAACGCCAGGCAGCATGAAGAGGATGGCGGGAGAGAGGGAACAGGACGGAATGGCACGGGAATCGTGGGTATGTATGGTGGTGGGAGGGCTCGGTCTGCACATGGACTGCATCACTTGCGAAGGCTGACCACCAACGCAAAGTGGAATCTGGGGCTGGATCAGCTTCAAATGCACACAGCCACTAGACGCGCACAGCGCGCACTCTTGGCTTTTTGCAAGTCGCCGGCCGCTGAGCAGAATCAGCAGCCAGCTCACCGCAGAGGCGGGAACAAGCTTCGAGCGAGTCGCCTTGACTCGCATCTGGAGACATCCTGGAAGTCCACGACGAGAGGCTGCGGCGATGTTTCATGCGGGCATCGCTTTGCGCGGCCTCAAACGCAACCCAAGAAACGCCTCCACCGAGACCAGGCCGAGGCTGGAAGACGCCAAAATAGGTGCTAGGTAGGTAGGACGCTAGCTGTGGCTAGAATAGCTACTGGCTTTGTCACGCTGTGGCGCAGCCGATCTAACGCGATACCGCCAGACGAGCCGCCACGAAAAAATCTCCAATTGCAGCCCTGCTGACGACCAACTCGTACCCACATCCATTGTTGTGATGCCGGTGGACTTTAGCATGGCATATTTCCAACGCGCCTCCACTCACGTGGGCCGCCAGACTCTTGTTCCTCTCGCCGTGACTGCTGGAGCGGTGCTCAGCATTCTAGTCATATCCAGGGGCATATCCTCTGCGAGGTCGAAGAACGTTATTCTCTCGCCAAAGGACACAGTATTTCCTAAGCTGTCTGAAGAAGAGATAGCTGCTGTTCCATACCCACCTGATGCCATTCCCGGGGGCCGAGACGTGGACACTCCCTATGGAAGCATCAGGGTCTACGAATGGGGCCCTGAGGACGGGAAGAAGGTCGTCATGCTTCACGGTATCAGCACTCCGAGCATTGCTTTGGCAGCCTTGGCCCATCATCTCGTAGAGAAGGGATGTCGAGTGTTGTTAATGGGTGCGTGGTTTATTTGTTTCCTGTCTCAACTTTGGCCTCTTAATCAAAACATATCAAAACAATTAGAATTCTCCTTACCACCTGCATCTCGTATCCATTTTCCGTCATTATATCGATTTCAAGAGCCCTTCACTGCAATCCCTATAAATCCATCCCAATTCTACCCTCTCTCACCTTACCATACTTCTCCTCCTCCCACCCACTCACACCCACCCCAGACTTCTTTGGCCGCGGCTACTCCTCCTCTCCAACCGCTCTCCCGCACGACTACCGCCTCTACACCAGCCAGCTCCTGCTCGCTCTCGCCAGCTGCCGCACGCCGTGGACCTCCTTCTCCCTGCTCGGCTACTCCTTCGGCGGCGCCATCGCCGCCAACTTCACCGCCCACTTCCCGCACCTCGTCGCCAACCTCATCCTCATCGCCCCTGGCGGCCTCCTCCGCAAGTCCCACATCAGCTGGAAGACCTCCCTCCTGTACGCGCAAACCAGCCTGCTCCCCGCGCCCCTTGTCGAACACCTGGTGGCGCGGCGACTCTGGTCCGGCGAGGGCGCCGCGCGCAGCATCGAGCCGGAACCCAGCGCCGCGAGCGAGGGCAAGGCCGCCGAGAAGAAAGTCAAGTTCAAGCGCGACTCGGACGCCGGGTCGGTGCGCAGCGGCATCTCCAGCCCCAGCCTGTACGAGAGCTCCACGTCGCCGCTGCTGCTGAACCACCCGGCGTCGACCGTGTCCAAGGTCGTGGATTGGCAGATCAAGCACCACCGCGCGTTCGTGCCCGCGTTCATCTCGAGCATCCAGAACACGCCCGTGCATGGGCAGCAGGAGACGTGGGCACGGATCGGGGCGCGGCTGGAGGCGCAGAATGCGCATCCGCGGGATGCCGAGGCGCAGAAGTTGGGCATGGAGAGCGGGAAGGTGTTGATTTTGCTGGGGGCTAGGGATGAGATTGTGGTGGCGGAGGAGGTTGGGGAGGATGCGCAGAAGGTGCTTGGGGAGGCGAATGTGGTGGTTAGGGTGTTGGATGCCGGGCATGAGGTACCGATTGAGCTGGTCGGGGAGTGTGCCGAGGTTATTAGGAGGTATTTGGGGCTGAAGAAGAAGGGGGGGAAGGAGGGGAAGGAGGCTAAGAGACAGAAAGCGTAGGATGAAAGTGTGAAAGCTGTGTACATCGGATGGCATCAGGACTAGCTTAGATTTCTGCGTAGTTTTAGCGTGTAGATGAAGTAACAATAGGAGCGATTCTTACCTAGAGAGTAACCGGCGAGAGATTTAGCATCAGAGAAACATGTAAATTGTCTTCTTACCCGCAAGAAAGATGTTCGAAAGCGACGTCACAAGTGGTGCATGTTCTTGCAAAAACTGGAAGATTGTAGCATATAGCGGCAACAGGGTACATGCACTCGATCGAAGTCCTTACAAAAAGCTCCACCTTTTCAAAATAGGAGCGAAAGGACCGACAGAATCGCTACAAGTCCGCTACACGCTCACCTCAAGGTCCTGATGAAAGCAACAAACCATTCTACCACAACCCCAGATCCAGACCGTCGTTGTGATTACCTTTGTAGGACCCATCAGATCGAAAGGGTTCACCATTCCAGCCCCACGTAGCACCAGTACTGACTTACCAATGTAGTTCTTTCCATCAAACGACCACATTTCTTCCGCCAACTCCATCACCCACCCACCATCGTCGCCCCCCTAAAACCTATCCCTATCCCAGCGAAAGCGTCCATCATTCCACCAACCTCGAAAACTACCACTTCGGCACTAGCCCGCCCCCGAAAGGGTCGTATTCCGCGAAGCTCAAAAGCCTCTAACATCCGCTACATCTCACGTTAAAAAGCATATTTAATACCCTTCCCCTTTAACTACCGAACAAGCCCCTCCCCAATACTACACACCAGCTGCATAGGTACACATATATATACACACATATATATATAGCAGACCAGCATATCCAAAGCCACGCCATGGGTAAAACAGCTATCAGGCCTCTTTACATATGGAGGCCGCCCCTATCAGCGCTACCCACACACCACGAAGCGCCTGCCCAGGAGAAAGGGGGGGGGGGGGGGCGGTCCGCGCGCGCTGCAACTGCTAAATCTCCCGGAAATCTGACAAAGGCCTAGGGGCGCCTAACGCTTATCAGAAATTAAAAGATAAAAAAGCGCTTACCAGCGTGTGAAGATGAGTTACAGGGGGCCGGGGGGGGGGGGGGGGGGTTGGGGCTGGCGGGCGCGCCAGCCATTGCGAGTCAGATCACCCCGCCGCCCCCCTGGGAGGTATTCTGCTGCATTGGGAATATGGGGTTTGATAGACCTCAAAATCGTCCAAAGCATAGGTGGTTGAGAAACATAGCCAAAAATTCGTTAGATTCTTCTTTGAGAAATGTTTTGATTACAGTGAAGACCGGGCTTAAAATCCAAAGCCCATAGCAGATCAAAAACGTAATCTGGCTAATGCAAGCACTATAAAAAAAATAAAAAATTCGCAACATATAGTGCCTAACCCAAGGGGCCCCTTTAAGAACGCCGTAATGCCACTTTCTTCCGCGGACTATGACATGCCCCCACATTTCAGTCAGATCCAGAAGTATCGCAATCCCTCATGCACTCGTGAAATAGCACATCTTCGCCTCAGTTCTGCTTGCCTCGCTCGGAATTCCTAAATCGCGCTCGCTTGTTCTCCAACACGTTTACACATGCTGCTGTCTGAAGGGCTCATACGCGCCCGTCGGTGCGCCGGCATGCGGCATCGGGTTCAGCGGGAGCGTGTCCTCGCCGCCCTGGGCGCGGGCGCCGAGGTAGGGGCTGGCGACGCGCTCGTACGTGTAGGGCGTCTTCTCGACCGTCACCTTCTTGTTCTTGCTCTTGCCGGAGCAGCAGCAGGTGCTGAAGAGCCAGAAGAGGCCCGACGCGAAGGAGAAGGCGACGGCCAGCCAAACGACGCCGAGCATCTGCTTGCTCATGGACGCGTGGATCTCGTACGGCTTCAGCACCGAGTCGAAGGTGCCGGCCAGCGCGGCGTAGATGGTGGTCGACGTGATGGCGGCGCCGAAGATGAAGAAGGTGGAGACCTGGGGGGTGTTCGTGTTAGGGATGGGGATTTGGGGGTTGGTCGGCGAGGGAACTTACCGAGGACGCGATGGTGGTGACGAAGCTGCCCCAGCGCGAGAAGATGGCGAAGATTCCGAGCACGATCTCAGCGACAGTCACCCAGAATGCAATCACGTAGGCGGCGAACATCCAGCCTGTGACCTTCTTGTAATCATTGAGCCCCTTCTGCATCTTATCGCCGAAGATCTTCTGCGCAGTCGTGTTCTTCAGGTCCCAGACTTCAATGGGGTTGAACCAGTAGGACGTCTTGCGGGGCGAGCAGTAGGTGACCACGGGGTTCTTGCCATCCTTGTCAGTGTCGCCCTCGCAGTAGTTCCACAGCCCGACGGTGTAGAAGTCCTTGAGATCTTTGGAGGAGGCGGCGCCCTTCAGGGCATCGAACAGCGTGTTGTCGTAGTTCTCGTTCGGTAGCTTCACGGGATTCGCATTGAACTGTCGTGTGTCCGCCTTTTTGCGCGTCAATATGGGAGATTCGTCCCGTGAAGGCGCAGCACAGCCGAGGAAATCTCACCTTGAAGAAGAACAGCTCTCTCTGCAGCGAATTGCCCTTGTCCAGCTGGCCGCTGAAGACGAGGGCCAGACAGATGAGCGAGGCAATGCTCAGTGCCATGGGCACGAAAATGCACGCAAAGCGTCCTAATTTACCCATTGTTGCGGGTGCTGACGAGCAGGCTGGGGGGAATTAGGTGGAGAGAGTGGGCGTGCAGTGATGCGCCGGTGGTGTCCCTCGCAGCGAAGGAGCAGGAAGCAAATGCTAAAAGGACAAAAGACACGTGAGACGGGTGGCTGTAGGTGTTGTCGGTGAGGAGGGCGAAGTGTAGGCTTATGTACGGCCACCTCGATCTTCGCTCGCCCTCAGCTTGTGGCCTGTGCGACACGGCTGGCTGTTCACTGCAGCGCGGAGTCGCTCAGCCTCGCAGGGCTTATGGGCTGCTAACGCCATCGGGACGCACCCTCCGCTAGACATGGCGGTGCAGCCGTTGCTTGTTTCCTGGGGCTGGGCGTCGCGGTCAGCGTTTTGAAGCATGCGAGCTTCAGGCCCCATTCGCAGACAAACGCTGCCGCACTCGAGGCACATGTTGGACATTCCCCTTTGCTCGTCTCCAGCACTCCAACTCGCATGCCAGGCCACCACAGCTGGTTCGGGCGACGACCTGACGCTTTTGACTCGCAATCTCGCTGATGACCAAGAGGCCCCCCAAAATAGCGGATTACCTCAACGAGCTATTCGCAACCTCAGCAGCCCGGGCACCCTTATCCCCCGTTCGCCACAGCAGACCTGTGGCGCAAGTCCTCATTTCCGGAACGCTGCGCGCCCGCCGGCGTGCTCGACCCTTTGCCGGTTTGGACGGCGCAGTCCCTGGATCCGTCATATTTTGTTCAGCGTTTCAGTGCTATATTTAGGCCCAACTCGAGTCCCTTGCTGACGCCAGCGAATCACCAAGGGCCTCATCTCGCCCGCACCGCCGCCTGAACCCGTCGCATGAAGCTTGTTCCCCAGCGCCAGTCGCTGACCGGCCTCCTTCAGGCCCGCCCGCGGCCACAACACCAAATCTTTCTCACGATGGTCCCCACACTGTAAGCGACGTCACCGAAAATGCCGAGCATGAGGGTTATATCGCCGTGCTATCAGGTCAGCCTATATCGCGGAGCAACGGCAGCAGACGGGAAAGCGGGTGCGAACGTGCTGAATCTTCTGATTTCTCTATCTCATGCGATACCAGCTGAGCTCCAGCCTCTCAGCCCTCGCTTTTGCCGCATCCCAAGCCCAACGTACATCCAGGCATCTTCGCGTGTCCATGTCGCTGAACTTAGACAAAAACAAAAGAAGCAACCGTGGTTCCGTCACGTCGTGCCCAATAGGCCCCCCCTTCTTCCATGCAAAAGACAAACGAAAGTAGAACTCCGCAAAGACCCAGCCGTCTTCGACATCTGCAAGGCCCTGCTCAGACAAAGGAAACAAACCGACAAGTGCTAGACGTCGAGCTCAATGCCAGTGGTATAAACAGCGCTGCCCGGAGGCCCGCGGGTAGAAGGGTAATAGAATGAAACATCATCTTGAATGACGACCGGTCCCGCCCGCAACAAAATGCTGAACACGATTGGATATTGACCATCATCAAAGATGGATAAATGAGAAACGCCTGCCAGATAGCGACATCGCACATGTAAAGCTGAGAGCTGGTTGCTCTGCGAATGCGCCGTAAACTCCATTACGCCATGTCAAGACGGTCCCAAGACCAAGATGCTTAACGTACAAGTAGCTCCGAGGGGAATGTGGAAGTGTAGTTATGTGAAGGTGTTGAGGTGAGCGACTGGTGGAGCGTCGCGGCATGGCGCTGTGCTGACGAGGTTGGATGAGGCCATTGGTGGACCGATCCTCTATGGGTATCTTTCACCCAGTGGTGAAAGGGTGTGATGAACGAGGGATAGATGCAATACCATCAAGGAAGTTTCAACGCTGATGTTGGTCGCGAGGATTTTGCTGGTTTGGTGTACCACGGCCGCCTTCCCCGCGTTGCCGAATCCACTCTGCTGAGCCGCTCTGTCGGCCCTCGAGCGCTTTCTGTGCATCCGGGTCGGGCCGTGGGGTCGGGCGGCCACTGAGAATGTCGTCCGTACTAATCCTCGACACCTCATGGGCGATTGATGATATGACATAGTGCCTAAGCTCCCTGCTCTCCCTCATGTCTTCGCCCTCGAGACGGAACTTGTCCTGCTTGGAGAGATTGCTTCGACGGTTGGCGCGGATCTCGTCCATGATGTAAAGAAGGACGGCTTCGGGTGCTCGTGTTCTTTCCAGGGCATGCTTGGTGGAGTTGCGAACATATCGTCGAGTCACGTCCATGGCGCCGTCGGCTGAGAATGCAATGCAGTATGCGAGCTTTCTACCCCAGCCTGCAAGGTTGCGTTAGCGCTAGTCTAGACGATGATGACGATTGGCACAGTTAAACATACCTTCAGTATACAGCCGTGGCTTATCCCACGCTTCTTCACATGCGTCAACGTGGATCCATCTCTTTCTGTGCATTGAGTACACCTCCGTCCAGACGTGATCTTCGCTGTTCCATACCCAGCGAACTCGTGACCCAACAGCGCGGCAGAGCATGCTGAAGCAATTGGCCCATTCTCCGCATCGACCCCTGCGAGTCTCGAGAAGAACAAAGGCGTCGTTGTATCGTGGGTACCGCTCGAATGTTTGGCAGCCCTCGACAGAGCACTTGTAGAGTTCGACCTGGTTGGCGCCTCGGGCTTGTTCGTCGGGGAGTGGCGGTGACAGGCCGACAGCGATGGTTGGAGAGTAGCACCGCGAGCATGGCGGATTGTTGACCCATGTGAAGAACGAACGCTTGAACCATCGCAGGAGGGCTCGGATGACGCAATCCTGGTACCCCCATGCGGCCTTCTTGCCTGATCCCAAGCTCTCAGCTTCTGCTCGGAGAATCTGGCTCTCTTCTTCCGCTTCGTTGTATATGTTCTCCAATGGCACGACCTTCAGGGCTTCGTCGAGCAAGCCAGGGTTCTCCCAGCGGACGGGCATGTTGGATAATGAGTGCAGCATGTTCTTGAAGCGCATTGATCGGGCGTCCTGCGGAGGCTGTGGTACTAATGGTATGTTTCGTAGTGACGAGTATGACGGAGGCGGAGCGTTGTGGGCCATGGGCGGCGGTTGAGGGGTGCCAAAGTCGCGCGGTGCCGGCGACGCGGATCGCGAATTCACGGAGCGGCTCGTCAATTCAGTCATGCGCTTCGTGCTCAGCACTTGTCGAAACTGTTCCGTCAGGTCCTGGGCGAGCTTGTCGCTGTCGATGGCGGCGGCGGCCGAAGCCCCTCGCTGGGTGGCGTTGGAGTCGGCCATGGTGTCTGCGTGCGATCGGTCGCAACTGGTGCTGTCTTGTGTCCAGGTCCGAGTGCGGTGTTGGTAAGAAGGATGGAGGTGGCCAAGTGGGTGGTGTTGCGGCTTTGACGGGGTGGCAGGCTGCGACGAGCGTGCTGCACAGCCCGATGATGAAGCGGCCGAGGCGCAGGGCGGGTTGGCAAGCAACCAGAATATTCCGAGTCGACGACAAGTCGCAGGGCGACAGCGCAAAGGGCGCGAGGAAGGTCGAATCGAGAGGGGAGGGTGAGTGGTGAGGAGAGAGGAGGAATAGCGGAGTGCGTATAGTCTGCGAGGTGTCAGTCGTTGGGTGACGGGGCCGCGCAACACCTCCAAGGCGTCGTCGTAAGCACCCCGACTTCAGCGCCAGAGCCAATGAGACGCCCCGGCAGTCGAAGTCGTCTTTCGGCACGCCGAACAAGACGCCCAGCGGGATGCCGGTGCCCTGCTGGTGCGGCGGAAGAGGTGCAATAGATCGCGCAGTCGCAGCCGGGCGCACGAGTTCGTCGTCGTCGCGAGCCGCAGAGAAGAGCATTCAACGCACCTTGCGGGAGGGTTTCGGCAGTCTGTTATTTTAGGAGTGGGTCTGGGCAGTGCCGCGTTTTCGCCTCCGGGATCTGGTGCAAATCCTCTCGCTCCACGGTTCGCAGCGCTCCACACGGCTCAGGAAAACACAGCGCAGCGAGGGCCCGAGGCTGCATTCACGACGGTCGAGGGGACAAAACCGTCACGGTGAAGCTGCAGAGCGCAGGCCGGCCGCTTTCATGCAGTCCGTCTGCGACAGATTCGTATGGTGGTGAGGAACATACGCGCGTTAAAACGACTAGCGCCTTGACCCCGTCGTGCTGGCCACGCAAGCATCCATTGCTGCCCCTCCCCTGCGACCATCGCCTTTAGCAATAAGATGAGCCTTACGCGTGCTTCGAATTTCCAGCGCGGCATCGTAAGCAGCATACAAAGACGGCCTCGTCACGCTGTTGCCGCTGCCTTCGCCCTCTGCCCCGTCTAGGCCTCCACCACCTGCCTGCTCCAGAGATGTCTTTTCTCTACCTGTGACTTCAGGACTTCCAAGTCACGCGTCTCCATTCTGGACCCTGAAAGAGTCTCCGAAACCGAGCCAATCACAGCTTCTCGGATTAGTCTGTATATCTGATGTGGCGTTGCATCGGGCTTTTCGCCTGCTGTCTCACTCGACGACCGTCCAAGGTTCTGCATCCTCACGTTCGAGAGCAAACGATACGTGGTCACGAGTCCGGAGGCGCTGACGCGGCGGGCCCATTGCAGCTGTTCGTTCCCTATTGTAAGATTAGGTTGTCTGCGCTTACGTAGATCGGGGCCCGAAAATCCTGGTGGAGCTTCCCTGCATATGTATCACAACGTATGCTCTTCTTTCATGATCCAACACTGCTAGTGTAAATGCAACGTGGACGCCGAATACAACTGCTTCTCTTGCCACATAATCTACTACACTCTGAAGATTGATTGGTTGAATGCCACGTTTTTTTGCTGCCTTGAATTCGCCTATTACCAAATCCTAATATGTCTGATTTGCTCAAGCGTGAATCTGATGTTTTCAACTCAAGTCACTATTTACTCCATAAAGATCCCTGGGACGACCATTGGCTCGTAGTGTGCTTCATCTAGGCGGAATCCCGCGCCGGAAAAACATAGAGACTTATCATGGGGGAAGAGGTCACCTCGTCTCGGCCCCCTTATCGATCGTATTTCTAGATCCACAAACTCCCCTTCTCATATGCCTGATATCAACCTGAAATACTCTGTAGCAGTGCTAAGAGCTTTTTCTTACACACTCAGAACGAAGCACTAAAAGAACCGAATACGAATGTTTGTTCTCGCCGAACAATCGACAGACAAAAGATAGATTGATCTCCACACCTTGCTTTTAATTCGTCATCCTACAGTCAACTGCGTACCGCGCGTCTCTGCATTCCCGCTAACCCTAGTACATATCAAAAAGCCCCTAAAGCGCACGTTCATGATTCCCCACGAGTCTTGGCGGAAGGTCCAGATCCCAAGACGGGCGTTCGACGAGGACCACCTCCAGCGGCCCGCTCTGCTCTCCAATCGGTACGATGCCCAGAATGGGGCGATACTTGAACGTGTGCCACCACGACTCACGAAGCCCGCGCTCCTTCACCGCCTCTTGCTTCTTGTTCTTTCGCTTCGATAGTGCCTTATCCTCGGAGGCGTCTCCACTAACATAATTCTCGGTACCGTTTTCTATTACGACGTTCTCCTCGTTACCGTCCAATTCTGTCTTGACACCTCGCCGTACTTTGGGTAGTATCAGTCGAGTATCTTCCCCATCTTCGTCGGGGTCTGGGGTGAGCCTGGCGTCCAAGCTGATCCATTGGGACTCGTCAGACTCGCCACCGGTGAACTTGCCAACGGAGCTAAGCACATTCGAAGCAGGGATAGCATCACCCGCACCGCTACTCTTCTTCCTCGGCCCCTCCTCGCCAGACTTCCTTTTCCGTTTCTTGGACAGCTCCTGGCCTGATAATTGATTCGCGCCATTCCGTACCAATAGCGTCTCCGGATCCGGGAGGTCCTTGGAGAGGTCAAGCATGAACAGCCAGTTGACACCATACAACCATACACGCTCGTTCCCCTCATGAATGTCCCACACGCAGCCCTTTGTCCTGTCTTTGTTGCCGATGAACGACGTGGGGAACTGGGACGTCGGGTTGCGTCTCGACCAGGCCGAGATCCCGCTGTATCCGCCATTGAGCAGATCGAACTCGTACACGCTGTGCTTGGCGGATACAATCATGAAGCGCTGCTCTCCCCCCGGTAGCTCATGCGAGCGCGGATGTGGGTTATGTCTAGTTGCGTGGACGCCTGGATTGCCGTTTGGTTGAGGCTGCGAGCTTGAGGAAGCGGGTCGGAACGATAGGACTAGAGGCGCGGAGTCGAGCTTCGGGATGGCGGCTGCATTGGGGTGTTGCCGCCAGTGCTGTCCCATGATAACTATTGATTGCTTCTTTTGATCGTCTTCGCTTCCTGACTCCTCGTCATCTGTTGATGACGACGACTCGATGGCAACATCTACGGCAGCTGCAGTAGGGTCCTCGTTGCCTTCCACAACCCACACGTCGATGTGACCACCTAGATCTCCGACAGCCAGGACAGTGCTGTCGTCAGAGAAGTCGGCGTGCGTGATGGTACGATAGTAGTTACCCCAGAAGCCGTTCAGTGAACTGGGATCGGCCGTTCTCGTGGAGCGTTCAAGGGTGACTAGGCGAGGGAGAACCGTCCACTGCTGGTTGCTGTCGTCTGCAGGAACTAAGCGTGCTAGCAGAACATTTGCTGTGGGCGTGATTATCGCTAGCCATTTCCCATTGCCTGAAAACTGAACCAATGTTGCTCCAGGGAGAGAAGTTGAATGCAATTTGGAGATACTGAATTTTTCCCCTTTTGACGTGTCGTGTGACGCAAGTTGGAAGAACTTGACTTTAGCTACTGTGGCAACTGCTAAAACAAGTCCATTCTGGGAAATAGCGGCAGAGGTGATATGCTCTTCACCGAGAAGTGCCATCTTTGCAACAAGCTTTGGCCGTTGCTCGGCTCCTGTGTTCCTAGGGATTCTCCAGATCCGGATCTCGCAGTTCCACCAGCTCACGAGAAGACGTGCACCTGGGGCACTAGCCAACGGCGGAGTCTGGGGTAGGAAAGGAAGAGATCGACTGTACTCCTTTCCAAATTCTCGGATGGGGACAACGATCGGTTGTGTGTCAATGCCTAAGAAGTCAGAACGTGTCACAAAGAACGGCGGAGATAGTCGTACCTCCTGAGACGGTGACGCTCAGGTCCTTTCCGTTGTAGGTCGCCAGAGCTTTGACATCGTGATCGTGAAATTTACTGTGGCTGACCTTGACCCATGAGCCATGGCCAACTTCTTTCTTTCCATTGCTCCGGATGCATTTGAATAACGCTGTCCGACGGTCCATTCCACCAGTGAAAATGTACTGTCCGTCGTTACTGACAGCAAGATCGAGAATGTCTGCTTCGTGCCCTGCAAGACGCTGGATTTGAGAATAGCTTTCTCCGCCGAAGAAACGCAGCTCTCCCAACGAATCTCCCGACACGATGTCACCATTTGGGAGGCATCTTATCTTCCACACGAGAATCTCCGTTGGACCGCCCTTCGGGCCTGAGCCTAGCGATATGCTGCGAAGAGATTCTCCTGTTCGACTGTCGAAGACCCGTATTGTGCTGTCCGCATAGCCTGCCACAACCCTGTTTCTGTCCTGGAAAGCAACACTGAGTACTCTTGCCTTCTTCTTCGTAGGCCGGGCTATGAGCTTTTGAAACCTGAGATCTTCTTCTGCGGTCGATATCATAGCCAGGGTTCCGTCGGCGCAGCCTGCAACCAGATTTTGGCCCCTGAATTCCCCTTCTCTTGCAGCGCTAGACTTCTTTTTGGGCCCGACCCACTGGGGTTGTGCAGCAAAACACCACACTTCACTGTGGTTCCCTCCAGAACTTCGCGCGGGAAGACCAGTGACCAGATTCCATTCGGTGATACTGCTTGAATATCCGATGCTGAATAGACGTAACCTGCCCGGCAGCGTTTTGCCACCCTTCCCCTCTTCTCCAGGCTCTTGGATCCACGCCAGGCCTTCCACGCTTCTCTCTTTCCCGCCGCTGAATGTTTTCTCTTGAACCCATATGCCTTTTCCAGGATTCCATATCTCGATATTTCCGTTTGCTCGTCCAATCGCTAACCGCAGGGAAGACGGGTCCTCGCCGGTAGTCTTTTCCTTTGTGGCGTGGGAGAAGGCGAGCGCATTGATTGCGGAGGACGGATATGGGACGAATCGGGAGCGGTGAATCTCCATCTTTCGTGGAGTCGCAAGTGAGGATAGCTCGCGAGCGCGGTAGTTTAGAGCGAGCGAGTCAGCAAATCCTGCCGACCGCTAGATTCGAGGCTGTATCATGATTGTAAAATGTCGTGGTGTTGCGTCAACCTTCAATTTCGTATCCACATCAAAATTTCAGAGATCTTGCCAAGACACCAAGACGCTACGGATCATCATTTATGCGGGTTCCGTGCGCTAATCCTGGAAGCCGACCTCGCCTCTTCTCTCCCCGTTTCATATCCGAGCGCTCAACGCCTCTAACAGCTTCCCGCCATCTTCCTGCCGTTTCAGCTAATGTCATACCGTGCAATGCGTTGACTCGCAACCGTTGTCTCTCCAGGTATCCTACTGAGCCGTGCTTTGCAGGACCAAAGAGCGACTGTGCGACACTAGGATGGGAGCGTGAAACGGAGCTGAAGAACGGCCACGGCACATTTCACGAGCCCGTTGTTAGTTTGAAACATGTTGACTAGGTGGTCCGTATGCGCATAGATATTGCTACGATCCTTTAGCTTCAGTACCTCGTGTCAAGGCTGTGCACCATTGCTCGCCACGAGTTGGCAAGCTTCAATTGGGTTTCAAGAACCTGGATGAAGTGCTACAGCGGAGCCAAGGCTAGCTTTGAGAGGCTGGGGATTCACCGGCAACTTGTCGGGCCACTCTAGACAATCATTCTGAACTAGCATTGAAGCAATGTCAGCTTTGTGTGCACAGAGTATTGGCCCAGCACTGTAAGCCGTAAATATGGTTATCTGAAGAAGGGATTGGTGTCAAGCGTCGTCGTTATTGGACTCATGCATGCACATACAACCGTTACACCTAGCTACAGGACAGTGCTACTCTATACTGCTCGCATCAAGGCCTAACATTTCTCCTACGTAACCCTTCCATGCACTTAGATGCTTATGCGAGTTACCGAATTGCCGGAATTGAGTTGCTGATAGGCGTTTCGACTGCTTGATCTAAAGTCTAAGATGGCTTGGTTGAGGGCTGCCCCCAGGTGATCGGGAAGCACGATCTAACCACACCCAGGAACGATTTGTAGGCGAGGCGTCAGCCTCTTAATAGATCAGCATCTGAGCCACGACAGCACTGTCGCACGAAACCGGGAATTGATGTGCCAGCAGGCTATCCCATGGAGGGCAGCACTCAAGCGACTCGCACGCCAAAAACGGCTGTGCTTTGCACCAAAGAGGGGCGCGCGTATGCGGACAGGGTTCTTCTTGCAAGAAACCTGCGAAGCTGGAGTCGCCAACAAAACCAACAATTGGCAAAGGGTTCGGTGATGCAGTGCGGAGAAGCCAGAGCGAAGAAGCTAGTCTTGCACTTCACCGAAGCGGTACCTCCGCTACCAATTCTGCCAATGGGATCGCCTGGGTATCGTCGTCGACAAATTCAATATTCAACGTAGCTGTACTCCACAGTAGAGATGGGGCGGTTGAAAATTTCTCTGTTCAAGTGAGCTGCTCTGCATGATCGAGGCAGAGCGGTCAAGAGATTTCAATTCATACGAGCTCCATAACGGAACATAACGGAGTGGGCCAGTGAGAAAATCTCAGTTTGAAGGAGCCGTACACATTTGAAGGTGGGTCACGGCCGGGAGGAAGCGTTCGTAAAGGTAAGGCTTCTAGAAGATGTGCATGCTGACCCGAAAAAATGATGCGATGTCAACTAAGAAGCGTGGCTGACTTGGTCGCGTCTTCGCGTCCACCGCGACATGTTCGCGATGAAATTTGTCATGGCCAGTGCAGTATTGAGTATCAAACGCGTGAGAGAAGCGAGCTTCTGGTCTCAATAAGCCCGGAGGTCGGCCCATAGCTTGCATGGGCAGCCTCGGAATCAGGGAAATGCCATGCCGCAGTTTGATAGTGTTCACGGTTCGCCATTGGCGCCCAGAAGAGAGTAAGAGATCGCGCTAGGGACGACCAGCGCGTCTTTCCAAGGTTGACAATCACGGAACCCCAGCCAGCCACCTCAGCTGGAGAGCCGAGTCTGCAGGAATAGAGCGCCCATTGAGAGCGAATCACGGCCCGATCGGGCCCAGTCTGCAAGATGATGATCGCAGATTGTCCAGATATGTACCTGCCTCCTGCATAATCGTCAAATGGCAGCATGAAGTCAAGAATAGGGACTGACGTGCTCGTGGCCGCCCAGCGGCTCACCGCGTGACAGCCAAGTCAGTTGCGTGGCGAGGCTCATTGCCTGAGCATGTTTTGCCCGAGGAAGTGCTGTATCAGGTGGGTGTTAGCACTCACAGAGGATAGGGATGCTTGGCCCGGCCTGAACGTCCTACTTCCGACGTCTGGGGCCTAAGAGCACGGCGTCTGCCATAATAAGCACCATCGCGTCTGACCCCGCAATGAGTGATGCAAGTCTCCAGTTGGGAAGGCCGTCTAGTGGTGGCGGGAGATGGATACGAGCGGTGGAGCGAAATAGACACGAACCCCTGGCACTCGCCACACCACATGCTCGCAACATGTCAAAAATCTGAAGCCAGACGCGTTGAAAGGCCGCCTTTCAAATTGTCGCGGAAGAGGACCCCCGCTGCTGTGTTTAAGGAGGCCGTTCCGCCGTGCCGCACAGGCAGGATGCCTCAGCAGTGGCTCGTGTGATGATCCCATGCGCTGGGACCGTTAACGCAAGGGACGGCTCCATTCGACTGTACGCCGTGCGGTTTCTGGTAGCGAGCCAGAGGCTCCACCGTCACTGTGACAGTTTCCGCTATAGTACTCACATGCACGCAATTCACCCGCCGCGCCGCCTGCGAGGGCTGGAGCTCCGCTGCTCAAGCCGTCTGGCAGCACAAGGCGGGACGCCGGGCAGGCGGCGTCCAGCGCGCGGGGGCAAACAGCGTGGAGTCGTGGTCGTGGTCGTGGTCGTGGTCGTGTGCGGTTACGGCCCCTGCCCGTTTCGCTCGAGATAGCAGCCGTGTGGCCGTATCCCCTTTGACGGCCGTGGTGCACGCCGTTGAGGTGGGCGGAGGCGCTTTACGGCGCCTGTCAAGCCATCAAATATCACGATATTCAGGAGGCCCCGGGCTGGAGTAGCTCGGTCGACCCCAGCAGGACCGGCAGGCATCTGGGGCTTCCAGGGCTCCAGCAAAGAGCGTCAGGGCTCCAGGAGAGCGTCAGGGCTCCAAGGCAGGCCGCAGTGGTGAGTGGCCCAGTGGCCTGCTTCGCAAATGGGTTGGGGGCTGGACGGCAGCGTCGCCTGAAGGGGCAGCCAGTGCAGAGGGCAGCAGGGAAGGCATCAAGATGTTTCGGTGCGGCCAGCGGAGCAGATTGGATAGCGATCGTGGGTTCGCTGCGTGAGAGCTGCAACCTTGTGTAGCTGCATGCGCTGGCTTCAGGCTGACCGGAGGCTGGGCCACGCTGATTCGAGCACGGCGGGCGCGCTCTGGGGCCAGTCACGCCGCAGACGGCGACGAAGCTGGCACCCTCAGCCGTCGCGGGCCCACGCCGCGGACAGGCCCGCATGGCTGCGGTTGACAACACGATGGGACTCTGCGTGCGGTCGCTGCATTTGCGCGCCGTGTGCGTGCGACGTCACCGAGACAGCCCGCGAGCAGTCTCGAGCAGGCGCTGGGGCGACGGTGCTGGAGAAGAGAGGCTCGCTGTGCTCAACGCGTCTCAACACCACGCGAGCGTCGCCGGCGGAGCTCGCGGCGGCCGTGGATGATCGCTGGCCGGCGTCGCCTGCGGGCGGCGCGAGCTGGGTGTTCCTGGCTTGGCTGAGGGCAGAGGCACAGAAGCAAAGGGCAGCGATCCACCACGTCGGGCGTCCGCTGCGCGCCGGGCATTGGCTGTCGCGGCGTGCGAGCAGGGAAGTGGGAGACACGCCGATGCGGATTAGTGCCGTGCTGCATCCTCCAAGGCTCTGATGCTGGCCGTTCGTTGCGAACCTCACCTTCGTCCGCTCTCATCCTCTCCTTCTTCACCTCCTCCTCGCCCACCACCTCCTCTCCACGGCTGGAGCATTGCGTATTGGATTTGATGGCGTGCTGACCAACGAGTGGCACGACTCTCTCCAGTACTTTCCAACGCTCCTCGGTCCCCCATAGCCGGCCGTTTCCCCATAAGGACCTCTCGAAGAAGCCAGAGCCTCTCTGGATCTTCAGACCCTTCGCTTTTGTCCCCCTCCTCGACCTCCGCTGCCTCGTCCCGCTCGTGGCCTCTGGAGCTGTCTCCCGCCATCTCTCCTGTCTCTCCTCGAACGCCAACCGACTCAGCAGCCGGTTTCCTCAGTCCGCCCCGTGATTTTCAGCGTGCGTTCCGACCGGGATTTTCTTGCTTGTGTGCTCTCGGTAAGTCTCTCAATACTCTCCTTCAGTTCCTCCAGCCAGAGTGGCAGCCGTGGACCAATCGACCTGCGTGGCCTGTACGACGCCCCCTATCACCACCGCCGGAGCTCGCTGCGAGATATACCTCGACCAGCCGACGACATCGCTCCCGACTTTGCAAGCTTGTACTTCGCCATTGGGTGGACTCGTTGGGTTGGTCTTTGCTGGATGAGGGTGGATTCGTACCCTTCGTATCCTGCACGTCTTCAGTTAGGGGTCTTCCCGGCCGAGGTCGATATCAGACGCTACACCTACCTCCTGCAATCGTGGCTTTCACCACTTTCACCGCAACACCGCGCCGTCACCGGTTCATTCGAGTGTCCGAGCGTACGCCTTTCTCACAGTGGTTGCCCGTCTGCCTAGAAGCCCTCTGCCAAGGCTTCCAACACCTCTGGCGAGCTGCGGGCCGCGGGGCGCCGTCTTCACTTCGGCAGCCCTTGGTTGAAGCCGGCTGGCAGTCAGGGAATTTACATTTTTGATTGGCGTCGGTCGAATCACCGGGTTCATTCCATCGGCAACGCAACCGCGTTGGCGAGCCTGCACAGCTGCAACATCACCAACCTCCAACCACGGCACCTTCCACTAGGATTTTATCAAGACAGCTTGCTCAATTGCTAACTCTCCTGTCTTGCCCAGTGTTTTCTACTTTCCACACACCGAGAACTCGCCTCTGGCTTGGCCTGAAACCTCAACCAACCAGGACATCCGAATCAAAGCCTTAAGACAACTTCAGGTTCGTAAAGGCCTGTAAAGACATGTCGCCGTGCCTTCGCTGACGGGTCCCTTGCCTTAGAACCGTGCTTAACCGGACCGGGAGATCTTCACATTCCCAGGCCCGCCCTAGCCTCAGGTGGACTCGTTAACTCGTGCTCTGCCTCCAGAACAATACTCCCTTCCCAGGATCCGCTAATAGAGCCACAATAACTCCGACTCATTCCTGCGCTAGTATCTGGATGCGATTAGCAAGGGGCTCGACTAATTTCAGTTCTTCCCAAGTCGTCTTTCAGTTCTTTCCGCTACACTTCGCTCTTTAAACGTAATTATCTAATTCTTCAGGTATGGGCAATCTTAGGTGGCCTTACATGGCCCTACTTCCGCGCGTTCGCTAATCAGATTCCCTTCCAGGCTCTCTGCTATAACTATTTTCCCGCCTCCTCAGACCTTGGACCCGGGAACCAGAGACCTTCATTTGATCCTATCCAACTAATTACTGTCTTTCAAATTTGCCGTTACTCGGCTGCCACTCTCTAATTCGGTTTACTTGAACCCGACACTCACTTCCGACCTCGAACATCCCTTGGTCATCAACTACACTTCAGTCTATCCCGGCGAACTGACGTCCATTCTTTCTGACACTCATATCGCCCGCCTCTCACAATCATGGCTTACCAACGATACCCTTCCAGATACGGACAATGCGACAGCTTCTTCGTAGATTGCCCGGACGAAGGTCTTTACGTACAACGCGCGACGGAGAGGGAACGGGCTCGCAACATCGCAAAGATGCAGCAGCGAGTCATTCAAGAAGATCTCTCCAGGATGACAAGAGAGGAATATCAAGAGGACATCTTAGATCACATGGAACACATGGAGGTCAGTCAACACCGACTACTACTCATGTGAACCATCTTGCTAACGTTCTAGTAGGGACAAACGCTACCTGATGTCAACTCAATCGACATTCAGACCGAGATCCAGTGGTTCATGCGTCCCTATCTTCTCGACTTCCTGGTAGAGGCACACGCTGCTTTCCAGTTGCTCCCAGAGACCCTCTTCCTCGCCGTCAATTTACTGGACCGGTACTGCTCCAGACGCGTTGTCTACAAGCGACACTACCAGCTTGTGGGCTGCGCCGCCCTGCTCATCGCCGCAAAATACGGAGACCGAAAGGACCGCGTGCCCACCGTCCGAGAACTCAAGTCCATGTGCTGCTCCCTGTACGACGACGAGATGTTCACCCAGATGGAATGGCATGTGCTGCAGACCCTCAATTGGATCATCGGACATCCCACTGTCGATTCGTTCCTCCAGCTTGCGTTATCCGAAGTTGAGCACGATCCGGAGGTGGAACATATGGCTCTCTACATTGCCGAGATTGCCTTGTTCCATAAGGAATTTGTCTCAACACGCCCATCTGTCCTCGCACGGTCCTCACTCGCCCTTGCTAGGTGCATTCTGTCTCGCAACCAAGCGAAACATTCGGACTGGGCTGGCGCCTACGACCCCGCGACCGTTCTGAATTTGTCAAACCACCTGTACCAACCATCGCAGGTCCTCTCCCGAAAGTACTCTGTTGCTCAGCTATCACAAGTTTCTCTTACTGTGGATGAGTTCTTGCAACGACAAGCACAAATTGCGAGGCGTGCCAACGCTCCACCAACGCCTCCAGCAAGCGTGCATTACGAAGAGCCAAAGCCGACGACAGAAGCATATCTCGGCCCCCAGACTCCACAGAAACACCACTATGGCGGTGCTGTTGTCAACCACGGTGTACTGACTCCACCAATCACACCCGACAATGACCAATTTGATGGCAAATGTTCCGGACTGATTCCACGAGTTTACCCTACCACACCGACTCCGGTCCCGAACGTGCGACACATTCAGCCACAGTACTACCAAAACCAATACATCCATCATGTACAGTAGCCTAACCCATCATGGTTCAGGCCCCGTCGCAGAAACTAGCGGCGGCATCTCGTACGACGAGTAACCTCCCGACCGAAGATCTCCGAATCCTCTTTGTATTAAAAAAAAATCCATGTATGAAGCGTCATAGCGTGGTCATCTTCCCCGGCATTGCGAGCGATTGTGTTTACACCTGTTGCGAGATCAAGATTCCTTTTCTGTCCTGATTTAAGCGATTTCCTTTGTTTATTCCCCCGACCCCTAAAAATCGTGGTCATCCCTTTCAGTCTCGATTTACTTGCACAGAAGTGAGGTTGGTTTGCATCGGAGGAAAAGCGTGGATGAATTTGCAGCATGCCTGCTTAAAGAGACCAGGCGTACCCAAAATCTTTCTGGTTTCTATTGAATCCACCTAATTAGGGTAGTCTGGCTCGATACCCAAAGCAGATGATGGTGTGGACAGAAATTGAAGCAACAGAAAATTACCCCAGTCGTAAGCGTCCAACGCACAATCAAGCTCACTCGCCGTCCCTATTTGCTTTCGCGGGCAGAGATACCCTTCTGAACTTTTTTTCACAGTTCCTCACGCCTTCGTAGAGGAATCGTTTTGGTATGTTGCGGAGGAAACAACGGGAGCTTTTCAGCGTGATAGTTGCTGGGTAGGCTCACACCAGATTGATAGCAGGGCTTCGTCTATCGCGAGCATATTTAAATAAAAAATATCAACGTTATAAAAAAAGAAATAACGGCCTCCTCACATTTCATCACATTTATGCCAGCCTTACGTATTCTTTCTCATTTTCTGATTTTCTATAAAGGGATTCCCAGCCCCTGCGGACCAGGATCGCTATCCTGGTAAGCCAAGTATGTTGGTATTGGCACCTGGGGCACTGTTTCAATATCACCCTCCACAGCCTCACGACTGCGGCGAGCGGAGTATCATCGTTTAAGGTCCGCATACCCACTCCAACCCACTCCAACGATCTTATCTCGAACACTCTCAACAGACCTACCTCTCTCCAACCATCCACTATCTCGCTAAATCCTAGCTCAATACCAGCGTCATGGTAAGTCACGCCGCTCCCCTACCCCAGACAGTTTACCTCTTACCACTGCCGCAGTCCGAACCCACAAAATAACACCCTCTACCCAACGACGACGACGACACCGCCTCTCCCGCTCCCCCTCCCTACCACAGCGCCGACTCGTCGGCACCCCCCGCCGCCATCGAGGCAATCGACGAGCCAACCCGGCAGCGCGAGTGGCAGCAGTTCATGGCGTTCCGCGCCTAGCAGCAAGCGAACCCAACCGCAACGGTTCACCCGGTTCTGACCGAGGAGGAAAAGGCGGCGGATGGGGCGCCCACGTGGTGGATTTTTGGGGCGTGGTTGGCGTTTTGCCTGCTGTGGGCTGCGGCGGGGACTGGGTACGCGATTTACGATACGTATTACAAGGGGCCGAAGTGAGGGTGATAGGGTGTATAGGTGTGTGGTGGGATGGGTTGTTATGATTGAGAGGGGGGAATGGGGAGAGATAGGGGTTTTGGGTAGGGGAGTCGGTGGAGTTGAGGGGTGATAGGTTTTGTGTTTATGGGCCGGATTGTTTCACTGCATATCAAATGGTGAATGAGACGAAACAATGTATATGCTGCGACTCTAGTCTATCCTTTCTGATTAACTACAGCCGGAATGGCGTGGTCGAAGACCTTGATCTGAAAGGGCTTTGCCATGCTTGATATCGTTTTATAGCGCTCCCCAATGGCTTAATACAGGTCGGAAAATGTAGAGAACTCCGCCACCGTACAAAACACAAAATTCTTCTCCAGTTTTTGCTAACTTTACCTTTGTAACACCACAGCTAGAGCACCTGAAATAAGGCCTTCTCTGGATATAGTGGGTATTATCACGTGTCTCTGTCAATCGTTTGTTCATTATTTACTATTTGTTGATATTCTCCAGGACTAGGGGTTGAGCTTTTAGGATGCCTGTAGTCCCTATCTCTGCAAGGGGGCAGAGTCTGACGCTTTGCCTTCTTGAAAATGGGTATGTGAGTCTCGTTACCACCGCCACATAATCTCTCCATAAACTAAGCAATGCATCACCAGCAGCACAAAAGTCCCAAGAAGCCTTTTTTCTTTGGCTCTTGCTCTTGATTAATCTGGAATTGCCCTTTCTTCTCGTTCTCCGTTTCATTCAACTGCATCCTGTATATATCCGGCATGGAAGCCTCGAACGCGATATCCGCCAGATGCGGTGTGTATTCCAACCACGAGACTAATCCATCAGCTTTAACACGGTGGAAAAGGTGGTGCTTATCGTCGAAACATCGCCGTCCCTTTTTGGCACATCCTTCACAGATGGCATAAAAGTTCTCGCCAGAGCAGTCGCAGCAATCTACGCACTACGGGTTAGCAGTTGGACGTACATATGAGAGCTGGTTAGGACCTACGGTAGTAGACCGTCCAAATAGTCATCCCGCAGCGTTCACAACATCCTTCCGTAACATCGTAGTGCGAACAAGGGCTTTTCGAGAGCTGGCATGGCGTGCACTCAATACTTTGCTCTTGCATCTCTTGAACGAGCAGTTCCCTGCAGTCCGGTTTCAAAGCGACGTCGAGCGGGATCCTGCCCCGTTTGTCTTTGACGGTGAGGCTTGCATTGGCGTTTAGAAGAGTGGTGATGATGTCGACATCTCCGTTGGAACAGGCGTAAAAGAGAGCGGTACGACCACACGAATCCAATTCGTCGACTTCGCAGCCTTGCTCCAGTAGCTTGACCACTTCATCGAAATCGAAATGGTTGGCTGCTAGTTGCAATTCGGTTGGATTGTACCTATGCTCCAATCTATACACCACTGAGCTTAGATTTGGGACCCTCGTGTCTGCGCCCGCTGCTTCTAAGATTTTTGCGCTACTCGTCCAGTCGCAGAAGAGGGCCATAGAATAGGCAGTACGTCCCCATTGGTCTCTTTTGTGAAGATTGTCGCCTCGGTCAATGTAGTATTGCACCATCCAGTCAACACCTTCAGCCGCCACGACGTGGAGTCCAAGAAATCTTCGACGAGGTCCGTGTCGCGGCCCAAAGTGACAAAATTTCTCGCCTGGCAATAGGCACGGACGTGGTTTGGTGAGTCGCATGCGAAACTGTTGACTAGGGACTTCAGCACATCGTCCGGTTCTGGCACACGCTGAAGATGATAGCCCCAGAACGAAGACGCGTATTCCATCAAACCAAACTTCTCAATGTATTCTTGAAAGTAGTCTACAAACCTAACTCCTTCGGGACACTCTCTCACGGGGCCTGTGGCGAAGTCTTGGAACTTCAGAAGTGTAGTGCACAATGCGGCAATATTGGAATCGTCGAAATTTGGGAGAGTACGCCCTTTGCCTTCCATCTCGCCTCCAAATGGAGTGGCAGTCTTGAGGAGGTAATCCTTGGCGGACTGATGGATGAGACGAACCGTAGAAGAGGGGGTCATGGCCTGAGAAGGTTGCCGCATGCCGTTGTCGCTAAATTCGTTATCAGACTCCTTGTGCTCTTCGTCTGGGTTAACTATTTCGAGGAATGGTATGCGCTGCACAACGTTCTCGATATTGGGAATCATTTTGCTTTTAGTGTCTTCGAAGCAGGTATCGTGTAGGTCGATTGCCAGTGCAACTTTCAACTCCTCCAAAGTCAGCGGTCTCCCAGCTCTCGCGACCCATTGAATCAATCTCCATGACAAGGACAGATCCGATTCCCAATCATCCTCAGGCCTCTCTGCGGTCTCTTCGCTGCTGCCATATCGTTTGACTATATTTGCCAAGATACGATCGTACATTTCCGATAGACCGGTCGGCAGTTTCTCCACCACGTCTTTCAGCCATTTCAAGGTGATGCCCAACTTTTTTCTAATCTCTCGTAATGCGAGTTTTGCCCACAAGATCATGCCATTTGCTTTGGAAACTAGTGTCTCTTTGAGTATCGCCTTCTCGTTCTCATCGATAGTTGAGATGCCTTTGACGAGGCAAAACTCCCTGTCTACAATTCGCGCGATATCCTCACGCATGAGCTCCGATCCAAGGCTGATCTCGAGAGGCTTGGGAGAGATTTGAGAGAAGTCATTCTCCGTCATCCAATCCGGACGGCTGCTAATGAAAAATTTGAGCTTGGCCTTTAGCTTACCGTTGAATAGTTTTGGAAGCCGCATAATGAACTTTTCTTGATCGGCATCGTACTCGCACTCGTCCATTGCATCGATCATGCAATAAAACTGCGACTTCTGCGGAGAGTCCAGAACCGTTATGAATATGTCCCAGAGCGCGTCGAAGCTGAACTTGAATTCTTCCACGTTGGAGGGGTTCCATTGTGATTTCAGGGAATCACAATTTTCGAGGAGGCGGCGGAATTCTCCCTTGTCTGCCCGTAAAAATTGGAAAATGAAAGCCTTCATGACGTTCAGGACAGATTCTTTTGGTCGTTTCCTGGAATTACAGAAATATGAAAGCACGGCTACGCTGTTAGACTTTTCGGTCTCGGCATGTATCTTTCCGAGAACAGTCTTCGCAAGGACGCTTTTTCCGGAGCCAGCCTTCCCACACACGAGTAGCATCTTGGACTTCGGGCGTTGCCAGTCGACGTACGCATCGTTTGTCCAGATCCACTCAAGTGTTGATGGAGCGGCATCGTCAATCTCGTTCTTTGTCACGGGTAGAGCCTTCAGCGATTGGAGAAAAGCTTTTCCACCAAGCTATTAGCTTTTCGATTTTTTCATGGAACTGAAGCTAGCAATCGGTAACGTACTGTCGCAAGTGTAATCGTCAATGACATCTGCCGAGAGAAGTTGTTCGTCAGAACATATCTACGTAGACCAAGCTCATCAGGGCAAACCCACGCTTCAGATTTTGTACCGTTTGCAAGTTTGGCTTCCACACAGACAGAATTTTGTTCAGATCAGCGTCCTACAGCTTCTGGACTACCGAATCACTGTGCTCATCACGATCTTTCCGACCATTGGCAACTATTTCCTTTTCCATATTCTCCAAAGCAGATGTCAGGATCTGAGAGAAAGCAGGGTCGGGTGACTGGGCTTGGTATGGTGGGGGCGGTTCCGACTGGGTGCCTTGAGCTGCATCCACGTCGAGGTGCTGTCGTCGTTTCGCGCTCATCCCAAAAGTGGAAGATCGCCGAAGCCCAGATTTCGTTAGTGTAGTTTGCTGTGTCTCGATCCTTCTTGCACTGAAACTACCGTTAGTCTAAATCAAGGGGAATTTGAACAACGGGAGACCCAACTATCTTTCATCAACGGCTAGAGCAAGAATTAGGGTAGTCTTCGAGCCCTCCAGCCTGACGAGGTTGTCCTTTATGAACTGATCCAATGCGGTGGTGCGTATCACGGCCCATGCAGCTTGGATTTTACCGCCCTTCAACTTCTCTTGCAGTGGATTCAAAACTTCACTTATCATCCTTTTCAAGACTTTGTTGCACTCCTTGACGGCATCTTTGGTTGGATACGAGGAGTCATCCGCCTGTTCGTCTTCCGTTTGAATGAGGGCCTCCGTCTTGGCCAGTCGATCCAGCACAACCCTGAGAGTGTTCAGATTTCCATGGAGGTCGGTGATTATTTCCGGTGCGTCTTGAATATTATTGATCAGGTTGATGATAGTGGTTGCTGTGGATATCGCAGCGGATACAACCGCCATAACGCTGGTGGCAGCCCCGAGTGCAGTGATGGGATCCATGATTCCAGATCAGCCGTCGCTTTGGCCTTGGGCACACGTTGAAGAGGAAAGCATGCAACAAGTTAGCCGGCAGGGGAAGCTAATAGTGAAGGATATGTAGAGTTTCAGAACACAAGCAGGGTGAGGGCCAAGGAGGAGACTGGGAAGAGAGAAGTGTCCAGGCTATCATGCAGAATAGTTCTACGAGCCGCCAGCTCATGGCGCGAAGCGAGCTGAAGGCAGCGCAGCCGGCCAGGCCGATTAACTCCGTGGGGGCCGCGCAGCAACGGTAAAGATGCGTGATGAAGCCCGAGCATTATTGGACAGAAAATATGCAGCACAGTGCAGCATTCGGTTGAGGCCGCTGTCACAACGACAAGGTAGATGCAGGGATTGGACCGGGGAAAGCGACCAAAAGCGTCTTCGGCATCCATCGCATTGACGAGAATGTATGTACACCTCAACATAAACGTTTTCACTAAGTACTCTAGGTGAGCGACACAGTCGAATCTAAGCTTTTGTTAAGCAAGAATTTGTTAAGCAAGAATTAGAAAGGGGAGAGAATGCATAAGACGAAAAAGTAGAGTAAGAAGCAGGGCATGTGTTTTTATAGAGACTTGAAGACTAATTTATAAGGCGAGCGGCAGTCAGAGGGAAATCAAGACCAGATGTGGGGCCAAAAGCTGTTGTATTGATGAAGGTGAGGAAGCTAGCTATTGAGCAGAAGGAGGAAAGATATACAGGAAGCTGCTGAGTAGGCCTGCTAAGCAGGAAGGGGTAGAAAAACGCGCTACTCCGGAAGAGGAGGACTGCCTAAGGGGGTGTTCTCTTAAAAACCTTCAGAAGTAAAGTAAGATTTTACTGCACGTTTGGTGACTATTGGTTGGCATTTTCTTAGTTTTTCGGAGGGGACTACTAATCGTACACCCCCTAATTCCTAGACGTACACCCCCTTTTCACTACACGTACACCCCCTCCCCCCCCTATCGCTTCACCACCTTCTGATTGGCTCGGAGGGCTGCTCCGTAGCCTCCGATTCGCTCGCTTAACTTGCT